GCCTTAATCAGCCTGCGCTCAGGCCGGATGAAGTGGTCGCTCTCTTGGTAGCCCACATTCGACATGGACTTGTCGACATATCGCGCCTGGCCAAACGATTTGCTCTCGAACAGCGCAACCCGATTGGTCCTGCGGTATGACGGCATCTTCAGGTCCAGGCGCTCTTTGGAGGTCTGGCCGTAGATGGGTAGCGGTTTAGGGATCTTGGGCGCCGGGGCCGGTTCGGGGGGCCGGTTGGCATACAGAGAGACCGAGTCGCGCGGCGGCCTGCCAACACGACGCCTGCTGGGTGTCTCTGGAGGCACAGGGCCAGCGCCAAGGGTAAGTTTGCCCTCCTGGGGCTGGCGACCAGGTGTTCCGTTGGCAGCATCTTCCGCAGCCGGGGCGGCGCTGCCAGTATTATCCTGTTTGGTAGGCAAGGCCGTGCCGTTCACAGCGGGCGCGTCGGGCCCAGTCTGGCTAGCAGCCTGTGGCTGTTGTTGACCTGGTTTCACGAGCCCATCGACCTCGGCAGCCGCATATACCATGAATATGCCATCGATATCGAGGTTGGGATGGAACTCTTCCCAACCGCGCTCCTCGCGCGGCTTATAGCCCTCATTCTGCACGACGGCGGCGGCGACGGCAGCGGCGGAGCTGTACTGCATATCGTCTTGCTGGTCGCGGTTGACGGCAGAGGCAGCGTTGGCGTTGCGCAGGCGGGTACTTCGCTCGCGGCGCGGATATGCGGCGGTGGGAGACGACGTGCGCTGCGACGCGCGGGGTCGCGCCGACGCTGACGCGGTACCGGTAGAAGTGGAGGCGCCGTGGGACTCGGTGGGGATCTCGGTGCCGTCCTCCTCAACGAAGCGCCCGCCGCCCCCGGGCCCGCCAGGGATGTAGCGGCGTCGTTTCGGCGGCGGTTCGGTAGTCGGCGCGTCTGCGGCTGCTCGTCGGGACCGCGACGCGCTCGCGGATCCTGAGGTTCTGGGTCGGCCGCGGGGACGGCCCCGGGCGGTGCGTCTCGGGGTTGCGGGCGATGGAGCCATGGCCCGATGGCTCTCTCGAGGCCAGGAGATGTATATCAGATGGACGTATTGGTCCGATGTAGGGGATCGTCGTCGTCAGGGGAGGATAAGGGGGCGCAGTGTCGCTTATCGTGGGGTCAGTTGCGGCGGGCAACGGCTGGACTCGGGCATTTGGTTGCAAGAGCAAGGAGAGGCCCTGCCTGATGCGACCGTATGCCCGGAAGCCTCTCTTCGTGTCGCTGCGATGGCTGGCGATAGGCAAAGGTTGGACAGTCTCGTGGTGTAGCGACGACGTGACGTTCTGGAAAACAGGAGCTGTCGCGTGCCAATAGCCAATCAGCGTCTCCAACACCTTTGGTGGATCTCTTTGCCCCACCCTTTTGTGCTTATGTAAATGCAGCCGCAATCTGCAGGTCCGAGCGTCAGCAAGGGATGGAGCAAAAGTCACATGCACGTGCATGCATCCTGTCTCTTGGAGCTCTAGAAAGACACTTGGAACGTACACCGCGGATGAGCTTCGTTTTGGCGTCGCCGATGAGGTTGGTGATGCTGTAGTCGAGAAATGATCCTGCAAAATAATTCTGCTAATTTGTGGAAGGATTGATCTTGAAGTGTCTGCTCCCACAAATTTTCTTTGTGTGGTCTGGAAAAGTTCGATACGTAATTTTTTGGCTTGGAATTGCTTTTGTGTCGATGCTTTACCAGCACCAAATCATCACTCGCATTCCCTGGCGGAGTCCCCACAACCCCAACCATCCAAACACTGGCATCATGGGCCCCGCCCGTTCACGCTGAAAACAACATCTTCGCAACAACAGAGCTTCAGCCAAATTTTACTGTGTTCTGTATTGTTTTGCGGTTGAGACGAGGCATTTGAGTGCTCTGCGACTGCACTGCTCACATTGTTTGTCAACTTCACCATTCTGTCGCATGCCAGAGGAAAAATAGACTCACCAAAACTTTTCCCATCTCCCCTCAAGATATGTATGATCCCACCATTGCCGGCGGCAGGCCCGTAGGGCTGAGATCTCGATCGTAGGTTTGCGGCATTGTGCTCCCAATGACGTGGTCGGCTTTTTCATGTGAGCCTTGGCGCACGATGCCGACCCCAACCCCAACGAACCCCGCGACGTGTTCCCATTGTTTCCACTTTCCCTTTCCATGAGCAAAAACTCATGCCAGGCCAATCAGCGATGTGCACGACAAAGCCAGCTGTTCATGATGCGACTCCATCCTTCCGACCTTGCCGATTGCCTGCCAGCCCTGACCCTGACAATGACGAGCGAGCTTTTTTTCGATGTCATGGTTTTCTCGCCGATCGCAGTGATTGGCTTCTTTGCTCAACAGCATGGCCATTCCGATCATGAGCAGCCCACACACCATCCACCGACGACGATGTTCAGTGCAACCCTTTCACTGTTCTCACTCACTTCACTCACCCTGTCGGTTCTATCCAATTGCTACGTAGCCATATGGCTGAGCTCTGAAACCAGCACATTTGTCGACTGTCACCTGACTTCTCGATAGTCCCATTCTCCTCCGCTAGGACTTCCAGATTGCATTTACTGGGTTAGAAATCCCAGTGAGGTGTCACAATCCTGGTCTATCTCATTTCCAGCCCCGCCCCGCTGAGAATGACCCTGTTCAATCGTTCTAAGATCCCCGAAACATTTGAAATGTTTTCATGCTTACTTTGGACATCCCAGGCGCACCTAGACAATTTTTGCCCACTATAGAGAGATCTAAAGGAGAGGTCACATTAGGAAAGATTTCCCCCATATCCTGCTTTGCCGTAATTTTGACGGATAAACCAATGGAGCTTCTTTGTTTGTCTGATGGAGTGCCCTGCTGGATATCTTGTCCACAGTTAGCAACGTGTGTAACACAAACTCCAGAACCATTCTATTGAGAGAGGATCATCAAGAAACACGTGGAGGACGTGGGGTAAATTTCATTAAGTGATCCTACCATTAGCGACTGGGAATGTTGCAACTTTCATTGCTTTTCCATCTGCAAAAATTGCTAGGCAAACGCTGCAATTTTCATCTGCCTTCCTTGTTCTGGAAGGCTCTGGCTAACAGAGAGGAACACCTCAGATTACCATATAGTTGACCAAGGAACACTACCTGATTCTGTGTGCAGTTGCCATCAAGCACAATCAAATCGACCAGACAATGGTCATTGAACATGCATCACAGATCAAATCTCGGAATGATTTACTTGTCTCAATAATAACGCTCAATTCAAAACGCAACACAATGTTATGCTAAGCTACCTCAGTTCCTGTAATACCACGCATTCTGCTATACCCAGTCTGCCAGCTCATGATCCTTCTTCCCCAGAGTTGCAGTCGCTCGTGCTTGCTCACCAAATTGTTCAGATGATGCAAGACCAAGATTAAAAGCTCAATACACAAACATCAATGCTTACTCGGTAGGTTGAGATAATAAAGTGTGAACAAACTTCAGTGCAAACACCAACACTTGAGAGGAGAATGGCAGGAAGGGAAGGAAGCAGAGCTTCATAACACAACAAACAAGGTTTACTCAATCAACAGCAGGACAATTGTGAAGGGGAAGAGCGTGGGGGGGGGGGGGAAGGGGGAGGAGAGAAGGGATAAGGCCAGATGGTACTCCTCTCATTCTCCAAAGCCAAACGAAAAACACAACAAATGCGCAAACGCAAAGGCGGAGCAATGCAAAACAATACGAAGTAAAAAGACACCACATCGCCATCATACCTTCTGTGAACAAGATAGGTATCATTTTCTCCCTTTTTGTGCCTTCCCAACCATCAGCCTTTTTATTTTTTATTTTTTTTTTTACCACGCAAAGTTTGCCACACCTGATACCGCACACCACTTTTTGTTTTTCTCAATCTGCCAGACTGTCATCTTCATTGAGTCATAAACCTCCCCACAATCACCGACAGAAAGTAGACCCAACATCATTTTTGTTTTGCGTTCCGATACTCATACACCAGCAGAGCAAAATACCGCCATAACCACCTTCGACCTCAACCTCAAAAAAAAAAACAAATCTCAACTGTGTATAACATTAACTGAGGCAGATTGACAAAAATTCCATTCCTGACCTAGCTCATCAGCCACTCTGTTGTCATTCATTCCACCTGAGTCTGCCAAATCCGCACAAGTACTTTGAGTAGACTAACACCATCATCATAACAAGGTATACTGACAGATTGGCAGCCAATAACAACATTAGAGAGATGCGTGAAATCAATGAGCAAAATACTCCAAACTCCAACAACCAATCGGCCGTCATCATAACCACCCACCCAATTCCATACATTGATCGAATGCGGATGCAAATGCAGAGAGAAAAGCAAAAATGCGATATTAATGCAGGTGCAATGCAGAAATGCAATGCTATGAATGCATTAAGAAGGGATAAATGTATGCAATGAAGTGATTTGGTGAGAAGAAGTGAAAGGGATGGTATATAGTGGCAAGCAAATGCTTACCCACTCACACAATACCCTCGATTTGTCCACCCCAGGAGATGCTGTGAAAGAGCCACCCGACCAACCTCAAGGACCCATACGAGTTGTTCATCGTTACTTGTCGTGTCACCACGCCACACTGCCGGTATGTCATATCCATGTTCATAACGATAACATAATCGATCGATATTGCTTTTGTCCCCTAACGCCAGCCCAAGCTCAATGCATGCCACAGAAGAGTACAAGGAGAACCACAATCACCTAACAAAATGCCTAAATCGAAGTTCTTCCTGCGGCTCCTCCCTATGTTATCAATGGCAATCATATCCGCCAGCACACAATCCCCTCCTTTCCTCTGCTCTGATCAGATGCTCGAAATAAAGACAAAAACTGAACCAGGGTATCACAACGAAAGATGAGATGATGAAGATGAGATCGCAAACCTCACAAGCCGGTAAAATGTGGGTGAGGATAAGTAAGTCAAAGCAGAGGAAGGAAAGGGAGTCCCGGGGATAATGGCAATTGAGCCGCTTATCCCACTGCCCGCGGAACCACCGCCGCTGTGGCAACAATCGACTCTGCATGAATCGTCGGCATGCTCGTCATTCCTGAGCCAGGTGCTGACGCCGGCAGGGATGTGGGACTCCCGCTGCCAAAAGCAAACTCTTCCACCTTCAGGTTCGAGCCGTTAATAGCAAAATCCCTCGGAGGTGCAGGCGGCAAAGAGGATGCCAGGTCTGACGTCCAACCGCGGTTATCCTCATCTAGGATGCTGCTTGGTCGATAGCTGTTGCCGTTGACATCCAAATTGGTGTTGCCATTCACAGTCTCAGTGTTGCCACGAAGCAAGGACTCGCCAATCGACGGACGGTACGACTCGGCTCGGATTGGATCCCAGTCGATGTTGCTCTTGGGCGATGACGATGAGACAATAGGGACTTGGTCGGCGACGCTTGTGTCGATTCGCGGGATCTCAAGGTGTGCCGTGGTTTGCGCGGTTGGAATGGACTTTGTCTCGGTGTTAGGACGTTGTGGAACAGGCTGCGGGTCTGATGGTTTTGAAGTGCGGTAGTTGCTTTCGTCCTCCAAGGCAGGGGACTTGACACTAGGCGCGGGATGATCGACAACCTCCTTCTGCGGCGCGACGATATCGTTGGTAGCGAGATCGACAATACGGCGCCTCGGGGCCTTGCGGCGGCGAGTTGGGCTCGTGGGAACTTCGCTGGGTGAGCTCCTCGGTACGGGCCTCTCTTTCCGGAGGACTGCTGGCTCGCGAGGAGGATGGGGTTCGTGGACAGGAGTAGACTTGCTGCTCACATCGACAGCAGGGATTTCGAGAGCCGGCGGCTTCACGACAGGAACGGCGGGAGGGACTTCGGCACGCTCGACCAGGTATCGCTTCTCGGAGTAGCTGGGTCCGCTAGAGTCGATAATGGGATCCTCAGTGTAGCCGGGAGTCTTGCGGAATAGGTTGAAGATGGTGATACGATAATCGCGGTGAGTCTTGACGAAGGGGTTGCCCTCGACGTAGATCTCCCGGATTTCAGGAAGCCCCGTCAGACGAGCCAACTCCATGGGGTCGATAATACGATTATCTCTCAGGTCTAGTCTCTCGAGGGGAAGGAGTTTCTCGATGCCTGCAATAGACTGTAGCCGGTTGCCGCGCAAGTTCAGAGCTGTGATAGCTGGCAGAGGGTTTCTGGTGAGTGAATGCAGTGACTCGATCATGCAATGAGCTAGGTTGAGAGCACGGAGTGCGGTTAGGGTAGCAAGGCTGTCTGGAATCTGCGTAAAGAGGTTGTAGGAGAGGTCGAGGGAGTGAAGCGTATTAGCAAGAGGAGCTAGGCTGGCCGCGGGAATCACGGTAAGCGCGTTTTCGGCAAGGCTCAGGTGCTTCAAGAAGCGCCACTTGGCAGGGGGCAGAGCGCCCGTAGTCAGCAAGTTGGATGAGCTCCCGCGAGATCCGTACCACGAGTCCGAAAGACTCGAGTGAGAGCTGCCAGACCCAGATCTCCGGACCTTGTGAGCACCACGCACGTTACTCGGCCCAGTTCGGGCGCCAGCAGGTCGTCGAGGAGAATAGCTCCGAGTACGGCTCTCTTCCACAGCTGGCGACCTGGGCTCATCGCCGTCGATGCGGGCAATGGAGTGTCTGCGGTTCTCTGGGACACGTGCAACCTCCTGGTCACGTCCAACCTCGCTGGGCAACGACCCAACAGGCAGGTCCACAGTGGACTTTCTGGCATCAAGAGAGGCTGGGACTGAGATGGTCTTGTGGAGGTCACTGCTTGACACAGTTGGGCTCCGCCGAGGGCTGGGGTTGCCCAGCGCCTGACGAGACGGCGAGCCTTGGGTCTTGGATGTGCGGCGACGCCGCCTGTCCATGTCATCTAGCACGATATCGATCAGGACATCTGCCGGGTCATCAATGGAGGCACGTCTGAGCGTGAGGGATCGCAGTTGTTCGGCAAGCCTGTCCCAGCCGAAGAACTGCCGGAAGTCGATGTCGTACACCTCGAGGGCCTGTACATTCTTGAATACATAAAGCGGCACGGCAGAATCAAAAGGGAATTCTTCGTAGCCCTTAATGAGCCGGGCCTGCCAGTCTGGGGCGAGGCGCAGGCATGGGATCTTGGTGAAGGCGGAATACAGATACTTGAGGTCAGCTTGGATGGCCGCTTTCTGCTTCTCCGTGCGAGCGGCAGAGATGCTTGAGCCGAATCCGAGGCTGGCCCAGAGGGCAGACATGCCAGACACTACACTCCTGATACTCGAGACCGAACGGATGGAGATGGTATCGGAGGCCCGGGTCTTGGAACGATGGGCCTGGCTGAGGAATGACACATAGTTCGCCGATGCCGTGCTGTCGTGGAGGTTTTCAAGACGGACCCTCATGGGCCCAACTGGGATGCCGAGCTCCTCGAAGCGTGAGAGCAGGTAGAAGAGATGGTGTGGGGTTAGGGCCAGCTTGGCCGACTTGCTACTGTGGGATGCGAAGCTGAGGGCGCCGAAGGAGAGGGCAGCAGCTAGGGCACTTGAGGCGGACGAAGATGTGGCAGGCCGTTCGGGGACCGAGGGAGAAGGGGGAACGGTGAAAGTCGGGACAGAGGAAACGCTGTGGGAGGGGCCATGGCGAGGGGCACTTTTGCGCTGGAACTGGAGCGCATTAGCAAGGGCCTTTTCGTGGGTGCGCACGAAGTTGGCGAGTTGCTGTAGAAGAGCATGCGTTAGTCCCTTGTACTCGTACTATTTTTGTAGCCCCAGTTCAGACTCGACGCACCTTTATGAAGATCTCTCCGTCTTCCGAGTCCATGGTTAGGTATTACGTTTATGTTATAGGGATGGATGCATAAGGCAGCAGTAATCTCTCAAAGGAGTGGATGGCTGCAGGGCCGAGGTCTAAAGGGTGGGGTAGAAGAGGAGGGCAAGCTTGTTGTCGTCAGCGACCAAGTGCTTCTCAGAAGTGGTCGAAGATGGCCTTAAATCTACTGAGGCAGTGAAGAATCTGGTGGCAATGGGTGAGACAGCAGCCTGGTCAGTAACATATGTCAGCGAGATGATCAATCACCCTTCACAAGACGTTGTGTGGATGGAAGTGCGTAATCGGTGACAAGGCACGAGATGCAGGCCCGCCAGCAAGCTAAGGGAGAGGAGCGCGATGACGATGACGACTGCGACTGCGGCCGCAAGCGCCGTGTCTTACGGTTAGAGAGAGAGGGAGAGAGGGAGAGAGAGAGAGAGAGAAGCAGTCGGAGTGTGAAGGTCGAGATAACAGGAACAAAGAGGTTGGTGGATTCGGCCAGGCGGACAAAAAGAAGAGATCACAAAAGGCTTTGTTAAATGGTAATGGTAGGCAGAAGGCAAAAGCAATAGCAATGCCTTGAACTTGTCGGTTGTGGGGCTGCTTTGGGGCTTTGGGTGCGGCTGTACTGTGTAGGATATAGGGGCCTTTCGAGGCCCCCGCGGCCAGGTCGACAAAAGACGAACTTTTGGAATGTGGGACTGATATCGGGAACGGTAGCCGGGCGTAAGTCACTGGCAGGTCGGTCGCTTAGGTCGTGTTGTTAACGCCCATTTAGTGGTCCCGGGACTGAAGGCCTGTTTCAAGACGCCAAAGTTAAGACAAGAAAGGGGTTGCCGGGTGGAGATCCGTCGACCGGCTTCCCGCGCCCCTCATTCTTTCACCGGGCACAGCAGAGCTGGCCGTTGATCAATGGAACAAGCAGCTAAGGCGACGGGAGTCTCGGTTGAAGACGTAACGGACGCCGGCCGAATGACAGGCAGGCGATGCTGAAGAATGGAGCCACAGTCACGCGCTCTGAACACACGAGGGAGCGTAAGGCGACGAAAACCAAGGCCTGGGTAAGGCCAACAAGGCCAGCGGGCAAGTCACCGAGTCACCGGATGGCGATCAAGAAACGCTGCTGTGTCATGTTGCTGGGCGGGCACCAACACGGCGGTGCACAGATTTGAGTTGGCAACTAAGGGACGAAGGACAAGATAAGATGCACGCTAGTTGTGGTTGGTGATCGTAGGCTGGTGTTTGGGTGTTGCTGGCGGGCAAGTTGGAGGGAAAGCAGGAAAGGGAGGGAAAGAAAAGTCGACGAGAACCATAGCAAACGAGTACCAAAGATGAGAAATGCTTACCAAACCCTAAAATCCGTTCGATGTTTTTTTGCCGGCGTGGGACTGTGACGCCTCAGGTTTTAGAAAACTGGCGACAGTTCGTAGCAGTTCTCGAAGTCTGTGGTTGTGCAAGGTGACCGGATGCAGAACCTTGGGGGTCAGCGGCAGCGCGATTGACGCAATCTGGCTGCCAGACAGAACAGAAAGGAGGGACGAGGAGAGCGAGGAGCGGGGGACACAGCGACTGGGACCGAGGGTATGTCACAGAGTGACCTGATCTAAAATCCGAAAAATCAGGACGAAGAAAAATTAGGAAGAATAAAACGGTTCTGCCCGCACTCGCACTTGCACGTTCCTGTCGACGTGCTGGCTGTTGCTGGCGTGTTTCTGCTGCGCCGGGAGCAGAAGAAGCCCAAACCTGAAGATGGGTGGAAGAGGGAACTGGCAGAGCAGCAAGCCTTTTTGCTGGTGGAGAAGTGGTAAGCGGGGGGGGGGGGAGAGGGAGCAGGCAAATAAAAATAAGGATCCATCGCCTAACCCTCCCAGGATCCAGATCCCAGAGTCACGGCACAGGGTTGGAGCGCTACTGCGGCTTTGCGAGCTTGCTTCCCGGCACCCACCTACCGGTAGGCCACCTCCCTGTCGTGGTTTAGACCAGGTTGCGAGTTTGCGATGCGTTGCTCCGGGTCTTGCTTAGCCAGCGGGGCCGGCAACGAAAAGGAGGGCTGCACGATTGAAAAGAAACCTGGATTTGGTAGGATTCTGTTAGAGCAATGGGCATCTCTCACAGGGCGACGTTATCGCAGCCTTTGGACCCATATGCTCTCGTCGCTGCAGTGGCTGCATCATCCACCCCGCGCCGTTGGACCTTGGTACTGTCCTCGCACTGTGGCGGCCACGAGCTCTCCTCGACTCTCCACAAACCAGGGCCCCAACTTCACGGGTTGACGGTTTTGAAGGTTAAAAAGGTTTCCCAAAAGTCTCCCGTATCATGCTTGTGGCCATCTTACCGGCTCAGCCCTCGATCGCTGCGGATCAATCACTCCTTTACGAAGGCCTTTTGTGTCTCGTCTCAACGCCATCGTTTGTGACACCACGAAAAAGCTGGCAGCTATGCTGTTTGCCTTCCATCTCAGCTCAGATCAGGCATTTCGTGCAACTTGAGCAAATGCGGCTCCCTCGGGGATGCATCAGCGGGCTAACCAATCGAGCTATTCATCCGGCCTCTGCCCTCTGCCATCCCCTACCTAACAGCACACTTAGCACGCTCTGCGCCCCGAGGGCTGCCTGCCTGTCTTCGGGTGCTCGCCGCTGTCCAGTCTTACCGCCGTTTCGGTCCAACCTCCAGAAGCGAGAAGCATCGCCGCATTGCGGGCCACCCGACAGACCTCATAAGGGTCATTTTGAGATTCTCACCTGCCACATGCGAGCACAGCACCGGCTGCTTCGACGGCATGACAGCAAGGTAAAGACGGGAGAAGAGAGCACTCAGTAAGCCGTTATATTGCCGTGGATGTGATTCCTTGGAAGCAGTCCAACGGCAACAGCAACGCTGGCCGTTCTTCCAGTCGGCTGTTTGGCGGTTGTGTCGGCGTCTCTGTTTGCAGCGCTGCATCAAGCGCCGGGGTGTGCACTATGTTCTGACCTACATATTGTCATATTGTTTGGATGCTCCCACAGCAGCACACCGCGGGTGCCGCATCCATAGGACCCAGCACTGAACCGTCGAAGAAAGAAAAAGTTTTGCGGCGTGCAGGAGGATAAATGTTGCAATAGCCCTCCGCCTCCGAGCACGAGTTCGGCCTGCCGATGGCAACGTTTTCATGCCGTACCGTCGCAGCGCACTGTACGGATTGCCCACAGAGGTGGGGCATAAAGGTGGGCAGCTGGGCGGGCTGGGGCTGCCGCAAGGGTGTGGGTCTTCGCCTTCGGGCTTTCTTGGCTGGCTTGGCTCTTGGCTCCGCGGCAGAGTAGCGAATCAGGGCGGCGAAGCGCCTGCGAGCACACGCGTTTGGGGAAAGAGCAGGCGGCGCTCCTGAATGGTCGACCGGGCATTGAGGAGGGAGAAGCAGGCAGCGGGGCAGAGGGAGGGTTGACAGATGCCGCTGACGCTGATCTTGCTGAGCCTGCGATCCACAAGCAAATCCACACACGAGGGGTCACAGGGGCACCACAGGGCACGCGCACGCAGAGCTCCAGTTCGCTGGCTTTCGAGAATCGTTCCAACGTCTGACGAGGAGACCCGAGCTCATGGCTGTGAGCAGGCATGATACTGTCACGCGTCGCCATGCCTGCCAGCCGCGAGTTCGGCCAGCTTGGCCACAGCCCTCTCTCTCTCTTGCTGTTTACGCTTGTTGACTGGGCCAAGCACCCCGGGAACCGATGATTACTTGCCTATGGCATTTATGCAAGGCCTCGCTCCCGCTGCCTTTTTAGAAAAAAAAAAAAAAAAAAAAAAAAAAAAAAAAAAAAGAAGAAAAGGCAGGGCCTGCTCCCGATTCCCGTCCTCCCGCCGCATCTGTGCGTGCGACAGGGACCGGGGCGGACGGCAAGGCCATTGTGAGCCGATGAGGTGAGGTGAGTTTCCAGGAGTCTCTCGCGGTCCGTCATGAATCGCGCAACCTGGGGCAGTAATTGAGCATTTCGAAACGACATCGATCTTCGATCTGGCAGATGCAACTGGGACTGGGACCAGATTCCAGTCTTGCTCTCAAAGAGCCGTCGGTTGAAATCATGAAAGACCACGATTGACATCTGGAATCATCGAACTGTGCGACACACCTGCTCTTCTGCGTAACGTGGTGTTGTCGGATACACATAGGTCTGTTGTATCCTGCATTGATCGTTCGCCTCGTTCGGCGGGCAAATAGGCCAAGCGAATCGCCTGCGCAACCTGCTTCCAGCAAGCAGGCTGTTGTCCTTGAGCGCCGTTGTTCCGTGCTGAACCGCAAAAGACCCTGCGATGACGCTGCACCCTGTAACTCTGCAGGCCAAGCCGACGAGGATCATGCGCTTTCTTATTCATGCTCATAGCGCAAGGGTACGATTCGTCTATGGTCTTCGCCGACCTCATCATCCTCTTGCGCTTCCAAAGCCGTAGCAAATCTCGATGAGAGCAGTTAAAGAGGACACATATATCAACAACCTTCCACAAGGCAGGGGTTACTCGTCCTGGCATCTCCGCAATATGTGCAGTGTGTATTGCGGCCAAGCAAAGCAGCGGTGCGCTGTCTTGTTTCTCAGCAGTCCACATTTGCCTGCCTAAACCTGGGAACAGCGTCGCTTGGTATTGCCCCGCGTCCAGGCGTTTTCTTCAACCGCTGCGCTGTGGTCCTGCGATAAAAGAACCCTGATATACAGTAGGTAGGTCGTGCGCGCGCACACAAACTTGTGGCAGCGCCATCTTTCTTCCGGCTGGTTTTCCCTCGGGTTGAACAAGCATGGTTATCCGTGGCTTCTCGGGCAGAACAGCACCATTGACATCTGCCGCATCGTACGTGATTTTCTTCCTCACCCCCGCCGATAATCCCGGATTCAATTCCCGGGAGATGGAGATGGGGAGAGGGGAATCGCCATTTTGGCACGAGACGGTGTTTTGGAAGCAGAAGACGACGAATCCTTGCCATGGCAGACAGCACCCATTTTGTGGGTTTGTGGGATGGCATGCAAATTATGTCATAAGCCGCCTCCAAATCTCAGGAGCCTCCTTCCCCCTTCTCCCCCGGAAGCCTTCGCTGAATTTTCATTGGAGGCAACACCATGGTGTGCTGGTGGTATGTCATGGCTGGCACCAGCCTCCTCTGCTGCAAATCTCGACTGACAGTTTTGCTACCGAACGGCTACTGCTCGCGGCACGCTTTGCGGACGGGTTGCTCAAGCGCCTTCTTCATACCATCTCATTGTGCATCTTTGGATTTTCACAAGCTTAGCTAGCCGAGCGAGTGGATGAGAAGCGTATTTTTGGTGTCCTCCCCCCACATCGACTCACACCTTTTTGGCCTTCCTTTTGCCCCGCCCTCGACGCGACCAAGGCGATCGAGGGAAGGCCTCGGGTATCTATGTAGCATCCTGTGCTTGGTAGCAATGGCACAGAGCCAATTTGCTACTTACCTACAAGAAGCAAATGGGTTACATCCAAGTTCACCTGCCCTCAAATGCCGGAGACAGACAGCAATACCCCTTCACAAGTACAATCGTCGTCATGCCAGAAGAGGATCCCCCACGCGACGAATTCGCGACCTCATCTCATGACTTTTGCTGATGCTGATGCGGTGTTGCCGGAAGGGCGTTGTACAGCAGCGTTTTCCTTGCTTGTCTGTGCTATGCGTGTAAGAGGGTCATTGTAAGGTTGGTGACATTTTGCCCGGTGTTGACCGATCTGCTTGCGAAAATAAATCCTTCCTCCTGGGACTTGTTAGAGGGTTTCTTGCCATGCTCTCGGGTCCCCACATGACTTGATGTTCCTTGTTAAGAGTGTGTGCGCGCAGCTCTTGTAGAAGTTGTCACACCCAGTCACCATGTATAAACTGCCAATTTCCGTAGCCCACTCTCTGGCACGCTGGAGAAGAGTAGGTGGGACGAAGGTATGTCTCCAACAACCAAAAAGGTACGTACCATTTATCACACGGCCCATCTGGCACTTTCATACAGACACAGAATGCGCGCTCCTACATTTATGGATCCATCTCTCGGAGGGTGGGCAAGCTGCGGGCTCGCCGGTTTGTGATGCATGCACTTCAGCCCGTAGGTGTCGACACCGGCTCGCCCCAAGCAGCATTACTCGCCTATCTTATCAGATTAATGCCCCCCTTCTCACACTCATATTCTACCTGCATAGGCAGGAATCTGCAGCAGAAGGCGAGGAGAAGGAGGGGTTTCATGCGCGTAGATGGCACAGCACAAGTCAGTACTTACATGCACATATGTAGGTGTGGTGTAGACACTCAAACCGGTGGACTACAGCCTCACCGCCTCGATGGTTATATAAGCGTTGGTTTGGCTTGGCTTGCGTGCGGCTTGCATGTGGAATTATGTGATGCATGTGTCAATGCCCGTGTGAAAAGGATGAATTTTTTGCACTATGAAGGTTTGCTTGTCGTGCAGGTGAGGGATTGAATAAAAGACCAGATAAGACGGATCCTGATTCTTGGGAACATCTTCTGAGAGCATCCATATGGAAATAGGTCACTAAAAGATTCATAACTTATCCATACATTTGCGATGTTGAACACATCCCAATTGGCCTCGAGCAGCTGCATATTATCCTGTAGGACATTGCCATCTTCAGGGTCCTTACCTACCCCAACACTCTCTCACCGTCAATCCCGCCCCCTCCAACTCGGCATATGTATGTCCCGCTTCTGAGTAAACCTACGTTCACGAAGACGTGGGATGATGAAAGTCAATCAAGGGAAAATAAAACTGAGCAATGTCCAAGACGGCTGCCAGAAGTACTGAGCTCTCCTACCAGCAGTCATGATTCTGGAGCCTGCTCCCGAAAATCAGACCAATCGGAGCATGCACCAGAACCGAACACTCTGGAACTAAGCGAAGAAGACAGCTCAGACATAGCCGATCGCGAGCACTACAATTTTGTGACAACCACCACATTCCATATCCCTTCATCTGGTCCAGTCTAGTAATCCGGATCTTGGCTGCAGTTCTTTCTCTTTTCGTCGCTAGAGCCGGCGGCTAAGCAAAGCGAGTGCCTACATACAAACTCCATCCTCCCGGACCGAATGAGAAACAGGGAGAGCACAGCATACATACCTAGGCAGCTAATAATGGGTAAAGTAGGCAGGTACACAAACCAGTAAGCGGTCCGGTTCCGGCTCAAGAATTGAGATCGGCAGTGTAACCTGCCATACCAATGCCCTGTCCCAAGCAGATGGAGGGTTTGTGGGAGCTGAAAAGTCGGCTGTGGGCTGGCTGAGTTGAAGAGCTGTTAACCAAACGGATGTGAGTATCTCACCTCTCCGCTCTGGAAGGGACATCATGAAAGATAGGAGTTGATGGGTGTTGAAGGCTTGTTCTCTTTGGTGGTAGTGGGAGCACGGAGGATGAGACTTCGGAAAAGGCATGCGTGTTACTTGGTAGGGGGAGAGAATTGTCGAGCATGGAGAGCGTGGGTAGTGCTTTCAAGACAACATTTCCAAACTGCTGACTTGTTGAAAGGCTTTCCGTCTGGTTGGATTTCTGGGATGCAGAGGAACCGAGACATGCATGCGTGGTCGAGTAAGCGCAGTCCAATCACAATTTCACTCTGAAGATAATGTAGGTAGGCAGACGGTGACAATCGGATTTGGGGGCAACTACCACTTTGCATAACCCCAACTATGCCCCTCGACGAAAGGATAATGCCAGTCTGCCTGAGCCATATATGCAGTTTCCGTATAGGACATACATTGCGCTCTCAACGTCATACTCAAGCCATATACCTCCAGTAGACTTCGAACTGCAGAATGTTTCCGATATCGTTAAATGTCAAATCTTTGGATGTGATACTCTTTTGAAGCAGCTTCCATGTTTGAAGGTACAGAGGCACCTTTGACACTAAAACCGTCCATATCTTGCTGGTTTGGACAGGTGCAATGTTGAAGGCTACTACTTATACACGTAGAGATGCACTTCGGAAACAACACCGGATATCTGAGTGGTAGAGAACAAGACCGCTCAAGCTCGGTCCACAAAATTTGAGCACAGAACATTGATCCTCAACAACCGGCAGTTGCCCATCACTCCCATCTCCGTGTTTGCCCTTTCCCATCACACCCGGCCTGGCATCAACAGCAGAACACGTGCCAAGCAGCTACATGCCGGGGAATACGAACACCTACCATGATTATCTCGCCGTGACTGCCGTAAGTTCCCAAAAGCCAGGTAAAAGAGCAAAACTGCATGAGGTACCTAGGTAATTGTGCGGAGAGACACGGCAGAGAATGGCGCAATGACTATATCCAGTCTCTTGCGAAAACTGTGGGAGAAAATACCCGGCTCACAACCAATTCTGCCCCGTGCTTGCCGCTGCAGCCCCGCTTCCGTGGACGGGATAAAGGCATGAGGGAAGGCATGGAACGAAAGCCTGTTTTTTTTTTATTGTTGAGAGACATTAAGACCAATTTCAAACCATGGAAGAGCACTTGAAGTGGTTATTATGGACCCAAGTCATTAACCATCGGTGCCGCCCCCCATCAGGCTTCTATCTGTCGAGGGATATAGTACTCAGATGCTCGCATGAAGATGTTGGTGTCAATATTAGGTAGCGATCGCTAATACTACACTGCTTCTGGGTTCAATGCTCAGTAGAAGAATTTGTTTTCGTTGGTACGTAGTAGCAGTTCCTGCAGACTGTTTTCAGTCCAATCCATCAATGTGGCATTAATATCCTGAAAGCTAGTTGCACGACGGTGTTGAAGAAAGTTCAGACCATACGCCGATCTACACAGTAAATCCAAACTTGGCCCAATCCAAACAAAGTGACAATTGAGCAACAGTTGGACAAAGCACTTGAAAGCAGAAGAGACACTTTCGAACTTCAACCATGACTACCCCAGTGACGTCGTAATGCAGCAACCACAAATGAGGGACCTCGCAACCAAAACAAGCCAGGGTCTTCCGGTAAGCATTCAGATTGGCTGGAGAACTTCGACCCTGGCCCAACGGCCAGACCCACTACCTTTATCGCACCTGACCCTGGTCCAAGAGATAACATCAGCGGTGGGCCCAAAACAACGTAAGTACAGTGTCTATTTTAAAAATAAGGTATTTCGTACTGTATGGATTCAGGAGTACACACACAAATGGACTCGTTGATGATATGATACATGAGCTGCCTCTCTGCTGGCAACAGGATGGTTAAGGCTTTGTCCCAGACCGGGACGGCATTTTTCTGCCTGGCCGGATGTCCAAAGCCTCAAATGGCGATCTGCCTGTCAGATCTGCCTTGACCCGAAGACCAAGGACCATGGCCCCGAGATCTCTGGGCCTTCGACCTTTGGAGAAACCTCTCCCCATATCATGACCAGTTCCTGAGATCTTCTGGTTGATTCAAAACCAAAAAAAAAAAACAAACTACGACATAACTACTCGACAGAGGAGCGAACCGGTCATATCCAGATAATGGATCGCGACTAAATACGGACTTCGCATCGCGACATCCCCTGAATCCAAGGTTGACGACCAGGCCGTCCAACAGCAACCGGCTGCAGTCGCAGTGCAGCGTTGCAGGCGTTGCAGCTTTGACGCAGGAACCATCTGCTCACAGCACTCTCTCCACTCACGGAGCATAGGCTCACTTCAGCAGTCAGACTGACAGATCAGAGCAGAAAGCTTTCCTGACTTGAACCTCAACCTTGACACTTCTCCTCTACCCGTCTCAACCTCGGCGTATTAACCCCCGAAACCACACTCTCCCCAGCCGGCCTTCCCAGCATCACCCACGGACTAACAAAGCATTGCCCAGTATCACCATCCCACCTCCAAGCCAAGCACTTATCGTCCTTGAGGTCACAAAGCTCGGCACACCACCGTGCGCTCAACACCGGCCTACTATACTCAACATCCTCATCCTTCGGCCTGACATCACCAACATAATCCCAATGCTTCCTCCCCTCCAGCGAAGCGGCATCAGGAACCCTCTTCCATGGTGCCGTCTGACCGTAGTACGCCTGCCATAAATCCTTCCATAGCACCGGGCCAGTGCTCTCGGCACTAACATTGCGGAACCTCTCTCCCACTTCACGCATCACGTTTGGTTCCCCCAGCTTATGGAACGATAGTGCGGGCTGACACAGCCTCTTATCCTCAATCCTCATCATCAAAGGCGGCTCGCCGCAAAAAAGCCGTGCATACCTCTCATCAAGATAAACCCCCCTACGCTGACACGCCTGCGCGATGAGGCGGTCCCCCCAGGGGATGGTCAGCGCGTCGCGGTATACCTCGGCGCTTAGTGCCTTCCTGGGGTCTGATGAAGACGAAGATTGGGGGAAGATTGTCTTGAGTGTTGCGCGCGAGAGCAAAACTCCTGAGCCGCCGTGTGCGAAGCGTGCGCGATAGTCACCGACCGGGCTGCCGATGTAGTGCGGGACGTTGGGGTCCAGGCGGGAGAGGAGTGCATGCAAAGAGGGGCGTAGGATGAATGTGTCATCGTCAAGGAGGAGGTACCAGAGTTTTGTGGGGAAAAGGGTGTGGGCGAGAAGGAGGGTGGATAGGTCCTGGATGGATGGTGAGTTGAGTGACGTGAGGTTCGAGTTAAGGGCAGAGACATACATACCTTCAGCGCGTCTAACTCCCATCCCCACTCTTTAGATAGCTTCATCGCTTGCTCCTCATCCCCCTTCTCAATCGCCTGTCTTAAAGCCTCGTACTTCCCTACTCGCGGGTACTTCTCCTTCACCACCTCCCTCTCCCCCAGCATATTTCTCGCATCTTCCAGCATTTTCCCCGCCATATCACGCACCACGAACTCCCGTCCCTGCCAAACAAAACCCTTCCCAGGTTTTGAAGCATAATCTCCAACAACAAGCACATTACCCTCCCCAAACCCCATCCCATTCTTTTCCTGCTTCGGAGGCATATTCGCCTCAAACCAAGCCTGCACCCTCCCCCGTGTCCCATACCCTGTCTTCAGCAGCACAACCACATCTGTTGTGATATTAACCGGATACCATGGGTACGTCTTTGCATCAGCATTCCAATTCACGCCCAGTCCCTCGCCCTCCAAAAAATCGGCCTTGAGCTGCTGGAAGTTGAAGCGTACGGCTAGGCGTACGGGGCTGTCGTAGGGTAGAGCAGCCCAGAAGAGAATGATGAACGAAATGGTGAGTAGGGAGGAGAGGAGGAGGCCTGGATGGAAGTGGCGTTGCCGCAGGAGCCGCCGCAGTGTGAATGGGTATCGGCGAAGACGAAGAGGAGGAGGAGGAGGAGGACCTTGGGCGAGGCGGTGCCAGGGGAGGGAAAGAGGTGTTGAGTTCATGGTTTCGGTTGAGAGGAGTGATGGTTGAACTTGGTGAGTCGACTGACGGGGAAGGGAAAAGTTTGGAAGGAGTTGGCCATTTGCGAGGGATGGCTGGCTGCAGAGCCGGCTGAAGTGGTGCGATGAGCGCAAGTATGTACTATGTAGTACTATGTAGTCAAGTAATGTGGGATCGGTGGATATACTATAACCGACCTGTCGCCTAACAGATCTATTGGCGATTTGCGATGAGATCAGGATTCGCTTAAAAGTCGACGGTAGCCTTGTATATCCGCAGCAGCAGCAGCAGCAGCAGCGCGTGTTGTTTGCTCAGAATCCAGATCCGGATTCATCCACGTTGTGAGCTTCGGACACCCATCATGATTAAATGAATAAGAAACTATACAGAAGGAGTAAAATGAAGGCCAGAAAGGCGGAAGGAATGAGCGATATGACATACAAGAGATGAAAGCGCGAGGCTGTGCAGGCCTTTGGTAACAACAGGATCTGTGCTGAGCCGCTTAGAAACATGCAGCCCCCCACCGGGCCGACCCCCCGATTTCCGTGGTGAAGAGTGTTGCTGGAAAGAATAGGATGGCTATTGGTTTGTTGCTTTCCGGCTTTACCACCGTCAGGGGTAAAACACTACTCCACGTCCAATAAACATCTGCATTGATCCGTCGCTCTTCACTTTGAGGCCCTTATACCAGAGGCCTTATGGTTCTACTGCCCTGGTGTATCCCTTTGCGCTTGAAAGCTCTTTATAACCCCATTCGCTTGTGCGACATTTCTGGCCTACTTATTGTCAAGTTACACCGTTATGCCGATTTTATTGGCACTCTCCTTCCAGCGAGCCGCTGCATGGGCAGCGGTGCGCTGACTCGAGTCTTATCATTGTTGTAAGAGCAGATGTGCTATAAAGGACTCTGGGCCAGTATGAGAGCAAAAACATGCCCATCAACAGTGACACCGCGGTGCAGCTCCTCATAAGATTTCGGCCTGGTAGCCTGGGGTTCTAGGCACCTCCGACCAAATTGTCCTCGAGGGGCGTAGTTGGACAAAGGTATCTCAGGTAATGATCTGGCCGAGGAGCACAAAGTGCCTTCCACTGTTTCTTTCACCAAGTCGAATGATATCTCATGGGCTTCTCATGAGACATACTGCCTATGGATGTTGTGTCTGATCATTGGTGCTTTGATATCGGTGATCTTACAGGCAAAGCTGAAATGAAGCAACCAGTCGCTGCGGGATTTGGTGATCAGAGAAAGAACAAGCTTAGAGGAACGTAGGAGCAGAGACGAAGCACGATTCAAAGCTAAACAATGGATGCAGAGTCATCTGGGAGATGTGGAAAACTTGTAATCCCCTGGGTATATCCTAAGACAGTACTAAAATGGATTCAAAGTCCATCAACCGGGTGTCGGTACTCATGTGACTTGCTATCCAAGTCTCAAGTGCAGTTCTATATAAGTTCTGGACCACCAGAACCCCTCCCTTAAGCTTCGATGCAAGATAGTCGAAAAATATTTCCCGAACTTTGACACGCATGTGACAGAATAGCAAAGCGATGGCAATGTTTGCCTCAGAATGCTCCCAGAGTTTGTCATTTTCTTTCGGCTCGCTTTCTGCGAAATTAATTGTTTGAATCCGGGTCAAGTAGAACTACACCCTGTGTGAGAAGACTGCATCCAGGCAAAGGGTCGTGCGATGAGTATTTCTACTTCCTTTATTTGTCCAACTGTTCATCACCTTGCTGTCTTTCCCCATGTTATTTGATTCAACCCTTATCTTCTCTCTCTTATCTTGAAACTATGTGAGCTAAGTAAACGATCTTTCTACGAAACTCTGCTGCTCCAGTGGGAGATTGTCGATTATGACAACATCCCCAACTACCACCTTGAAGGAGGAGCAAGTGGAATAAAATTCTTTTATCACGGAAACTGCACTGCCGCGATGGCCAAAAAAAACTTGGCGCTAAAATTGCTCCGTGGTTTTGAATATGCAAGATATGCAAGAGAGAGACGCTGCCTTGAAGTATTTGATGAACAGCTGGTTAGTTGATGGTGATATGGGACATGGTAATTTCCGGCCGAGAAGTTTTCGGTATGGTTTCTAGAGGCCCAACTGATAAAGAACTAAAGGAAACAAATGCAGAGTGGGAAAAAGACTCTCTAGGACAATTTGGAGAACAATGAAAGGAAACAACCCGGAATGAGGAGAAGAGCGGTTCGAACTCGATAGACGGCGGGATGTACATCGCTCTAGGTAACAGAAATGATTCGCGGGTACTAAGGTGGAATGAATGTATTGGATTCACAACAAGATTATTTAGCCATAAGGTATCTATGGCAACACTGTATCAGTCAAGAAAGTCCCCTCCCCACCGCCTCTCATTAGGCCAACATTTTACCTTTATGAACTGGAGCATATGGCAAGGGATCGAGAGAGAAGTGCATTCGTTACAGGATGCTGCAAGAATGCTTGTTCATTGTGCTGCCCCAAATGCTTGCTGTTCCTCACCCAAACTTTCTCAGACCAAGCAGTCTTGGTATAACTGCCAGCATAGCAGTTCCTAGGCAAGAATATCATCCCGTGTTAGAGGTATAACAGACCTCCGAGATGAAAGGTAAGAAGACAGAAGGACGCAAAAAGCTCCCATTCAACGCCTAGTACACCATCAGGCAGTCTAGGCTTTTGTAATCGGAGGAACGAACAAAGGTTGTAAGGTAGTTGGGTCAAACTGTACTAAATGCCTCACAAATCTCGAGGGAGCAAGTATATATGTAAACCGTTGACCAGCCATTGGCTTCCAGGCCTTCCCCAGCACACAGAAAACAGCCTCCTTTGATCATCAACTATTAAGAAAGCTCAGCGGCCTCACAGCTCACCAGTCACACTGATCTTCATTACTCTTCTTACCTTAATCCAGGCAGTCTTCTGCGACATCACCGAATGTTTCGAACGCAGCTTATATGGTGTGCCAAAACCAGCATGACTGCTACCAGATCATCAAGGATTGGAGCCGTGTATTTCTCAGTGCTAGTCTGCCCTGCAACGGGGAAAATCATTATATAGGGAGGACATTTGATTGGCGCTGAACGTAACGCGACTCACCAAAGTGGGATTCACCGGCACCAAGGAAGTTGAAGGACCAGCAGATCGTTGAAACCCCCATGAGCCACTGAAATGACAGGTTGAGCAATTATCGCTCGAGCGAGTTGTTCGTCAGTCATGTTTGGTTGACGTATACCCCTCACGAGCAGGATTTTCAACAAGTGTATTGCGCAGGGCAAGTACGGGTCTTGGGAGAATGATGAAATGCTTGTTGGTTCCAAGGCGTTTAGAGCAGCCAAACCGAAAAGCGAAGTGCGGTCCTGAGGGAACTGAATTAGACGTTCCGACAACGTTATGGGTAAGGGTCGAAGAGGAGGATAGTCTGCAAAGAACTGAGGAGGAAGAGGCTATTGGCAACCCGGTTCAACCCCAGGATTGCTGCATGATCGCAAAAAAAAGAAAATAGGACATATTAGCTGATTTGGGCGTTGCTGAAAGGGTCCATGGCTTTGGGCTTTCAGGGACAGTGATTGCAGAGGAGGCCTAAGTAGAAGAGCTGCTGCTGGACAGTAGAAAACCTACCTAGTGAGGGTCGATAGGCATCCATGAAGGATACAAATCAGAAACCAGACCCTCTAGAAAAACAATTTCCGGGAATTATTCACCGCTTCAATTCTGTATCGAAAACAAGTGATCAGATGAAGTTGAGGTTTTTGAGGCTCGTTCATAGATCCACATCCTTGATCACCAGACCTGTTCGCACCGCCTCACTGCCAAGCATTCAGCCGCAAAACGCCACAATACCGTTCCAGGATGGAGGCAAGCAACTCATTATCCATCAGCATCATCCCTCCCCAAGCACGGCTGTCACTCGATTCAGAGCCACCACCAGCAGAGCCTTATTTTCCATCTAAGAAATTGGGAAGATTCTTTCGGGCCCCAATTTCATCAACAATGGTAACCAATTTTCACTCTAGCAAAGCCATCCTTCTCATAAGTCACAACACACCTGAACCACTTTCACTTGATAATACCCCCTGGCTTACTCACGTCCCTGATCTTGACCCGACACTGACCTCCGTCCTCAAACACAGAACAAAGACGGCGTCTACACCCAAATTCACATGCTCAAACCGCAACATGCGGACCTCCTAGAAGACTTCTGCAAAGACAAGCTGCCGGCTGATGACATCCTGGTTCCTCCTGAACTGCACCCACTAAATCCTGAGGATGAGGATGATGTGGTGCCGAACCAGCATGCAGCATTCGGTGTGCAAAAAGCTACGCAGAAAGTTCATGAGCCTGCTTGGCGAGATCTGGGTTTGACTGAGCTCATGAATCGGGGACCGGATGCTGGGAGCTCGGGTGCTGGTGTGGCTGGGGCTGTTGGGGGAAATCGAGGGGGCCGTGGTGGTAGTAGGAGGAGGGGGAGGGTTGGCGGGATGGGGAAGGGTTTGCCACGCTGAGGAGGAAGAGCGAAATCATTGTCTGCATTTTATGACATGGCTAGGCGTTGGTGGCAAGGTTGGGTTGATTCATGGTATGGTATGATCATGGACGGATGCTTAGCATATACCCAATGCATTCACGCCTCTACCTTTTTCATCATTAGCTCTCTTAATACCCATAATATCATATCACTGACCGTATATTAACCCACCAGTCCCTTTTGAGAAAGATAAACCGCTGTCCCAACCCAAACGCCATACTGAATGCACAAACAACAAGACTTTAACCCCCTCTAACAACCAGAGATCCTTCAATTAACCAAACCTCAACGTATTACCCCTTCCCAAGCAGCGCTTCCCGCTCCAGTACTTCAGGCTGGAACTTTACCAGAAACACCGTCTTCCCAGGCCACATCTCTCCTTCCTCTTTACCACCAACCGTATGGGCTGTGACTCTGGCAGGGAACATGGCGCCGTCGCAGACACCCTCGATAATCCCGGCAACATACGCGGCGCAGTTGAGCTGGTTCATTTCTCGTGGCACGCTGATGTAGGCATTGACCAACGGCTCGTTGTCAATGATCATGTATTCGTCAGGGGTGTCCGGGTTGGAGCTCTTCTCCAGCCGGTCCGCTTGCCGGCCAAACAGGTGCGTCCAGACATTAATCTTGATGAAGTGTAGCAGGGCGATGATGTTCAGGGGGCGGTTCTGGGAGCGTGCGGGTTCGCGGATGAGGAGTAAGTCCAGCAGTTTGAGGCCGATTGGGTGGCCTTGTTCGTTAAGTCTAGACAAGGAAAATGGTTAGAGAGGAGGAAAGAAAAAGTGAGAAGGCTAACGCACCTCTTCTCAAGCTCCTGTATCCCCGTCGACCGCTTTTGAGCATAGCTCACCATCTCGGAGAAGAGGTAGGCGAAGGCGGCCTGGCTGAGCTCGGCCGTCTTGCTGCGGTTGAGCGGCCGGTGGTAGATGGTCTTACCATTCGACGGATACCGCAGCCCCGCCTGCTCTTTGCTGCTGGCCAGCTTGCTGCCGGGCCCGAGATGGGACATGGTCGGTGGCTGATGCGCGAGCTCGAATGGTGTAGCTGACTGACCGGCTGGCTAGCAATAGGCGTGGGGTTTAGCAAGTTGGATTTACCTGGAGTGCTATCCACCTGCCGAGCTCATCGGGCTGGGAGTTCGGTGCGCTGTCGCGTAAAGAGCCGGCCTCGATCTCCGGGCAGTGGATGCTGCAGCGTAAGGAGCGGTCGGTCTCCTTGAGCCCCGGTGGTTGCGCTGCTTCCGCTCGGCGCACTGTGGGGTAATGCTCTGTGGGTCTACAGATTCTAGCAGGATAACCCACAAGGGGCAGGCGGTGAGCAATGCTCTGTTAGTGCCCCACTACTGATGACGGGCTGCTTATGGACTCACTTCAGCCTTGCAGCTGCCCGGCAGGGACCTGCCCCGCCAAACGGGAAGCTTCCCAGGCAGCTCCAACAGCTCTGCTTCTGCAGCTTTCGACCAACATCCAAACGTCACACAGTAAAGTGTTGTCTGTTGATTTTCAAATAATATCATTTTGTGCTGTAGTCCCTGACGCATTGTACAGTCTCGTGTAATCCTGTCCCTCTCTGCCGCTTAATACTTCATGTCTGTAGTTTTCCATCTTGCTCGGACCTCGAACGTCCAAGCACAGTGTGGAGAAATCTCGTCCTGTATACTGTGTAGCTTGCAGATCTAACCTTTGCAAATTGAGAGCGAGGAAAATGAACACTTAGCTGTACAAATGTGCAACATTTGAACCTTTCTGAGTATTTACACACGACTTGAAATCACTGTGTATGAATTCTGATATAGTTATAGGGGTAATTTGCCTTGGTGCCGTGGTAGGTTGGGAATGATATTCGTCACGTGATACAGTATAGAATGTTATTGCTTACTGTATAAGTAACTCCCCCTTCTGCTCTTTCCTTTTTTGTCTGCTCAACTCACAGCTTCTGTTTTATCTGACTTCCAACCTTCTTCTAGTACTCATCACTGCACCTTTCTTCGACTACTCTTCCCAAGCATAGCCACATCAGCCATGTCTGGAACAACGGCGGGCTATCAGGGCATGGAGGCCGTCAAGAACAAGCAATGGGAGAAAGCCATTCCCCTTCTTGACAAGGCCCTCGAGGATTCAAACTCTCCCGCTTGGCTTCTTGCTCGGTGCCAAGCTCACCAACAGCTCAAGAACTACGAACAAGCTCTTGACGATGCCTGCCTGGCCTACCACTCAGCTGCTGAGCGTGGTTCCGGAAACTCGCGCAAGCAGATGATTGAGGCCCAGTACCGCCGCGCCTTGGTTTACTACAAGATGGGCCGGTATGCTGATGCCGACTGCTGCGCTAAGTGGAGCATGCTCCTGGCAGAAGGTCGTCCGGCGCGTGAGGACGATGGTGTGGAGAAGAACGTTGATGCTAATGGCAACTATACGGTCACTTGGGAGGATGCTGTCGCTGATACGAAGGGTCAGCCTGGCCAAGCCAACGGGTCGAAGGCCGATATTCTTGCTAATGCCACGAATGCCACGGGGTCGAGCAACACGGGTTTTGAGAGTGATTGGAAGCGCGCTTATACGCTGAGGAGCCAAATTCTGGGGATGATGAGGACGACGCCGGAGGATCATCCTGGCCGGAAGGTTACCGTCACCAAGGTTCCTCCAAAGCCGGAGAAGAAGGTTGTCAAGCAGCCCGAGCCTGCCTCCACGATCGAGTTAACGGATGGTGACAATGAGCCGGCCCAGCCGAAGCCTGAGCTCCCGGCTCCGGGAAGTGTTCCGGACGAGAAGATGAAGTCGCGGGTCGATTACTATCAGACTAACCAAACCATCACCATCTCTTTCTTCGTGAAAGATGTGAAGAAGGAGAATCTCCAAGTCAGGATGGCACCGAAACAGGTAGGCCCCCGCCCTAATCATCCTCACGCTCATGAATGTTGCTAACAATACCTCAGATCCAACTCTCTCCCCTTCCCCGTGCCGTCGCCCCCTACGTCCAGCCCGGCGACCGCGAAGCTACATCGACCCTCCTCCTTGCCGGCGAAATCGACCCCTCCGCATCCCGGTGGACCGTAACACCCCGCAAAATTGAGCTCACCCTCCAAAAGGCTACCCCCGGTGTCAAGTGGGCAACCTGGGGCACCGAAGTCATCGGCCCTCAAGACGACGACACCGCCGACTCCTCATCCAGCTCCAGCACCCCGGCCCCAACCGCAACCACAACCGCTGCGGCTCCCGCCCCGGCACCCGCTGCATCCAAGCCCACAGCCCCAGTATACCCAACTAGCAGCCGCAAGGGCCCCAAGGACTGGGATACCGTCAGCAAGGAGATGGGCGGGGACGAGGAGGACGCCAACGACGTGAACTACTTCTTCAAGCAGCTGTACAAGGGGGCGACGCCAGACCAGCGGCGAGCGATGGTGAAGAGCTTTATCGAGAGTAATGGGACCGCGCTGAGTACCGATTGGGAGGATGTCAAAAATCGGAAGGTCGAGACGGTTCCGCCAGAGGGGGTTGAACCTAAGAAGTGGGAGAGTTGAATGATGATGATTGATAGATCGAGTATTGTTTGGGCCGGCTGAGGAAGGACCGGTGATCAAGATCGAAAAGGTTATGGCATGAGGATATTTGCTGTCCCAGGCGTTGGTGGGTTGAATTGGCGCATCAGCGACATGGGATACCTTTGGGCTTTTCTTGAGGCGTACGGAATGCATCTGGCTGAGAACTTGGGCATGCGAACTGATGAGAGTTAAGATATAGTGAATGAAAATCTTGCATGATATGACTGAAATATGTTTCTGACGTGTGTTTTGCTAACAGTGACATTGACATCATAAACCGACTTGGACCGATATAAAGCCCGAAGTTGTCCTTACTCTAGCAACCGCAACTACAAGGGGTATTCTATACATTACTCATCTATTCTCATTAGTCTATACGGTCTTTACAACTCGAACACGGCGAAGAAGACCGACACCGAGGCGTACTATGGTGGTCCTCCCCCCCTCCAATCTCCACAACCCTCATATCCATCCCCACCCGAAACTTCTTCCCCCGCCACGCCACCGTCGTCCCCAATAGTACCGCCCACGTCCAGATGGGTAGCGCCAATGCCTCCCTCCCCAGCCAAGCCAGCACCCACTCGCTAAACGGCCTGGTCCTAATCCCTCCGTGCCGACTCGACCCCAGAGCGAAGGCGGGCGTGTTCTCGTCTGCATCTACGCTCGCCAGCTTCTGAAGCATGCTGCTCACCCAGCGGTCGACCGCCATCCAAGTTGTTACGCCCAAAAGCCAGAAATAAAACATTGCACTCCATGAGCGGGGGATGCCTAGGGTATTGTGGAACCACGGGAGGGTGGTTAATGCGAAGGAGAGGTAAAGACAGCACAGGAAGCACTCGACCCCCGGCTCGACGAGGGTCGCGACCAAGACAGTCCACTTGCGTACGCGCAGCCAGCGCACGCGGCGCGCGATGTAGGATGCGACGGACATGCCTGACACGGGTTGGATGGCGACCTCGCCGAAGACGAGGCCGTGGTTTTTGTGCCCGGGGATGATGCGTGAGCGCCAAATGAGGTCGCCGATGAGATGGTCCTCGCAGATGTAGGAGGAGAAGAAGTCCAGGCCGCGACCGCGGTTGGTGTCGCGTGAGGACAGTAAAGGGTTCTGGGAGGGGTCAGTCATGGCGTCGAGGTGGGATTTGCGGAACATGTTGCTTTTGCCGATTATGCAAGGGGCGAGGCTGACGGTGTTGATGGCGGAGTAGAATTTGGCGTGGCTGGTCGACATGAAGGTTTCTTCGAGGCGGCCGCCGTGGGAGAGGAGGCTAGATTTTGAGAGGGTTGCCACGCCGTTGGGTGACAAGAGGGTCTGGTGTTTGGATGCTTTGGGGACGTCGACATCGAAGACAAGGGGGAGCTGGTGGACGAACTTGTAGGGTGTCGTGCGAGCTCCGTCCGGGCCGTAGCCGCACAGCTTGTCGACCATCCTGCCGGCGGAGTTTGTCCCGACCCAGACGTTGCAGTCTACGATCCAAATGATGTCGCCCTTGGCCTCGCGGTATGCGCGGCTCATGTTCCGGATCTTGGGGTTCGGGCCCAAGTTGTAGACGTGACCCTGTGCGCCGTGCAGCAGAGGGTCATCATCTTCGACTAGGACTTTGGCATCGAACTCGGGGAACTCGACAACGAGCCGCTGGAGAAGAGGGTAGGCCGGATCGTCCTTCGACGCAACGCAGAAGTAGATGGTCAATTTGCTCTTCGGGTAGGTCAGTCGGAAGGTGGACGCCAGGCACTCGTAGAGGCCGGCTTCGACGCCCTTGACGGGCCGAATGATGGTGATGTGAGGGACTTCATCCTTCGGCAGGGACGGCGAGACGGGCTTCGGGAGTGGCCGAGAGTTGTGTCGGAAGCTGGAAGTCGCGCGTGTCAGTCTTATTGTGTCGGGCGCATAACGTACAGGAACGCGCGACATACAGCTTGTAGATGCCAATGCCCTGGACGAGGAAGACGGCGCAGGTCCAGACAAAGCTGGCCAAGGCTGCGCCATGGATTAGCGTTGACATTGGACCATCGCTGACGGTCATCGCAAGGAGGACGGAGAGAGGGTAGGGCGAGATGGAGGATCAAGACTCAAGAGCAGGATTGGATGCGTGGTGCGACGGAAGGACCGGCGACACAACAAAATATTATAGACGCCTTGTTCGTTGTCAGCGACCGGCGACTGCGGTTCCATGTGGGGCGCCAGCGTGAGAGCTCTCCAATCGACGGCAGCAGCTGCAAAAAGCAAAAAAGCAAAGCCTGATGAATCCGAAGACGCCGAGCAGCTCACCAAAGATGCTGCATCGCGCGTTCGGGACACGGAGCTTGAATCCACGGTCTCGGATTGTCTCCAGATTCAGCCTTGTGTTTCCGCCGAGTTGGATCTCGCAGCGAGCTTTTCGGAGTCCACAGCGTGCCGATTGATGGGCATTGCACGGCCTTGGCAGATATTTTGACTGCAGTCACACTTGCATGCTTATTGTTCCTGGGCGTCTTCGCTGGCCGCTGGCACTGTTCTGTTACACGATGAGCCTCTGACCCCTGTCAGGGGGCCCTGCCCCAGGGCCATTGGCCTGTCGTGGCAGCGGGCTTGCCAAGGCTACGTTTAGGCTTCAGCTGCGGGATTTGCCGCGGTTTCGAGTCGACGCGAATTGGCCCCAGCTCCCGACGTCTCCGCCCAATCCCTCTGTGGCGGCACATAATTGGTGCCTCGGATCCAAGGCATTTGTTCAGAATTTTTTTCTGCCGCAAAAACCTCCAGCTGGTCCCCCCCCCCCTGTCTGCTTGGCCAGCTCATCCGGCTTCTACATCATGGCAACCCACAAACTCAAAGCGACCGTAAGGTTTGCCAAATGTGAGTCGAGTCCAGCAACAACTCTTTTTTTCGACTTATTCCCCAGCTCTGGCGACCATCTCCGGTGCGCTGGATGACCATTCTCAGCCGTGCTTCTACTTTTCGGTAGGTCTCCTGATATTCCCGCACACGCGAATCCTTATTTCCCATTCCCCTCTCTGCCCCTCCAATATCCCATCCTGCCCCTCAATTGCGATGATGACAGATTACTGTGGTGCTTAGAGCAATGTACTTTACTGTACGCTCGATGAATGCCCAAAAATATAGACTACAACGGTATCTGAGCAATTATTTGACCAATCACATCTTCTTGATTGAGACCAGCTTATCTGGAAGATCTCGCTGACATTGGCAAAGACAGGCCGACATGAAGGATTGGAGATATGGCTGAAGCAACCACAGCCAACGGCACATTATCTGGCAAAGATGCCACCAAGTCCAGCAGGACAGTGTCGTCGGGAGGCGCCCAGGGGCCCAATGGCGCTGGCGACTTGAGCCTGCTCACTGCTCCGCCAAAGCTGCCCCTGGCGAAGATCTACGCCCTCCCGATCCCTATTCGCACTTTTCCTCTCCCTACCTTCTACCCTAACAATCCTATCTCCCTCATCCACTTAGTCATCGCCTGGCTCGGCCAGATCTTCTGGCCGCCAGCCCCTGAACCGTCAGTCGTGCATATCGGCTTCTGGGATCCGGATACGAGATCGGTTCACATCGTTGACCCCGTCTCTATCCGTGCACTGTGGGAGCAGGGCTTCTTTGGAAAGGGAAGCCTGAGCCGAAGTGAACCAAATTGGCTGAAGAGGGAGCTGGCAAGACGCGGCTCGCTCGACGGGAAGACTGTTAGCGAAGCGCGCACTGAGCAACGCCGTGAAGAGCGCCGCCAAGCCAAATGGGAGAGAGCAAAGGCGGAGCTTGAAGCTATCGAGCGGCAACGGCTTGCTGAAGCGGCTGTGCAAGCAGCGGCAAAGGACTCGCTAAAGATCAGCAAGTCGTCTCTAAGTCGCCGGCATAGTTTGGAGAAGCCGTCGGCCGCCCCGGAGTTTGCTGAGAAGGTAACCCTTGGGCTGCCGTCGGTGAATGGTACGGTACATATGGAGGCAGCTGCATCGCGCAGCGACGCTCCTAAGCCTCATGTTGCAGCTTCAGCAACCCGGGAGTTGAAGGCTCCTGTGGGCCCTGCCGAGCTGCTCGCCCTTCCCAATTCTTTAGCCGAACTTCGACGAAAGGCTTCTGAGAAAGTTGAGAAACCTTGTGTCTGGAAAGCGCCGGTCGGCCCGCAAGAGTTGCTGGCCTTGCCCAACTCGGCTGCTGACCTAGAAGCTTTCTCGCGACCCGCTCGTTCAGAGGTTGGCGTTTCACCAAAAGTGCCAGCAAAGGGTGTCATCGGCAAGGGTGATGGTAGTCTTGAGGAACCTACACCTAATGGTGTGGCCAAGGGAATATCTACACCGACTTCGTCATCTAATGACTCTATGGATACCTCGGCGCCTGCGGGAGAGGCCGCTTCCCCAAAGCGCCGCAAGAGCGTCAGGTTTTCGCCTACCGTCGAGTCAACCACCTTCCTCGACTCTGACCCTCCAAGTCCCAACCATTCCTTGAGGAAAACTGGTCTCGGCAAGAAGGAGCCCATGGGAACCCCTCATGTCGAGGCTCCCTCCGAACCTACCCGCAAGGCCGACTCTAGGAGTCAAGATTCCCCCGCAACCCCCTCAAAAATCGAAAATAAGGAGCACTTCCAGCTCTCCCCCGAAGAAGCCTTCTTCCTAGTCTTCTCCCTCGGCGCCCTGTCCGTCGTCGACCGCACCACCGGCCAACCCATCCCCGCTAAGCAACTTCTCACGCTCTTCTGCTCACACTCCTACTTCCCCCCTCGCCCAGCCGACTCCTCCCTCGCCCCCAACGACCCTTTCCTCATCCACTACGCCGTCTATCACCATTTCCGCTCCCTCGGTTGGGTCCCCCGCCACGGCATCAAGTTCGGCGTCGACTGGCTGATTTACCAGCGCGGGCCGGTCTTTGACCACAGCGAATTTGGGGTGATTGTCATGCCTTCTTACTCGGATCCACAGTGGGAGAGGCATGAACATGAGGAGACGAAGCGAACGTGGGCATGGCTGATGGGTGTTAACCGGGTGTTATCGCATGTGTTAAAGAGTTTGGTGCTGGTGTATGTGGATGTGCCGGCGCCGCCTGTGTTTGAGCAGGCCATGCGCAGCGGCGGTATTTCCGAGGCGCTGAAGAAGTACTCCATTCGGGAGGTCATGGTCAGGCGGTTTTCGGTGAATAGGAATCGATAATTTGTTTCATGAAGAAGTTTGTGGAGAATGGAAACGGAATGGATGGGCATTACGGAAATGGATGGATGGATGGCATGGCGTTAGCGTTTGGGTTTGTGTTTGTATTTGGTTGGACATGGCAAAGTTGGCATGATGGTTCTTAATGTGTGCTCAAAACAGGTGATATCCTTCACAACTAGTCTGACGGTTACTATCTATAACCGCCCCCAAATTCCAACCATCTCTCACAGAATCTTGCGTGTAAAGTATGCAAAGCTGCTTAATTCTGCCCGCCTGCCTGCGCCAACCACAGCTCCCGGAACCGCGAACCTTCCTGCTCCACCAACTCTCTTGGCCTGCCCGTCTCAACAATCCCCCCCTTATCCATCACCACCACCCGATCAAACCACCTCATCACCATCCCCAACCGGTGACTCACCATCACTACTGTCCATCCTTTAAATTCCTCTGCGATCACCCGCGCCATGGTCTCTTCCGTCTCCCTGTCCACACTAGAACTGACCTCGTCCAGGAGCAGCACACCGCCATCTCCACCATTGTCGGAGTCGTTCCCTGTCTCCCGGGCCCGCACCCTCCTCCGGACGATCGCCCTTGCCAGACTGAAGAGCTGTTTCTGACCCTGTGAAAAGGTATCTGTAGCTAATTGCGCGTCAAGCCCGCCGCGGGAGGAGATGAAATCCCAGAGTGTGACGCGCTGCAGGGCGGCGATGCAGTCTTCGCGTGTGGCGAGGTAGTCGGGGTCGAGGTTGGTTTCGATTGTTGTGGCCGTTACGGCCTTTTTGGAACTTGATTCTGATCCTGACGAGGGGGGAGGAGAAGAGGTGGAGGTTGTGGAAGGGAGGAAGACGGGTTCTTGAGGGATAGCGATGAGCCGGTCTCGGAGGAGGGATCGGGGAATACGGGTTAAAGGGAGGGAGTCGAGTGTTAAGGTGGAGGTGTTGGTGTCAGTGGGGTCGAGCAGGCGGAGGAGGAGGAGGAGGAGGGAGGATTTCCCGCTGTTGTTTGGAAGGAGGGCTTTAGTAAGGGTATTATCTGGTATGGGGAAACGGGGGAAGGGGGACATACCTGCCGCTGCGGCCACAGATGGCTACCTTCTCGCCGGGGGAGATATGAAGGTTGATGTCGTTCAGGGCGAGGTGGATCTTTTCATCTTCTTCTTGATCGGCGGCGCTGGGGACGTCAGCAGAGAAAGTTGTGGGTGTTCGGGATTTGAAGGTTGAGCACAACACATACCCATACGAAGCCGAAACCCCCTTGATCTCAATCTCCCCCTTCCTCGGCCACTCCTTAGGCGGCACCAAATCCTCGCCCGGCCTATTCTCCGACTCAACCTTCTCACCGAACGACTTCAACCGGCTGACCGCGCCAATCGATGTCTCGAGTTGGGTGTAAAACCGGATGATTGCAGTTAGGTTATCCCCGAAGACCATCAAAGTAACCAAACCGGCGCCGGCAAGCGCCTGGTTCGAGCGGAGCTGTGTAGCGAGCACCACCACCGCTACGGCAAGAAGAGCGACAATCATCTCGAGCGTGAATGCCAGCCAGCGCTGGATCATAGCGAGAAGGTAGGCAGGCCTTTGAGAGGTGTCCAGGAGCTTGCTATTCTTCGCGATGCTGTCTTGAATCCAGCCGAAGGCACGGAAGGTGTCGATGCCCTTGAGGGTGTCGATGAAGTGGGAGCTAGGCTCGGTCAGCGGCTGAATAACTGAATTTTCGTGGTTCGAAGGGAAGGGAAGGTACTCACTAAAGCGGACTCTTCGCCTCCAGATCAAGCAAGCGCATCTGCCGGGACGTGCGGAGGTAGAACTTCTGCAGCACATAGAGCACCGCACATAAGAAAGGGTACGTAATGACGAGGTAGGGTGATGTAGCTGCGATAACGGCCGCCATACCAATCACACCCCACGCGTCAAGCACCAGGTTCACAAACGCATTCGGCAGCTGGATATCCACGAGCGTCATGTCCTGAGAGAAGAGATTAACGACAGCACCGGTATCGGTAGTCGCAAAAAACTTCAGCGGGGCATTGATGACAGTCGCCAGCGCCTCTTGATGCAGCTTTGCGCCAGAAATAGAAACCATCATGATCATCATGATCATGGCGACCACGAGGAGGGTGAAGATGGCACACATCTGGAAAAGAGCATACAATCCATTCCAGAAAGCGTTAGAGTGGCTTTGCTTAGGAGACTGGACATCTTCGGACCAGAACTTGAGCCAGATGGTCGAGAAGTTGAGGAAGAAACCCCATGATACGCCGCCGACGATGAAGGTCACTTTCGACAGCAAGCCGATGCGGGCAAAGTAATGTCGATAAACGGCCCAGTCGCCGGTCATCCGCGCCCGAGCCTCGGCTTCGGACATGACAGGCAGCTGCGTCTTTGCGGGCAGTACCCGAGCAGAACCGTCACTCGGTGCAACGTCCTCCTTGGGAGTAGCCCAGCTGCCTTCTGAGTTCGACTCCGACGAGTCCAAGACTCCGAGCGTTGAGACATACTTGTCGTTGGCCATCAATTCTTGGAATGTGCCCTGCTCAAGCAGCGTGCCATCTTGCCCAAGCACGATGATATGGTCCGCAGAGGGCAGGTGGTGCACTGAGTGAGTGCAGAGCACAGCAGTGGCATTCCGTTTCCGAATCAATCCACTAGGCGAGAAGACGCGCAGAAAGACCTGCTTCTCCGTGTCGGCGTCAAGCCCGCTAAGAATATCATCGAATATGTAGAAGTCAGTGTCGAGGTAGAGGGCCCTTGCTATCGCAACGCGCTGCTTCTGGCCTCCACTCAGCGTGATCCCGCTGCTGCCGATCTTTGTCTGATCGCCCTGGGGTAGCAGAGCGAGATCGGGCTTTAACATCGTAGCTTCGATCACCTCGTCGTAGCGTTCTCGGTCGAAGAGCCGGAAACCGATGATGTTCTCGCGGATTGTCTCATTGCACAGGTAAGGGTTTTGATCGCAGTAGCCGATTTTGCTAGATAAGCTCGGCCCCAACATGGAGACATGGCCGTGTGCCGCTGGCACCTCACCGAGAAGCGCCTTGCAGAGTGTTGTCTTGCCGGAAGCCACGGGCCCGATGACGATGGTGAGACGTGAAGCGGGGATCTCGAAATTGATGTCCTTGAGAACCGGTCGCTCCGGATCCCATCCAAACGCTCCGCCACGGACTATCAATCTGGCAGAGCTGGCGGAGGGAGAGCCCTCGTCAACAGATTTTTCTGTGTCTGCGGGGGCTGTCACAGTGGTCTGCCCGCGAACCGTTTGCTCACGGTAATCGTGACGAGCGTCTTGCTCGAGGAAAGCCTGGATGCGATTCAAGCAAGTAAACGTCCCAACCAGCATTGGGAACCATTGGAAGATAAGCCCCAGAGGTTCCGTAAGTAACGTGATGTAAGAAAGAGACGTGAAGATGGTCGTGACATCCAACTTCCTGGAAGCAAACGCAAAGGTAACCGGCGGAGACAAAAAGCCCGGCATGAGGCCAATGAAAGCGGCAAAAACCATCAGCTGCCGGTATCGAGCGCTTGCCTTGAGTTCGTCAACCCTCAGGGCTTGAATGGACTGCTCAATGGGACGGGAGAGACCAGAAATTTTCAGGTGCTTCATCTGCCCGATGATGGTCGAAGTCAGGCCAACCCGCCTCTGGATTTTCTCCATCCAGATCTTTTGTCTGGGGCCAGCAAACTTGGCCTGAATGGCAGTCCAAAGAAAGCAGGCGGTGACGACGATGAGCGTAGCAACAAAAGATGGACCAATTTGTCGGGACAGGAGCCAGCAAGCCAGGGCAACCTGGATGATATTGGCCCAGAACTCGTGGATAGGATGGAAGCCTAGGAGGATGCGGTCAATGTCTGTGCTCATGAGCGTAAGGGCGGCCGAGTCATCAGAAGCAGTAATTTTGAGTTCCGTTGTCTTCATGTAGATAGCTTTCGCCATGAGACCTCGTGCCTTATACAGGACGCGTTCCTGGAAATACCAATAGAAGGCGTTGGCTACCGCGATGCCGACATAGACAAGGATGGTTGCTCCGATCAGCCCGTAACCGATGTTGTCTGGCGAGACCTCGTCCTTCTTGCCCAGATGTTTGAGCAGAGACTCGATGATGAATGGCTGGCAGAAGCGAAAAGCCCCGAGTGCGACCCTAGGTACCACAGGGAGGATGAGTGGAACGGCCAGGGCTTTTGCAAGGGCCACGGCAAGTCCATGCTTCTTGCCCTTGAACGTGGAAACGTCGAGATGATGCGAAAGCCGAGCATGAAGACTCTCGGCAGCCATGTCATTGTCCAGGGGGTAAAGATCGTTGACTTCCAGCACTTTGCGGTAGCCCTTCAAGAAGAGTGCATTCAACCAGAGGTAGGCACCAAGGCCATACAAGCCGGTTGTCTCCTCTGGGCTGTGTTCTTTGACATCCCACTGGATAATCCACTTCGATTTGGACCGGGCCTCCAGCAAGATCATCAAGGCTTTGATCACGACGCCGCATGTGGACAGTCGAGAGAAGGCCAACTCCTTGCTGTTTGTTGAAGCAAGCCAGAACGTGCGGACTTGAGCGATGTCGAATAGGATTGTGACGAAAAGATATCCACTGAGGAGGGTTGAGGGCCGAGGAGAGCGCGAGTGCTCCAGAAAGGATAGCACAAGCATACAGAGCGCCGAAGCCAGACTCAGGGTGTCCGAAGAAACGAAGAGAGCCCTGAATCTCTGAGCGTTGATGCTGCTTAGAAGGAGCAGCGAGAACTGGAGAGCGGCATAGACAACGACGGTCGCCTAGAATGATCGGAATCATCTAACATTAGAGCAGGAAGATGGTAATGATACAGCACTCGTCGTCCGATTAGAGGCCACTTACAACTTTAGCTACTTGGAGTACTCGTCCCCCCACAATGACCGGCCTACGCAGCAGATAGACCACACGACACAGAGCTGCCGCGATGAGAAGAGAGGCCGGGATCAAGCTGAAGAAGATCTTCTCGAACTTGATGGTGAAGTCGAAGTCATCACGGCAGCCCTGGACAACGGGACCGAACTTCTCGTCGTCAGGACATCCTGCGAAGTCCATGACTGGAGCCCTCGATTCCTCACAAACCAGCCGTTATCCCAGGCAAAAGCGACTCAGTTCGATCGACAGACCAATTCCAATCAAGACAAATCGACAGTAAAGGTGCCCTCAAATCAGAGGGCTCTACTCAGGAGCCTAGAGATTGAAGAGGAAGAAGAAGTAAGGTCCCAAGGCAACCTGGGCCAGGAGGTATCCCGGGCATCATGGCTGTTGTAGACGATCGTTATGTATCCGACAGCGGTGAACCGGGAACTGTTTTCCAGTTGCAAGTTGCAACCTGCACGGAGGAGTGTTCCTGTTGATGTTTGCTGTCTGCGGCCCGAAGCTCGCCCTTTGGCTGACACCCTCCTTGGACCCTTTTTTTGGGACCTATCAGAACCCGGGAACTTGGCTCGATTGTGGAGATGCTACCATCATACCATGCCAAACAGGAAGGTGCAAAAGCAGGCAGCACGAACTTGTTGGTCACTTTAGCCGTCCTTGGCAACGCATTACGTTTCGTGCTGCTGCGGTTGAGGAAACTATTTGACGCGTAGCTAAAATTCTTTGGCGCTTATGTTCGTCTTCGCTGATGATAAAACCCACTGTAGGGTACGCTGCAGTATCGTAGAGGGTTGCAGGTTGCACAGTTGGCCTGTCCTGATGACGCGTCGCGGTCACGTTGTCGTCAAGAAGTCAGTGATCGTGACGATAATATATATATATATCTTGGTTCAGTCGTGGCGCGACAGTGGTTTACGGGGCTTGGCTAAACATCTCTCCGAGCTTATAGGAAAGATCCTCACGAAGTAGCATTCTCCGGCGCTACCTCTTGGAATATGTAGTAGGGTGATGAGTTGGGCAATGTCGAAGACAGACTTACATGCAACTATCAGAGTATAGCCCCGATATAATGATAACCCTGTCATGGCGATTATTAGCACTGCGGATGTGACTCTCTGCACATAAAACCCGACTGTCGTTGCATCCTCCAAACTTCAGATCCCCCAGAAAGCCGTTTTCTTATCATCCAAGAAGCGCTTCATGATATCGTCTGGGCATTCCCTTCCCACGGGCAGCTACGCATGACACAGACTGCAGTCCCGGACCATCGACGTTGCTGGCATCCGGTCAGCTCACGGAATTCCGTGCATTCCATGAAGATGCAGATCAAACACCATGGGCGATAAACAAACAATTGAGCCAAAACAGCTCTGTGTCCGGGTTTTAGGGCCTGCATTGCTTTGAAAGCGACCTCTTATATGCGTCCTTGCGCTTTCGCAACACGTGGAAGCGGAAGTTAGGGTTGTGGACGGTCGACTAAGCAGCAGTGCGGATCCGGAAGGGTCGTGGACCCCCACGCGTCCCGGAGAAATAAGCCCCAAAATCTTCAGGCGCATATCAGCTCATGCATGCAAGTCATACTTCGAAGCCTTGCGCACCGCAGATGCAAATGACTGTCTTTCATTCTCGAAAATATTACGAAAACCTAGACGAGTAAAAAAAAAAAAAGTCTATTCGGAGAACAAGGCAGCGAGGCCGCGCCGAATGAGAATATTGAAAGCGTTGGAAGTTTGTGGGCTCGCTGCTCTTCCCCTCCCAATCCTCACGGGGGCAGGAAGGTTAGATCAGAATAAATGGTTGGCTCTTGGGTGGGGTGTGAAAATGAGCGTGGGGGGCTGCCCCGCTTCAGCCTGGCCGCCACCACGCTGCCGCGCACTCAAAAGCGCCCACCCACTTCCAAGTCGTTCTCCCCCCCCCCCCTCCCCCCTACTAAAAGTACCCAGCAGCAGTTCAGTGGGTGAGTTTACAGGCGGGTGAGTTTGGGTTTTGAGGGGTTTCTCCATGGGAAGCTCAACTGCCCCCCCGCACTCGCTTTGCGCTTCTTCCATCTCCTCTTCTTCCCTCTTCTTCCAACTCTAATCATGGCCCCGGGACTCGAAGACGATCTTTTTTCGAGTCAATTGTCCGGTCCATTAACATTTTGGGGGGGTTGGCGCCAAATCCAATCGCCAGATAGATGTGCTTCTCGACCTGCTGATGATCCTTGATCCACGCTTCGCGTCGCGACAGCCCCTCCCCTAACCTGTGACAGCATCCCCAGCTCTGCTTCCCAACTCCCGGTCCCCGTCCCCCATCCTGGCTGATGTACCCAATTTCTGGGCGATTTGGATGTTTGGTTGTGACTCGCATAGCTCTCCGATTCGCTCAGCGTCTTGTCTTATTCCATCCGAGCAGAGCGGCTCATAAACACAAATCCGCTCAGCAAGGGCAATTAAAATAATATCAATAATCGCTCGACGCCATGGACACCCAGCAAGCCGCGCCGGCCCTGCAACAGCCGCCACCGCAGTCGCAAAACAACACTGCTGCGTCTGCGGCCGTGTCTAGCTCCTACAAGCGCGCCAGCCGCAAGGGCGCCCCACGACGCTTTGCTTGCGACTACCCAGGCTGCGACAAGATATACTCAAGGGCCGAACATCTCCAGAGACATCAGCTCAACCGTGCGATCACCCGTGCCCCCCTCATGTCCGCGAGTCCTGCTGGGCTGACTGTTCCCCAGATGCCCCCAAGGAGATCTACCGTTGCGACTTTGCTGGGGTAAGGCTTTCCGGCCAGCCTTGTTATCCATAGTCGAAGCAGCGTGAGACAACTGACGTTTTCTGTCCCCTTAACTTCTCGCAACACGACAGTGCGAACAAAAGTTTGTGCGCGCCGACCTCCTAGCTCGGCATAGGAAAAGGCATTCTGCCTCATATGTTCCCCGGAACCGACCCCCTAGCTTCACCGCTCCAGCCGAGCCCACGACTGCCTCGACAATCCCTTCAGCAACAACCCGTGGAGACACTCGTCCAGCGCTTCCCCGTGTGCCTCACGATGCGGCAATCCTCCTCGCCCCCGATCCTCCCCCCGCAACCTCCTGCCCCGTCATTACCAGCTCCCGCCCCGCCCAGAATGCAGTCTACTTGGGCTACACAGCAGCTGCCGGACTTAGGTCCCTGCAACATTATTCGCCCAAAACCAGGTTACTATCCTCGGGAGGACCCGCAACCTCCAGGTCCCCCAGCCCCGGTCCCGTTCGCAGCTCCTGCTCCTCAGTTCCAGACGGATGATCAAAACTTTGCGATGTGGCTGCTCGATCCCGGCGCGCCATATACCGAGTTCAGCGTGTCCTCAGTGCCCTTCGCTGATGGAGGGTTAGAGTCAGCGTTCAACAATAACATTCAGTATGACTACGAGTCATTGACAAGCGGCCGTTCTCAGCTTGAGACCCCGAGGGCTTTTGGTGAGGGCGAAGAACTCCTTTCCGAGACCAGGCGCCGGCAAATACTCCATTATTACCGGCAGTTTCTGGACAAGAATCCCAAGCTTAAGCCTCTTGTTGCCAATATTCATGACGATGGCGGGGATATTCCCGTGCTGAGTGTGGACATGATGCGGGATTGTCTGCAGGAGTTCTGGGATCGAGTGTCGCCCCGGCTTCCCATCGTCCACCAGCCGACGTTCGACTGTAACCGTTGTTCCATCTTCCTCGTCATGGTCATGGTGGCCCTGGGAGCCGTATCATTACGGACAAGAGACATGACCGGGAATTTGGGCGACTACGGAGGCTTTGCCGATGTAATCGTCTGGGGTGCCAGGGGCGAGATCCTAGGCTCGGAGGAGGCTACTCCGCCAGTCTCGCTCTGGGTTTCGCAATCATTACTGCTGCTGGAATTCTACGAAAAGATGTATTCATCTCGACGGCTACATGAGCGAGCACACATCTATCATGGTGTTGCGCTCAACCTGCTCCGGCGTGGAAACCCGCTAATTGGCCGCGCTGGAAGCGAGTCCCCTCCCGAGATGCCATCATCTGATGCGTATGCTTGGTGGTGCCGTTGGGCTAACACAGAGTCTATGCACCGTGTCGTCTTTGCAGCATTCATGATGGATATCATCCATGCTGCCATGTTCGGACACGCAGCAGACATGGCTCCTCACGAGATCCGCCTGCCGCTCCCCTGCGATGATAATCTCTGGACAGCATCGAATCCCGATACAGTCCGCCAGCTTGACCACAATCTTCGGATGTATGGTATCAAGCAGGTGTTCTTCCTCGATGGGCTGAAACGCGCTTTCCATGGAAAGGAGGTCAAGACGCACACCTTTGGCCGCATGATTCTGATGTCGGGCCTCTTGAGCGTGGGTTGGCACCTTACGCGAAGGGAAGCCTATCTGAAGGGGCTAGACTTATCTGCGCCGTCGGCTGAAACGCAAGAGACATGGAGGAAAACGCTGCTAAACGCGTTCGATGAGTGGAAGCAGAGTTTTGACGCCGCCCAAGGAACTGCTGTGAGCCCCAGCCTCGCGACAGTTTCCCTCCAAATCCCTGGCGCCAATGGCCCGGTACGCAGCGCATCTGTGCTCTATCACTTAGCACATCTCAGCCTGAATGTCGATATCATCGACTGCCAGGTCTACGCCGGGGCAAGGCGGTTGCTGGGGCGGAAGGTGTCGACCCGCGATTATGCCAATGTCGTTGCGCGGATGAAGAGCTGGGCAACCCTGCCGTCTACTCGCCATGCCATCCTACACGCCTTCAAACTCTTGCACCGCGTGCTCGTCGATCCCAGATGGAGCATCCCTGACGACAGCGACCGGATAAGCGCCACAGGGAATATGACCCTCCCTCCCATCAACGGAACCCTATACTCCTGCCGCAATGAGCTGGATCCTCATCGCCCCTGGATCATGTACTACGCCGCGCTGGCGATCTGGTCGTTTGTGAGAGCATTGAACCACAAGGAGTCGAGTCAGGATCCGGTCGAGCAGCAGCAGGTCCCTCCAGGCTTCCCGCAGAGTAAAGCTCCTCCACCTCCCGTTGATCACCGCCGTGTTGCGGTGTATCTCGCCGGCGTGTCGAATCTCCCTGAGCTGACAGAGAGTGCGGCAACGGAGCTTAGAGACGGATTGCCCGATCTGTTGGACGCTCTTCGGTCCTTCTTTTGGGAGGCGCACTCGGAACTGTTGCAGGAGGCACAGGAGCGGTTGAGGGTGTGTAAGGAGATTTTGGCGACTACTACGTGAAGGGTTCTACCTCGTCGTTGTGCAATCTTCCGGAGAAGCGAGACTTTTTTTTTAATTTTTTTTTTTCATATATCACATACGTACCAGGATCGACAGCATTGTTCGGAGGTCATCTGATGGCGGTGTTTCTCGCAACAAGACTCGTGGTGCATTCAAAACGTGCCGGGGAATGAGAGAACTGCAGTGGGTATTTAAGGGAGTTAAGCCAACGACTATCCCCTTGATATTGCTAATCTTCTCACCTAATTAATAGTGTTTCCCACCTTTACACTTCCTCTCCAACTTGAAGTAACCCTTCCACAACTTGTGGAACTTGCACTGGGGATCCCACCTTTCTGCCACTTTCCTGAGCTTGGAGTAGTTCTCCCGCCCATACCCCCTGTACACATCCTGCGGCTTTGCCGCGTAGTTCATGTACACCCACCCGGTCGGATGTTTCGCCCTCCACGCCCGGGCAATCGCATCAACCTTGTCGATGACTTCCTTTGTCTGCCTCTCGACAAAATCGTCCAAAGACGGGTGGCTCCATGCAGCCGTTAGCTCCATGAGGATCAAGTCGCCGTCTTTGTGATTCAAGGGCAAGGCATTGCCCCCGTTGACCTCCATGGCCTTCATCGTTCTTCTGGTAATCGGCTGCATCACGAAGTGAGGAGATAAAGTCGAGCCAACGGCAGTGGCAGCTTCGAACAACCTTTCGACATGCTCCTTGAACAACGGCACCAGTTCCAACAGCAGATCCGCGTTCGCCGTCATCTTCATGGTATATGTCCACGACGCCCAGCGCTGGCCCAGAGGTGTCTCGATCTCGCGCGTCAGCTGTGACATGTTGCTGAACCGCGTGTACTCGAACAGCAACGGCAGCTGTGGATCCCAGAACGGCTCAAACACCTTCGGCGGTTTGGTCGTGTCGTTATGCGTGACATGAAACTCATCCGACAGCGCAAGCCATCCCCCCAGCGTCGCCTCGTACAAAATCACAAAATACGTATGCGCATCAGGATCCTTCCCGATCTCTCTGGCAACCTGATGGAACCGTTCTACCAGCGTCCTGTTGGCCTCATTCGCCAAGTACATCCTCTTACTCGCCCACATCCTACCAAATCCAAACGCCTCCAACTCAAACCTCGTCACGATGCCAAACTCGGACCCCCCACCCCCCCGCAAAGCCCAGTACAGATCGTTGTTCTCCCGCCGCGACGCCCTCACTACCTTCCCTGATGCTGTCACGACCTCGTATGTCCTTACCCCGTCACAAGCAAACCCCCGACGACCGCTGAAATATCCGATCCCCCCGCCTAGAAGCAAACCTTCTACCCCAACCGACCATACCCGGCCCCCGAGCACCGCCAGGCCATGCGGGTCGAGCCGCTCCGCAACATCGACCCACCTGTTTCCTGGTCCAACCCATACGCTCTGCTGGTCGGGAGAGACATTTACTTCGTTCAACCTCGACAAATCGATGGTTATGCCTTCAGGACCAATACTTGAACCCCCGCCGAAGGCGGTATGTCCGCCGGATTTGACCGTGAAGGGTGTGTTGCGTGTGGTCAGGATGCGTACGGCATGAGCGAGGTCGGTCGCCGTAGATGGCGTCAGAAAACAGGCTGGGTGGAGATCGGATTGGCGCAGGGACCAGTAACTTAGGATGAGGGAGGTGTAGGTTGCCGAGGTGGGGAAATGAGTTGAGTAGGGGAGGATGAAGGCGAGGGATTTGCACTAATTTAAGGGGTGGTTAGTGAGATGGGTAAGGAGGGGGAAAGAAGGGCGAAGGGAAGGGGGGAGGGGGGGGGGGGCGGAGGGGTGGGCTGGCTTACTGTGTCTTCAGCGGGGCTGTAGCTGGTGGTGAGAATGGGGGTTAGAGAAGCTAGGGTGAGTAGGAGAGTTTTATGTAGGCGGGTCATTGTTCTGTTGATGATCGTTGGACTGGCTGGGCAACGTTGGTGGGATGCTGAACGTCACCAACCAGCTCGAGGTTGCACGAAAACATATCCGACAGATCTTGGAGCAGATAGTGCACCGTTGGGATTATGTTGTTTTATAACCATTGAAACCCTCCATGTGTAGGTAAGCAGGCTCTTCTGCCTTCCCTTCCATTCCTCGCCCAGTCATGGCTGTCTCTGTAAGAAGTTCCTTACATGCAAGGAAATCCATATCAAGTCATCTGTCACCGCCACCCATGGTGATCAATACTTCCCTTTTTTGGAATATCCCAAAACTTTGGGACAGTCACAACACACAAAACTAGCAAGTCTTCGGTCCAGGTGAGACATCAATCTGACAAACATTCTATTTTGTTTTTTTCCTTTTACATAACGACCCACAGTGAAGCACAAGCCTGAAGCAAGGGCTTCACTAACACACACACACACACACACACACACACACATACACACACACGTTTCTAGACACCAAGTTTGTAATCTCAAATCCTGGTTAAAGCTGATGTCTTCCCCGACCAGTGCCGCCAACCTGCATCTTGGCTCTACAACATCGCGGCCAGAAACCAGGTTCCGCGTTCACGATCCGGGATACCCGCCCACCCAGCCGCTTGAAATATATAGATAACTGAGCTCTCCTGGAATATCGGAGATGCGAAATTGCCTTGTGACGAGATTACTTGCGGCAGGCTACTGCGGTTAATTGGCTGGCTGGGCTGCATGCAGATCATCTGCAAGGTGTTTGCTGCCGGAGCAGAGCATTCCGTTTCGCCAGAGCTGAACTCCTACATGCATCCATTAGCGCTGAAGCCAATGTGCCTCGGTATACGGATGACTGCTGTGTGACAACCGTCTGTGTGTGCGTGTAGCCGCCGTAAGCGGGGAGTGAATCACTTATGTATGGCACGAAATGGCTGACGGGATTCAGGCAAGTCTCTTGCTTCACGATTCTAACACAGCCAAGAACTCCCAGTTTTACTCAGTATAAATCGAAAACTGGTTTTTGTTTCGTGGTATAGCTGTTCATGTTTCGTAGCCAGTTGAAACCAATATCAGTATCTAGAAGTTACTTATGTGTTGTTGTTCAGTTGACAAACAACAAGGCAGGACTTAAAAACTACCAACTTGTGAGATTGTGAGTATGTGTACCCTTCGGACAACCTACCGATGTACCACTCACTACTTGATACTTTATTGTATTTTATATTGGTCTAAAATGGGCTTCCCAGTGCTTTATTAAGCATAGCTCAGTACACAGTACACTGGCAATTAAAGAACAAGAACAATCGGTCAGGTACTTTGCCCGAACGAAGGGGCAGCTGTAAGTCTTCAATAGATCATCATTTTGCTGTCGAATACGATTTGACCATCTGTAGATTGAGCCCACCATATACTCATTATGTGTGCACGTTCGTCGCAGTCGGACGGCTTTTCAATGATGGACTGTGCAGGGGCAATAATTTCGTTGCCTTGGCAACAACAGTGTGGAATCCACCTAACAGCGTGCTCATCGTGAACAATGGATCATGGCTGAGAATCGACCCTATAATGCAAACAAAAAATTTCTTCCCGCACAATGTCATGTTACAAAAACGCTGCGAGACAGACTGTTTGAATAGACGCTTTGTCGTTCTTGCGGTTGTAATACCTATTTGCCCGACTTCAGGGGGTACGTAAACAACCTCTTATCACTAGAATTACCCCTATTTCACTTATGCTCTATCAGTGAAACATTCGCCTCAGAAAATGCTTACTGTCCGATATCAGTTCTCCTTCTGTAACTGGGACTAGACTTCTGAGATCTTACTAGTCAAGCTTTCCGTAACAAACCAGCAATAAGCAATCGGATCCATGCCCCGCCCTCCTTCGTCTTACAGGCCAAACCCGTCATAGTTATTAAGTGAAACGTTCTCTCCAGCCAAATAACGTATAATCTCCTTGATCCACTCCCGAGCTAGGGAGCTTCCAGGGTGATCAAGTAGCTCGTACACTGCGTCCCACCAGATGCGGCCGTGCTTCGAATGAGGAGGTAAATGAGTAGCCTTCATCGCCCGGCTGAGCAGTGCTTTCCACTCGTCATCCCAGCCACCGGCACCAAGCGTGATGCGCGCATATTGAAACCATGCGGGCCAGAATCCGGCACTCTCCCAGTCAATGATACCAGTCACTTGTTCCTTGACTGGATCGACAATGATGTTTCCCGTGAAGAGATCGCCATGCGTCAGCGTATACTGACCCTGACATGGAGGCATGGTGTTTTTGAGGACCAAAATGACCCCGTCGTCGACGCCCGAAGAAAGAAGAGCAGGACGGTACTCGTTGTCAAAAATGTCGTTATCAGTCCTCCAGATGTTCAATAAGACCTTATACGGTTTTGGAACAAAGTTGTTTAAGCGAAGCTTGTTGCTGGAAATGGATTCTAGCCTGTCAGAGCGGAACTGCGACAGCTCCTGCATGTATTTCAAAACCGTCCGAGCGATTCTTTCTCGCCCTTTACGTGACAATACCCCCCAGCATTGCTTGAGACTTTTGCCTGGGATGCGAGACTCAAGAATGTAATGGAAGCGACGGTCAGGGGACAGCCACTCGTCGTAGACAACGGGGACGGGGATGGTAGTGTGCTGCTGGACAAACCGCAAAGTTGCCACTTCATTGTTGACACCTTCGTATGGGGTTTGCTTAAGGATGTAATCTCCTATGCGCCACACCTTGCGAGAGCCCCTCGAATGGATAACCTCTGCAATATCTAGGACCTGTTCGATTGTAAAACGGTTCATATGCCTCCGACTCATCTTGATCGCCCGGAATGGCTATCTTGCTTCAGATAATCCAGAATTGAGAGGCTGCAGGAGCGGATGGTGGTGACTTGTTACAATGAATCTCTATCAAATGCTATCTTTTATATATACCTCCATGCAGTTCTAATGCCCTCATTGTGTAACAGACAAGAGAGCTGTCTTATGCTGAGTGGAATGCATTCTTGTAGGGAACATCTAACTCAACAAAGAAGCATGAATGATGTAGTCGAGACAATGCCATTATCGCTTGACCAGAACAGTCCGGTGGTATCTCTCAGAGTCAGCAAGCTTCGACTACCATACCAATTCTCTTTGCTGTACTTAACCTTACACAAGTGCTGGATATATTACTGGCCAGAGATGCACCTAGCAGTTAGCAGATCATTACCGTGACTGGCCGTGACTCTGGGTGAACCATAAAATGGATGCCTGCAGGAATAGTCCGTGGAGATATCAACGGCACAGTATTCCTTGCGGCAGATGAGTAAGGCTGGTCCCACCTGACTGACGAGAAATCAGGTTTGGAGTTCTTCCGCCTGAAGGTTCGAAGCGCCAGCCCCTTTCCCCATTTCCGCCGATAGGGAGAAGAGCTATGTGGGAGAAGCAGCATTTTTGTGACAAGAGACAGGCCGAGTAACAAGTTCCGGGGAAAGTAACTCCGCAGCAGGGTGCACAGTGAACTTTGAGCCCTGTTCTTGATCAATGAATAATACATTGAGAGCATTGCAGACCTAGGCGTACTAGGCTGTGTGTTGTGGTAGGAGAAGACCGAAACTTATCGCCATGTGTTGTTGCTATGATTGTTGAAAAGACTGTGCGGGGCTTTATGTGCTTTCCTGGGGCAGCTCCAGAAACTGACAGAGGCTGGTAGGTGTCAACATCTTAGGGCGACATACCACATATCTCGTCTTTGAGACCACGCAACAAAGGAACAATGTCCACAGGTTCATTGTTCTCCCCCAACAAAGATGCTTTGTCTTCACTGTTGGGATCAAATAGGCTAACCAATGAACTGAGGGTCTGAGCAGATGGCATTAAGGAGACCTTCCAAGCCCCGATTTATACAGATCTCTACATGAATATTACCAGAGATACAGAACCAAAATGCTAAGCTTGACAATGCGAAGCAAACAAGAATTGCAGGCTGTAACTAAATGGTCTACTACAAAGACTCCAGAGAAGCCAGATAGCAACTCCACTTTTCTGGAAATCATCTCTGGTTCTGTCCCCACAGCAATCGGCCCGGTTAGCTCAGCTGGTTAGAGCGTCGTACTAATATAGCTATCCGGCTATATCAAGTGATGCGAAGGTCAACAGTTCAATCCTGTTACTGGGCAATGTCTGTTCCTTTTTCGCTTCTGTGATATGTGAACTCAATGTTGCGCTTCGCTATTCAGAAATGGTCCGTCAGATTGTTATGAGGGATTCGATGTCATCACTGGCTTTGCAAGGCCGCAAACCTCTTTACCCGTCAATCATCCTGCTTTTTCGTTCTGTCTGCTGGCTTCTGCTACAGGAAGTGATATGGAATGCTTGTCGAGATTTTTTGACGGGTGGGAAGTTGTCCAAAAAAGAAGGACCCAAAATCGTGGAAAGGGGTTGCCAGTAAAAACATTGCCCAGTAACAGGATTGAACTGTTGACCTTCGCATCACTTGATATAGCCGGATGGCTATATTAGTACGACGCTCTAACCAGCTGAGCTAACCGGGCTATGTTAGTCCACATTCTCTTCTTGCCGTAATCATGATGCCTCGCGGTGGTGAGGACAACCAATAAAGTATGCCGAACTAAACTATATCGGTGAAATTTACATTACTTAGAATGGTGTTGTTAATGTCACATTACAATAGCGTCAGGCTTGACTGTTTGTAGACCCCCATTTGGTGCCATCGCGGATATTAAAACAGCCAAAGTTGGTATTATCACCAGAGCCGCATATGAAAGCGAGAGAAGTGATCAATATACCAGCTTTTGCAATTGAACCTGAGTAAAAAAACCCACATTCGAACTTGACAGTCCCAAGTCTTTGTTTCAATCATGCACTAGATGCGACACAGCATGGAGTTTAATTCATGGGCTAAGTCTAATCTCGTGGTCTGCAGTGATAACCGATCTAAAGTATAGACCTTTGCTCAGCAATTTCTTCATCTGTGGTGGCTCTTTCCTTTCTTCTGTCTTTGGGATGCCGTAGATCGCCCATCCGACCTCCATTCTTGACAGAGTCCTTACCATTCCCAGATGTCCATCTCCCTGTAAAAACTGAGGCCTCTCCAAACTCTCTGACCGTTTGTGGGTTGGTCTTCCATCTCTTCAAGTTCACTTTTAAGGCATCCGAGTCAAGGTGAGTTTTCATATAGGACCTACCTTTTTTCCTTTCGACGAACAACATAAGGCCGATAGCCACTGCGTATGTGGCCAATGAGACAACAGCCGAAGCAATAGCAAACTGGCTTTTGAGATACGAAATGTCCGTGTCGTGTATCAGATCCATGCTGAACACCGCCTATTCAATAAATCGATAGAATGGTCAGGTTTTGTAGAAGGGCTTGACAACCCAGGCTGACACTTCCCAGACTAAAGGTTTCTTGAGCGCTGTAGTGGTAAGGGTTTACTTGATGCGGCAACATACTGTTACAAAACCAAGCGGAAGATATATCACCGAAAGAACAGTGAATATGGGAAAGTATCGATTCATGGCTGTTGATCTTGATGACTCAAGAAGCGCCGTAGCGTTGAACAGCTATGCCTTGTTGTCAGCGCTGTGAATTAATGCAAATCTTAAGGCGGATATAGGAGATGAAACGAACCCCATCGCGAAGACCACAAATCTCGTTGATCTTTGCATCCACACGTCTCAGAAGTTGGTCTGACCAATCCTCAAAGTCTTCGATCAACCTTTCCCAATTCTGGTGGATCACAAGATCAGATTGTCGTCGTGTTTCTCTAGGGACCGTTTCGTCAAGTATTTGTACTGGTTCAGGTTTTGCAGAAAACTCAAGTGACAATCTACCACGGAGGTTTGTAAGGTCACTCTTCGTTTCTCGAATCCACAACGGTATGATCCGGAGAAGGTGTAAGAGTTGAAAGTACAACTTCGATTGAGAAAACGAGTTATTGAACATCACCCCTTCGACGAACCCGTCCATAAGGATATCGGAGGCCTGCCCATGGAAGATAAGTGTCAGTCATTGCAGCGAGACGTCGGAGCTAGAAGAAAAATTTGCAATCAGACGAACGAAAAACTAAAGGGACTTCTCACATTAACTTTGACGCATTCGTCAACTGTATCCAGGAGTTTACTCCAACCTGGGAACCAATCCTTCTGAAGAAGAGAATGCAACACCATCTGTGCTTGACAGACAGCGTTTCTGGCTGTAAACTGCATCCAACCCCATCTTAAGAATTCTGGGAAACCCTCGTGATCATCTCTTGAAACTATCATAGTAGACAAGATTGGATAAGTTGAAGTGCATACAAACCTAAAGATACCCGATGTTCTTTAACAAACGTGCCAGGAGTACGCAGAGAAGTGGCAAATATCCGCACTCTCGATGAATTAGAAAGCCGTCACCACCTTCGGGTTCATTGGACGGCTGAAGCCATCGGAAGCCGAACAAAATACTTGTCACCCTTGATTGGATACTGTTTAGGTGACAGAAGGTGAAACAAGGGTTATATCCTTCCCACTGATGAGCCACCTCCCAAGGACTGAGGAAGAGAAATAAAAAAAGTAACTGTAGAAATTGCTGCTATCTTTGATCTATCTCAAGTGGGATAAAGGCGAGCCTAACTTGCAAGGAGAGGATATAGGCTGCGGTTGACATATCCATGCTGTCATGTAAGCGTCCAAAATACCTGTCCAATATAATTTTTTTTCAACAAATGACTTGCATCTCCAGCAAAACATGGGAAGCGCTCACCAAACCTGGCTGGTCACTGAGCCCTTGGACAAATAAACGGACTCATCAAGCACATTTGCACCATGATTTCTGCTCTTCCGAAGTGGTGTATCTTCGATCCATCTTGTGACCGTTAAGGGATCGCCGGGGAATCGCCTACACAAAAGCACAAATGCATCTGATAATCTCCAACCTCCCTCATTCCCGACAGTATGGAACTTGGAGCAAAAAAACACGATGAATTAAGTTGTCCGCTTTGATCGGTCCATAGGCAAAGTTCCAGGGTAAGGACGGATCTGGTGGGTCTTCACCGACCTCCAGCACTGTCCCAGAATCCCGGGACGGGGTCACGTGGCCAACGATTCCTGATAAACTTCTTGACTTCAGAAAGTTCTTCTGACGTCAAAAATTCCGTGGATGAATGCAAATATATGATTCGTAGCCTTTTTTTTTCCCATGCCAATGTGCAGTTGCAGCTTGATGCCATGGAAAGTCCAGAGCGGCCTTTGATCAAGTTACTTCATTCGGGACTTTGGAAACCGAGATAAATTATAAGTCAAGCAGCTATAACGATGACTAGCCTCGGAGGGTCCCAAAGGACAAGTGCACGGCGCGATAGCATCTTCAAAGTCTTTGCGTAGGGGAATAATCAACTCCTCAGTCAGTATACTGGAAAAGGTAGTCAGATCTGGTTCCAGGGACGGAGGAGCACCATGATTGCCAACACCGATCTCGTTGCTGACATCTTCTGTCACGGCAGAGCCCGGTTGCTGACTGCGATCTTCTGATAGTGAGTAAAGTTCCTGGTCTTGAATCGGATCCTGTCCCGAAGCGTTGGGGATACTGTGCGGCTGCTGCCAGTGGCCTCTGCCTTATGGCGTGGATGCGGTATTGACGAAAGTCGGCGAGTGTCTTGTTCAGAGTCTCCAACTCACTGATAAGCTTTTGAAAAGAGCCCCATCGATCACAGCATGCTGCTTCTGACTCGAATCCAGGCGATCGTTTGCAGTGGATGCCATAATGGTCAAGCGCTTCAATGCTGTTTACCATTGATCGGTATACTCCCTGCAGGAAAATATTTGGGAGGGCAAGCGGGAGTACTCAAACATATTGAGTTGCTTTTCAAGGATGTGGGGAAAACCATATGGAAAAAAAAAATTCTCAATTAATTTCTCGCTATTGACATCGCAAGCGGCAGGTTGCTGGCTCTTCTGCGGCTGCAGGTTCTATTAGGAATCCATCAAAATCGCTCACGTAAGGCACTGTGCATACGGATTGAGGTTGTGGGCATTGGTTGGGTTAGGGTTGAGCTTAAATCGGAATATAAGCCTTATCTGACGCGAAGAACTTGTGTTGAAGGATTCAGAAAAGGGACTTGTGTTGAAGGATTCAGAAAAGGGAAGGTCCTTCCATAAGCTTTGTGATTTATTTGGAAATTACCATTTATGCACTGCCACGATCCTGCAATGCTATGTACACTGCTGTAGGGTTATGTATTCCCCGTGAAGCACATGACACAGGAGCAAAACATGATGAGCAAACGGTGGCGTAGTGTAGGATGCCTGATCGTTCTCGCCTTTGTTTCTGAGTGAGTCGGAGATATTAGTGTAGGATGAGCGCAATGCAAAAAAAACGTATTCTCCCCCCCCCCCACTGCAAGCTTCCCGACAAGCCGTCAGGGTGAGGAGCTGGCTACTTGAAAGCTGTGGGGCTTTGCTCTCTTCGGACCCGCTGTGGCCCTGCCGATCTCTCTCGCATCATGGAAATTTTGTCGAGATCCTGGGGCCGCTGTTCCACTCTCCTGTTTTGCCCTGCCCCTGTTGGTCGAGTTTCCGTCAAGTCTCCGTTGAGATCAAGACATGAGGCCTGCCAAAACCAACCGCCAACGAAATATCCACCATTTTAGCGCTTGTTCCCCCTCACTTCATTTTCCCCCTTGCCCCTCCCCACTGTGCCCACTTCTCCCGCTTCGCCCCGGTCTTTTCCCAAGAATCCCAAGGCTGCATCTGCTGCCATGGTGATCAGATGGCGCAGGTGTCGTTAGCACCAGAATGCCACGCCGCGCTTTAGGGCCGGAAATATACCAAGTCGATAGGATGGAATGTCGCAAAGCTCGGGCGGGGGAAGGTCGTGTGCTCGTACGGCGGCACATCATATGAAGTGAACAGACCGCCATATTAGGCATCAGGTTTTTCCATCTGCACTTTTTTTTGTTCGAGCGAATCTGCCCGTTACGCTACCTACGTTAGCTTCCTGGACGTGATCGTTCGGATGCGGAGGCCGATCCTCAGGGACCCTCTGTGGACACCACACCAGCGCTAGCGGAGCGCGGTGCATTAAGGTGCCTAACTGCAGAGTGTTTTCAGGCTTTCAGCTACAGCTGCTTGCAATGCTATACCTACTACATATCAATCTTCCAACTATGGGGGTCGCAAGAAGCGCCAGATTGGTCGTCAGCATTGTGCATGACCGAGATTCAAAGGTTGCATCGCGAACTCGCAATATCCCGGGAATACGGATGACCCGAGCAAGCTGCTTCCAGAAGGGATCGCGGCATGCAGTCGTGAGAGGTTGGGTCAATCGCGTCCAGTTACTTACATTATACAGTACTTAGCCACGAAGTGAGGTTGCATCCCCTGGCAAAAGACGGGCGTTGCATCAATGGGGAAACGGCTGACGAGCGGACACTTTTCCGCAAAACACCAGCCAACCCGCGCCGAGCCTCGCCAATGGCGGCCCAGGCAACCAGTCATGGCCAAACAAGCAATCCAAGGCAGGCTCGGAAGGCTGGCAGCCTTCCAGGGACCCAGCGCCGCGAAGGGTTTGGCGACGCCAGTAATGGTTCGACCAACCGGCGCCATCATGTGTCTTGGGTCACAGCGCAGCGTGCCAGCAGCCTTAGTCGATATGGAATTGCATGGAGCCGGCACGGATCCGGCTTGGATGCTACCCGTCCCGAGAATCTGTGAGCCAACAGGGTCGACAGAGGAACCACACTCGATTAGGTCGTGTACCAGCTCCCGGGCCGCCGTTCCGCCATATTTAATTCCACGGCTTTCCGTGCCTTCCTTTGCATCATGGAACCTCTTGATCGTCCTGGCTTGTGTGCTCGTTGTCAATCGACCCTGCGGCTTCCTATCTCCATTTCCCCCTGCCGCCGGTCCACGATACAGAGCTAACCCACGCCATGAGGTCCGCCCTTTTCAGCGTCCTTGGCGCCCTGCTGCTGGCCCACGACGTCACCGCACAGCAGTCCGTGGTTGTCCCTGGCTTCAAGAACACGAAATGGGTGCTCAAAAGCGAAGGCGGTTCGAACTACGCCTGCAAGTGTCATCCAGGAGACTGGTGCTGGCCAACTTCAGCGCAGTGGCAGCAGCTGAACGCCAGTGTCGGCGGCAATCTGCATATCAACATCCCGCCGGGAGCGCCATGCTACAACACGTTCGAGGGCCCTCTGGGCACCATCAACACCTATGATGCCGCAAAGTGTGCCGAGGTTACCGCCAATTGGAACAGCGAGCAATTCCAGTAAGCTTTCCTGGACCATGACAAACTATGACTTGTAGAGAATAAAGACTGAGACTGCGTGTGTTTGCGTCCTTGAAGAGTCGAGCTTCCTACTGCTGGCCTCTGGACCTACTTCACCAATGACACCTGCCGGCCCACGACAAACCCCAGCGACACCTGCACTCTGGGCTACTATCCCGTCATGGTCATCATGGCCAAGACTATCGATCACATCAAGGCCGGTGTCAACTTTGCCCGCACTCACAACCTGCGTCTCATTATCCGTAACACCGGCCACGACTTTCTTGGCCGCAGCGTCGGCTGGGGTTCCCTGGTGATCAACACACACAGCTTCCAGAACATCAAGTTCCACAACAAGTACACTGCCTCGTGCGGCTACAAGGGTCCTGCCGTCACCCTCGGTGCTGGTGTCCAAGCCTTCAAGGTTCTTGAGCAGGCTCATGCTCTCAACCCCCCCAAACTGATGCTCACTGGTGAATGTGCTACTGTTGGTGTTGCCGGCGGTCTTGTCCAGGGCGGTGGCCACGGTCCGTTGACCAACTTCTATGGCTTCCTTGCCGATACTGCGCTCGAGTTCAAGGTCATTACTGCCGATGGCTATCTCAGGACCGTCAATGAAAGAGCTCATCCCGACCTCTTCTGGGCACTGAGGGGTGGCGGCCCCGGGGCCTTTGCCGTTATTGTTGAGGCTACCTTCAAGCTCTTCGACGACAAGCCGAGCGCTGGCATCACTCTTGACATCAACTCGGCCCACACCACCAATGAGACCCTTTTCTGGGAGGCCGTACGCATCTTCCACAGCTACAGCACCCACTTTGTCGACAACAACATTTATGTGTATTACGAGCTGGGCGCTGGCGGTCTGAATCTCCACGTCCGGCCCATTGTCGGCATCGGCAAGACCCTTGCTGAGCTGCAGGCCATTGTCCAGCCGCTCTTCGACGACCTCAACGCCCTCGGTATCACCTATGACACCGAGAGCCACAGCTTCAATACCTTCTACGAGCTGTACAACAACATGTTCGAGACTGAAGTCGCTGGCAACTCGGCTCTCACTGGCGGCTGGACCCTCGCACGCGAGGACGTTGTTGCCAACCATACCGCCGTCATCGAGGCCTTCAAGAAAGTCGTCGCCGCCGGCTCCTTCATGGTCGGTCACATGTGGAGCGCCGGCCAGAACCTTCCCCGGAGCGAATGGCACAAGAGTGCTATTAACCCACGCTTCCGCCACGTCGTCGACAAGCTCATCACAATCGTCCCTATTGGCGGCAACGCCCCGCTCGCTGACAAGGAGGAGGCTCAGCACCGCCTGACCTACGTTGTCGACGGCGCCCTCCGTGAGGCTTCTCCCAACGGCTGCGCTTATATCAATGAGGTGAGTCTTGGCTGTTTCAGCCATCAGTCAGACAAGGAGCTAACGCGAAATTGCTGCAGGCCGACCCGTTCCAGCCCAACTGGCAGCAGGCGTTCTGGGGCACCAATTACCCGCGGCTTCAGCAGATCAAGAAGAAGTACGATCCTGAGGGCCTCTTTTACACCGTCTCCACCCCGGGCACCGAGAGGTGGTCTCAGATTGAGACTGGCACCAGACTCTGCTACAAGCTTTAATTTTTTTTTTTTTTTAGTCATTTCGTTCGCTTACAGGATGTCCCTCGACCTTTTTGCTTGGATCGGCGGCTTTTTGCTCTAAGAAAGGCGGTCAGTTACGTATATATGACTAGTCATTGTATTAATACACTTTTCGGCGCGTAGATACCCTTAAAAGTTTAAGGGAGTGTAATAGTCATAATATGGGCATGATCTTAGATTCACTATTTGAAATCTGGTTGCGTTCATGTATTTGGGGGGGGGTTAATCATCAAGGTTTGATAGTTACATTGTATGTACAGGGACCAAAACATAAAAATAGATAAAAATAGATCATCCAACATGCTCGAGATGAAATGTAGCCGGCTATGTTCGGCATTTGAGTATCAAGATTAACGCCATGTCTAAGTGTACTTCATGCGGAACCGAGTGTTTCATGCTTCGAACATGCGTGGAAGATCACGTTCAGTAAACAAATTAACGTAATTGGCAATATGTTTCCGAAAATTCCAGTATTGTGGGTTCCGTGCTGCCCAGCTAGGTTGTTCAGTGAGCACGGACAACAGAGTTTCTTGGGGAAAAGCTCAGATGTGATAAAAAGGGATATTTATCATACGATATATGAACCGACAGTTGACATCCCAAGCCGTTGTTGGTATGTGGTTATATCGGAAAAACTGCCCAGGATAACTGTGTTCTGTGATCTCTTGGGGATCTACTGTACAATAACTGTGTTTGTGTCTCTATCTTCACTTACAATACATCTGGTTCATGGCAAGTTGGGTATGGTTTATTTAATGTTCAGTCCAGCCATCAACTAAACGCCACGCCATCTTCCGCTCTTAACAGAAACACCACAGCAGTAATTAAACCTTGGGCTTCTTAGGCGCAGGTCCTCCGATTTGCTCACCTGGTCTCTTTCTTGTCTCTTTGTTCTCGGTCCTTTGCTTGTTTTTGTTCCTCCGGTTCCCGTCCTTGCCCTTCATCTTATCCCTTTCTTTATCCCTCTTGTTATCTCCTGCTTTTTTAGGCTTCTCACCAGATGGCTTGCTCGACTCTCCTGGGGCCTTTTGCTCTGCCGGATCCTCAAGACCCGGCTTCCTGCCATCTCTGTAGCGCTCCCGGTACTTCTTGAATAAGCTCACGAATGGCTTCAGATTTGCTTGTTGTATCACACGACTTGGTATCTCTGGAATGCTCTCACATCCAATGGAGAAAGCAAAACGGGAGGTGTAGTCGACGAACTTGGGACCATCGAAGCCATAGCGGCGCATGAAAGTTTTGACCCAACCCAACATGGCCAAGTATGTTTGCTCCTTGGTTTGTGTAGGGATTTTAGACAGTGCAGTGTTGATGATTTGGACAGACGGCCAGGTAGCCGCCTTAGGGTGGGTGCTATGGAAGGTGTTGGTAAGTGCTAAGCTACACAATAACCTGGGACATATCGAACTTACAAAGGCCCATTGTTCTTGATTGGGAATTGCGGGTTTTGCTTAACAAACCACATCTCCTCAGGGGGAAGGATCATCACAGCCCTGCCGGTTTTGCCAGCGCGGCCGGTCCGACCAACGCGGTGAACGTATTGATCAGCATCGCTGGGAAGACCAACTTGCACAATCAAGTTGACATCAGGGATGTCCATGCCACGACCAACCACGTCTGAGGCAAAGAGCCACCCGGACTTGGCCTCTTTGAATTCTTCAATGGTCTTCGTGCGTGCTGCCTGCGACATCCGCGAGTGCATTTGCCACACACCCAACTTGGGCGGGGCAGCGCCACCTGTATGTCCAAACACGTGGTATAGAAGCCCAGCGTAGCGTGCTGTGGAACAGAAGATGATTGCTTTCAGCTGGCCATTGGCGTCAACCCTGGCACATGAGAGGAAAGAATGAAGCGTCGGCAATACATCCTCGAGCGACGGCACAGGAATGACCATTTGCGGCACTGTCTCAATGGTCGGTGCCTCGTTTGGGTTTATCGTAGATATTGTAACGTGTTCAGCCTCCAAAACAATAGAGACCAGGTCCTTGACGTCTGGTGGGAGAGTTGCGCTGAAGCACATCCCCTGCCACTTGGCAGTCGACTTGGGGGGCAGACGGGCGAGAATACGTCGAATGTCCGGAGCAAAGCCTGCGTCAAGCATCCGGTCGGCCTCATCCAAGATCAAACAACGAAGTTGAGAAAACTTCTGGCGCACGTCGTCCTCTTGGAGCCAGTCATCCAAACGCCCAGGCGTGGCGACCACGATGGTAGGCGCAGGTGACTCCATAAATCTGCGAAGTTGGGATGCTCTCTTCTTTCCACCAACAGCCAGGTGGCAGTAAATTTGAGGAGAGACCTTTGTGATAAGTTTGTTGCATTCGTCTTGAATTTGCTCAGCCAGTTCGCGCGTGGGCGCCAAGATGAGCAGGCCGACCTTCGAACGATCCAACGTCTTGTCTGAGACGAGGTTGTGCAGAGCAGGCAACAAAAATGCGATGGTCTTCCCGGTGCCGGTCTTGGATTGAACCAGATAATCCTTACGCCAATCAGATGCGCACAAAATCTTCTCCTGAACCGGTGTCATGCTCGTGAGATTCATGTCCTTGATGCCTTGGAGAAGGCCTGTATCCATCCGGCCCCGAAGGGACTCGAATGGAGTACCACCTCCTGGTTTTGGCATAGCTTCGATCGATGTCGTGGATGCAACTGATACAACTGCAAGAGAATGCGATTATACTCTGGTCAATTGTCGAACTACCAGATTGTTCTTCGAACACTGGCAAGGTGCCGGCGGTGCTCTTGCTCTTATCCACTGCGTGCAGTCGCGGTTAGTTAGGTTGATAGACGGACGACCGTTTTAGAGGGAAAATTCTTCTTCAAGGTAATAATTCGCCTTGCCACTTTCCCCTGTGGCCTAAACTAAAGTGCCTGAAAGTCTTGTGTTTACAGATGCATGACCACCGTTAAGTGAACAAGTGATCCAATACCGAACCCCAGCGTTGAAAAAATACATATAAAAAAACCATCTATCTTGGGGATATTGGGAGCACGAAGTTGCCCAGTGCTTGGGTAGGATCTGCTGCTTTCATTGGTGCAAAGAGGCATGTGGGTCATTTACTGTGGGTCAAGTCTTGACATGCAGATGAAGCTGTAACCATCTCTGCAATCTCCTCTCAGAGGGTGAGCATACTAACATTGCCCCTGCTGCGTGCCCTACCATTCATATCCTTATTTTGTCTATCTCTGAATTATTTTACCAAGCACACAAACCCACGTTTAGGCAAAAGCACATCTCAAGCTGGGCGGCAATCAAACATATTGTCTCCTGGCTAAAGTAATGGTATTTCAACATCAGCAGAAAAAACGGGAGAAGCCCAGAATGAAAACTAAGTCTCATAAGATTCATCCTTAAACGCCAGATGCTAGAAGACAAACTTTTCCTATGTAGGCTCTCAATGGAACTCTCCGATGCGCGGCCCAAAGTATTCACCCTCAGGCAGCTGGAGCAAGCCACAGGTACCGCTTCCATCACAGCCTTCATAGGGAGCGTTATTGCCCCACCAGCTCAGCTCGATGTCCCAGATTTGTAGAGCAAAGAATATGACGATACCGCTGATGGCAATGGCACACGAAAAGGCAGCAGAGGTAACGAAATTATACTGAACCACAGCTGTTAGTGACCACAAGCTGTCAAAATCGACTCACGAGAAGCTTACCTTCGACCAAAAGCCCAAGAACCTCTTCTTCAAATAGAGCCACGAAAATGCGGCAACGGGTACGGCAGGCCAAATGTAAATAAGGTTATAAGGAGCCCAAGCAAGTGCTCCATTCATCATGACTACAGGATGTGCGTTCCTGATGATCGCGTACTTAGGCCACTTCTTGCTTAGCCAGTAGAACAAGACGACCAGCGCAGCTCCAAACGGGAACCCAATGAGAGTGGCTGAATAGATACCACCAACACCCCAGATCTTACGTGGGCCGACAGTACCCCAGAAGACAGCGGCGGTGAAGAAGGTGTTAGGACCGGGGCAAGTGAAGCGGAAAGGTGCTTCTTGCGTGCAGATCTTGTCGATGTGCACCTGATATTGAAGAACCGCGACACTGATAAAAGTAGAGATCAACGTTGGCACCATTTGGGCCCAGAATGTAAATCGTGGGGCGATCTTGAGGTAGTGCGCCAGCTTCAGGTCGGCTGTGAACGACAAAGCATGGGCACAGGTAACATAACCATATGACTTGAAGAAGCACATGGCAATCGCGTTACCCTCCACCCAGACACCACCGATAAATTCAGCAATGACATTCAACGTGACTTGAACGCCTGTCATGGCAGCAATGATGCCGATGGGAACGACGAACACAAGGCAGAGTGCAATTCCGTAAAGCACAACCCAAGGCGTTGTGTTCGTGGGCCAGGCAGCAATGCCAGCCATACCAACACCGATCGCGAGCAGGAGGCAGATAGTGTACCACCATTCCGGCACCTCTTTGTAGGCGCGCATCAGGCGGTTGTGGACATCCAAAAGGTCAACGTCTTCCTCGTCATCTGAGTCCGTATTGTTCGTCTTTTTGACTAGACGACTCCAGCTCCGTTTCACGCTGCGCCAGAAGTCACGTAGGCCGAGCATAATCTCGTGCCTGTGGTATAGGTAGCCGTAAGCAACGGTGGCCGAGTAAACGGCGAAGAAGAACATATATACCACCACGTTGCCTGCGGACAGGAAAGGTGGCGAGTATGCTTCGTATTTCTTGGCATCAAAGATGCCCTTCTCGTCAATGAATAGCGGTGACATTGTAACGCTTGCCAAAGTGATCAAATGGCTTATTCGAGTTGATAGGAAGGTACCGAGTGTTGTACGTGTTGGTGTACCAAATGGCAAGAACGATGAACATGGAAAAGAAAGCGCCGAGGAAGTAGTTGAATGTAGAAAAGAATGGGACCATCAAGGGATCGACCATGTAGGTGATGATGTTCCAATCAAATGTCGGCAATGGATTCAGGCCCAGGCCTGTCCAACCGCCAGTAAGGTTGGCCAGTGTAGCATTGTTAGGAGCGATCCAAGCCATCCAGCTGAAGTAGCTGAGAGCCGCGAAGATGTAATTCGGAAACCAGAAGTACACAAACATCAGGAAAAATGCCCAGGCGAAAAACCGAAGCCGTGACATCTTCCAGACGGACTTAAGCGGGCCAGTGACGCTAGCAGTTTCGCTAGAAGAATCATGGAACGCCGAGTTCAACGCGATGGTGACCAGTGAGGATGGCCAGACACAGTATGCTGGGTACACCAAGAATCGACGGCAAAGGCCTGCCAGACCATAGCCAATGAAATTTGTTGAGAGAGCGATGAGGATCTGATAGCCAACGCTGGTAGCCCATGTCTGGTTGAACCATTGCGGTAAGACTTGTATCCACACAATGTAGTTGGTATACGGAACGCTCTTGGCCACGTTTGACATGATGGTGATGAGCATGTGCTCTTTCTTGTTGAAGGGGCCTGGATTAAGGCTGTGGCGCACTCCAAACAGTGTGAAACCGACGTCGGGAAGGACACGCTCAAGGAACTTTCCAAGGGGGTAGGCCAGCAGCTGTGGAACGGTGGAGATGACGTAGATGCTTGGCATGCGGACATCGAAGAAGGCGTTGATGAAGGAGATACAAACGGCGAAGAAGATGCCCATCGCCCACGCGCGAATGGTCGAAACAGGGAGATTCGGGTCATCGTGGTTGTCAACCACAGCGCGCACCTCGGCGTATGGGGAATTGTTGGTGATCAGTGCTGCCTGGATCTTCATCTCCTGAATAATGTCTTCATGCTTTTCGGGATTCGCAAAGATTTCATCGTTGTCTTTTTGTCGCACTAAGTTAGCGAATCCTCCACAGCATGGCGTGACAATCTTCTCGATTACAGTGAAAGGACATACTTAAAAAATCTTCAATCCGATGGATGATTTCGATAGGGAAGTTGGGATCCCGAGCATACTGTTTGTGGACTTGGCTCATCAACTAAGTGTCGTGTAAGACATGGTCAGCTCACACTATTTTACTGCCGAGTAGAACTGGATGGGCGGTATTTACCCTTTTCGTGTCCTCGAGAGTGAATCTTGCTGCGACTTCCTTAGCCTCGAGCAGATCTCTCTCGGTGACATGTAGTATGCTCGCACCAGGGGACGCAGGTGTTGACTCGTCCATAGCGAGTGCAGCAGCCTAATTTCAGCATCTGTTAACAGATATTCCGCGAAATGGCACATCCAGTCAATGGCATTTGAAGAAGATATGTGAGCGTTAGGTCATACCAGTCCCTCGAGCTTCTCTCCCCCGGATTCAGAGGGGGAAAGGGCCACAGGCTCCTTGGCCTCATGTTTCTCAGACGCGCCTGTCATACTTGTTATCGTCTCCGTTGACCTTTGCTCCAGTCACAGGCTCATCCGGGAGATGTCTGAGGCGTAGTGTCCTGACGCTACAGCGGGTGCACGTCCAACGTGGAGCGGCGGGTAGATGCGGCAGGGATAGGTGTATTCGGGAGCTGTAAAGCGATGACGACGAGACTGCGAGAGCTCGTGGAGAATGGAATGCCTGCCTGTGGAATGCGGCGCCCCGCAATCTTAAATACCAATGTGTGCCGACAGGTATATGAGAGGGAGAGACAAAATATCTTGCGATGCCTTGGCTTGTAACTCCGAAAGCAGGCAGGTTGCACACCTGCACACCTACCTTGAAGATTGCTCTTGCAGCAGGTGCGATCTTCGGTATTGGGCTGGCTGTCTGCGGCAGCAAGTTGAATTAACCGGGCAGTCGTCTGATATTACCAGGTGTCAGCGCACAATGGATGCTCCTGCCCAGCGAGGAACACTTTCCAGCAAACAGCAACCACAACCGCCTCCTCCAAGACCCCAAGACTCAAAGCTCCTTCCGTTTGCGGCGCACCTGGGATTTTCTGGGCCGGAGAGTCGATCGCCTGCAGGCTTGGCCGCTTACAGGGAATTTCTTGGCTTCGCAGCGTCAAGATCCATGTCCATGCGTTGGAGCTTTGCTTCAACGTCTTCCGACCGTGTGTGCGCGTCCCAGCTTCCCGTTCTCTTGGGTCAGGCCGCGCGGGCCTCGTGGATACGGAGCTTGCACCATCATGCGGCATCCCGGTCTTGGATTGTTGACAGTGCCATTCACGACGGGGTACCACCACCAGGGAAGCTTGGTAGAGGTCTTCGTGTTATCTGCCGGCTGGTTGCGCTTCCGATTCGAGCTCGCCAATGCTTTGCATTTGGACGGTCTGCGAAAGCCGGCAATTACCCGTGATCCAGATTCGCAGGCTGTTTCACCCTTTCAGCGTTCTTTGGGCCTCCTGCAAGTTGAAGACCCCGACCGGTCCACTGAACGGGAGCTCTCCTGGCGTCCTTGGATGGCACAACATGTGGATGTTTCACCCAAACCAGGTGGTGTCAGTGATGTATCTGATATCGACCATCGGCAGTGCAGGGGGAACGGTGCCACCGAGAAATATGCATGTTTTAACCTGCCGAGGGAATCCACCAAACCAAGTCAATTGTGGACTAGATAACGGCGAAATTGACCAATGGATGGGCTTGCCGTCTTCCCAAGAAGGAAGCTTGCAAACCAAATCGTGGGGGCAGTTATGCGACCCCACCAAGAGGCACCACGCGGGAGAGATGTGATGACTGAGATTGGTGCGAAAGTATTGTGTGTTTCCCTGCCCAAGTGTCTCAGGAGAAGATCAGGGCAGGTTCCAAATTTCTACCTACCTCTGCTGCCTCCCTGTGAGCGCCGAACGAGACGGCGAGTGAAATTCCACGTTCGGTGGAGACATCCCATTTCTTGGGTGAAAGCGTTGTTTATTGAGTACCTAGACATCACTATGATGGGTAGCTGATGTTGGGGCCTACCTACCTATGTAAGGTACCTGCTCCTCGCTTTCATCCTTTTTCCATGTTCGATGTATGTGCAGCCGACTGACCCCCGTGATTGCATGGTTGAAGATGCAGGCCGAAAGGTAAAGAGAGCTATTCCTTAGGAAGTGGATCGAGATAAAGACTGAACCGGAAAAGTGCAGCAAAGTAAATCTCCTGCCCGCATTCTGAGGACGCTTGGTGGGACACGGCCGACGGCAAGCCACGCCGTTGCCGATGCCAAACCCCACAACTTAGTTTCAAGCATGCCATCATCCCAACAGTCCGATCGGTGTCCAGGTTGTCAGATCAAGATCGAGCATTAAGCAATCCAACGCATGCCCGGGATGCCTGGTCACACTAGGCAAGCCTCGCTGAATACAAAAACCTAACAGTCCCAAGTCTAACTGCAAGGCCCCCTTACTTCTCCTGGACATGATTTGTATCATTTTACTGTAGCATCTACAGCACTCACGACAACAACATCAGCAATCCGGGCGCTGTCCTTAGGTAGCGATCCAGGCTGCAGGCCTGGTTTAAAAGTTCCATCGCCTTATCGAGTGATCATCCTTCCAGATGAGCTCTTTTCTCCAATCCAAGAGCCCAGCAGCAGCACGAGGGACCTGGATATCTACCTTCCATCTAGGTTACCCACCACATCAGTAAGCTGCTCAGCTATGATTCATGACGAGAGTTGGGTAAGCGATACCAACTCTACGACGGTGATCAGACAGTTTTGGCCCTTGAGGATGCTTCTAGACGGCGTTGTGCTGAGGCCCTGTACATCAGGTAATGTAATACTCGCTTCTTCAATTGGCAATTTGTCCTAGCGAGCGGATGAATATGTAGGCAACTGCCTACCTGACCTTAGGTGGGTGGCAGGTAAAGTAACGTAGGTACCCAGGTATCGGTGCCAACCTGGAATTTTCCTTTCTTTTTTTTGTCGAAAGACTCGCATGCTACAGCAGCTTTCTCTGAAGTCTGGATCAAGGAGCTGCTGCTCGTCGCCCTCTCACTTTCCCCAACTTTCCCCACCCTGTTGCGCCCATAGTTTGGTAAGCCTTGGCACTTTGCCAATCCCAAGTCGTACCACAACTGTTGGCTTCCCGCGCAACAGCTGAGACAGAAAGGGGGAGGGGCTTCGCTGTGTATGAGAACGTTGCGGACCTGCCATCACCGTAACCACACCGTGCATAGACACGCAGGCTTTTGGGCCCGATGACAGGCCGAGCACGTCGCCAACACCAACGACCGAAAAGCGAACATTACAGCATGTCACCTCACCTTCCTGTTTTGCAGCATCGGTCAGAGGGGTTGGCGCATCGATGTAGGTGCATGAGGTTAACTTCGTTCCTGTTGACGCGACCGCTGTTGGCGTTTTGTCTCAAGCCTAGATTGGAGTCATTGGATTCATCGAACTCGAGTCAACAACCTTATCGGGTCGTCGACTGTGCGCGCAATCATATTTTTCCACTATTGTCGGCAACTTCGAGTCTTAGCATGTCGGCAATCTGTAAGCAATTAGGCATTGGAGCTTGGCTGTTTCGATTTTACCATGTCTAGCATTCGGCAGTTCTTTTGCTTCCTCCTTTAGCTACTGTTGTCTGGTCAATTGATATCCCGCTTGCAGACTCGTGCATACTTAGCAGCCGTCCCTGCTGCAGTGTCATCTTTGCTAAAAACAAGATTTGCCATTTGAAAAAGTAGCGATCGGCTTCCAAACCTAATTGAGTCCTTCGGCTAGGTTTCTAGTAGCATGTATTGACCAGATGGGATCGGTACACAACCCCATGGCGGATTAAGAAGTTAAATCCCTACGTGTTGTGGAAAGATAAGGTTAACTTCTTCCGTCCTCCGCAACAGCCTATGGCAAGGTCTATCCTACAGCAAGCTTCATGCTGTATCATCATCTAACCAAGCTAAGGGGCCAAGAAGATGGAGAAGAAAGTGTCCAGAGAGCCTTAATCCCACAGTGGCTTTTGCAGGTATATTTTCGCAACCTCTTCTGATTAACATTAAGCAATCACAATGGAACTATAACATGAACTAGAAAATGATTCTTTGAGGCAGTGATTGAGGGAATTGTTTTTGACAGCCAGAGACGCGTTGCTGCTTGGACCACTGACAACATCAGCACTCTCTTGTTGCTCCTAATTTCACGCTTAGCACCGATCTAATTAGATAGCGGACAGAGTAAGGGAATTGGACCTGAGTACCCATCAACATATCATGCAAATCAGGAGCATCGATGTGCAAGGTCAGACTCGGCCCCGTTCTTGTTATACTTCTTAAATGCGTGTCAGGGCCTCAGGGTCTTTGCTTCCAGATTTGATCAAAGATTATTGACGAACATTGCAAGTCAAAGATGTTGATTGAAAATTTTCAACCACGGTTTCAGCCTCTGGCCATCTACTATGTCTGATACAGCCTATCCAGATGCCAGAGCCGGTAATACTGAGTTGTGAAAGATCTTTCAATCGAGCCTCGATGAAGATGCACGATGTAGCATTCCGTCTGTATATCCGCCTGTATATTATTCGTTCTCTCTTAGTTTTCAAAAGTTCATATCACTCTCGATGGCTATGTTGGAAGATTGGCTCATGAATATAGGCGTGAACAACGAGTTGATTCAATCTGTCGCTATTTTCTTGGGTCTTGTCAGCAGGCCAAACAATAAAGCCTATACACCATGCCGCCAAAGAAGAACAGGGCACCAAAGGAAAGCATGGAAACAAAGACAAAGAGGTAGCCAACCTAAGACTATGGCAAGGGGACAACCAATAACTAATCGACGTTGGAGAATCTCAACTTCTGCCACTAGTCAGACGATTCAACGGCCATTGGTTATGCACAGCAACCAGTCCAAGACCAGCACCTATACTATGCGTTGGATAAGGACTACGATGCAAGATGGCCATCGGATCAACAGCAGAGAGAAAACTTCCTAGACTACTACTATGGTCGCGCGCTCGCCCCTGATGAGACGCTATTTGAAGGCATCACCAACACCTTGGGGACCATCCATAAGGCCCTCCTTGATATTTGATACGATGGCCAGACGAAAACGGTGTCTGGAACCTTGCTGCAAGATCTTGGTGTTTCCAAGAGTAGCCTGCCGCGCGATTAACGGCACACGATCCACAAATGATGGACAATCTCGTAGATGATGGCCTGTGCTTCTGTGTTATGTTGTGAGAGTTGGGAATGGAGAAATGGAAGACCCAACTACACCATTAAACCCAAGGTTCGATACTAATTGCTTCCTATATCAAAGCGTGGGGGCTCACTGGGACGAGTTTGAGGGTGTATTGTTTTACTATCTACCTCGCTAACGTGCCGAACCACTGGGCTGCGTTGATATATCGGACATCAAGCCATGAAACTCAGCATCTCGATTCTGGAAAGAGTGCAAAATTCTGGTACAGTAGGGTCTATACCGAGTTCAGAAGATGGATAGGAATTGACGACCTTCCGCCGACCTATTTGGTCGATTTACAGAAGCCGCAAACCGATGACTAGAGTTGTGAACTTCACGCTATCGCTGGCGTCATAGCGTGTGCGAAGTTGGTGGTTTTCAGTTGGAAAAACCAGACACACCACCTTTTGCTCGTAATTACCAGAAAGCCAGACAAAACTGGCAAATGAAGTCGAAGATGAAGAAGAAGATCGAGAGGAAACCATCTCTACCGCCAAAACGTCCTAGGCGACGAGCCACTCGGACAAGGAATGCTGCTAAAGTCCAACCCCCCCTTGTCCAGTGCCTACTGTACGCAGCCGTATAGATACTAACAAGGAGGAGAGGTCTCAGAAACTTGACAAGATGCTCAAGAAACTCGACGCTCGGATGCCGAAATAGTTTCAGTGCCGCACTGGACATGATAGTGCCAATAATGACAGTGACCAGGATGGCAGTCAGGAAGAGGGCGCAGCTCGCGATGACAGAGAAGGTAACGTCGCGTTTGCAGCAAATCAGCGCAATGATGCTGCTGGAAAACAGCGAAAGGACGAATGGAGGAGCTGAAAAGGACAAGGCTGCATCCAAACGACAAACTGGGAAGACGAAGAGAACTGCTGTTGACGAAGTAGATGACGAGTAAAAGCCGCAAAACGTAAAGCCATAAGGCAGCAAAGTCGACATAGGTTGGACGATGAGAGTACAAAGTTGATTGGCTGCATAAATTATGTGCGTAGAATATCAGGGACTTCATGAATAAATTGGGACATGTATAGACGGGAACGGCGTCAAAATGCCAGGGAATGTTTGCATGGAATTGAATAGATATACGCTTGTTGCCGTATCACTTTCAGGTCCGGACTATACACTTATACCGTAGACATCTGCGACATTAATAACCCAATAAGGGCCAATCTAGTATCAGGTGCTTAAAACACGCTTTAGTACGGGGCGCTGACGAGTACCCATAGGGTAATCAATTCCAATGTCTTCCAGACTTTCTCTTAGAGCTTTAGTTACCTGATTAGTCTTCTACCATTTTCCCAGTTTCTCTCTTCCCCTGACCCGGTAAAACTGATGTGCTGTGTAACTATCGTTGTCGTCGTGATACCCCTGAGGGCTGGGTTGAGTTCTTGATCATGTTTTTTGTTCTGCTTTTTAGCATCCCGCAACTCGTAGCCTCCAACCACGCTTACACTATAGAGCCGATCTACGCTTGAAACAGGTGCAGCCTTTAGCTCCCCAACCATTTCGATATCATGATCGGACTCCCTGAGGTTTCGGGGAAAGATCGACAGGGGACCAAGGTCATCTGCCTTACGACTGTCGTGGTAGCTGTGTAAGGCTTCGTTGCTGATAGAGGAGTGCAAACCCAAACGGCCGTTGCTAGCGCTATCTCTGCCTCCGTCCGAATTGAGCTTATAGGGAGATGGAGGACGTGATGGTGACCTAGATGGGTTGCTGTGTAGACCTTTAAATCCTGTTCGAGCATCGCGACGGCTAAATCGCGAGTTTGCGACCCCGGAGCGCCCATTATTGCCATGACTGGAAGGGAGAACGTTCAGACTACCGTTGCTGGCAAAGATTTTGGGGAGCGCACGAATCAGTATGGGTCGGATGGTTGGTAAGCAGGTCGCCATGATGCCAACAGTCAGTTCAAGCATAGAGAAGGTCGCGGCGTCGACGTTATCCCACGTTGGGTCGTCTGAGGACTGGGAAAGGTCGTAGAGAGTGTGTATGCGGTATATGGCTACGGCACATGGACTGCGCGGACATTGTTAGAGCCGAAACGATCCTCAACCAGCGGCTAAATTAGCATATTGACTTACAAAACTCCCATTGTGAAGACGCACAGTAGCAAGAGCTTCTGCCTGAGAGGAAGATGTAACGATTGGATGATTGGGATCGGGATCATGAACAGTGCAAAGTCAGTCGTTACGTTGACACCAGCCATAACATACCAGATGGTTTGGCTGTTAAGGCAGTGCCCCGTGTTGTGAGTCGGGTCCCAGAAAGCCGAGACAGGTACGCAGACAAGCGGAAGCAGAAAGCAGAGGGTGATCCCCCATGCCGACAAAAACATGAGACCGACGAGAAGGATTTTGTTCAGAGTAGTATTCGAAAATACACGCCGATACAATAGCAGTATGGATATCTTAGTCAGGCAAACGGCGATATTGTAGACAATGATCGAGCTGTAGAAGGCCTAGAAGAGGTTAGATGATTTCCTCCCTTGATCATTGGTTTCAATGATCTAATGTTCTGACCTTCATGTAGGGGATATAATGCTCATCTGGCACCGTCCAGTAATGGCGACCAAGACCATACTTCGTCTCTGAAGAGAGAATTAGTTTCCAGATCCTTGTGTGATGGACATTGGAGAGAGAGCGCTTACCGAGTCCGATGGCGACCGCAGCAGCAATTGTCAATGCCTAATACATGTTAAATTGACACTCAGACGTTCATCTAATGGGCAACAAACCTGTGCCGGCACCATAACCACGTCATCCGGGCCGAAACTTTTGAGGATGAAAGCTCGAGTATAACATCTTAAGACAACAATAAGGGTCGACAGCGTTGTTGTCACAGATAAGATGGCGATGATCTCGGTGACTCTTGACTCTCCATCAAGAGCTGGATTTGGGCTCGTTCCCGGCATCGTGCTCAGGTCTGTGCTCCTGAGGTCGACGTGAAACTGCGACAGCCTGCTGCTCAAGACATGGAGACGACCCCGTCATCGTATACTTGTACACCAGATTGGCGGCGCGGTATCTCCTGATGGATTTCCATTAAGACTGTAGATCACTCGAGGAGGAACCTTGGCTCTTGCCCATGGATAATAGTGTGATGCTTGTCCCTGAAAATGAGAATGGATCCCGGTTGGACGAGGATCGGTTGTGCTTGTGGTGGAGTCACTTATGGGAGATGTCTGCGTTTTGGGCTCCCATGGCCGACAACATGCTCGTTGGCCCTTAGGCACTAGACCAAAAATCCCCATCGGAGACCATCTAAGAATTTCTTGAAATTACTCACGTTAGCTGAGTCCTTGAGATTGGCCCCGTTTCTCAGGAGCAATTCCCTTAACCTGTTACCTCTATTCCCTTCTTTGCGCTACTTGATTTGAAATTGTCGATCTTGATGCTTCCGGATCTTTGTCCACCTTACTGGTTCGCTCATTTGCATTAAGAAGGGGTAATTCGTACTGGGATAGCCCATGTTGAAAACTCGAGTCCCCGTTGGGGCTGAGAAAACAACGTGGAGCCTGGCGGCTGTTGTGGTGGCCGTTTCAGCCCCACGAGACCCGGGCAAAGCATACCGGTCCACCACCGAATCTCCGTCGGTTATTGTAAACGTATACTAGGGTGACAGAAAACTGACAACGTTGGAGCACAACACATGTTATTCAACTTACCAGTCAACTTCTAGGAGGGCTTGAACCCTTTAACTCTCCTGTCACCTTCTAATCTGCAAGAGGCCAGAGCATCATGCTTAAAGTGGGAGGCTGGAAGCAAAAATGTTCATTTGCTTGAGGACACTTCGCCTAGAAACGAGAGTGGATGCTTGTGGTTTTTGGCACAAAGCGGTGTGTCAAACTAGTCCCTTGCCCAGTAGAAGAGTTCTCATCGAAGTACTTGCACTACATATACTTCATCAGTCATCATACGACTCCTCGGCCTTCGCGATTGTGGCAGCAGGACAGGTGCTCTCTGGAGTCTTGCACATCATCATTGGATTCTGGCCGGGATGACCCGCGATTAGGACGGCGATCACTTCCCTCTAAGGTGTCTTGCCGTAGACTCCAACAATCTGGGTCCGGCGTTTGAGTCTGCCATCGAGGTTGAGCACGATGATGCCATCATGTACTATGCTTCCCATCCTCAGTGACTGTTTTTTTCCTTTCCCCGCTTCATTGCCACGCCGGGCCTACGCGCTCATGCTTAAGCTCAACTGTAGGTCTTCAACGAAATCTAGGCACAGACTAACTTCTATGTGATATATCCCTTTATCGCACTGGAGCTTTTCATGCCGCTCGAGAAGATTGGCGTCGGAATATACGACCTGGAGAAGCTATTCTATAGCTAAAGTTAAATCTGAACATATCAACTAAATGCTACCAATTACACCTTCCGTTTCAAAAATCAATCTCCCTTCCTCTCCGTTAGTGCTTATCTTGGTCCAAAGTCTCTGTTAAACGATAAAATGATAAAACAACAGAGAAGCTTAGGGATTTGTGGCTCCTCTCTACCTCCTGCGAGTCAAATAGGTTCATTCCTTAATTAAAACTCAATCTTCTTGTGCTTAATTTCAAGTTGAAATGGATATTTGCGCGAACTTGGAATACTCAATGCGGAACAATGTGTTTTGGAGTTTTGTTGAAAGGAAACCCATATGTCACTTTTGATAAACCAGAAGCCAACCGGATGTTCCATTGCACCTCAAACCTATCTTGTTTTGGATTTCTTCATCCGCAAGATCCCAGCCTGGGTCTGACAGTTGGGATACTTGCTCTGTTTTTAAGGAGAGTCGAGCAGAGATTACTGATAATGTACAGGCTGACATTTAAGAAGAGAAGTTTTGCTCGATTGGATGGAAGAGTCAAAGGAAGGTTACTCGGCAATTCCGCCAAGCCACACAACTTATCGAGCGATCCCATCTCACCGATGTAAAGTCAACAACTAGCTTGTTGAGAAAAGGAGTGGTCATTTACAGCTTTGCACTGGCATCCACTGTTGCGTGGGCATGTACTACTCCTCTATACTTTTAGCTTCACCCTTCTGTGCTCTCACATTATGGTCAGCCAGTGACTGCACTTCTGCCGACAGTGAAAACTTTCCAGGCGGATGCCCAAGTGCTTTGGTCTAGGTCCGTACAACGCGAGGTCAGCATATCTGTAGCTGGTTATGTGTTTTTCTCACTTCACACTCCTACTTCGCAACGGCCGACAAAGCTAATAAACGGAGAGCACTTCTGACCTCAAAATGTTGGACCCTTGCAGCGTCCTCCCTTGTAATTTGATCACTCGGCTTGCGAGCTACTTCGCCGGCTACTCGAAGGAAGTTTTCCTGGCGGTCGTGCAAACTCTGCGCAATTGCGGCACGTCCACCTTTGATCGGTCCTCGGTGTGTCATGTCCGACTCATTGTGTGCGATGGCAGAAGCCTCGGCCTGGGTAATCGGATGCCCTTCTTCCACCTGCATTTGGAGCTGCTCGATATCGGGAAGTTCTGAGTCCATTTGTCGTATAATACCGGGGCTTATATGATAGTTTAGGCTTTGAAGACAACCATTCTGGCCTTGTGGCTGTAGTTGCCCTTCCGCCGTGCTTCAAGAGGGGTTATGAACCCGACAACTGTAGAAGAGCTCCGCCAAACAACCCTGACTACCTACGTGCCTCCTGGTTTCTTGGTTTCTGTTTGTTCAGTGAACAAGCTTCGTCAATACGACAAACTTACATTGGCTGGTTGATGATGTCACTCTCCACTGTCACCGATGACGTAGTTGTGTGGGTTACCAGGGGACCTACGTTGCACATCGCGAAGGCTTGTTTGCTGGCTTGCAATCGAGCAAGCTTCGTGGAGCATGATACATTTCAATGCCTTCGTATCTTTGCATTGGCACTTGTCCTGGCACCTGCCCATTGTAAGCTCAGTTCAATTCTTTCTGCATCGGTGTCTATCAGGGCTTCAGCATCTTGAAAAAGCGAGCTTCGGAGATAACCGTTTACATGTGGCTTAAATATATGTTCAATTTACACTTGAACAGACAGCTAATACTGCACTCAAGGATGAGGAGAATCCAACTCCACACTCTCTGCCGTAGCCACCCAGCTACTCAATATTCTCCCCCAGTTCTTGAAGTTTCTTTCTGTCGACTTCCTTAGCTTTTTCAGAGACATGTGGGTTCTTCAAAGCAGCCTTGAGCCCACGTATGCTGTCCAAATTAGTGAGTGAAATGGTTCGCTAACACGATTCTTCGTTTGACACGGTTAAACCACTTACACATTTGCTCTCTCTTTCTCCTCTCCAATCTGATGCAGGGGCGCATCCCCACTCGAGGCTCTGCGCCCTTTCCTGGCAGCTGGCTGAGCTTCTTGGGAACCACTTGCAGCACTCTCGGTGACTTTTGGCTGATGTTTGCTGTGAGAAGCGCGCCGAGCCTTTTCTGGCGTCTTGCTTTCCTCAAAGTGCTCGCCGAACTCCTTCTCTAGGAGCTCCCGATCGTGCTTCTTCGCCTCCTCGGAAACCCGAGGATTGTTCAGAGCGGCTCGCAGTCCTCGCTCACGATTCTTTGCTTCAGACATAATGATGCAGTTGTTAATTGGGAGTTGCCGCTGGGTCAAATCCTCTGCTACAGCAAGTGGTCATGTGTGATTTGTACTCCCCGTACTGTTCGAGGGGCAGTTGGCCATACCTGGTCCCGTAGGAAGATGACGTACTCAGTGTGCAATCGCGCCGTCAGCATCGCTGGGACCCTTGACCTTCCCCCAAAGGTATGGCAATTGACCCAGGAACTTGAACCATGTCCAAATTCCAAATGACCCTGCCATACATATCATTGGATCATTCTAAGCCCGGAATAAACTGTTTAAAATCAGTTTTAAAAACCACATAACAGTCTCATAAACCTGACAACGCGCCTATGAGCTGTCCTCATAACCCAAACGGCCATGTCTCATCATACTCCAAGGGCACATGTGGTTGGTGAACTTCAAGTGCTCCGACATGCCGGGTCTCGTCGAACCAGACGAACCCATCGAACTGCTCAGGAAGCACTGCGGACGAGTAATGGGATTGTCGTTCAGTATGAGGGGAGTAAATGACCCCAATGAACCGCTCTAGTCGCTTCTTCATGAGCTCTTGGCGCAGTTGTCTGTCGCAATGACCTTCCCGAAGGTCGAGAGCAAAGCTTGGAATCTCTGTGGCATGCATGAGAGCCTCATAGCTGCTAGGTAATCCAGGGCGGACTTGCATCACCTGCATGTCTCCGTCCCAGCGACGGGCGGCAGCTACGGTGCCCGTATAACCAGAACAGCCAATGTTCACGGCCTGTCTGCCAAATGATTCCTTACACAACTGCCCAATATTCAGCTCTTCGCGTGCCCAGCCCATGCTGGTCGCTCGTGCGTCTCCAATATGGCTGTTGTGTGCCCAGACCACCGCCCTAGCCGGGCCTTGCTCTCTGCGATGCTTCATAACGCGTACTAGAGTCTCGAACATGTGCCTATCGCGCAGGTTCCAGGACTCATCCCGGCCATAATACATGGCTTTGTAATACTGCTCGGCATCTGTGGCAGTCAGCGACCAGTTTTTGAGGTATGAATTATTTCCAAACAAACCTTTAACTAACCGCGCATTCTGTTCTCCGCCGTGAAACTCTTCTCCGTCGCCCTCTTTCTCCACGTATTCTAACCTTTTTTCCAACAAATCCTTCAGCATGTTGACAATATCCTGCTCACACCCCTTGAAGCCTGCGCCAAGGGCCTCCAAACCATATTCATGGGGATCTTCAGCCCAGAGCATCATTCTTCCGTACCTCTGTCTCGCCTTCTCCGCCATCTCTTCATCCACACCTTCCAGATACTCGATTACTGCTTTCATTGACGTCCCCAGGCTGTACAGATCTAGCCCATAGAACCCTACGCTGTCCACAACCCTAGGATCCTTTCCCAAATTATGCAATCTTAGCCACCCAGTAAACCTTTGTACCTCCTGGTTGCGCCACATCCACGTCGGAAAACGCAAGAAAGCTGGCTCACGACCCGCCTTGATTGTTTCTCCCTGGGGACCTATGCTGGCTTCGTGCGAGCGCGGTGTCTTGCGTCGATGTCGTACATACCGGTCGACTGCCTCGGCGTCCGGCCAATCGGCCTCGACAGCCACGATGTTGAACCCGTGGTGTTCAATAAGATGCTTGGTAAGCTCGGCACGAGCAGTGTAGAACTCGGAGGTACCGTGAGAGGCGTCTCCAATGAGGACAATCTTTGTTTCTGGTGAGACAAGGGACGAACAGAATCGTCTCAGGGAATTGGTGGATTCTGATAAGGGGGGTATTGGGATGACATGTTCGCGGAGGAGGGCGACTACTGGATTGAATGCTTCCAAGGTTGGAGATGACATTTTGCAAAGAAACTCAACGTTGATATGAAAAGGCTTTGCTGTGTAAATATTGCGAATGGAACCTTGATGCTCGGTGCCTTTACAAGAACGATGGGTTAAAAGAACTAATCGCAATAGTGAGTTCCAACTTCGCTTTAGCATGAACGCTGCATGTGCCGAGCAGAGATACCTATGTCAAAAACACTCAGTTGAATAGTTCTGTGCTGTTCCCACATCAATGTTGACACTAAGGGGCAATATAGGCGGTCATCATGACGGCAGGGTCCCAGAAGGCCCAATGCTCCTGACGTCAAGAGCATCCTCGGATGGCATCTTAGTTGCTTGCGATCCCGGCCCCCCTGAATCCGTTTGTAAGGATTTACTACGATGGGAGTGGGTCGAAATCAGGGTGATCAACCCATCTGATTGAGAATTACGGACATCGCAAGTCTCCTAAACGCTTGGGTTTGAGTCCGCTCCTATCTGCAGGAGTTGCTAACCATCAGACGTAACCCCAAAACCTGCCTAGGATCGATGAAGCCATACAAGCTGTTGTCGAGATTCCCTTTATTCTGTAAATGACAAGGTCTTTGGATTTAACCTTTTAGCTGAAGAGCTTGAGCCATCATGACATCATACCCCCTGAGGACCAGCACGCGGATATTCGTTTTGCTAACTTTTGAGGTAAAGACCGAGCGCCTAGGTTGAGGATACCTATTCGAGCTGGTTCAAGTGTAACTACCATCACGACAGTGTATTCTTCTCATCGGTTATCAAGCCTGTCACCCCGAGTCAGAATGGCGGCAGAAGAGGTCAGTAATAAGTAAGCTCATGACACCCTTCCTGGATCTTCCGCAATGGCCAGCCTAACAAGATACAGGCTGAGAGAAGCCGAGATCATTCCAGATGGCAAGCATTCTCGTTCAATGGAGCCTCACCAAAACCTAACCTTGAGCCAAACCAACAACATATTTAGTCCTCGACAACTTCACACCAACTCATTTCCTCAATGCCTCCTGGTCCTCCCCTCCTGTTCAATCCCTCTTTGGAAACACTCTCCACCCCAAAGATGTTCATGCAGCACCTACAATCACACTACACCCCATCTCCCCTACAAGTTCTTCCACGTCCCCTCATCTGCACCCCCATCATGAGCAGGGCCAAGAACACGGCCACCATGCCCAGCCTTACGTGATAACCCTCACTGATCCCGACGCACCATCGCGCCAAAACCCCAAGATGGCAGAGTGGTGCCATTGGATCGCGAGTGGGACCCTTGCGCCGCCGGGGTCAGCTGTGGGAGAAGGGGTCCTGTCGAGCCTGCAAACGACAGTCCCATATGCAGGGCCCACGCCGCCTGTGGGGACGGGTAAGCACCGCTATGTGTTTACTGCCTGGGTACCTCAGGGCGAGGGACACCACGGGCACCATAGTCACCATGGGCTGAGGCTAAGTCGGCCAGGTGAGAGGGCGAAGTGGGGGGGAGTGGGGGAGTTAGAGCTTGGGCGGGGGAGAATGGGTTGGTACCGGTTGGTAAGTTAATCTTTCTAAACTGGCTATGATTACCACTCACTGCATTTGGGATTTAAAACTGTGCTGACGCGGGACAGCCGCAAACTTCTTTTATGCGGAGCATTGAAGAGGAATGATATCCAGATCGGGGTTCGAGGATTGGATCGTAGGAAGAGGCTTCTTAGTTTTCCAAAGACCGATTTTGCGGGTATAAGTCAGTCAGTCTGCTTTGTAACCTGAAAATATGGAGGTTTCTATTTTCATTATGACACTTCTGGTTTATTAAGATCGCGGTATCCATGCCTTTCTGGTTAACAGGAACGCCAAAACCCAATAAAGATTTCAACCAAAGTTGTTCGCTGATGAGAAGGTACCATTTATCCATGAATTAAGCCAACTCATTCAGCTTCCATGGCTTCCACCCTTTTTCCTTTGCTTTTTCTCGGTCTGTTGCTCTCGAACTTTCCTCTTCGAGTTCTCTCTGCCACTTTCTTAACTCCCCCAAATCAACCTGTCCAATTATCTTTCCCCTGGCCGACCGTAATTCTGTCATCCTAAGATCCTCCCGGACCCTTTTGTCGTCCACATGCCGCACCCCATGCACCTTATACCCCGTATGCTGACCTAGATGATGCGCTCCCCATTGGCACATATAGACCAAGCGATGGCTCTGGCAGGAGTTGCTAAAATTTTCTGAGGAAACAAGGCACTGGCTGTGCATGGAGGGTTGGTTATTGTTGTGCTGTTGCCACCGGAGCTGTGATGTTTCTACTACGATTGCCTGTTCATGACCGAGATCGCGAAGTTGCTGTTTTTGCGCCGAGTGATCGCGGTGACCCGAGAAAAGAGAACTCTGCTTGTTGGAGGGTGCCACCCTTGCTCTCCCGTTGGACGGAGGGGTCGCATGGTTAGGTCTAGGAGCGCAGATATGACGGGCACAAGCACGGCGCTCTTGTTCATATTCCCGGATCTCTTCTGGTAAACCCACTGCGTCTGGGGGCTGGGGATGTTTCCAGCTCGCATAAAATCGGTCCTCAGCTCCATGCGCGCGGAGAATGTGAAGAAGGTTATTAGAAGGAGGCCCAAGGAGAATACCCTTAGCGACATACATGGTGGGAGAGTAGTAGTAGGGGCCTGATCGGTATGTATTTTCGTGGCTGTTCAGTGTTTTATGGAGAATACGGTCGAGCAGTAAGCGTGTGATATTTACGTTGTGCCTGTTATCAAGAGCCAGGAAGATAACAGTCTTGCTGTTGACTTTGAGTAAAGGGCTAGCTTCAGCTGAAACCAGAAGATCTAAGGCTTCTTCAGCAGCGGCAATGTCTCTAGGAGGAGACGCTTTCAAAGCAACTTCGCCAAGAGCAGTACGACAGCCGTGCTTGGTCGACCTATAGTTGGGATCGTGGCCGGCGTGGAGCAGTAGCTTAATGACTTGCACATGAAACCCACGGGAAGCTTCGTGGAGGCTTCCATCGTTGATTAGAGATCTCCTTTCTAGTAGCAACTTGACCATTTCCACGTTGCCCGAACGACTGGCGTAGAAGAGGGCCGAGCGCCCAAAAACGTCTTTGACAGAAACCTTTGCGCCATGGTCGAGAAAGAACCGGACGAGATCTGTCCGGCCAGCCTTTGCGGCTAGCAGGAGAGGTGTCGTTCGAGACTTAGGTGTCGTGTACGAAAGATCAGCTCGAGGCAGAAGTCAGCTCAGCATCAGCAGACCGTTACATTGACTACTTACCTCCATGATGAACCAGGGCTTTGATAACCTCGGAGCTTATCGGTTCGTCGTTCTGTAACAAAGCCCATATGAGGACGGAAGCAGGCTCCGCTTCGACAGCGTCAAATGTTTGGTCGCCGTCAATGCTCTCCGGGGACAGACATGCACTTGAATCGTTGTCCCAACGTTACAACCTGCATCAACCAGAGTGTCAAGCATCACTACGGAGGACGGGTAATTCTTTAGGCACAAAAAGATTGGGGGGGAGCGTGCCTCGGAGTGATTGGTTGAAATTAGGCTTGCATGATTGAGCACCGGCGAACGCGAGAAGTAATGGCAGTAACGTTTCCTGACTGTGGCGAGCGAAGATAGCAGCTGAGAGAGCGCGAGTCGCAGATGCAGCTGTGGCGCGCTGCTCGAGCAAGAAGGAAACAAGAAAAGGATCGCCGCAGCTTGCAGCAATGCTGAGGGCTTTTCCATGTTCGTAGTTGACATCAGCCTTGGCAGCAAAGAGTCTTAGGAGCAAAGCTTTACCAAATTCTGCGGCGGGCTGTTTGCAAGCGAGATGCTCAGTGACTTCAACAACGGCTCTACTGGCCGTGTTTGGGGAAGCCCCATTATGCAGAAGAATGTCAACCAGTTCCAGGTGATCAGGTGCAATCCACTGCTTGCCTTTGTTGATGACAGCCATGAAAGCCTGCGTAAATATTTCTTCATTATGACCGGCATGTCTTGCAAGGAGGTTGAGAAGGATACTGTTGAGGTTGCAAGCAGCGTGTTTAATGAGGGAGCCCTCATTGTGAGCAGCGTCGGCACCAGAATCAAGAAGTAACTTGGCGAGAGAGATATCCGGTTGTTCCTCAAAGACTATATGTGTCAGCGCAACATTGATGTGGTCATGTTGGAGTCTGCTCATGAGCTCGATGAAGATAGTTTTCCGATTATGTTTCGGTGCTTTGAGTGCTTCTCCAACAGCAGCATACAGGGCCCTATGTCCGATGTTTTGGCTGAGAAGCAAATGGAAGGTTTCTGAACGAAAGTTCCTGATTGCGTGAACAAAGATTTCACCTTTGTTGTAGTTAACAGAGGCCTGGGTCAAGAGGAGCTGAACAAGGGCCCTGCGTTGTATTTAATACTTAAGAACTACTGCTTGAAATGATGGGATAATAAGAAGACTTACACATCATCAGGGTCAGTCTGGAATACAGTGAGAAGTGCTTTACCAGCGGCATCTGGGTCCAAAGGCCGGCGAAGAAGAGCTTCGACCATACAGCGCTTTTGCTTCCTGTCAACGAGCTCCATGGCCCAGGACAAGGCAGCTCCAAGTACCTGAGGAGAGGGTCCTTTTGCGACCATTTGCTCGACGACGTCAACACAGCCAGATCGAACAGCTATCTGTAAGGCTTCACCTTTTGCGAAGTTCACGTCTGCTTCTCCATCATGAAGCAAGAGGCGGAAGAGCATATGATCCCTCGCAATGCTTACTTTGTCCCCATAACGCAAGCCAGCCACAAGACTGTGTACAATTTTGACGAGAGCATCCGCAGCGCATGAGCCTTTCGCCCCAGCATCAATGAGCATCCGTATGGCTTCCTGTTGAACTTTTGGAATGCTGATGCTAAGGGCATATGAGAGTGCTGTGGAAAGAGTGGATGCAGTTGGCCTGAGCTCAAGAAGCTTCCGCATCAAGCCAAGTTGTTCCGTTCGCATCGCTTCGACCAAGGCTGCAGCCCCGAACTGCTCTGGCAATTGTTTGTGATGCAAGATAGTCTCCACGAAGCGGGTTTTCCTTTTACTGACAAGCTCGAGGAAGCCGTCTGTGACGAGGTGAGTCGTCTCTGACCCCGAAGCTCCAGCGGAGAGACACAGATCAAGAATGTCGCAAAGGGCATCGTCATCTCTGTTATCGATCAGCTGCCATATCCTGCCAATGGCCGTGTCTAGAGACCGGGGCGATGCTCGAACGGTGCCCGAGAGCAAGGTAGCCACAAAATCCAGTCGGCCAGTCTCAACAGCACGGATCAAGGCGATGGCGTTTCGGTAGTTTACATCAGCCCAATGCTTCAAAAGTAGCTGTAGTATTTCCAATGAGCGGCACTCTACTGCGATCCGGAGGGCAGTAGAGCGGCAAGCAAGACAAGGGAGATGATGACCAGAGAGCAGAAGCTTCACGATTTCGATCTGATTGTGATAGATAAGATTCTGGAAGTCGTCATGGAGTGGGGCAGGGTTTGCTCCATGCTCCAGTAATGTAGCAATGACACGGAGGTCCCGTCTGACGATAGCATGATGAAGGGCGCTGTCGAGATTGGCTTGGTCGGCACGGCTCGCCAGAACACTAACAGTCTCGGGACGACACCGGATCGTGGCTCGCAAAAGTATATCATTCCTCTCTCCACCAGGATGGCGCTGGGTCATCTTGGACCAAGCATGAGAAGACGGTCGACGGAAAAAGTTGACATCAGCCCCCAGAGAGAGCAATGCCTTGACAAGGCCGACAGAGCCATCTGACTCAACAACATCGGCTAGCACTCGGTTTAGCTCCTGTGTGGTGAAGTCGTTTGAGATCTGCGAGAACAGGCGGTTTTTGAGCCAGGTCAATAGCTGTCCGTCGCAGTCCCGAGCTTTTTCGGCCTGGAGGAGCCGGATAGCTTGCTTGGTCTCGGCCTCCATCTCATCGCAAGTGTGATCACAGGTAGTATTTAGATCCAGCATATCGTCTCTGGAAATTCCGTAAGATGGTGCAGATAGTTCATTGTGCTGGATGATCGGGGACGGCTGAAGATTCGGGGCACATAGAAGCGGCCGCTGCTTCAGGACTCGCTCTTAGGATAAAACTTATAGTCGCTTTGGTCCCTTCACAATCTCCCCGAGGGAATCGATGCTGGCGCTGGAACAAGCTGTTGGTGGCAGTTTGCAGTGATGCGTGGATTATGGTCCAACAATTCGAGCGGAACATCATGTTTGACGCCCGAAATGAGCACGCGGCATAACATGATACGTTGTCCAGGAATTCCATTGGCACAGCTAGATAGCGAGAGCCTCGTCCCTGGACTGATGTCGAATGGTTGGAAAGTGTCAGGCATGCGGTTCGCTATGTCGCATATCTGACTTGGTAGGAGCAAATGGTTTGTTGTCGATTGCCGGCGCTGAGACGGTTGAGGCCTAGGGGAACAACGGTGCTTCAGCAGCCGCTGAAACAGCCGCGATGCCGTCCCGCCGGAACCGCGCTAAGCCGTTTGCAGCCTGCAAAAGGTGCTGTTGATTGCTGTTCTCCACTTTTGGCTGCCGATGATCGAGATCGACGTTCTTATTGGCGATGACTCCGCATGGTGATGGGTTGCTTCTGGTTGACCGAGGCATACAACACCCAAGATAAGTGTTTAATGCTACAACAGCCGCTAGTCAGCTTGGAAGTGAAACTGTCAATGTATGTTAGTTTGCAATCTCACATTCACCTGCTAGTTAATATTCTTGGCCTACAATGTCTGCCTAGATTGAGAGTCTAATGGCTGGGATACAAGTTTCACAAGGTATCAAAAAGCCTAGACACTCAACCTAAAGGATATTCCGCAAGCTTTCTGCGTCTCGGGTACCTCACCCGCGACCCGCCATCCACAAGCTCTTGGAGCGACGGAGATGCCACACGTATATAAACTTGTAAAATCCGATCGCACCCCTAGACTATCAATCAGGAGAAGTTCAAACTAGCATTGAATGACTCTGGCACTGATGGCCTGTTGTTAAAAAATACTGCATTCAGTATCAGTCTACTTACAAATGGTATTGCTGATGTTACAGACTTGCCCTCACTCTACACTTCGAAAGCACAGCGTTCTTTACAGTTATCTAAGCCCCCTTTTTTAGAGGTGCTACAATGCTCATCCGCAAGCAATGCTAGGAAACCCTCTTCTGAGGTCGTAAGATATCCCATCAGGTGGGCTTGCTCCTCATGTAATCGAAAAGGACAATATCAACCCTTCTTGTAATCGTAACTTAAGCTAGTATCCACACAACAAGCAGCGTTATCAAGCAAGTGCTTAGTATGTGTGAACCAGCCAGAGGCGCTGCCGCAGTTGTTCCTATAGCAGTAAACCACTCAGGCCAGTCATTTCCCGGAGTCCACCCGATCCATGACTCATTTGCAGGTTGCGATGTAGAAACGGGACTGGAGTCTGTTGTCAGACAACCAGTGGGAGCATACGATAATGGAACTGTACTTGAGGCGATGTTACGAGGAGTTGAAGTTGAAAGAACAGTCGCAGTTGTAATCTCGTACCCGCTGCTCGCACGACAGTTCCCGATTGGCGGCCTAGCATCATTCCCTGCTGAAGTAATATCTGGCCCGGGGTCAGGGAACTTTAGATCAAATCCCTCGATTGTTGTGCATCCGTTCCCTATGTTGGCCTTGAAAACTTCCGGTCGCTGCCCAAATGGCTCTGGCTCCACTGGTTGCCGCGTGTCTCCCACAATATCCACAACTGCACAATTCATGTACATCTCTCTATTACCCCAGAGATTGAACCAGGTCCAAGCGAAGACGGCCTGCTTCACCGTACCGATATTGCCAGGCACCCGGAAGTTGAAAGAGCTCTGCCCATTACTGCGTGGGCAACCACCTTCATAGCTATGCAATGCACGGAACGTTTTCCCGCCATCGATGGACAACGAGGCCTGGCATGAACCACCGCCATGGTATGCCCCGCCGGCAATAGTGAAGTTGTATGTTCCACCTGCGGTCCATGTATCCACTGCGGCAGCTTGAGGAGTAGTAAGAAGGGAGAGTGTTCCTTTACAAGGGTAATCGCTCCCGTCGCGCTTGAGAGGATTTGTCATGTCCCAGTCAACATTGGCGCCAGCATAGGGGTTATTTTTTCCACGAAGAGGTGGAGGATGGAAAAGGAGCATGTGCCCATTTGCTATAGAGGGGGTGAAGGTAAGGAGTGCAAGTAGGGAAAGCAGAAGATGTATTAAGAGATAATGTGATAACATGATTAGGAGTCCTTGTAGGCTGAGGAGATTGGAAACTATTTTTTTTTTCACCTGCTGTGAGGGGAATGGACATTCAGAATTTGAAAGAGTGCGGATAGCCAGGTACCAAAGGCTAGATTATATATGTTGGCAAAAAGGGATGCTACATGCCAGATTTCATCCTTGACATGGAAGTAGCACGCTTTAGCAGTCCTGTGGAAGGATGAAAATGCTGGCATGTAGAACACATCTCAAGGGTTTTAAAGAAGACGTGTCATCATGCTCGACCTGCGAAGACAAGGTGAGTGTCAACGTTTAGTGCGAAGTGAGAGGGTGTATTTTCGCTGTTGAGCAGACCTTACCAATTTCTACCTCACACCATTCTGACCTAGGGTGACGTAGAGGCAGAAATTCATGCTATCAGGGGAAATCAACTAACAGCGCATGACAACACACCATTGCCAAGGGGTATTGAATGCTGTTGATGTACCAAAGCGCTGGTCTGCACAACCTTGACAACTCATAGACAACGCTGATGATCCGAAGATAACTGGCAGTTAATGAGAGTTGTATATTCTTTGTATTCAGACTATGAGGCTTTATCGGTTTGATAAGAGGTCATCAGAGAAGACTTCCACATTATCTTCCAGGCCTCAGAGCAAGTTAGAAAGTGTTGAGACTTGTCAATCTCAAAGTGGCCTAGGGAAGAGTTCGGCGGTTCGCATTGAGAGAAACTTTCAAGCATTTATTTGGCTGTCATTAATATTTATCAAGGGCAGTCAAGATTGGCGAGTGTTTTGACCATATTGTGACCAGAAACATCCTTGAACAGGATTGACTGGCAAAAAAAAAAAATAATTGTGCAATCGCACTTGATGGATTGATTGATGTGGCTCAGGAATGGATGGCTTGGCCATTCAGAGCTAAAACGCAGGGTCTTTCAGTCACGTGATAGGAAAGGTACTTCTTCCCGGAGTGGTTCCTAGACAAGAGCTCTGAGAGCAGCAAATCTGGAGTGAAGAGCACAGTCACGTGTCTCTATTCACAACCGTGAAACATACACCGCTTTCTAATCATGGAAGATCAGTGAGTCCACTCAAGTGCCACAAGTGCCACTGTGGAGAATGCCAAGACAACTAACGACCACAGCCAGCAACCACCACTCTCCAATCCCACCATCCACAGGGGACGAAGTGATCTAGATCACGAATCAGTGAGCCAACCGACAGCGCTCATATTCTCAGACTTTTGATCACTCTCAGCTATCAAAGCTATTCGGAAAACTTCTGAACGAGCTGACACTCACCATGTCGGACTTCGACGCGGCGATGGGAGCTTCACCGGCTGTTCCTAGTGGGCCCGATGTTCTTGGGCTTGCTGCTCCTCATGCTTTGAAGAAGGTAAAGAAGCAAAAAGTCCTTCTTATGGGAAAGAGTGGCTCTGGGAAGTCGAGTATGCGCAGCATAATCTTCAGCAACTATTTGGCCCGGGATACCCGCAGATTGTAAGCCTCTTCTTCCCTGAGGGTAATGTGTCCTTACTGACCTTCTCTTGAACTGCCCAGAGGCCCCACCATTGATGTTGACTTATCCCACGTCAAGTTCCTCGGAAACTTGACGCTGAACCTATGGGACTGCGGTGGCCAGGAGGCCTTCATGAACAACTATCTTTCCCAGCAAAGGGCCCACGTCTTCAGCAATGTGGGTGTTTTGATCTATGTCTTTGACATTGAGAGCCGCGAGGTTGAGCGTGATCTGGCCACCTACATCAACATCATTAGCGCTTTGGTCCAGTATTCCCGTGAAGCCAAGGTGTTTGTACTTATCCACAAGATGGATCTCATTCAGCCTGTTACGCGGGAAGATGTCTTCGAAAAACGTGCTGTCTTGGTCAAACGTAAGACTGCCGAGGCGGTTGCTATTATGCGCAAACAGCAGCAACACCAGCAGTCACAGTCACCTCAGTCACCTAGCAATCCTGTCCTCGATATTGATCTCCAACTCTTCGCCACATCTATTTGGGACCAGTCGCTCTACAAGGCCTGGGCATCCATCATCCACGATCTGGTCCCTAACCTGTCTGTGATTGAAACCCAGCTAGCAAGTCTGGGCATGGCCATTGATGCCGATGAGATACTACTTTTTGAGCGCACTTCCTTTCTCGTCGTCTCAAAATGGACCTCCCGCGAGGGCGAGCGCAACCCATATGGCGACCGCTTCGAGCGCATGAGCAACATACTCAAGAGCTGGAAACATACATGTTCGAAATACACTGGTACCCCACGCAATGCCGAGCAATTCTCCGAGTTTGAATACAAGATGGGCACAACGTTTAGTATGTTTGCCACCAAGTTCACCACTAATACATACATCCTTGTGTGCATGCCACCAGGCGAGGCCCGGTTTAACGCCGCGAAGCTGAATGTTGCAGCCGCAAGGCCGTGGTTCAAGTTCTTAGACGGGCCTGTCACAGTGGCGCATAGCGCTATGTCCTCGCATCAGCAACAGCATATACCTGTTGGTACACCCACTAGTGCTGTGAACAGCAGCAATGGGAACGGGGGACCATCTGATTCCGGGACAACGGTTCCGGAATACTTCATGGCTAACAAAGATACAGTACTGTAGCGTCTTCAGAGGTTTCAAGGCTATTGACGGGGTCGATGAAGGATGGGCAACCGTGATAATATGAGATGTTTGCGATACCAGGAGAGTGGCGTTAAGGGCGTTGGCGCAAAGGTTACTTTGAACACTGCAGACAGGGACACAGAACAGCGTGACAAACTACATAATAATTGGGGATGTGACTGCCTCAGGGAGGTGGGAATCGGAATATAAAGTCATAATCACTCGGTTCCTGAATCTATTTTGCTCTCAGGGATTCTGGCCATCCCCACTCCATGTTCATTAATCTTGATGGATACCAGCGAACACTACAGGATGAGAGGACTCCGAGAAGTCCCAAAAAGGTGACTGACTGTCGACTGCCTGAAGCATGCTGATGTCAGGCATCACTATTCCTCCGCTGCATGCTTGAGTTCCACCAGACTAAAACTCGTTGCTTACTTCCATTTGACAACGGCAGTACCACCCCTCTTGAACTCCGGCATCTCGCCTAATACCAAACTCTTGTCCTCATGGTCTTTGTTTGGGAAAGTTGTAGAGATAACCCACGAGCGACCGCTCAGCGACGTGGAGGCGCGTGAGACAAAGTCGTAGAGGTCTCCAACGGTTTGGGTAGTGTTGAATTGTGCCGGCAGCCGCGTGCCATCCGGCAGCTGGATTCGGATCGTAACAGTTGGCTGTGATGCGTTGGCGCCGGTAGACGGGGCCTGAGTGGAGCTAGAGCCAGTGGTTGCAGCCGGTGGAGGGACAATGGGAGTAGACTCTCCGGGGACGGGACTGCCCAGTCTACGGCCTTGGCCACTAAACGGGCGATAAACCTTCGGCGGAGGACGGTAGTTCTCGTTATGCTGCTGCAACTTGACGTCGACACGCTGGTCTAGGCGGACATTCATCAAGTGGATTGGCGCTCGGCCTTGCCGAATCATCTCGAGATCTGCACGGTTCTGAGGGTCATCGTATCGCCGTAACGGACCATCATCAATGCTAAATCCATCGTTCCAAAGGTGGAGGACTCTTTCTTGGACTGGGCCTTCGTCGCTCTGGCCCGGAGCGTTAGGGTCCTCAACTCTGCGGCTTTCCACACCATCGCCACCAAGAGTCTGGCCAGGACCCCAGAAGCGCCGCCTCGAAGGACCTGCCGATTCTTCACTAGACTGACGAGTGTTCCTGCATCGAGTCATTCAACGTTAGCACAGCGAAATCCAAGCCGGGAAATCATTTTGCGACTGCTTACGCCTTGGCCTTGGCCACAATGTCGTTGATCAGTCTCCGAGGGTCTGAGGACCTCTGTGAGGGATCCTGGACTGCAAGACCGGATTTTTCACCACCAGCGAATAAAGGGCCACGACCCTCATCGTCATCGTCATCTCCGTCGTCCTCTTCATCACGCCTGCTGAGAGAGGACAATGTGGCGATGCCAGTGCGTTTCTGGGGCTTCTTAGCTGAAGATGTCGTGGGGGCGCGAGCATATTCCGGAGCAGGGCGGCCGTCTAATGTCCGTGGACCGGTGTACTCTGGCCCGGTGACAGGGGCAGACGAACTAGGTGCCGACTGTTCGGTATTCTCGTCCATATCTGTGTAGTATGCCGTAACGGCCGAGTCGAGATCCCAATTGCTTGCACTAAGATATTCAGTGGCCTTTGGTGACGTTAGAAAGATGACATTCAGGAAATGTGCAAGGCTGAAGATGCGGTGGGAAACTTGCCTGCGGCGTCGAGGCGCCAGTCAACTCACAAAAGTTGCTGATGAGGGAGTCGTGGTCGGTCATTGCGGATTAGCTGGCGCCAAATTGAAATAGAATTGACCAAAAACAGGTAGCCCTGCAAAAACGGGGAAGACGGTTGGTAGAATCGTAATTAGAATGCAAGAGAAAGAGAGTGGTTTCCAATGCTTCCAGAGAATGGGCGATTGGAACGATTAGGCAGCTCCAGGCGACGACACCCCGGGGCGCCCCAGTGCCCCGCGTTGACATGACTGCTGCCCCTCCAAAACATGATTACGTAACCAAGCTTGCTCGGTAGGTGTGAGCAGATGTGGAGGCGGAGGCAGGCTGTTTGCAGAAACTCCATCAAAGGGTGGCCCTCAAGCCTGTCTGTCCATCACTAGCTGCTGGTGAGCCTCGGCCAACACATCCTTTGATTGTGCTGCTTCCGCTGAACTGTTGATATCTTCCAGCAATCCTTTGGTTCTTTATCGCTGTATCAGCTCACTCGGGCAAATTGAAGTTGCTACCCACTACCCATAATCTGTTCAACCCGGATTTCGCCGCTATCATCTTGGCCTGGCCACATCCAAAGTGCCATCACGGTCGAGTTAAGCATACCCTTTCGAGCTTTCGCTATGGCTTCTGAAGAACACGCTCATCCGCTCGCCGAATCCGGCATGACCATCCGATCAGATAGCGAGCAATACTCCAATTCGGCCCCCGAGGAGATCTCAGCCTCTCCCTCCTCGTCATCACGGTCTGCAGTTGTCGTGTACAAACCGCCTACATTCTGGTCCATTCTGCGCGCCGCGACTATTAATCTGTTTCTCCCCTTCATCAATGGCATGATGCTGGGCTTTGGTGAACTGCTGGCCCACGAAGTTGCCTTTAGGCTCGGCTGGAGCAACACTCGGGTATGTATGGCCATGCATTGTTTAACCTGGATAATGCTCTCACACGGTGCAGGTCTTCCCCGTATCAAGACGTCAAGTACACACTGTTGGGGCAGGCATTGAGTCAGCCAACAGACGGAGGAGAAGGAATGAACTCAATGACTTGACCAGCCTGGAGTGATGTGTCAAATGTTTAGACGCGACTGATGCCGAGCTTTATGAAGCAATATCACGTGGGGAAGCTCTCATCGCCTGATGAGTTGACGAGATACGATATCCACAATTTCACCATTGGATATCCGTCAGCACAACTTGTTTTTACACAGGGCCCTTAAACTATGCTCCTCGCTATCTAAGACGGAGATGAAGGACATGTGAGGCCTGGAGTGATGGCTGCCCTTTGTTGAGATAGCGAGGACTAAGGATCCCTTAGGATATCTCAGTGCGCGGAACGTGGATGTGTCGTATGTGTCGTCTTTGAGCAATTTCTGCATTTACCGCAGAAAGTTAGGCAAGATATCACAAAGAATCTGGAGCAGTTGAGCGGCAAGGCTCAATGAATCGTGAGGCCATCACCGTGTCATTCATTTCATTGCCGCCGTATGAGCTTGAGCTCTCCTTCAGCAGCTGCAGTGACTGTCAGGACAATGACCCACAACACATGCTCCACCATGCTTCCTTTTCTTGGCAGCCTCGTTCCAGGAGCTTGCGGTCCTGGCCAATCACAAGCCAAAACTTAGCCGTGTAGACCCGTCGGAAGTTTACTGTGCCGAACGGGTGCGCGCAGTTGACTTGGGAAATTTTGGTGGAGGGCAGCCCTCTTTGCGATCTACGGAGTCGAGGACTGTCAACCAGACATTAAGAACGGCAGCCCATCTACCTAGACATACAAAATGCTTCCCAGTAGAGGTCTTATTCGACCAAATGCGGCTCTGGGGTTTGTGAAGGCAGTGAGTAAGATCTGTTGTTTCTGTTGCTTTAATGTTCCTCCTCGGCCTCTTCTTCCCTCCAACCTCTCCATCCCGCCTTCTAACATGCCTGGTCCAGTCATTGGCGAAGCCTTCTGCCCGCACTCCTTTGCGCAACTTCGGGACAGCATTGCGCAGAATCAATGGCAATATTCTCCGTGGTGAACTGCCCTCCAGTAGAATAGCGAGCCGGCCGTTGCTCTCGGGCGCTTCTCTTCAGACTGGCTTCTCTCTCCGGCAAGCCCGTAATGCCTCGACACAGCCTACGACATCCACGGCTTCTGCCGCTGCCGCTTCTTCCCCATCTGCTGCCACGGATTCCTCCGTACCCCTCCCTGACCTCACGGCAACGCCGGTAAATCTCTCAGGGAGTGATCTTCTCGACATTCCCGAGCAGATTGGTTTTTTGAAAACTCTGGGTCTCGACTACGGCTGGGGCCCTACTTCGCTCATGCAGACCCTCCTCGAGTCTATTTACGTTTATACCGGTCTTCCTTGGTGGGGTTCTATTGCTCTTTTGGCTGTTGCCATCCGGTTGGCGATCCTCAAGCCGACAATCGATGCATCTGAGAACGTCCAGAAGTTGCAGGAGTTGCAGAAGGACCCTCGTTATGTCGCTGCCACTGAACAGCTGAAGCAGGTCATGGTTACCGGCAATTACCTCGCTGGTGCTGAAGCTCGTGCCAGGGTCTCTTTGATGCACAAGGAGGCCGGCTACCAACCCTGGAAGAATCTCATCAACCTCATCCAGCTTCCCATTGGTATTGGCATGTTCCGGCTCGTCCGTGGCATGGCTGCTCTGCCAGTCCCCTCGTTTGAGACTGGTGGCACGCTTTGGTTCACTGACCTTGCTGTGTCTGACCCCTACTTTGTTCTGCCTATTATCACGGGCTTGTTTGTTGCCCAGGCTATGCGGGTGTGTGCTCCTTGGTCAAACTACAATCTTACCTCCCAAGGCTGGAACTAACTTACATCATAACAGATTCCTATGCCGTACATGGCACCACAACAACAAAAGACTTTCAAGGCCATGGCTTTGATTATGACCCCGTTCACGACAGTTGTTTCTCTCTTCCTCCCTGCCGGTATTCAATGGTACTTCTGCGTCACATCTTTCCTGCACATGATCCAACAATGGTTTCTGCACCGACCATGGTTCCGCCGCTGGGTAGGCCTACGACCCCTGAATAAGACCAACCCCATGGGGATCACTTGGGAGCCCCCTCGCGTTGTGGATACAAAGGCCCCAAGAGTCAAGACTGAGGTGCCAACTGCTGTTCCTAAGAATCAAGATTCCTCACTCTACTCGAGCATCAAGTCAACTATCGAGCTGGCTAAAGAGAAGATGGAGTCTCAGTCTACCAAGGCTGCACTGGAACGTGCCCAAAAGGCTGCTCAGGAGTATGAAGAGAGGCGTGCCCTCGAGGAGAAAGAAAAATACCTTGCTCGCATCAACGCAAAGCGGTCTAAAAACCATTAAGCAGGTCATGAAAGGTGATCTCGGAGTACCGGCGTTGCGGGACGGCATCGATTTCGAGAGCTACAATCCCACCTAATGAGCGATGAGACTTGTTTGTCCCACGTGTTGACTCTTCAACCCATGTATTCTTCCTCTTCCTATGAGTTCTCGACCTCACGCGATCTAGCTGGCACCTCCCCCACCATCAGATGCAAATTGTCGATCACTTGGATGGTGAGATGCTGTGGCTTTGTGATGTCACGAGCATGAATGCAGTGATGAGACATGCTGATTGGGGTTGCATGGTCTCCAGCACTGAGCACGTCATCATTATATTACCGAATGCAGTAACTAGGACAAGGAACTGCCAAGCAAGCTTTGTCGCGTTGGGGAAAAGCCTCAACCATGCCGCCGGGGTGTTGTATAGGTAGACCTCTCACTTCCCTCGCTGTGTATTTTTTTATTGTATAAAGTCGACGCCCTCATCCCATATCTCCTCTGTTTGCCTCATTAGCTGTCTTGTTTGTCTTTGTGAAAAAAACCAAAGCTACTCCACCTACCTTCCCCATCACCAAACCCACATCTAGAGAAATCAGCCTATATTAAAGTCTTCATTACCCCTGCTGTGCACTGAGTTGCTATTCCCTTGTTGACAACGATCAAACCTAGCCTCTCCTCAACTCTTCACTCAACTCATCTTCCCAACAGTAGCTCCCTTTGTACCTGCCAGCAATGTCGGCCGTCCAGCAGAACCTCGAGGCCGCTTCTGCCAAGTATTCGTCCACGTTTACCCAGGGACACCTTGCTCTTCCTCCATCCAAGCAGTACCTTGTCCTGACTTGCATGGACGCTCGCATCGATCCTGCCGCCGCATTTGGCATTGAGCTAGGTGATGCCCACGTTATTCGGAATGTGAAGCTTCCTTTTCCTACAACCTACTCGCTAGCCACAGCCATTTTATATTGTTGATAGTGGCTTGCTGCTATCATGAGAAGTTGTCCAAGATCGAAGCTGACACACTTAGGCTGGTGCTTCTGCCCGTGACGCACTCCGTTCTATCATCATCTCGGAGCAGCTGCTTGGCACCACCGAAATCATTCTTGTTAAGCACACTGGTTGCGGCATGCTCACTTTCACTAACAAGGATGCCTACGAGATTGTTGAGAAAAACCTTGGGTAAGCATCTTTGTCACACAGGCATCGAGACAAAATGTCTTTTCTGACAGCATTTATAGTGCTGAGGCTGCCCTTGAGCTCAAGGAGAGGAACCTGGATTTCCTGCCGTTCCCTGACTTGGAAAAGGCTGTCCGTGAGGACATTGATTTTATCAAGAGCACCAAGCTGGTGCCGGACAATGTAATCTTGAGTGGTTGGATCTATGAGGTTGAGACTGGAAAGACCAGGCGTGTTGTTTGAAGGTGTTTTCACAAAAGTGGACATTTCGGGGATGTGGAGGAGTGAGGCCTGGTGATGAGCATGGAAAAGAAGGCCCAACCTCAGCATGATACCCTGAACTATGACTTATACCTGATGTTGGGTTTAACGACGATTAACCCTGTTTTGGATTAGCTTGATGTAATGTGACCTCGACGCAATCAACTTGCTCTTTGACTGTCTTGTCTTAGAAATTCTGTTATCCTAGGTTAAACTTAAATCATTCTTAACACCACAAGTCAGGTAAGGCATAAGAAGGCCAAGAGCGCACAATGTTATCTTCGGTATCAACCCCTTCTCCCATACGTTGCTTGTTTGGCTCGAGCTCCATTGTTTTCTTCATCACCAGCTCTGCTTTATCTGCAGCTGCATCATTGATTGTCACATTTTTTGTTCCAATCTCAGAGTTAGGAGGCCTAACCGCAGTTTTTGACAGGCCTCTCTTCCCCCTTCCTCGGCCATCAGAGCTGATGTTCCCAAATTTCACACTGAGGTCTTTTTTGCATCCCAGATCCAAGAGACCAGTAACCTGAGCAGCTGGTAGCTTGTTGTGTACTGCCTGATCCAGTCCTTGTGAATACATAGTAGGCTTTCCGGAGGCCTTAACATCACCTAATCCTAGTCTGGCTGCTCGACCTTGTTCCCTTGACAGTTCAACTCTAGATATCCTTATTGAAAAGCCACAGTTGCACCGAGATCTGACCATGTAGTCGTCTACTGAACGCCTGATTTCCCTTGATTGACCCAGAAGACGACATACCATGTGGCGTGATAGGGGTCCATGGATTGAAAATATGCTGCGTTAGGCTTGGGTGTGGTATCGTCTTGGATCTGTAAGTTTTTGTGACCTTGGGGTTTTGGCCTAAGAAGTATTTGCTTGAGACAACAGCAGAGGCGCCTTCTGGTGGGATGTCGGGTGCTTTCTAGACTGTGCAGAAGGAACCGACTGTGAACAGGGCAACGATGGAAAGTTAATGGTACAGCCACTTTTTTCTTACGGGGTTCGATGGGAGCCGTATAGGGAATCGGAAGCAGGTGTACCGATTAATGTAGAGTTGCCGTTGGTGTCACTAGAACTCCACGAGCAAGGGGCTCCGGATGCCATGCCTCTCTCAAAACTGTGAATTCTATGAGTACTTCTGTTGCAGTCCTGTTGGCTGGATAAATATCGAGTAAATATCCAAGGCAGCTCAAGATGCCTTAGGAGAAGTTGAAAATGCAGAAAAAGGTTAACAGTGCAGATGAGAGGAACAGGAACGTATAGCTGCATTGATATGTTTTTGAATCACCACGCCACGCTCACGGTGGCGATGCCTAGCGACAGCAACAAAGGTGAGCGCGTTGCACGATAAAGCAGCTGCCAAATAGACAGTAAGCAACATATATGGAGGTGAATGTGGGAAACATGGAAACGAGGATTGAGAGGATGAGACGAGAAGTCTCTTCGGCGAGTTGTAAGTCCGTAATATCAAAGATAGAGTAAAGAGAGGAGGGGCTACAAGGATAGCGTAGAAATGAGTATTGTTGGCATATCAAACTCCTTTAGATTTTTACTGACGAGTGCTTTCAAAAAAGAGTTGTCTTTAGCTACCCACAACGTTACGAAGTTCTGAGAGATTTCATGGAGAGGCCAGATCAAGCCATTTGGCTTACATAATGCAACAGACGATAGGCAGACTTAAAACAGAGGCTATTCGTAGCAATATAAATGAGCCGAAAGAGAAGAGAAGCAGCCATTGTGCTTGGCACTGGACGACAACCTTTGTCCACTGATACAGACATAGATCGAGGCATGTTCAACTCCAGAAAGGCGGAAAGGAAACAGGTTAATGGTAACGATAAGATACAATTTCCTAGCACTTCCTGTAAGATAATGAGGGACAAGGCAGCTAGATGTTAAATTTGAAGCAGGGTACGAGCACTAGACACCTATGTAATCTGAGTGAGTAGCTAAGAGAAGAGCCTAGCCCCAGAATATCAAGGAATGTGTGGAGAAACAACTAAAACGTGCGAAATAATCGCGACCCGTGCCCAACGATGGCCATTCAAGGGGCGTTGAGATGCTGGGAGGTGAACTGATTTCGCTGGGCCTTGTAGGAATGTAAACGGAGTGATGAGCGGGTCTCCACATGTCCAGAGAAGCCCATACAGAAAAGAAACCCAATTGCAAAAAAACATCGCACAAGAGAAGCGCTTCACAAATGACCAAGGATGATCAAAGTACTTTGAAAAAGCCGACACAAAAGCTTTTCAAGAACAGGTCCAGAGTATCTGCAATCTTGTCGGGACCATGGTGAAAGAATGTGAATAGAACCACTGGTGATTCACTACCAATCTGCAAACTTGGTGTAATCCAGCAAAGGGTTCGCTCATGCAGCTAACATGAGTCCGCTTAATGGTCTTCCCCAACCCGGGCTTGGCCATCGCCGGTCCAGCCTTCGCGTTCGTAGTAGCGGAAGATCAGATAATAATCGTCAAAATCATGGACGATGCGGTCCATGCGCCGGTAGCCCTTAATGGTATCCATATGCTTGATTGGGGCAACAAGAAGGCTGTCATCATCAGCCGGTTTCTTGGCTTGGAAAAGAGTCATGGTGAACCGACCCGGCTTAAAGATGCTGACAACGTGGTTGATGACCTCGGAAGTCGCACGGCCATTCTGACCACCCGGGACATTGGTTTCAAATGAAGCATACGAGCAAACGGGTTCGGGTGTGACATGGACGGTCCAGTAGTGGTCTAGCTTATCGCATTTGCCATCAGGACCAGGAACCGGAGCAGGAACCACACCATTGGCAGAGAAACCACATGGGGTGAATAAATAGGCGTCAATGCGAGAGTCTGGATATGCGGACTTGGGATACACCTGGGAGAGTCCACACATATCAGAAACGACCGTGCCAAGGGCGTGTCCCTCAGTGGTACGAGCTTCGATGTCCGCTTGTTCAGCGTTGGGTGCAGCGCCGTCCAAATCTTTGCTATTGGCGAAAACATCAACATGATCGGCATCAGTGACGAAAGCCTGGCCGTCGATATCACCCAAACTGTCATGAGCAGCACGCCGAGCTTCCCGGGCTTGGGCAGGCACCCGCTCATCGGCGACCGCACTCGCCTGTTCCAGGTAGAACTGCTTCGCAAGCTCGGGATCAAGATCCATCATGAGAATCTCAAGCGTCTCGTCAGCTTGTTCCTCAGGAGCGCCAGGGAAGGTAATAATTCCGGTCGGAATCTTGGAAGAACGAGTTGGGCTACCTCCATTGCTTGAGCTAGGAGTTAGGGGTGGGGTCAGGGTGTTGCCGACAGGGGACGTCATATAGAGATACCAATGGTCGGCGTTCATCCGGCCAACCATGTAGGCACTGCCATTCTCGAAGGTGTCGTCCAGAAACTTAACTTCATCCTTCCAGCTCGAGTGAGGTCCACGTTGACGGTGGGGAAATAGGAAGTTCTTGCGGCTGTAAAAGACGCGGTATGGAGTCGCGGCGACACGAACGTCATCCAACGATGTTGCATTGTGAAAAGGGAAACCCGCATCAACAGCGGCAATGCGGAGGAGGCGGCGAAGTCCGAGGAGCAAGGTCGTGGTGCCGCATGTCTTGAGGATGAGCTTGTGCGGGAAGACGAACATGCTTGACTCGGACAGGAGATAGGCATCAACATGCTCCGACCGAACAATGGAGAGAATTTTGCATTTGACCAAATCGAGCATACCCTCCCAGGTTGAGGGGCTGACGGCTTTGAGACCACCTTCCTTGACGCTCGGGGGCAGCAGACGAGGCGACGGTGCAAACCAAACTTCAAGTAGCTTCTCAGGGCCTTCAAAGGCATTGGTGGAGTCTAGGTCCGCGGCGACCTCATGGTTGATAGTGAGATGTGGGCTTCTCTCACAGGGAGAGAAGGTATAGTTGTCGGGGATTCCAAGGTTAACCATGGTCGGCCTGTGCAACGCTATTGATTGTGTAGTGCTGCTGTTGTTGGCGAGCGTCCGCGGGACACTAGCTGCCGCTCAAACGAACTTGGTGCGGCGTTCGTTTGAGAGAGTAGGCCCACAGGAATGTGGTGTCCTTGAGATAGCTGGCTTCCCAGCTGCAGTGTAGGGCAGAGTTGAAGGCTGGACGTCACGAGAGGACGTTAGGGGGGGCGACCGCGGATTGGGGGGCGGTAGAGCTTGAGGACCGGAATTTTGGGCACGTGGTTTAGGTGAGTGTGAGGGGCGACTGAACCGATACCTGTGGCTGAGTATCGGCTCGAATTACCGAGCAAAACACGAAGTAGGGTGTAGATATCGAGAGGATAGCCCTAATTGCGGGTTATCGAGGCCTTGAACAGGTGTGTTAGCATTTGAGCAGCACCGATGGAGAGCAGAAGTAGGTGTGGTGTTGATGGGAGCTCACTTCGCAGGCTTGGAAAGGAAGCGCAGGAGGTCAATTGCGGTCATTGACCGGGGAAGCCAATCGGAAAGAGGCGATTTCTGAGTCCAGTGTTCAACCACTCCGCGAGACGGGCTGGTTTTACACGGATCTCAGCATCGCAGAAAAGGGGAGGGATTTCCTTCGTCTCCTGGGTTGAGCCGTGCAGCAGGAGGCTTGCAGTTGTACGACAGATGGCCCAGACCTCTGGAGCTGGCGGGCGAAAGAAATATTGTTAAAGGTATTACAGGGCAGAGATAAATTCTAGGCAGTGATAGAGGTTGAATTGCGAACAGTGACTGTCCAATTTGACAAAAGACAACCTAGATCAGCAGAGGAAGTGGCTGAGGTCGGCGACTGTTTTAAAGCAAAATTCAAGCGCAGAGGTTGCGCCAGAGTTCGCGGGCGGGGCCCAGAAATTTTGGCGCCAAGACTGAGCGGGGCATCGCGGGAAGGATCCTGTCGCTCAGCCCTCGATAGATGCATTCCTTTGTGTCTCGTGTTTCGGTCATGTCCACAATCTAGTAACCAATCTCTATCTTTCGGAGAATCCAATTACATTCCACAAAACGCGTGCAGATAGATTCAACAATCTGTAACCAGAATCTACTAACGTTCTGCGTCATCATACCGTTGAACGACTGATCATGCTAGGCCCTCAAGTCAAGCATTGACTGTTGAGGGATATCGTGTTACAGAATACAAGACCCTTGTCGGGATCATTGCAGGCGGGCCGACGTCTGTTTCCTACGTTTGTCTCCCCACTCTTGGGCAACCCTAACTCCAGAGTAGCAATTGGGCTGTTGCCTATGACTCCCACCCCCGAATGCTCACATGCCAATATCGCGTCCGCAAGCAACAACCGGGTCAATAAGGTGTGGCAGAGAGGCATTTTTACCTATGCGACGGTCGTTGCGGACCGCCACTCCGTGGCTGTGAAGCGTTGAATGGCAAGGAGAAAAGATGCCGCTAGGCTTTCACACAAGGGCTCTTAACGGTGGTGCTGTGATTGTCGGGAACTGTCGGAGGGTGATTAATGGGTAAGGCGGGATAGGATGGTGGTGTTTGGTATTGTTAATGTCACGCAGCAGAAAACAGGATTGGGGATTTGAGGAAACGTCAAGTCTCAAAAGTAGCGCTTAAACACCGAATGCCAGGAGTGTTGGCTGTATCAATATCGGTTTGGGTATCTGGCTGTCTTATTTCCATGTTTCCCTTTCATGACGATGCCTAGCTTTCGACATCAGTCTTGCTGCCGGCAGCTTGGTTGGATAAGTTATGCTCTTAAGCATCCCAAGTCCTGTCTCAAATATCCTTTTCACAATACTGGGTTGGAAAATGCGGTGTCATCTATCATCTCACCGCAGGATGCGAGTGAGATTTAAAGTTATTGCGCGTCTCAAAGTTTTATTGCCGCTTCCCCTAACTCGCTAACTCCCGCTTGCTTGCTCGACTGCCACCACCACGTCGGCAGTAATAGCGCGAAATATCGGCGCAAGAGAGCAGTCTCTGTACTTGTCCACCAGCAGCGAAGAATTCGGGGTTTCGGGATTGTCAGCGTTATCGACTTGTTCAAGATGCTGAAACGATAGATCTTGACTATTGACCTTTGTCCCTTCAGGATATCTAGGGCGCTTGCCCGTCTCAATCAGAACCAGAAACTGCGGGTCGATTGGAACACGGCCTAAGAAGCGAACATTAAAATCGTTGGCCATAATTTCTCCTCCACCACTGGAAAAGATGTTGGTGCACTCGCTACAGTTCGGGCACACAAATCCGCTCATATTTTCCACAACGCCCAAGACGCGGATACCGGTCTTTTTGCAAAAATTCAACTCCTTCCTGACATCTGCCGTTGCCACAGCCTGTGGTGTTGTGACAACTATTGCTCCGGAAAGCTGTCCGGGACGTGCTTCCTGCAGGAGAGTTTCGGCGAGAGAGATATGCTCATCACTTGTTCCTGGAGGAGTATCGACCAGGAGAAAGTCGAGCTCGTCCCATAAAACATCCGACATGAACTGGCGAACCATGGCTGTCTTCTTTGGTCCTCGCCATATAACCGCATCACCCCGCCGGGGGAGAAGAAAGCCCAAGCTCATGACCCTCAGCGACCCAATGCCAGTGCTAGGGTTCGCTTCATGAACGACAACGGGTAGCCAACCACCAGACCCCTGCTTCACTTTTGCGTCCTCGACGGCGAACATGCGAGGTATGGACGGACCTGTAAGGTCGACATCGAGCACGCCTACTGAGTATCCGGCCTGTGAAAGAGAAAGGGCAAGCTGTGTCGTCACAGAAGATTTACCGACTCCTCCCTTTCCCGAGAGTACCTAAAGCAACGAGAAGGTTAGCATCAAGGACAGTCAACGGCTGTCACAAAATGTGGGGCATTATGATACTTACCAGAATAATATGCTTAACTTGAGAGAGAGACATGTTGTGTGCATGAAAAAGGTGAGCTGATGGCGGACGGTTTGGGTCAGGGAACGCGTGTTGGTTGAGTAACCTCTAAGGCAGCTCGCAGATTAGAGTTTCTCGGCCCTAATGATGCCGTGGGATGATGGTTGAACCAAGTTGGAGAGGTCCGTCAATGTGCTTGACTCTCCATCGGATGGTCATCGGCTTGCTGATAAAGCTGGTGGAGAACGGTAACGGTCATCCATCGCAGGCGGTGCTTCGGTACTTGGGTGTGTACTGTGTGATCTGTAAAGCTGTATGTACAACACACGTGACCCGAATTGGCTAGTGCAATACTTTGACACCAAGCTCAGATAGCCGATAACCTTAGTGGGCAAACAATTACTCATGTCAAAAGGTTCTCAAGAAGCAGTATTAATCGGCAGAGAGTTCTCTTATTGTCAAAACCTAAATTCTTTGTGCACATCCTACAGAAGCGTTGTGGCTTCCAGAGTTCAATTAGGTAAGACTCATGGTTCAGGTTTTGTGCTTGTTCGACCCAAACAACAGAGGGCCAGCACGACACAAAACTTGGAGTATGTGCCCCCATAAGCTGTTATTTACTGTTACCGATTACTTACAAGCAATGACGTACGGCTTTGATCGGACATTTCCATCTTTTGCACCCCGTTTACGGAGTACCCACCACGCTATTTCTCCGCTAGAAACCACCAACTGACAGGAGAGGATGGCAGCGATGCGATGCTGCCCCCCTAAATGTTGCTCACTTTAGACAACAGCACACTCTGTTCAGTTTTGCTGCTCGAACTGAAGGACTGGCGATCCAGTCATACATCCAATTGTCTTCCCACTTTTCTGGACGTATCCCGTGGATAATTTCCACCTTTCATCCACGCACCGGCCTCTGCGGCTCGCTGACGCGATGCACAACCATCCACATCACTACTGACTCGCACCATGAAATCAATCCGAACATCACAGCATGGACGATCCGTGGGGCTCACCATGGGCCACGACCAATTCACCCAAAGACCAAACGTCAACTTTACCACACAAGTCTGACATTGCTCCTCCGCATACCTTCATCTCCCCATCCCCCTCTCCTCGACTCCACGAAGACCTCAAGCAGTCACCCTGGGACAGTGATGATGCAGGCTTCGGAGAATGGGCTGGGCGTTCAGACGAGCCATTGGGGCATTCAGTGTGGAACAATGGATGGGAGGAACCGTGCGCGAAACTAACGTCCACACCACATGGCGACCGAGCACCAGACGCGGCGAACCGGTTTTCGTGGGCCGCCCTCGTTGCGACCCCTAAAGGACCAAACGATCTACATCTTCTATCTGCAGCCTTAGATCCTTGGGCCATTGATGAGGCTGTCGAAAAGGCGCTGGCAGATAAAATCATTGCTCCTGAATTTGTCAGAACCGCCTCTCCAGTCCAAGCTTCTCCAAGCAGCTTTGATACGCAATTACGTGGAACCATGAATCGTCAGAGTTCGTGTGGATATGAAACGAATGACATCGATGGACACCAAGTTTTAGGTCTGGATCTTGTGGAATCGTCGGGGAAATCCAAAGATCAATATATCCTCGGATCAGTTTCTGGCCACCCTCTCACCGGTGGGCAATCTGCAGCTGAACGAGAAGGCCAATCTTCAGGACAATCTCTGGAGAATACGGACCGCGAGGACGAGCGTCAAGACTATCCAATTGCTCCTGCCGATGACGATGCGGGAAGTTTGCGCCCAGCGTTACCAAAGTCTTCTGGCAAAGTTCAGGAGCTTGTTGTCAAGTTTGATGGCCTAGCCAGAGCTGCAATTGAAGAGCATCTTGCAATCCAACAGCATCGCATCCGTAGCCGAAGCCCAGCTGATTCAAGAATGTTGAGTGGTGTTGCCGATGATACGGAGTTTGGGGACTTTGAGGACGCGGACCAAAAAGATCTGGCCCTGGCTTCTGACTGTGCTCAAATGTCTGAAGCTAGCACAACGCTAAAATCGCCGAACTCTTCGACTGCTACTGCAGCAGCTGCTGCCAATCCTGACGCTCTCAATTTCAGTGTGGATTTCAGCTTAGTCGACAAGCTCTTCAAGGTACCTATGAAGAGGTCAAGCGCCATGTCTGTCATGAACGCGGACATCCCAGATCGCATCATTGAAGATAACTTCAGGGAACTTTCACAGCGTAGGACTTGGTATAGGATATCTCGGTTGGGGTCTTGTCGGAGGCACGCTGCCGCTGATGATGACAGCTACCGCCGTGTTCTTTGGCGCTCGTCCGTTGTCCACAACGAGACAATAAAGATCGTCCGTCGATGGATGGAGGAAGACTCTCTCATTGGCCGTGCCACCTTAGGTGGTGGCAAAACACAGAAGAACATGTTTGGATGGGATTCACCAGCAGAACCGGTGACTCTAGACGAAGTATTCCGCAAACCTAAAAGTCACTCAACCATGCGATGTCTGCAATTACCCTCGGCCAATGTACTCTCTCGCTCGGGATCCGGTGACGACTCTCCTCATAAACTTGGGCATTGTTCTTCTGGCAGCGTGGGCTCAGGTGTAGTTGCTTTTAGCTGGAGCACAACTTCTCCCATGCAATCAACACATGGTGCCGTCAACGCGACACAGGCTGGCATATCCAGCGACAGCGCAGTTTCTGTCGATGAAGTTCCCGACGCATCCTCCACTTTGGATTCGATAAGCCCGGCTGCTCTGCCCTCTCGACAGACACTGTCTTCTGCCACTGCTCTCACTCCTCCGTCCATAACCAATTATTCTCCTCGACCAGACAAGCTAAACCCAAAATCTGAACACGATGATGATAATGAAGAGTGGGGAGATATGGTCTCCTCGCCAGCCGCGTCGAATCCGACTGTCAATAGTCTCAATGCCTCTTGGACCCTTGATATTATTATACCTGTCAAGCCCCCTGTCAAAGTCGACGGTGTCAAGTCGCACTCCGACGCATCTCACGGCGATGACCTTAGGACTTCGGTTGGTGTTTCTGTGTTCAAGCAACTGGTCTTGAACTCGAAAATCACAAATAACACTTCTCGCCCCGCTGCTTATCCCCCCGAATCTTGTTCAAGCCGTCCAGCCTGTGTCTCTCATACCGTTGTCGCGCTTTCTGGTCGAGCCTCTCCAACAACTTCAGCAACCGAGGTTTGTCCATCCCTCGGGCCGGAGCTCTCTAGATCCGAAGCTAGCCCTTTTGAGGTTCAAGCTCCAAATATTTCTACGAGCTTGGGTCATAGAGCATCAAGTCAGGTTGTTGAACCATTCAATGATGATGAGGAAGCACGGCAAATTCTCGCCAGTCTTCCAGATTTGACATACATGCTTCGATAATGTTAACTACTTCTGTAGCAAGATGCCAAGCCTGTGGTTTACTAATTTGGTATATTTCGTAAAGCTTGGAAGATTCGGGTAACCCTAAGGGCTATAGAGGCGTTGTACCTGCGGCGCGACTAAAAGATAATTTACAAATGCCTACGCATTACTTTGTCGGCTCATCCGACACAAGCCACCACGTCACACCGTAAACCCCATGTAGACCCAGATGTTTTACAGGAGGGTCCGATAATCCCATCTGTCAAAGCATGCCGTTTACCTTATCCCCTTTTCATATGATAGACCAAGCGCTAGTTCTACGTCAATGGCTATGTGGGGGTCCGTATCCCCCCACCTGTCGCGGTAGCTGCACAGGTAAAGTACCTGATCGCTATCGCTGTGATGGCAGTGAGTGGTGGGCATAGGATGCGATTTGCCTCAAAAGCGCATCTACCGGATACCAGTTTCCCATGTCTTACCTGGAGTCGCAGATGCTCGGAATCGCGATGAACGCGAAGTCGCGAAGCCTAACGGAATGCTTGATCCGTCTGCGGCCCAGGAGCCGCCACGCTGATCCAGTGCCGGCTAGCGCTGCCGGAAGTCTGACCCCGCATCCCCGCATCGTCAAAGAGCACTACCCGTCAGCCAAGAAGTTAAGCCGGCATCCTGGTCCTTGCGAAGTCTGCGGTTTAGCGTGGGGCACCAACGTCGGATGAGACACCAACCCTTCCACGTCGACACTCCTCCGCAGTATGCTCCCATCGAGCTGGAGTACCATGAGAAGAATGTAGGCTGTTTAGACCGCTTTACGGTGCCCAGCTGCTGGGCATGTGTCCAGCTGCCATGAGGCAAAGAAAGAGTATGGGCACGGGACCATGCCTTCGGCTGCCCGACCCTCTTGGTGTGAATCGCATCAATTCTCAGTATATAATAAGCCAGGTCGCTCGCCCGTGGTCTTCACAATTGATCATTGGCCGCTGCTCAAGTCACACCTTGCCCGACTACGATGGCCATCATCAACTTCATCGTATCGCCTTGGGCGCCAGTCGTGTTGCTGGTCTGTCTAGTGTTTTACTACTTGTATCCTTACTTTGTAACTTACCGACACCTCCTGCGCATCCCGGCCCCCTTTCCAGCACAGTTCACAAACCTGTGGCTTCTCCTTGTATGCCGCCGGGGAAATCGCTATGAGACAGTACACAAACTTCATCAGAAACTTGGGCCGGTTGTCCGGATTCAGCCCAACCATGTGAGCATTTCAGACGACGAGGCTATCCAGCTAATCTATGGTCATGGCAATGGCTACCTAAAATCGTAGGCTCTTCTCTTGACAAGTCCCGAGGGGAAACGCACCGTTCCACTGACATAGAAGCTGCAGTGACTTTTATGATGCTTTCGTCAGCATTCAGCGCGGTCTCTTCAACACACGAGATAGGGCGGAGCACACACGCAAGCGCAAGATAGTCTCTCATACCTTCTCTGCCAAGTCGGTACTGCAGTTTGAGCCATATATCCATAGCAACCTTGAGCTTTTTGTGCGGCAGCTTGACAGTATGATTGCCCGCTCAAGCAATCCTGATGGTGCAGCACATCTTGATATCCTCAACTGGTTCAACTACCTTGCATTCGACGTCATCGGTGACCTGGCCTTTGGTGCCCCGTTTGGCATGCTCTCTTCTGGCGCCGACATGGCGGAGGTTCGTGCGTCTCCAGAGAGCCAGCCCATTTATGCTCCTGCTATCGAAATTCTCAACCGCCGCGGCGAGGTATCTGCCACGCTTGGGATCATGCCGTGGCTCAGGCCTTTAGCCAAGTATTTCCCAGATCCTTTCTTCAGCAAGGGCCTTGAAGCTGTCGATAATTTGGCTGGTATTGCCGTCGCTCGAGTTAAAGCACGCCTGGAAAATCCTCCACCTACTCACCGCAAGGATCTTCTCCAGCGCCTGATGGAAGGACGGGATGAGAAGGGTAACCCTTTGGGTCGGGAGGAACTGACTGCCGAGGCGTTGACTCAGCTGATTGCTGGCAGCGACACCACCTCCAACTCATCCTGCGCTCTGCTCTACTATGTTGTGCGAACTCCTGGTGTCCTGAAAAAGCTCCAGGAGGAGTTGGATGCCAAGCTTCCTGCAGACATTGATGTACCTACCTTCGAGATGGTCCGCGACTTGCCGTACTTGTCAGCCGTCGTCAATGAGACCCTGCGCTTCCACTCCACTTCGGGAATTGGTCTGCCCAGGCAGATCCCCCCGATGCCGAAAAAGGCCTGCGGTACAAGGATTATTACTTCCCTCCAGGGACAGTTCTCAGCGTTCCTACTTATTCGATCCATCATTCGAAGGAGATTTGGGGCGAGGATGCGAATGAGTTCAATCCGGAGCGGTGGTTCAGGCTGACGTCAAGGCAGAAGAACGCGTTCATCCCATTTAGCTATGGGCCAAGGGCATGCGTGGGGAGGAATGTAGCTGAGATGGAAATGAAGTTGATCGTGGCTACCTGGGCAAGGAGATATGATGTGTACCTGCGGCAGGATTACATGGAGACGCGCGAAGGATTCTTGCGTAAGCCTTTGGGCTTGGAGGTTGGGCTACGCAGGCGGAGGGTTCCACAGACCTGTGACGATGATGCTACATAAGGTAGTCAATCAATACACAACAGAGAATGGCTGGCGTTTTAAGTTTATTTCAAGTCATGGTGGCTCTGTGGATATTATTACCGCGAGGTACTCTGGGAGCATCGCACCTACAAAACGGAGTTTGGACATAAATCCCCAAACGTCAGATGAAGAACATTAATGCTATCTCCAGATGCCCCATGTTAAACATACTTACGTTGAGGAGATCAGGGCTTTAAGCCCCGATTTCTAAGTCCGCCCCTGGACACTGTGTTTATGTGCAGTTGACCATTTCCTCGCTTCGACCGGGTACAGTAACCGTTCGGCAACTTTAGTGCCCACGATTACCCCACACAGTTTTCCGTACATACAGTCTATCAACCCATACACACTGGGTCATATTTGGCACGCGTTGGGTGAAGCAATGGCTACCAGACACCTCCGATTCATTTACCGTACAAGTAAGGTAGGTATGGTCCGCAACAACAGTGGGGTTGTAAAGTACCTAGGACCTACAAGGTCCAAAGACTAGAACTAGTCGAGCAAACAAGGAGTGATTTTGTATATACACTGTGCAACGGCTCCACAACCAGGAGTTGCCGACGCTGGGCTGACGTCAGCTACGACCTCGACCTCCTGTCCAGGCGTACTCAACTCCAGAGCAAGCAACTCTTCTACTCAACCCATCATGAAGCACGAGTATCCCATTTGACAAAAAGCGGCCAATACGATTACCCTCGGGCATCCCAGATTCTCTGGCACTACGGTTTGTCAACAGGTCAGAGTCGAACAGGTTATTCGCTTTCATCACAGGACTTGCTCTCCAGCATGGAATGGCACGTGTCTTCGTCAAGGCTGACAACAAGTTTCATTTTTCTTCGAGCCATGGTCCTGGTCATATCCTGCAGCTACTCGCTGAAGACTGCGCAATTTCACTTGGCCCCACTGGACACACAATAACTGTCACTATCTCGCAAAAATAAATGCTCGCATTTGGTTCAGCAGTGATCAAGAACTTACTTGTGTGAGAAACCTTGGAGGACCAAGTGGTGATGCTGCTCTTGTTGAGCCATCCGTTCTTAACCAAACCGACGTAAACATCAATATTGACTTTGCTTTCTGCGAGCTCACTCTTAACTCGGTCCAGCTTTTTGCCAATATCAGCCATGTTGACTTTGTCCCTCGCCTACCATCGCACTTGGTCTGCACACCCACAGTGATGGATCGCAGCATGTGTTCGGCATGCCATCTGATGGCTTGGACAAGGTTTGTGCTTGGCTGCGTGCTCAAGCAGCAATAGACCACTGGCCCTGGGATAAACTTATCTCTCTGTTCCCGAAACATGTCATCTTTCTCCCTGCCTTGAACCTAACCCACGGGCACTGCGGTCGGTGCCAGCTTTTCGGGATACTTTGAGCCACTCATCAATACTACTTGGAAAGTAATTCTCGACCAAATTCTCATCGTAACTTCCTATTATCGCTTCCGCCTACCCCTTCTTGACCGTGGGCCTGACTCTTTTATCACAGTGATAGTTGGGAGACACCTTCGTGTCAACACCCAGTCCATTACAGAGACTGTTCACGGCTCAGTGGATATCTCTCGTAACAACGTCCTCATTGCCAATGAACCATTTCGCCGTTCAACAGCCGAGGATATCTTGTCGTGTTCTACTGGTCCTTTTTCAACAAGCTCTTTCCCAACCCAAAACGCCATTATTTCTCATCTCGCAGCCGCTTTCCAACGCGGGTGTATGGTTCACGACGACATTGGTGAGTACCCACCCGGAAAGCATACAATTTATTGGGGAGACCTGTGTAACCACTATGCGAGAATCGTGCATGAATGTAACTTGGATGTGAAAGGATACGCCTTTGCTTATGATGATGTTTATTGTGACAGAGGGGACGATCAGAACGGAAACATAGAAGCAGCGGATCCAATGATTTTGAAAGTTATTGTATGAGGGATAGCGCCTCAAGAACTTGGTGGAAGTGAGACGACCAGCACACTGGGACAACTTGGTAGATTCATGACAGCCGCTACATTTAGGCCAAAGATTTGCCTTACAGTTCTCCTCGTCCAGAGGCTGCCTTACAATTCTTGCTGATAGGATGCAATGTCGTACCAGCATGACATTAGTAGACAGAATACAACCGGTCTCATGACAAATTCTATCAAGATTGTCACAAAAGCAAACTGCATAAGTAATAGTATCGTAAGCTACTGGCATTGTTCTTCAGTTTTAGAGTCTAGATGTCATCATACAAGCACACATCTTCGACAACCATCCATGACGCTCTAGGCCTATCCTAAACGATGGCTGTATTCAAACTAGCCAAGCCTGCGTACGTTGAATTTTTGGAAAGTCAACGTGCACCATCATCATACACATCTAGGACGTAATGGACTACGGTCTTGGTTTTCTTCCAAAAGCGCGAGAGTTTTCAAAGATCTACTGCCAGATCACTTTCGACCTTCTTGCTAACGCGATATAAAAACCCTTTCTCTGACAATGTTCCCGCCAATGCTTCGTATGTGAGCAGCATCTTGAACACAAGACCGTAATTTTAAAGTTATCTGAAGTGATGCAGGTATATTGTGAAACTAATACAGGCTGACAAGAAGTAGATGGGCCAGAAGAAATCGAAATATATCAAGACCAAGTCAATAGGTAAAGCTTGCAGTGCTCTCAAAGACAGGGCATGCGGCTAAATTCCATCAATTACTCTTCATCCACATCGTCGCTATTTTCTGATTCCGCTTCTTCCCCATCCTCGTCATTATCCTCATCTTCATCTTCCTCATCCTCCTCCCCCCCCTCTTCCCCTTCTTCTTCGTCCGCAGATCGCCATGATGATGCTTCAACAGTAGTTAGTTAAACGACTCTCTTTCATAAGAAAAGATATACATACATTTCTTGAGATGAAGGCTGTCAATGGCTTCTTGCACAGCCTTCTCGAGAGACATGTGATCATTGGCTAGGATATGCTGTTCCAGCTTCTCGAGGTTTTGATCTGCGGAACGAAACACCAGCCGCCGGCTGGATATAGAAGAGAGGTTCCACGCCGGATATGATATGTTCAGTGACTGGAACCGTGGTCCAACCACCTTCAACAATTCCTTTAAAAAACCTGCCCAAGGGTGAACTCCACGGTCCCATTCCTCACTGCTTTCTGTCATCAGTCCTACTCTTCGTAGGGATAGAGTGCGCATGGTAGATGAAAACTTTGAGAGAAGCTTCAAGAGGATTCCCGCTTTTACAGAGATCGTCCCGAAGTCTAGTTGCTCAAGATAAGGGAAGCGAACGAGATCTGGAGTTGGCGAACTGCCGAGAGCCTGCTCGTCATCTGACGTTTCGCCCAGCCATACCAAGAATTCTTCGATTCGAGTCCAAGCACTTCGACCATGCCCGACGAAGTTAAGGCGTAACCAGGTAATGTTTGGAACATACAACAAAAACTTTTGAAGTAGTAAGGGCTTCATGCGATAATCATCTGGGAAGACCAAAGTTAAGTGCAGCTTTTTAAGCCCCGCAAGCATTGGGGTAGCGGAAGATTCAATCCGCGGCGAGACGAAGAAGGCGGCGTCCTGAAGCCCCCATTGACGGCGGCAAAACCTTAAACCAACTTCAAGACTGTTTGGTCGTGCGTTCGACGTAGCGAGGGCAGCTATCACTGTGGTGAAAAGCTGTGATGGATAAGGATCAAGCTCTTCACTTGGATCTCGCGTGAGCAAAACTTTCCTTCCGATCTGCTCTTGGAGAGTTTTGGCAAAGTAGCTTGTCCATTTTGCGCTTGAACCATCACGTCTGCGGCTTGGCGATTCGAAATCCCGAATCTCAACAGTCTCGAGGTTGGGCAGGTTCGAAAAAACCTCCACAAGTATCTCCTTCAAGGCACCTGTGGAAACCAGGTGCATCTGATCTCCCAAGGCTTGGTGCAATCGACGAACTTCGTTTTGCGTCAACTCCTGAACTCGAGAGCTCCAACCATGGGCAATTGGCGCGACTAGCCGGTCGGTGCCGATAATGACATGCTTCAGAACCTGAGAAAGAATCGGATGTTTGGAAATATCGAACAGAGCCTGTAGGCTCTCAGAGTAGACCATGAACTGCTTCTTGCGGAAAAACTCATGTGAAAATGAATGAAAAAGGTTCCTCTCGATGGCTCTGCATGTAAGCCTCATGCTTCCCAGGTCTTTTGTTGAAAGATGCCAAGTAATGCGAAGGAGCACTTCTGGGGGCAATCGAGCAAGACATGCATTACTTGGGGGGCTGGCTTTCTTCGCGTCGACCGCAGCGGCTGCGACTGTGTGAGAAGATGGCATCATTGTCAATGCTGCCGAACACGTCTAGGGGTTGAGGTATTGGTTGAAGGCCCTATTTTGATGTTGGGAAGCAGGTGCTTTTGGAAACGAGTTGTCTGATAAGAGAGAAGTCAGGAGACGGGATGGAAACCTCGATTAGTTTAAATCTTAACCCTAAATAATTGAAATGGAGGAACTAATCCAGGCACCAGCTGCACAAGCGTTGAGAATGGCAGGCAGAGTCCGTGGCTTGTTGCTTGATAGAACAGGCTCCAGGTTGCTTGGCATCCACTAGCCCTGGAGCTTTGCGGCTGGAGGGGTTGCTGCCTGCTGGAGGGACTACTGATGACGGGTACCCACACCAGATCGCTGCTGGGGCGCGGGAGCATGCAAACAGGTCCTGGATGGACGGCATGTGGTAACAGACAGCTCGGGAATCCAGACAACAATGATTTGGGAAATGTGCTCAGGTATCTTACGGGAAGCCTTTGGATCAATTCGTGGCTGTATTGCGACCCGGGTGTTTTATACGGGCTTAATACGACGCACAATTGTTGAACAAGTGACTTCTTGAGCCAAGAACTTCGATTGCCCTGATGACAACTGCCGGATGGTTAGCAAATGCCTCTACAATGGTCTTGAGATTTTTGGTATCGTGTTACGTTCCAAGCTCATTCTCCCATACTTAGTCATTCATACCTTGTTAAAGAGAGGTCAAATGCTAACTATCTGAACTTATGACTTTATTGCCTGCTGCGCTGCTCAAGTATTTGCTTCACCACCAGCGCCGCCGCCTCCACGATGAGCTCATGCTCATTCTTATGAATCCGTTCCTCAAGTTGGTGCAAGTCCTCATCCTCCCGACACTCAATCTCCCTCACCAGGATAGGCTCACCCCTGTCCACTTGGTCGATGACGTAGTGAACCATGATGCCAGTGCGATTGTTTTCGAGCCTGCCCGCCTTGAAGTCTTGATACGCCCTCTCAATGGCACCGGCGCCATCATATTTCCCTGTAACATGTTAGTGACAAAACCACCAAATATTTGACCATAGCCATCATACCTGGCAGCGCTGGGTGGAGGTTGATGATCTTGATACCGGCAGCCTCCAGTGGATCGAGGAAAGCCTTTCCAAACACATACATCCAGCCAGCCAGAATGACGAGCTCAGGTTTGTAGTCGCCCTTCAGCAGCTTCTCGGCAAGTGCAGCGTCATATTTGTTGCGGGCCTCCTGTATCTTGACGGGGTCCTGTTCTCCTTTCGCCTGGAAGCCATGAGAGATGAGATTGAAGTACTCCCACGGAATACCAGCGTTGTCTGCGCGTGTGGTTGCGTATGCCTTCGCCCGATTCACAATGAGACGAATGATCTTGGAATTTGGGATTCGACCATCTTTGACGGCGTCGATGAGCGCCTGAAAATTAGACCCATTACCGCTGGCAAAGACGACAATTCGACAAGGGTCCGCCATGGCGTGCAGCGCGGAACCGAAGCTTCTGATGTAGAGGGGTTAGAGGGGTAGTTGTCGTTCCCAAGACTACTCAAGCTGTCAGAAAGCATGTGCCAGCTGCTAAGACTGGCCGAATTAGTTTTTCAGGGAATTGATAAAACGCTGTCTTTTGCCTAAAGGTTTTACTGTGAATGCAACCGCAACGGCTCCCCGGCTTTTTAGCTTCTGTTCTGGTCTGGAACTCTGATGCGCCAATTTGGTGTGAACAAAATGCTCCACTTCCAGGAAGCAGAAAGGTCAAGGGATAGGGTTGTATGCAAAGCATATCTTCCAACCGCCGAGCCTTGTGATTTGGGTTCGAAGAAAGCATGAAACAGCTTTTAAGAGTTGCAGATCTGAATCTCCTCAACCCCATAGTATCGCTCAAGATGCAATTCCCGCATATCCGGCTGGCGTGCGTTATCTTCTACCAACCGCTACGGACAATGAGAGCGTGTTCACTATCATCAACGACAATCGAGTCAGCCCCTGGCAACAAGCTGTCAGCCAGCTCGCTCAACTTTTGTCCATACCCCACTCTCAGCATCGAAGGCCCACACATCACACAGTATCTTTCTCCGCCTCAGCATGACCCAAGGGAGCTGATGTCTCGTTCTCCAAAAATTGTCACCAGCATGCCATTCCCTTGATCTTAACGGCTACCAACACCGACACACTCCGTGGTTCCAGTCTATGCACGCCATCCAGCTCACACTTGATGGTCGACCATGTACGAGAAACCGGATCCAGGACGTCGACCGCGCTGCCTTGCTCTCGCTTGCCGTCGTACCCGTGCATGCAATACAGCTTCTCGCCGATAACGGCAAGCGAAGGTCACCACGAGCCGGGGGTGGCGCGGCCGGCAGCTCGGTCCAGGTCTGCGAGGTAACGTCAAACACCCAAACGTCGTCCAGCCGACCCGTAGAGGGACAGTCGCCGTGCACACAGATCGTGCCGTTGGTGTTGTTGGCGGCCATGGCATGGTAGCTGCATCCGGACGGGTTAGGGACTGAATGGTCGCAGGCTTCAGCAGAGCCCAGTTGGACTGGGAAAGCGTTTGTCAGGAGCACGAGTCTCATCATGGAGGTGGGATGTGTTTTGTTGTAAATACTCAAGTTCAACCAAATCTAGTCAATTATCAGCTGGCTGTCGAAGAAGTAACTCCTTGCCAAGTTCCCATGCTCGAGAGTCGATGACGGAAAACGCTTGTGATGAGCAGCACAGGCGTTCGCTCGTCACGAGCTACGCCCTTCTGGCCGCAAAGCTGGTGATATGAACAAGTTGGCGAGGATTGTGAACTGGACTTTTATTACTTCCAAGAGTTTGACGAACCAAACTTTATCCAAGCGGGGACTCGGGGGGCTACCTACCTTGTCGATGCCATCGCGACAAAATGGCGATATCCATGTTGGTGATCAAGAGCCCTTACGGTTACCCCATTCTCACAAGCTTCGGGCGATCGCGTTCTCCTTCCCCCGCGTATAGTGGCCGAGAGGTCACCGTCCAAAATTGGTGTCTCAACTGTGAGCTCCAGATCAGAATTAATAGCATATCCCGGTGGTCCTGCCCAGCTCTCGAACGCAACAATATGAATACCGATATCACCCTTATAGAACTTAATAAAGAAGTAGTAATTGGGTATTAAAACCATTAGAAAAATATTTCAGTATATAATCAATATAATTCTTGGTTGATTAGTAGTCATTTGCTTGGTCAAGCCGCTTACACTAACCCTAGTGCCGGTATCCCTTGCGAAGAGATGGAGCGGTACTCCTCGCACTGTTTCTAATCCTGACCCTGACTTGGATGACTGAGAGTGAACACCTGTAAAGCAAGCAAACTTCAGAAACGAAAGAGTAAAATAAAGTCAATGGAGTTTAAGTGAAGAAGGTATAACTCCAGGGCTTAACGGGCCTCTATAGAAATCTGCCCTACGTTCTTTTATATATACGTGATATGAAAACAGCTCCGTAATAGATTGAGTGCAAGCTGTGCGTGTATTAGTCCCAAAATGTTGTGGTTCTACAACTTTTTTGACATTTTGGGCAGTGACCTCTCTCGGCTACCATACTCGTTTGCCCCGCTGCAGACAGAAACGATCTTCCGATGTTGGTGATCGTTTTCGCATCCTCTGGCAAGTATACTCGTATCAGCGAGCGGCAATAGATGGCTAAAAAGAAGAGAACTGCGTTTAGATATCAGCTTGCGATGTAATTCGGCATATGTCCTAATCCTTTCCCCTCTCTTGGCCTTTACTATTTCTCAAAAATGTTGCCAGGCCGTCCAAGTGTAAGAAACATCCACTTCAGATGTAGACAACGTTTAAACGCCCCAAACTGAAGTCAATGTCCTGATTGAGGTAACGCCCGGACACTTGAGCTTGGAATGCTTGGAGAAAACGATGATAGAAGCAAAAGACAGGATCTCAAAGAGATTTAGCTAAGCAGCCTCAATAGATGAGGAAACACCGTGACTGTCCTCCTCGACATTCCAACGGCAATGATCAGTCAGATCAGTTACCATGTTTGGTCAGGAGGGACCAGAGCATACCTCCCGGACGATGATCTGGACATAGAGGTCAAACCCGCAGAGTCTTAAACGGCTGAGCATCGATTCTCCAGCTAAGCCGCTAGCTGCGATGGCGGGGTGCAAGTCAGATATCCAAAACATTGTGGTGCCGGTAGCCAGTGAAGAAGCTTACCAGCTACTCATCCACGAGCCAGCTCTCGCAGGACCGACCCTGCCAATGAGCCAGGGAGTTGCCCAGGTGGCCAGCACCTCGAAAAAAACGACGCTTAGAGTTCTCGCTATACAAACCTGATCAGTCGTAACACCTGCTGCAAGCAAATATGCTACCATTTGGCCCGCGAAGCTCAAGACAGTGAGATAGAGGAGAACGCCCGCAAAGGATGGGAGGAAGGCTCGGCGTTACATATAAATCTTGAAGTCAAACACTATTCTTTTTAGATAAAGAGGCTTTTTGTTGGGAGGAAGTGGCAATTGTTGATTCATCGCTCTCTATCTCACGCTCAACGATTGCAGAGACTGTAGCTCGCCCTAAGTTGGAAGGGAGCTGACGAGATTATTTAGGCTCCTGTAGCTCTGGGACCTCCCTCTACACCCGTGCTATCACAAAGCACTCAACGGCAATGGATGCGAGGTTCTTCATAAAATTGGTAAGAATAGCCAGTTTTCTGGAAACTCGGCAGCAAGGCAATGAATAGGGGCCCAAAGAGTTTGCAAAGCAAATCAATGAGCCGCATTTTGGAGTATAGCCCGACAAGGGCAACGGAATATTGACAGCTATGATAACAGCCTACGGTTGTTAAGTCCTCTGCGCTTAGGAGAGCAAAGGCAAGACAAAGCTAGAGAATATCACAAACAGGCACATTACCATAGCTGTCTGAGCCCTCTAAAAGGTGTGCCAGGAAAGGCGTGTTTTCACTAGCAACGCTGTCGTCGTCAACATGGGGAGTGGACGCTGTAATGGATTTTGGTCAACACAGGCGAAAGCCCTAAGGTCTCGAACAAACGGACTAGGTATGGATTGGGCCGAGTTCAACATCGCAGGGCTTTGGCGACCACAATCTTGGCGTTACTTAGGTAGTCGACTGCCGAGATGCATACAACGGCCCGCTAAAAGGTTACCATCAATAAGTGCAATAGTTTTTGCTGGATCCGCACCAACTAAATAGTTGTTAGCCAAGACCCAAATTGTAGGCCTTAGAAGTTCGTAAGCCCTAATAAACTTTCAAACACTTCTGTTATCGATTTTGAATTGGTTGCAAATCCAATGTTGGTGGGTTTCCTCCTTGACCCATTGTGCTTTAATCGATATCCGCGATTGTTGCGGGAATACCGGTAACTGCATGCCGGGCTGTTCGAGTGACATGGCAAGAATCCGTATGATATTTGCGCTCCCGTAATCTGGATTGGTCAAGTTGCTGGTAACCGATAAGGTAATGGCATTTAGATGTTGAATATCATGAATGAAATGGTCAGTGCTCAATTGCCTTGGCAAAGTTGATGTCGCGATTCGCGCGACGTCCCCTCTTACAGACTTGTTTCCCGCTCAAGGATTTCGTCGTTGTGTAGGATACCCATAGTCTCGCATTTTCCATCGGGCTATCAGCCTGATATAGTGAGTATAAGTACATGTGCAGCGGATTATGCAGGTAGGCGACAAGTCTGCAGCCTACCTGGTCCGAATAATGTTTCCAGTCTAGTAAAAGGAACTGGATGGTAGGTATTTGCTTTGACAGAAGGTGTCCTGAGGTGTCAATTAACTGCTGATCTTCAAGAACTAGATTTAGAAAAGAATTTTGGATGCAATTGGGTAGCAACGGATATCTTTCGGTTCTTCCCGTCTCAAGTAATTTCCCGAACTGCTAAGCATCACTGTAAAGGGCGCCTCTACAATTTTTAACTCGTGCAACACAGATCTTAATACTACACTTCACAAGTAGGCTAACTAATTCACTATGTCGTTAATGCTACTCTTGCTCTCACTTTCATTGGCCCCGTTAGCAAAGGGAGAGCATCTAGTCATACCAGCTTTAGGTATGGCACCAGCCAGTAAATAGCAACCGCAGGAGAAATAATACCTTGCTGCTTGTCCAGAAAGTGGCTGGACTCCAAAGCCAACAGAGGCTCCAGAGTTTGAGATACCCAATTTTTTGCGCTATCGAAAGACACTTGTTACATTTCACCCGGAATAGCTACCACGGTGAAAACAATACGTGGATAATACGTGGATGGGCCCAAACGCGCGTTAATGGCTTGAAAACCAACCACGTAGGTCAATTCATGTATCCTGTTCTCTTTCTTCCGCTCGGTCTGCTCACCAATTGCTCGTATAGCTCAGGCTATGAGTTGCGCTGACTCTGCTACGTGCGAGACGTATCTCAACAGCAGTTCTGTAGTCTAACTAAGTTCATTTTTATAATCATCGCAAATGACAGGCTTCGGCTTGAAATGCTTTAGATTCACAGGGGTTATTCCATTTCCCCCTCTCAGCACATCCATTATGTTTCTCATGCTTAGTTCCTCGAACCCAATATGCGTCTCAATAGTGCCGCCAGCATTGTGGCATGTCAACATGACCCTTCCGGGGCGGGGATGCCCAGTATCATGGCAATAAACCTGTGTAGCCATGCGAACCAAGCGGTTGTTGACGCGTGGCTCATCAGCGTGTACGTCCAAAGCAGCTGCGCTGATTGTTCCTGCTTCCAGAGCATCAGCTAGTGCTTCTTCGTCAACAAGGGAACCGCGAGCAACATTGACAAAGCGAGAACCAGGACGTAGATGCTGCAGCATAGAAGCTGTGATGAGGGGCGTATTATCTGGCGAGGCAGGAGTACAAAGAACGACACAATCGGAGACCCGGAGCAGACTTGGCAAGTCTGGATAGAATACTGCTCGTAATTGGGCTTCAACAGCAGCCGGCTTGCGTTCGAGGTCATGATATGCGATATGCATGCCAAAGGCAGGGTTTCCCATCTTAGCAGCAATGTGCTGACCAATATTGCCGAAACCGATGAGGCCTAACGTATGTCCCCGAGGGTTGTGGCTTGCAGCTGTCGCATGAGTATGACAGGCACGGAAGACCTCCTCGCGCGCAGGAGAATGAGGAGAGGAGGAAATGAAGGTTGCTGCACCCATACACCATGGAAGGTGTCTAAACGTTGAGATTATCATTGTTACAGCGAAGTCTGCGACAGCTTCGGCAGCAGCCAACCCAGAGTTGCAGTATATGATGCCTGCCATGGTCAGCAGTTGTTCTTGGTACTCTCCTTTGTCTGGTGGGTAGAGAGATAGGATAGATGGAGAGATGTATTGGTGCAACCAGCTTACCTTTCTCCCCAAGAAGTTTGGTATCGGCCCAATCGAAACCTGCGCCGGCGCTGGCAAACACCTTCACTGAGTCAGGCAATAGATCGATGAGCTCGGCATCCCATTTTCCCATTTCGCCACCAGTTCCCCAGAAAGGCCGGAATATGGCGCTGAAGTCACCCCATCGGCGCTCTTTCAGGGCTCGAATGAACTCTGGACGTTCTCGTTCTGGAGTGCTAGGACGTATGACCTCAAATTCCTGACTGAACGTGGCATATGTTCCAGGATTGTACTTAATGGGGTCCCCAATGTGGAGGACAATGGGTTTCTTAGGCTTTGAAGCAGCACTCAGAGCCAAATTTCTCTCGAATGAACCGTTAGCTGATGGGGAAGCTCGCGAGGCAATGTGTGATTGTAGGGTCATAGGAGAGACTGGTAATTCCGAAGGAACTGGAGTGTTGTTCGGCTTGGCCATAGTATGGCGCTCCCGATGGCGGTATCCGGAGCCCGTGATTGCCCTTGCAGACTTCAGTGCCGGGTTGATAGACAATGTGGGTCACACAACGGGGCCGAACACGACAGAACCGGCTTGCCGAACGCAGTTGAGTGGATGCTGGCTGATTTATTCGCCGAGGAAAAGTCAAGAGAATAACAGCAGATTGGGATGTGTACACCTGGCCCTTAGTTCTGTTTGATGTAGTCTTGATGTAGTTGTACAACTGTGTAAGCACCGAGTGCAATGAGAGTTCCCCCCGTTTTCACACATTCACTCCCTTCTGCTGGGCTGTTTACACAATGGGCACTGAAGGGGAAAGGATGAGACTGAGGAAACACCACCGACCAGGATCCAGCAGCGAGGGTCATGTTCTAATTGTACAAGTAGATTTCTGAAAACCCCGCCATTACTGCGGCGATAAGGTACGAACTGCGGTTGCGGCCTGCCGCTTGCGACGTGGAGCTCCCGAACACGTCAGCCGCCGATCGCGGCGCTCGATGTCAGGTGTTGTCCAGTCATCATTGTCGTCAAGTTCATGAAATTCGTCATTACTTGGGTGCAAGTTGCATGAAAGACTTAAAGAGGAGGTTCTGTGCAGATAGCAACTTGTATGATGTTTGCACTTCTACGTTCTGTGTTTATGAGGATCGTTGACGCTCAAGACGGACTTATCAACAGGTGGTTTGGTAAAGAAACCCGGAAGGCAGGCATAGACTCACAGATGCCTGGGATACCTGGGGCAGGTTCTCCTACTCCGTGTGGAGAGATGAACATAGACTGTGTTGCTTCGGAAATCGGCCTTGCCCTTCGGCTCAACAGCATGTAGCTCAAGAAGCTTGCCGACCACTTGGGGTCTTGACTCTTAAAGCTCCTGATCGCTTTTGTGATCCGTGACTTGTTGTCCTGGGTATGCATATCCACAGGGTGACAAAACGAAATGTTCTAAGCAAATTCGCGATAGGGGTAAAAATTGTTGAGTATAAAACATCTGCACAATGCGTACTTGTTCCGTGTCCCTTTGCGCTCCGTCGTTGTGGCGGCTGACCCGACCTTTAGTTCACCCTTTGCTTGATTGTGAGAAACTTTGGCCAGGGGTCCTGGTCAGCCTTACAGTGTAAACCACAATTTTCTTGCTCCCAATCATCGTCTATGGGTTAAAAACTAGTTATCTTGATAATAAATGATTTCTCTATCCAATTCTATTACTTTATTGCTCTGAAAATGATTGCTTTGTGGTTGAGCTGTGGTTCGTTGGCCAACCCCTAGTCTCGAAGTCTTGCACTACCGATAGAACCAGGGAGGCTTGGTAAGCAGTAACTGATGTACCAGCCACCAGCGCCACACTGCACGTCACATCATACGCCATATCCATACCTACCTATTATTCTCACTGCGGCATGCTTGGACCCCACCGCAACGGGTTCGAGCTAAACCTTAAACCAACCTCAACGGAGATGACCTCAAGTGTCCGTTACTGATCAAGCCACACGATGCTTTTGTGACAAGCGAGGGGAGACTTTCACATGACACGGCTGCACGACACTACTAAGTTCGACGATATCATCTCAGATATCCAATATATCTGAAGTTCCATGTGCAGTTACAGACTGAGCAGGAAGAAAAAACCTCTCTTCCTGGCCATTTGGCACTATGTCACTTAAATGTACAACTTGAGAAGCGAGGAGCTGAATCCCGACACATTCTCTTCACGCTCATCTCGCTGTATTATAGATAATCGGTTGTATGGACAGGGAGCAACTATTAGCGCGACGACGCATCAGAGGGAAGAATGCCGGCAGAGTACTACCCAAGAAAGTCCGCATCACAGATCAAGCTTAATAAGACCTTAAACCAACATTAACACAGGCAAAGGAATGTAATGTTTGTGATGCACTACTTGGAATGATACGCTTGTTGGAAAATAATCCGCATGTCTAATCCCCATTAAGGCCCAGCGTAGGTGAGGAAGTTTCGCAACCTTAGTTCCGTCGCTTACGACACAAAGGGCCATCAGGACGGTCAATCCAATCTTCCGCACCAACGCAAGTTCGGCAGTAAAAAATGCCTTCCGGGTCGTACTTCTTCTTGGCAGCCAGGTGGCCGGCGTAGTTGGAGCCATAGAAAGCCTCTATGTAGTCGGGGTCGTTGCTGTCTCCCTCGTTCATGTATCCAGCCGTGTCAGGGGCCAGCTGCTTCAGAGCAGCCCCTTTGACATGAGTGACCTGATACTGAACATACTCGCGGATCTGATTTAGATTAGGCGCCATCTTTGGGATCCCTTGACCAACCACCATCACAAAAGGGGCCCGCCGCCACGCAGGGTTCAACCCAGACGACGAGTCATCTGCGTCTTGGAACACCTGGCCACCAGACACCAGGAGAATGACGTTGGATACGACCTCATCCGGGCTACCGGCCACAATTTCGATGGTAGCGCGCAGCTTGTCATAGTCTGCGACAGCCTCTGGAGTGATTAGGCGAGAAGTGAGAATAGAAGTTGAGCCTGTGGGGTCATAAAGCCCGGACTCCGCATAATAGAATGACCAGTAGTCTGAGTACTCGGTAAAGGTCGACGAGATAAAAATCCTGTCTTTGAATGGTTCGAGGGCGTTTAGCAAAGGGGCGAGGGCCGCTTCAGCTTCGGGCTTGGTCTTGCCGATCGTCCAAAAACCATGTGAGTATCCAGAGTGGGCAGAGCCGATGAATTGACCTGGGAAGTTCCGGAACCAAAACCCATACCCGGCAACGCCATTTGAACTCAATTGAGGCAGTTGCTGGTGAAGAACGGTAATGGCATCCAGGAGATCTTTGTTCTCAGCTGTTTCATTCAGCGGGAAGAAGGCCAAACGATGAGCAGTCACAGCACCAACGTTAGGATATACCTTAATGCGCTGACTGAGGACAATGCCATACCCAGGGCCACCACCACGGATGGCTCGGAACAAGTCCCTAAAATGGCAATGGTTCGCCGTGACGATCTTGCCGTCAGCAAGCATGATCTCAGCTTCGAGGATTTGATCAGCACCCATGCCGAAGTTGTGTGTAGCGGGGCCGTGCCCACCACCGGAGGGCCAACCGCCAATAGCCCCAGGAGAAAGGGCGCCACCACCAACAGCAATGACATTATTATCCTTAGCAACCTTGTATACATCACGCCATTGGAAGGCGCCATCGATGTGTATTGAGCTTCCAGTCCAATTAGAAGCTCTGCACCCTGTCGAGGATCTGAACGTCCTGTGGAAGTAGATGCCATTTCGGTAATAGCGAAGCCATAGCTCCAGGCCACCGTATCCGTCAGACCGGCCAAGCAAGTCGTGTCCAGTACTCGCAACGACAAGACGAATGTTATGTTTCTTGGCAAACTCGAGGGTTAATGAAATGTCCTTTCTTGTAGTTGCGTTTACCGCATACACGGGCAGCGAGCCTAGAGTGCAGCTCAAAGGCTCCTCCCCAGCGGCGTAGTTCACGGGAGCGCATGTGATGTTGTAAGGGTAAGGGCGGCCAATAGGATTGCTGGTCTGAAAGTCCTGGTCTGGCCACATTTGATTCACATAGGAGCATTGCTCGAGGTCCTTCCGTGGTCCATCATAGCAGGATTCGGCGATTGGACTTGTTCTGATGAGCTTTCCTCTACCGAGCGTTCTGTTGAATAACTCCCACTGATCACGATTTGGCCAGCAATGGTCGCCTGGAATCTTTTGAGGAAGCAAGATACTCTTGTTAGCTCTCATTCTCTATTTGTTTACCTTAGATTCGTATTTAGGGGCTTGAGAGATAATCGCGCGATCACTTACGCAAAGACATTTTGCGACTAGTGGGTTCTGTCTAAGAGACAAGCCGACTGTAAGATCGAGTGTACAAAAGAACGACAATGCCACCGCAAAACGCATCTTGTCGTGCGAGATCTGACGCACCATTTAACATATAGCAAGAAGTTCCAGGCAGCCGCACAACTGATGCTGGGCAGGTAAGAGATAACCTTTCGGCTCATCCTGAATTTAAACAAGGCCGTCAACGGTAGCGGGAAGTGGTTGGGAGCCAAAAAAGTAATACTACTACGTAGTATAAGTACCTCGCTGCTCCAAATGAAAAGGTCAGCACTAATGACTAGTTGATGGCTACCTAATGGTTCGGAAGCACAACGGCAAATCTTACATACATTAGCGTTCCCACCATACTTATGTGTATGTAGGGACAGGGCATGTAACAAACCCTACAGGTTTCTTCTCAGGTTGCTTCTGATTGCGCCCATTGGCTTCTGAGCTTCAACGGATAGAAGGGCACCGATCGAAGGTCCGTCCAGGATCTCACTCGGATGTCATCGGTGTTTCATCAACTCTTCCGATTACATTATGCGTGGATGCCCTTTCCATGTGGGTGTCTTATGAAAATGCAACTCCTGACGGAATTGAAATGTTATTAACCACGTCATCAAAAACCAGTGAGTTCGACATAACTCAAGGTCCAATGATGCGCTAAACTTACAGCGAAAGCTCTCAGGCTGAAACTGGGAATTTGAGCCCCCGGTCACCTGCCTAGATACATATCCGCAGGTCAGTTGGGAGACAGACCTGTTTCCTACATCTATCATTCTGCAAGGATTCTTTTCATATGGAATCATGGCTGCAGGAACATGGGGCGGAAATGCATCCAGGGTGACATGGGCCGGCGTAACCCTTGCTCCACGGCAACCTGTTGGTTCGATGGTTGCTGCAGCGCTGGGCTGCCCATAAGGCACTAGGCATCTCTTGGCGTGGGATAATACTGCTCCCTCTCCGCAAGCCACCACAAGGGCTTTTTACCAGAAGCAAACAAAACCAGGGTTCTACTGTAGACATCATCTAGGCTACCACATTGAGAGGCCCGGGCTTTTTGCCAGAGGGCCTTAAGCCCCCTTTGTGCAATGTCCCTCTAAGTGTCCAGAGGAAGATATATGGAAAGCCACTGACCTGGTGAGGAAATTTACAAGCAGCACACCAACAACAGCGGGGCTTTTTAGACATTCTCTTTTTTTTAGCGGGTTGTAATATTCATTGAGAGAATCCAAATACAAGAAGCCATAGGTGGGGAATCCACCAATCTTATAACTACAGCCTGCTCTGTACGTGCGCGCTGCCTTTGGTAGCACCTACTCAGCAGGGCAACTTAAGTCAATTGCCATTGACAGTGCAACTATGGGAGATAAAGTGGTGCAAGGACAATCACACTCAAATTTGAAACCAGGTCATGCTGGTAATAAATATACCAGAGGGAGCTTGGCTCAGTTGGACGAGCGCAGCTCTCATTCATAGAATTAGAGTGATCAGATTAAACATCTGAGTGATCCTGAGCTCGTCAGTTTGAGCCTCCCAGTTCGCATTACTTTTGGCACAGAGCAAGATCTAGAAGCATCCGCCTAGCTCCACATCAGCATCCAGTTCCCTTCAAAAGCATCATTCAATGGCATGCAACTGGGGCTATTTTACACATTGCGGCATGTTACGTGACGCTAAATTTTCTCTTCACAATTGAAGACCAAGATTCAACGTAATGCGGTAAAGTCACTGATTATAAGACTAGGTTATAGGTAGATAATGACAAACACTGCAAGAGGTATCAAGAAATAAAACCAGCCTAGGAATTTTTCAAAACGATTGTACGAGGTATCCAAACTTCGCTTTCCCATCTTCTCTCATGACATCGGAATCGTATTCTCATATTTCTTCCAAATCTCTCCAGGCCTCTTTAAGCGGGAAGTTCGGTCTTGCCGCCCTTAATGCTAGGGGCAGAGCTGGGAGCATCGCCGCCGACGACGCGAGAAATTTCAACATAGTCGTAGGCAAACTCGCCGAGCTGAGTATCGTCCAAGCCAAGATCTTCCTCCTCGGCGCTAACACGGATAGAAAGGCCAGGAATGAGGTTCATGAGGGAGAGGATGATGCAAGTCATGCCAAAAGCATAAGCAAAGCCGGCGACCGAGTCAGCAAGCTGATACGCGAACTGGATCCAATGGCCGTTGACCCAGCCACCCTCAATCGTGCCCGTGGGACCGCTGCCATCAAGAGCAGCCATGTAGTCACTTTGGCCAGGTTAGTGGGTGTTGCTATACAAGACTTCAAGTATGTGGTAGGAAACTTACGTAGCGAAAATGCCCGTGAGGAGGTTTCCGACAATACCGCCAACGCCGTGCTCAGCAAAAACATCAAGCGGTTCGTCAATACCAACAAGGAACTTGATCTTGGTGGCAAAATTGCAGCAAATACCGCCGACCACACCAAAGATAACAGCAGCCCATGGGGTGACGAAACCAGCAGCAGGGGTAATTGCGACAAGACCAGCAATCACACCGCTGCAAAAGCCAACGGCGCTGAACTTCTTCTCAAGGCGATAGTCGAGCAAGCACCAGGTAAAGCCAGCGACGCATGCAGAAATGTGGGTCACCACGCAAGCCATGGCGGCGCGCACATTGGCAGCAAGAGCACTGCCGCCGTTGAAGCCGAACCAGCCGACCCAAAGGAAAGCCGTACCCAAGATGACATGCGTAACATTGTGGGGACGGTATGGCAGGCCGTTCACTTTGTTGTAGCCAGTCCTCTTCCCCAACATGAGAGCGTAGGCAAGAGCGGCAGCACCGGAGCTAATGTGGACGGGAGTACCACCAGCGAAATCGAGGCCGCCCAATTTAAAGGACCAGCCATTTGGGTTCCAGGTCCAGTAGGCAAGGGGGTCATAAACGATAGTAGCCCAAACAAAGAAGAAAACGATCACGGGCCACACACGGGCACGATCAGCAGCACCGCCAATGGCGAGAGCCGGGCTAGATACGATGTCAGTACTGAATCGAGTTCGAAAGTTAGGGAATGTTGCTGGAGCGCTACTGACGTGATAGCGGCGAACATGCCCTGGTACAGGCAGAACAGGATCTCGGGAAGCGCAGAGCTGCCAACACTAGGCTGAGCAAGGACCTTTCTCAAGCCAATGTTGTCGAGGTTTCCAATATAAGAGCTGCCATTGGGAGCGAAGGTGAGGGAGTAGCCCCAGAAGAACCACTGAAATCCCACGACGGATATCGATATCAATGTCAGGAAGATGAGGGACAACGCCGACTTGCGGCGGGCCAGGCCGCTGTAGAAAAAGCCAACACCCGGAACCATGAGCAGGACGAGTGCCGAGCAGGTGAGAATCCAAGCAAAATCACCGTTCTGTGGTGTCAAGTCAGCACGGCGCCGGTTGGCCGATGCTTCAGCTCGGAAGAATCATACCGAATAGTACTTGTTCGGGTCATCGAGCATTGGGTTGACGCCCTGATCGGCGACCCCCGTCACCCCAGTGTACTCCTCAGGCGTGCCGGACGACATGGTTGAAGATAATGGTCAACAGGGCTGGATGTCGCCGTGTCACTTGCACCCTGATATCAAACTCCAGATTTGCAGGAATCCTCTACAAACAGAGCCGCAGGCAGAGGTAAGATGAACTGCTGAAGAGGAGACGAGGGAGAGAAACAGGATCGCGGTCAAATCCCGTGTAGGATCGACAGAGTCAGGATATTAATATATCGGCAGGCTACAGCAGACCAGAAGCTCCCCCTCCCAGCCGATTCTCCCGTCCCAGGTTGCCGGGAACGAGCTCCTGACTGATAAGAACGCTCTCTCCCTCGACACATTCATTATCAGCTGCAGGCGCATTTCTCATCCATCTTGGGCACTGCCAAGCTGTGGCCCACTGATAAGAGACATGAACAAGCTGGTGATGGAGGGTGACTGGGGTCTATTGGTGGGGGTACCATCCGTTGCGCGACTGCGGGAGCGGAAGGCCGGCATGCTTAGGTGGGTGAGGTATCGCGCATGCTGAGACATGCATCGCAAGTTGGGTTCGGAGAAAAGTAAGCCTATGGAAACTTGTGGGTGCCAAATCCTGATTCCTGATCGCCATGTCACACTGATTGAAATCGGTTTTCGTAATCATCTGCTCGCAGACCAATCCATCGAGATACCAACACTGACAGATCGCATCTCAGAAAACGGATGGGTTGGGGTTTGGATGTGGGCCTCTCGGTAGGATAAAGTTTCTGGGGAAGTCCCAGATTGGTCAAGTGGTGCCTTGCAGGTGGGACGCAAAATTCTTGGCTGTAATTTGACCGATCATTGGGATGGCTCCCGATAACAGACCTACCAGGCTGATTTCCCAGTTCAAGCCTCTCTGGGTTTTCATCATACAAAAACTCCGCAATCTATCCAGATAATTATTGAAAACGCTCAGATGTTGCTGCTGGCAGGTATCTCTTCATGGTCGCTCCTTTGATGTTCTTATCAGTGAAAGGAGGGGAGGACTATTGGATCTGGATGCAGCCCCGAGTATGGCTTGGTCGCTGCCGCTAGCGAGTTGTGGGGCCGTCGATTTCTTATCTCTTGGCAGCGAGGGTTGGTCTTGGCGATCCCTTCTCGGTCACAGGCGGTTGGGGCGCAGACGCTAGAGCCTCTGGTCTGCGTCACAGCGCGGCATGGCATCCCTCAGCCGGTGGATGGGTACGTACCTACCATCCCAAAAGACTCGCGGTTCAATCTTTCGACGAGATCAACTGAAACTCAAAAAAACGCTTTTTCCCCTGCTCTCTTCATCCTTTTGGCCATAAATTTCCAATCATGCTCGATTTGTCAGTTCCGTTTCCCCAGGACGGACAAGGCTGGGGCGATCGAGTGACTGAATTCGCCTGTCAAGGGCCAATGACTTCCATCAGCCCCGCTGTCATTCACGATCCAACTCTGCGAGCCTGCGTCCCGTTTTACCCGCCTTCCATGCCACCGACTTCTACGAGTATGCAAGTTCCTAGCTACATTCTCGACCTCGCCTCTCAGGAAATTGCTGCACAGCACAAACACCTTGCTGCAGTACTGTACTTGTACAGCTAGATTACGTGGTACATATACCTCGGCACAATTCAGGACGCCGCTGAGCTTGTTTCGTTGTTTGTCTTCCCGTCTTTCGGAGTCTGGATCTAAGTGACATCCCGCAGGTTATCTCCAGAACAGGACCTCTCAACGCCGAACCCCAGGTCCCAGATACCGGCATTCGGTATTCCATCCTACATGACCTCCTTGCCTGTCTACACGTGCTTAGAGTGCTTCTTATGGTAAGTCTTATCTGTTGCTGAAACATTGTCCCTTGTTTGGCAAGCATTTCCTACACTTTGTGGACCCCAACTCTCGAGGTTCAGAGTCTTGACTGCCTACAGTGTAGTCAACCTTTTGCAAAGATAGATGAAAACACCCAGCAGTTTGGTTCGACCCCGCAATGAAGAGACTTGATCGCCCTTGGCAAATGCATGGAGAGAGGGTGTTCCCGTACTGATGCAAGGGCACACTTCTGTGGTGACACTACCTATTCTCCAGGTCTTATCCGCCATGCCAGCTATATGTTAACGAATGCTACTTTCTGACAGCCGTTGCCAGAACTATTAAGTGACAGATGTCCCACGTTATGAGGTCTATGTCCGAGGTACTGTGTAGTTCTGCTCTCTTGTGCGATTCTCAAATGGCTCGGTGGGTTAGGGCAACGAAACGGTCTTAAGTCCCATGCATTTTTTTAACTGATCCTGATCCTTAAACTGAGCTTTCAACTTACTTGCCTTGTTGTTGCATAGCTGCCCAAGTTTCTTTACCGTGGTTTAAGTTGCCTTTTTATCATCTATCAGCCACACTTCCTCCACCTACATCCTCTGATGCCATCTTAACTGCCAGTGTGGGTTAGGGTGTCAACATGCCCTCCATGGGCGTGCTTTCTGCACACCAGCTATGTAACTGACATGGCATCCTGCGGAGAATCTCCTTCACTTTGAAAATTAAGGCGGGTAGTAGGCGATGACTTGATTTGAAACATCATTATGCTGTGGAGAGTTTGAAGCACCCTTACTCTTGAACATCCAGTCCTTCACAATACTACGGTATTTGTTGCGTGATGAATTGTGCGTGACATTGAGCAGGTCATCTATATTGTGTGGTATATGCAACAATCAATAGGTAAGCACCATTCTAGGAGTTCATTTAACAAGGTTATTACCTCTACCAAGCGGTTAGACATGTGATCGGTCTTGAAGGTCACGAGCATAGCTGAGGCCGAGTATGCTCTGATCGCACAGTGCAAAGCTTCTTATCTGCAGCCTAATGCCATCATTCCACGGTAATCTCACAGACCGCCGTTCCAAGAGCCAACTTTGCTGCCTACCAAATCTCAAAATCTACCATGTCCAGTTACTGAGCATACTGTATCATTTGGTGATCGCTGTTTGTGGTACTGTTTGACTTCCATCCTGTTAGCACATTCCGCAGCATACAACTTTTTTGATTACACTGTTTATTTTTGGCATGGTTGCTGCATTCATTACATGAAAGAATCTCATTATGGTGTCAATTTGCGGACAGAGGAATTGTTCCTCCTACTGGTAGGTACCTTATTTCAAACTGTGCTCTCCACGTTCAAGGCCAACTGGGGTCTAAAAGCAGTAGTCCGGTATGTCTACTGTAATCCTAGCCTGTGTATGTTACACAGAAACAACTTCAATACATCGTGGCTATCCCTAGCGCAGTTGGCTTAGTGGATGACTTCAATCATGCTGGTGCGACCTTTGGTCGACTCGTAACTTTTCTTAATTCTACCCACCCAAGGTCAACTGCCAGATCTCCGACAAACCGTTAGGGATGTTGTCCAGCGACCCATGAGGATTGTGACCTATCAGCTAGGCATGTTACCTACAACACGCGCTTTTCTCGTGGTCACATCTCCGCCCCCCTGACTTCCTCCGCATATGCACTGCAGCTACAGAAACGCAACCTTCGGTCTGGCGAATGAGCATGGGGCTTGAATGAGCCTCATCTCGTATGGTCCACTTCAGCTGCCTATCGCGCCTAGCGAATCCAACGATCAATATCATCAAGTTCGGACTGCGAAAGCCACAACGGTGTGGTGTGCACTGAACTCCAGATACAAAGACCTTACAACATATTGGATAGGTGGGAGGTCCACTCGCATATCGATACCCTGAAGTACACGCAAAGTTTCCAGTCGTGTGCGGTAAGGCTGCTCAATTTCACCTTCACACTGGCAATCTGGCAATATCATTATCACTGGACCTGCCAATGGCTGCGGGCCTTAGAACCAAGATCAACCCCTTGAATGCTGACCTGAGTGTTAGTTCCAGTAGGCCCTTCAATCGTCAACAACACGTCCTGGTATCACCAGTGGTGCCTTGGAGACTGACTTGACACTTCGCATTATACCATGTACTTTTGTTTGCAGTTTCTGCAATATATCATATGCAAATTATCATTAGCAATAACACTGTCTTGACAGCAGCAAGCCAGCAACATTTGAGTGAGGCTGATTGGCAGTTCCAGCAACCTTGTTGGTGTTCTGGGAGCCTATTCATGTCTCAACAACAAGCGGGGTCAGATTTATAACCATTGTTCTAGCGACCTTAGGCGGAAACATCTCTTTGCCTTGATATCCTCCCGAGTGCTTTATTCCGCATATAACTGGATCATGACAACCTTTGCTACAAAGTTTAAAAGAAACTTATGCAGGTTGAACACCATGTTAAAGTCTTCGAAGCAGAGGGTCTCCAATGGAGACACAGGTGTGCAGCGTCACAAACATCCATCCATAAGTGAGCCCAGCAAATGCCGAAAATAAGAGTGTAATTTTAAAGCTGCAGGTCCATGGTAACACACTGAATCTTACCACGGATGCACAGAGTCAGCATCAGCCTGCTCCCTGCTCTGCGTACCAACCAATGTCGAGTTCTATCAGCCCAGCTTCCCCCTCATTCTCTTCACACACCTTTTAGGTGCATATGACAGGATTTGGAGAAGGTCACATAAATATTTGAACCTTGGAAGTTAGGGGAAGCTTCCGGTTCTATCGGTTTGAGCCTTCAGTTGCATTAATGTGCAGGATCAGAAGAAGGGATGATTGGCACTTTGGGCACCTGCATATCACACAAACGACAATGACCCAATGCTGAACTGGCCTGCAGAATACGCACTCATGCCTCCACTTCTGCCAAAACCACTGCCCGCAGAAATTCCACAACAGGTGGGAATCTAAAAACAATGATATGGTTTACCTGCCAGATGCCCTCAACTTTTCTCACCTGCTTGGAACAGATACCGCAATGACAGACCCTTATGCACAAGATACTCACGACCTTGATCTGGTCGTGCATCTCGCAATATCCCTTTCAGAATCAGCACGTTCTGGCGTCAGAATTTTGTGGCTAACAGCAGAAGTGGCCGGCAGCTCTGTAGTAGGGAATAAACTCTCAAACTGGTGGGCCAAGTTCCAAGTCGGTCATCATCTTTTTTATAAGGCTGAGATTGCGTGATGCAAAATGTGTCCATTACCAAACTGACCTTAATCTCAATGAAGCCGATATCTTAGGGCAGACTATGAAGAATTTAAGGAGTTAAGTAAGTTGATGCCGACTGTGGTTATGATCTCGGCTTGGAACTTGAACCTAACATGAGCGTTCAGGATGACTGCACCCGTAGCTTCTATGCTTCCAATGCTTTTGGTGGTCCTGTGTTGGAGGTGCTTACTGCAGGGGCAACGTTCCTGGCCTTAGTAACCTGGTGTCCCTCCAGAATTTCAAAGTTACTTGGATTTGTTTTAAAGGATGGATGAGCCTGCTTTTTTCACTGCTCTGCGGAACTAACTCTTCTGAATCCTCGGTATCCTAGGTCAAGAGCCACACTCGAGGAGCCCACCGCGAAAGTGGAAAGGCTGCTGTGGGCTTTGAAAAGGTCTTTCGAGCGGTTCCCTGACGTTCGGATATTTCCCTTCCCCTCAAGAGCCGCCCAATTCGACAACATCGACCTTATCATATCAAAATTGGGGGCAGCATGAGCAAAACTTCTTTCTGTTTATGCAGAGATGTCCAAAGGTCTTTCCAAATCACTGAAGCACAAGAAACATTCACAACTTTCCAAAGGAGTAGGATATGGTCCGGCTCTTCCCCAATCGCAACTCAACCCGATGAGCCAGCAGGTATTCGACAACTCGGCCGATTGGGACTTACTTTCTTGCTCTTACAAGCATTCTGCCTTGCGTAAACAAAACGGATAAAGTGACAGAATTTGACGACTCACCCCATCCCCTCTTGGCATTCTTGATCAACAGAAGTTCTGTTCCTAAACAGGCGGCTGAGTTGCTTCGTCGAGCGATTATTGATGACATCAGTGCTAAATACAGGACACTGACAGTTATTTCGACTTGTTGGAGAGCATTTTAGGACACTTGGATACAGCTCCATATTTGCTTTACCCAAGAACTTTCTAATGTGCCTATTAACAACTGCCAAAGATTGCGTTTGACGACTCCAGCAATCAGGAACATCCAAATATGTCTCCCCATCCTGCAACTTGGCAACAGTTTACGGATACTTTGCGGGAGTTATCGACACGTTTTCCAAACTACCTGGAAACAACGGGAAGAGTGGAGTGGACCTTAAAAGATGACGATGAACCCGTCCAGCTCATGCAGCGGATATGCTCTCTAGATGCCTCTCTCCAGGCGGGAATTGCAGCAGACCGATCACTCCAAGAGCTTCCTGCCATGATGCGGGCACCAGGCTTGGACGTCATCATGATTGATGCAGAGATGACCAACCCCAGTGGTGACGGTGTCCAATCGAACCAAACTTCTGACAGGGATTTGGTAGCATGGCATAGAGAATGTTGTGTTAAGTCGCTGCCAGATGAACAGATTCTCTGGATTTACCTACTCTCGGATGCAAAAGCCTTAGAAAGGCATCGCTGATGCCAGGTCGGATGCGCAAGATCTTCGGACAGCTTGCATCTCTCTGCACTAACTTACCGGGGAGCATCTTTATCTGCTATGGTGAAAGACAACCCGATATTCTTGATGCCCTAGTTATTGGACCAGAGGATACGCCTTATGAAAATGGCATATATGAATTCAATTTGTTTTGCGGCAAGCATTTTCCCGAAGTCTCACACCTTGGTACATGGGAAGGTCAGCCTTGGGAAGTAGATCGCTCGACTCTCTTGCAAGTCCTGGTCTCCATTCAATGTAAGTTTCATCTGCAGATCATAGCATTTGAACAGAGCACTGATCGAAGGCTCCCCATCTAGCAATGATATTCAATGACAAGCCATATTGCAGAAAGCCAGGATTTGAATTCACCAATGCTGGTAACTGAGTCGAACAGTTCAACCGTATGGTTGAGTTACTGACCATCAAACATGCCATTCTTTATTGACTGAACGAGCATTTTGCCAATCCAGATGCCAACAAGGAAGGAAAGTCGACAACAACGGCGACATTCTCCGCTAAAGTAGGTGCCATTCATGAATCTCTTTCCTAGACTGGACAGGCATTGCCACACACTAAGATGTTGTACGCAATGAAACCACCCTCAGCATGATGCATTTCTTAGTTTTCTTTTGGAGGCATCGGCCTTGATCAGACCGCCACCATATGCCCTGAATTCATTCACAATTCAGACTTCGGCACTTCTTATGTCTCCTCAAGCAGTCGCCATAGCACCTGATTCCATGCCAACATTCTTCCCGAATCCTGATCAAACGAACAGCCATCTTGTGCCTTTGGGGGATCTTGGCTATAACAAATTTCCTGCGCAGTCTCTTAAACTGTTCAACCTCAATGATGCCATCTGGGGGGGCATATCGTCCGAAAACATTTCGCGGCCAAGGCAGATGCGATCATGCATTGGGCGAGAGAATGGCAAGCAAAGGGACACAAGGCTCAGTCCTTGGTCAACCGTACAGCACGGGATGCCAGAATTAGTGAAAGTGTTGGAGGAAAGGTTGAAAGTATATGGTTCCTGAAGTAAAATTGGCAGCCGGGATGCTCATCTCGACTGGCGCATAAATGACATTGTCTCTTGCAACTCATGGTCCCGACTGCGAGTAACTAAAGGTCTGATCTTGACGGTAAGGAAGGTCTCGGAGGATATTTTCGCTTAAGTCGGCACAGGTCTCTTGCAATCATGAATACAATTCGATTAACAGATAAGACAGTGAACAAATCTAGGGAAATAGTAACCCGATGTAATTAGCAAACCACAATGATTCTATGAACTTTGTCCAGCCACGTAGTAAAGATGAGTTCAAGATTAATTTGTCCAGCAGGATTTACCTTTACTCACATCAGTGGGCTTATCTATCTGTGGCGTCAGTTGAACGGAAAAAGGCTTGAGGTATTTTATTCAGTGTTGTTCACACCATCGTATGATAGACCATGATGAACATGTGTAACTTGACATGAACTGGGGTAAAATCTCATTTGGTACGGTATTAAGATGGATAGATAACTATATGGAAATGCAAAGAACATCCTGTGGTGCTTATAAGACATAGTAACATCTCACGCGTTATGCAATTGTTCACCCCCAAACCCAGTTTGTTGACCTGATCTATGCTGCCCTAGATAAACTTCTCGGAGGTATTCAGCCAGCAAGAGGAGGTCCAAACGGATCCTCTAATTGTTTTTTCTTTTTTGGCACTCCGAAGACGGCGGCATCGTCTTCGAGGGATCCGCCTTTTGTCCGGCCTTCCCCTTCGTCATCAGAATCGAAACCTTTTCTGCTTGCCTGTTCGCGACGGATCCGCTGCAATTCGACAAGGTTCCAGCGGTCAGGATCGCGGCACTTATTGAGCTTTTTCCGGATTGGTTGGATTTGAGCTTTGTAAACAGTTTTCTGAAGGTAATAAACTAGTTAGTGGTCGTTGCTGCCAGCCAGACAGAAATTGAAGCCTGAGAAGACATACATTATTCCAATGTTCTCGCCTTTCAGGTAGTTCTTTCGACAGCATGTCCCGACATGCCTCAATGGTGCCAAGTACTTTGTCGCGGACGTGTGATCCGATGACAGCAGCTTTATCCTCCAAAGAGCCACTCGAGGGGGATGCGGTTCGTTTATGGAGAGAGATGCTTGCAGAAGCCCCTGATGGTGTCTCAACACCCGATGTGGCTGGTGTATCTGTGCCGCTGCTCGGCTGGGGAGCCACGTAATGGAAGGTATCTTGAATCAGGCGCTCGGCAAGACCACGGTCTGCGAGGGAGAGAGCTGCGAGCATGATCTGACTTGGAGTAAAGTGGAAGTAGGCATCAGTGATTAAGGGGCTGAAGCGGAGGATCTCGCGGGCACGCTGCTCGGCTGCCACTAAGCGGGCCGGCTGTAAAAACGGCGATGTGAGCTCCGTACTTGAAGAAGCGGACTTAGGGACATCTTTACCTCAACGTCTGGTAATGTGCTCAGCTCCATAATGGCGCCTCTAAGAGCACGAAAGGGATGCTTCACGTCGAGCGCGAACCTGATACCCTGACACAGAAGAAACTCTCCAGCAAGAATTTCCTCGGGGCGCTCTCGGCCAAAAGTCTTCGCAAAGCTGATGATGAGGAAAAGCCAGATTTAGTATAAAATGCTACAATATACTGTCGGCATAACAATAACTTACTCAGAAATGCTTGGAAATGCTCCCTCTGCCTTGCATCCAAAGAATAAAGCAACCAACAGCATCTCTTGTGGTGGGTATGTCATGATGCTGTTCGTGATGTAAAATCTTTTGAAAAAAGTGGCTGCCGTAGCCTTAATTTCATCTGACATGTCGGCATGATCGCCTGCACGCAGCAACTCGGCTGTGTAAAAGGTAACGAGCAAGAGCTCCTCTGCTGGGGTGAGGAACTCTGGAAGCGTTGGCGTAGAAACACCATCTGGGTCGGGAGTGTTGGCGCTAGACGTTGGTGCTGATGCAGTATTAGATGGATTGGGCATAGATAGCAGGCGCTCTGTGATCCTTGCACGGGCGGCGGCATTTGTCTTCTCGCGCATGGAAGCCAGTTGCGACGGGGAGAAGGACCACAGCTCGTACTGCGAGGACTGCCGATAGCGGGCGTCCTCGGACGCTATGGTGCTGGCCATGATTGTCGCAATGGAATGTGTGGAGCAGGCTCCTTATCAAATGGTCAGGCTTTGGAATAAACAAGATTAGAAGCAGAGAAGGCTTTCCAGAAGTGCTCTGGGAAGAGCAAGCAGCTCCTGGTTGCAGAGCGTAAGGAGTTCCGCTCAATGCAATTTGAATTATCGGAAGTTGGGTGTCTCCTTTGTCCCCAAAGTCCGAGGCTCTGGTTGAATAAGACCGTCAATGGGCGCTGCAAGCTGACTTACCTGATTGTGAGGTTTACTAGCAAGTGATCCTCAACCTTGAGGTTTGATCTGCCAGCGAGAGGTTGACACTGGGAGGGCCCACTTGAGCATCTCTTGGCACGTAATTCCTGATCTGAGATAACCTTGGCGTTTGACAAGGGTCCGCAGCCGAGAGATTCCGAAAGTCTCACTGTGATAGCTGAGAGAAGTCACCATCCAGAATCTCACACATATGTGCAACCACGAGCTAAAGCTGATAGAGATACATCCTGGTGTCTAGCCAAGCGCACGCGCACAACGTCCATCATTATGTAGCCTGTGATGATTCCACAACCTCCTGAGATGGTTTCGAAGCTAGGGGTCAGGTCGTAGAACCCGAGGGACTAGGGTCCTTACACAGTAAAATTATGTGGTCGCCAATTGTTTGTTGACAACTGTTTCTATTACTGACTGAGTAAGTCCTCACCGTAGTTCTGGGATGGGAAATTCTATATACATAATTATACTCGAGGACCGTTGGTATGCTGCCCTGCCATTCAGATTATCATCGATCAAGTTCAGGATTATCGTTAAGGGTAGAGGTCGATTGTCGACAGTTCTTGGCAGAAACAACCTTTCCTTGCCTGTGATTGGTTTGTCTTCTTGTCCCACTTGGGGCTTCTTCATTGGTCCCACTACTCCGGGGTGGCTGTGGTCGGCACCTGGGCCGTAATACTAGTCCTGGTCCAAAACCCTTAGGGAGTGCACACTTTCGAGAAAAAATAGGAGCAAAATGTAAAACGAAAGGAACGGAGTTGAAGCGGATAAGATATCATTTCAAACGTCAATATTCCTCATAGAAACTCGGGCCCAATGTTATTCGTATATTATAAGATAAAAGTTTTACAAAACTCAGATTATGTTAGGTGTGTGCCTATTAGGCGCTATGTTTTGTGGCCCCACATATTTATGAAAGTCCGGACGGTGACCTCTTTCGCCACCATATACCACTGAAGAGATGCCCCAAACGTGACATGCCCGTGCGGCCAAGACCAAGTTCCTCCGCCAGCCAAAGTCCAGTTCATCGGTTAACCTAAATAACTGACTTTAAACTACCAGCCATGCCCATCGCAAGTTGTGAACGATGGGTAGAAGGCTGAATCGAGACAGAAAAAATGCATCACATGACACGAGCAATTGATATTTTTTACACCTACTCCAATAATTCGAGAAATGAGCTCAAGGAACCGCGACATGTGGATCGATCGCTCCCTATTGGGTCAAAGAATGTACCCTGCGATGAAACAAACTGGATCCCATCCATTTGGAGAACAAGGCTGAAACCAAGCCAATTGTCAATCTCCCCTGAGGCTAGCGGAACTGATCGTGACTGCTCTCCAAGCTCTCTCAACAGTCAACATGATCCAACTCCAGCACCGTAACGCAGTGTACCTCTGCGATTTCAAATGCCCTCCGTTCCCACATTCCTGCTCACCATTACGGATACAGATCCAATTCAGGCCCCAAGATCTCTCCTCTTTGGGGGCACAGGAGGTGTGGGCTTCTTGCTTCTGCTCGGCGGCGGGGGCGGGGGTGTTTTGCGGATTGTTGATTCATTTGCAAAAGGACTGGCAGCTGCATTGTCAGCTGGCCTCGCCAGCTGCCCTGGCGTGCGGCCGCTTGGCATAAGGCTCAAGCTTTCGCTAGTCGTTGCTGTTCGGGCGCCAATATTGGATGCCTGCCGGTCGTTTGATGTCGGATTACTGCCTGAATCGCTTATGCTAGTGACATCGTCATCGCGGCCAATTTGGTTGGCTGTCTGGCTGAGGTTCACACGGCGGAGTTGACCACGTAAGTTGGATACGCTGGGTAGATTACTAATGCTTGTCGTGGTTGATGTTGGCAAGCTGGTCCTGGAGAAGCTTTGAAAGCCCTGCTGGCGTTCGCCTTCCCGGTCGAAGTTTACTTCACCGAGGAAGCTGCTGGTTTTGGATGGAACTATGGACGGTCCCGGACCATCAACTTGTGGCAATTGTATCCTAATTTGGGAAGCACCCGGTCGGGTGGGCATGCGAACTGGAGGAGCGACGGACTCGATATCTTTCGATGTACCGCTGTAAGTATTTGAGCGAATGATGCGCGTCGGTCTGCTTTGGCTTCTTGAGTAATTGACTAGTAGTTCTTCCCCTGGTGAGCTGCCTGTATTGGATACACTCGGCCAGTGCTGCCGCAAGCGACGGAGTTCTAGGGCGCATCGTTCGTGGTAATCGAGCTCAGCATCAAGAAACCGACTCAGGTCGCGAATGCTGTCAACTTCCGCGCTTTGGATATCTTGCATCCGACGGCTAACGTCCTCTGAGGCTTCATCGTACTTTGCTTTTGCAGAGCGAAGTTCTTCCTCGAGCTTAAAGTCGTCTTTCTTAGACTTCTGGAGTCTACTGATGCTTGCGTCATAGGCCAAACGACGGCTCTCGAGCTTCTTTCGAGCAGCCTAATAACATAAAAGCACCACGTTAGCGAGACATCCAACAGCCCATAAGAACAAGCATGGATCTGACGTGCCTGATAATCTTTCATCATGGCTAGTGATCTTTCAAGAGACTCGAGCCATGAACTCGTAGCCTCGGACACAAAACTCTCCTGGATCGCCGATATCCGCTCGTTCGCTCGACCCATTGCTATCAAGCAGTTGCCGAAATCTGAGTCTGGATGAAACTCCTCGCCATGACTAACCATCATATGCCCCAGATACCCTATTGGGTACGCCTTATCTTCTGAGGACTCTAGACGTTTCCCCATCCATTTGACGTATTGGCTCATGGATCGCTGTAAACGTTCCGTGCCTGTCACGATCGATTAGCTTCGAATTAACGCTGCTGCAGGAGTTGAAGATGGATTGGCACCATCAAGTCTCAACGCCATTTCGGCCTCGAGCATTTTGAACTCTTCCGACATGGTTGTCTTTGACTCTGTTCCCATTTTTTCACCCGCCCATTGAAAGGCGCGGTCAAATTTCTTGCTGATATTCATGGCTGTTTCTTCTGGATTTTGTAACCCTCGGACTTTGCTTAGCGCTTTTGTAGAAGGTTTCCTGATGCGTCGAGGAAAGTAGGTAGGCAGTTGTCACCTTTTTGCTGTGGTGTCGGGACGTCAGGTCGGTATGCTGTATGCTGAGCTGTCCTGTGGATAGATAGCTACCAACGCACAGGCCGGCTCACCAACCCCTTGCTTTGTGCAGGAGTTGTGTTGTATTCCCATCTAGTAAATCCAAGCACTCGGTGGCAAAAATCTGGCCAGTGGCTGCTGGATAAGGATAAGGGAAGGAGTGACAACAGATGATGTGTGTTGTTGGGATGATGCATCCCTTGTCTGCTTGCGGTTGGGGAACAGAGGGTGTGGTCGATGGTACATTAACCGCAAGACAGAAGGCACCAACAGGCAAAACAGATTAAGAAACAGCAAATATCTTTGGTATGGATCGATTGGTGGTCAGATAATAAGAATTACTAGTCACCTGAATGTACAACTTTAAAACAGGTTGTTGTCCTCTCTACTCATCGACTCGAGAGACGGGGCTGTCAAAGTCGGGCTTGTGATACAAGGGTTTTGCGCACCATTGTGAAGCAGCTGGTCTTGTATCCGTTTGACTGCCGAAGAGTCTTAGCCAATACTTCCAGGAGAAAGCACAGATCAGTACCACTCGATGAAACCTTCCACCCAAGGTACGAATAGTTCAAGTCCCGGAAGGCGCCAGCAGGTAGCCAATTGGATGTGCAGCTGAAATCCGTTTCCCAGTTCAAGAAGCCTAATGGGTAGCTGGAGCCAGGAATCATTGAAATACTAGACCTTACACTCTGTCTAGCAAACCTGCAGTTCATCGGCAACCCCTGAAGGATACATCAGAAGACATCAGTGCAGCCCCTGAATATCTCATGTCTGCTTCTATTAGCCACGTGCTCTCTCGTCAATGAGGATCTCATTAGTTAAACTACCTGGCCAACTAGGCGACTGAATAGCTGGAGACGCTCCGTTACCTAGTGGTCAACTTGCTACACGCTTTGTGTTTGATTTCTACGATTGAATCCCTAATCAGCCGGCTGCTTTAGCAGACCGAAGCCCGAGTCTACATGTTACAACCCTCTAGGCCTTTACAGTGGAGCAAAGTCAACAGACTAAGCGTTTAGCAATCCAAAAACTGAACTCCATGGGCTATTATGCCCGAACACTCATACAACCAATTCTCATACCGCTGTGTTACCAGGAGTTCCAGCATGTGTTTCAACAAGGGCATGGCTTTTTTCAGGAGCAGACCTAAACTCCTGTCTTTAAAGAGCTAGGCGCTTTGGCACTGTAGAAAGGGTTGACCAGGAAACAAGACTGCCTACCTGCTAACCACTACCACTTGTACGAGTGACAGTCCGTCAATCTGTCAAGGTACCGTCGAAAAATGAAAGCATCGAAGGGACATGTTGGTTGTGGATGGGACATGCATTGTACATACTCCACGAAATGAGATGCATCTAATACATAGTATAGGTATATCCCGGATAAAGAGGGTGCCTCACAAAGCACCTTGGCTGTGCTGGATCCCCAGTTTTCGTACTTCGCAAGCAAACAATGGCATACGAAGGTAATGCTGCCGCACCGCTGCCGGTGGCTAAATTGACACTGCCCCTCGCGAGTTATGGGTGATAGTGATCCTTGGTATCAAAAACCTTTTTATTTGATTTCTTGATGCCGCCTATCACGCTGATTGCAACCAATCTACACTACCGGCCGCTTATACCAGGATCAAACATACCTGCATTATGTAGGCATCTAATCATCCCATGCTCCGCCATACGCCGAGAGAATGACAAAGCTGTCTGAAAAATAAGAAGTGCTGTTTGATCTCCTTCTATCTCACACCGTCCCACTGATGCTGAGTTCCCGAATCTCTTGAAGAACCTGTTCCACACGGGCATCCAAGTCGCCACGAGCATACTGCTCGCGCGTGTCAGGGTCGAGGTATTGCTGTACTTGGGCCATGCGACTATAGGCCTCGGCACAGAAGCGCAGTTGAATCTTGACGAGAGCTTCAAAAGATGGGTCGAGGTACGGGACGCGCATATCGATTAGTTGCGGCAGCTCCGTGCACAGCTGTTCGTTGAGCTGTTCATATGCAGCCTTTGCCATCTCCAGCTCCTTCTCAGCCCGTGGTAGTTTAGTAACATCTTTGTCTGGCTTTTCTGTCAACTTCTTGACTTTCGCTCGTAGTGCATCATAGTCAAGAAGCTTGTGGCCGCGCTTCTTCATGCCTGAATATCGGTGGTAAGCATAATTCACGATGAAACTGGTAATAAATGGAACGCACATTCATTGACATCGGGAAAGTAGGCGCAAAAGCGAGAGATGGGCTCAAGGACTGTTGTTCTGTATGGTCCATCGAGAGCCTTGATAGTCTCGGCGTCTAGGTCTTCTACAGCTTGTTTGTAGCTCCTGCTCACACCATCTTTGGCACCTGAATCACCGTAGAAGGCGTCGATTGTTTCTGCGATGCGCATTTGTGACGCCGTCATGGCTGTATAAATCCCCGGTTGTTAGAACCTAGTTTATGGTGGATTTCTGCAGTGCGTGCTGAGGCATGCCGCACCTCGTAGGGAGTCAAGGTAACCCCTCGCCTCTTTTTGTAGCCTTAAAGAGGCTGCCTCCATTGTCTTGAATCGCCTATTATTACAGTCAGACAAGCAGATTAGGAGAGTTGTCGGCAATCAGTCATTGGCGGTACCTCTCCTCAACTTCGTAATCTCGGTCATTGGTCTTCTCGACATGACCTGCACAAGTCTGAATTAGCACCAATTGCGCTAGGATTGAGAGTGATGCAGAGTCACAAACCAGTCTTCATCATAACCTGCGTTGTCGCGCGGTTAACGTTCTTCTTGAATCCTGCCAAACATCGAGTCAGGTGCTGAGCAGAGTGCGCTTGTCGGGGCATGCATACCCGCCCAAGACATGTTGAAAGACCAGACCTAGGAAATTTTGAAGTCGTAGGGTATTATGCCGTAAGTGGACGGATGTTAATGTTAGTGATTTGGCACACTAGGGGGTTACAAAATGGTTATTGTTTTGCGGCGAATGTTGAATGAGGGCAAGGTGCATCCAAGGCTCAGTCGGCTCCCCCTGATGCGCAATCGGCTGGAAACCACCAGCCTTGAAGGACGCACGTAGTGTGGCGGTGCTGATCATGTAACTGCATATACGTAGATTGGCTGTTCCATATTTATGCGCCACACCACTGATATCAGCTGGATAAGTAACTAAGCCACTCTCCAGCCACGGGGTAGTCAAAGTGGGCGGTGTAGAAATGCAGACCATTGTTTTTTGGAGTATCAACCACTGTTGTAGTCATCATCAACATTCTTTTTATCTCAGCAACATCTTAGCCATTTGCCAAGTGAACCACCAAGCATCAACCGGTGAGTTGGGTCCCACTCAAACCAAACTTCCTATATACATAGCCTTCATCTCTGAGAGCCGTCTTTCCAGCTATTGTCATCCTTGAATCACGATCCTAAATAGGTGTATCATAGAAGCGCCAGCCAAATAACGAGGAAGTACAAATATGCAGGCACTAGCTGAAAGCAGAGCAAAGGTAACCATGGCAATTATTTTAGCTCTTGATGATTACGGAGGCAGATGGCCGAGGCCAACATCCGCGGGTGATACGCGGTGGAGCCTTAATTGCCAAGGCGCTATGCTGTACACGTGAATCATCGTGATTCATTGGCCTCATCCCACCTCCTTCACCCTGCTGCCATCATCGTGCTCACAGAAGATTTAAGTGGATGGAAACACGGGAGTGCTGGAGAACAATAAATACCGGTAGACGAAGCCTTCAATTCCAATTTTTCCAGATCATACACCATTCCCCTGCTTCCTCATAACCTCCTTCACCGCCTTTCCGCAAAACGTCAACAACTATCGAGCACGAAAGCAGGCACCTCGCATTGGTTGCTTAATCACTGTCAAGATGTCGGCCAATCCTCCAGTGCCTATCTCGTTCTACGACATTATCATGCGTCCTCCTGTGGAGGAAAACGCCTGCTCCCCTAACCCATGGAAGACCCGCTATGCCCTTAACTTCAAACGCTTGTCATACACCACCACTTGGGTTCACCTCCCTGACATCGCCAATGTTCGCAAGGGTCTGGGTGTTCCTGCTTGCCGCAAGTTCGCTGATGGAACTGACTTTTACACACTTCCCATTATCGTGGATCCCTCCACAGGTGCGAAGGTTGGGGACTCGCTCGAAATTGCGATCTACTTGCAGAAGACCTATCCTGATGCCGGGGAGGGAGATCTGTTCCCGGAACAGAAGCTTGACTTCACTGTTGGGCAAGAGTTTTCTATCCTTATCCCTCTGACTGCTATTCCTGAGGGATGTCCCTATCCGGAATATGCCCGGTTCAACGCACATGTTGACGCAGCATTCACTGCCCACGTCGGGCTTGGCGTAGCTGGGTTACCATTCCATCCAGACTCTGAGGAAGCCAGCAGGGCGGAGTTTGTTCGCCGTGCAGGAGTGCAAAAATTCGAGGACTTCATCGTTGAAGGGGAAGCAAGGACGAAGCTGAAGGAGTCTTTCCGAACTACTCTTAAGGGACTTGCGGATCTTTTCCAGAGGGACACATCCGGACCATTTTTAATGGGAAAGAGAATAAGCTATGCAGATATCATTGTCGGAGCATGGTTGAAGATGCTGTCAATTACACTGAGCAAGGATGAGTGGGAAGAGTTGAGGGGGTGGCATTCCGGCGTGTTCGCACAGCTGCATGATTCATTGCAGAAATACGCTGAGGTGAAGTAGGGAGTTGTGCACCCTTTCATACTCTTAAGGCTCATTTTTCGGGGTATACAATACCAACCGTATGCAAACCCTTCAGCGTTTGGCTAAACTTGCAGATGTTGGCATTCAATATTTCCCCCCTAATCCCTATGCATTGCTTTGCACTCTTCCTCTCATGTATATCTTGACTCGCTCTATGCGGATTTCTCTGTATATCACATAGCTTTGTCGTTGAGAGTATTCAGCCAAACATAGCTTCAAATTACTCACTACTACCGTCAAACTTTATGTGACTTGTAAAGGTGGTATAAGGAATGATTTGTCTCTCAAAACTCCAAGGAATGCAGTTATCTCGGTATCTTCTTAAGCATGGAGCTTGCATCCAACACACGGGCTAGGAGGTGCCGCACTCCCATAAATATCTGGCCTAGGCTTCCCTGATACATTGAGGAAACCAACGGCCCCTTTGTCCAAACGGAAGATTGCATGATCCACCAACGTATATGTCCCTGGAACAACCATCTTCATTTCAACAATGGTCGCGCTACCAGGCGGAACGCTGACAGTTGAAATGAACCGTCCCGGTGGGCTTAGTACATCTCCATCCCTATATGCCTTGCGGAAACAACTTCCGATAACATGGAATGAACTGGTCAAGTTTGGTCCTGCGTTGCCGAAGAATACCCTCACTGTCTCTCCAGTCTTAGCTTTCAACGGATGGGCGGTCGTCAATGCCCCCTCTCGACCATTGAAGACTACCAATTGCGGTTCCTCACTCAATCCGTTTGGGTAGCTGAATTCCACTTGACGCGATGGTCTGCCGTTGTCATCTGTCTCTGGCGGTTCATGGTAGAACTCGCTCTGCATGACGTAGTATTCATGGTCAACTGGCTGAAGAACTTCCTCAGAGAGATCCTGTGGCTGCACGAAGATCATTCCGTACATTCCATTGGCAATGTGTACAGGTACAGGGGCAGCAGCGCAGTGATAAATGAAAATCCCTGGGTATAGGAGCTTGAAACGTGCTACTTTTGTTTCATTCTCCTCAGTTGTAGTCAGTGCGGAGCCACCACCCGGCCCTGTGAACGCATGACAATCAATGTTATGTGGGTTGCCAGTAGCATCCTTGTTGGTTATAGAGAGCTCAATCACATCACCCACACGGGCGCGAATGAAAGGTCCTGGAACAATGTCGTTGAAGGTCCATTGTTCATATTTGTACTGACTGCTGAGTTGTGTGACTCTTGTGGTCGTGATCAAAGGTACATGGAGCAGGACAGGGTAGTTTCGGGTGATAAGGGGGGGCACCTCAGGTGCTGTGCTCAACATGGCCTCTTCCCTTGGGAGATTTGAATCCACGGTAGATTCGCTATCCACAGCATCATAAAACTTAATCAGGGACCCGTCACTTTGATGATGCGGGATCTGTCGGGGAGAGAGGAAGGTCTTGCACGAGGTTAGTGAATGGTCAAATTTCCTGTCCAAGATTGATCCAGGATTGACTCACCGTTTTTTCTGATGGTGTGTCTTTTGATTTTGGTTGTTGTTTATTGTATGACTCCATTGAGTCCAGCTGTATAACAATGTGGGTATGCCGGATGGTTATGAAACCTGCGCATAGAGCTATCATAGCAGCTGGGACAATGAACTTGTGTAATACTGAAGTAGGGCATGTTTCGGATCTTAATTTTGCTGTTGTTGATGAGTGACAAGAGCCAGCCATGTTGCGGCCTGGTATGGCAGGTGATTTCCTGAAGAGAGACAGCCTAGTATTGGAAATGGCTGCCCTGCCTATCTTCGAAACTGTTTGGCGGAGGATGGCTTGATTGCCCATGTGGACTAACATGGCTCTACCTTAGGTAGAACTCTGGGCGTGGCCACTTGCTGTTTTTTTTAAAAAAAAACTTGAGTCGAGGCAGTCAGTGGGGTGTGCCTACATGATAGGCCATTACCTGAGTTAGATCGAGGAAAGACCTAGAGTAAAGTAGGGTCGATGGCAAATTGCATAGATTGTGGGCGTTTTATACGAATTTGCCGGAAGTCTTGAACAAACCGCAGTCTTGGACTCCTTGGCATCTGAGGAGCATCAGGAAGATTGTGAAAGGGACTTGCAAGAACCAAATTGGCCCTATTGAAGGTTCTCTTCAGACGCTACAGGTATGTACTCGAAAAAGACGAATATCTTCTACACGAATTTAGAATAGTTATACTTCGGAGCTGCAATTGCATATGACATACATATAATAAAACCAACTTTGAGTTAGTGGGCTATACCTTACAGAACTCTGTCAGTACGATAGGCGGCGAAGTTTTTGGCACCCCCATACCTACCATTGACCCTGATTATGCAGGTAGAATATTTTTGTATTTTGCAAATGCATACGGGCAGAGGGTTGACTGAACTTGCAGGGTCAAAAGGTAACAATGACGTGAAGAAGTTGTCAGGTCCCTTGGTGCTGCGGCGCCTGTATCTCCGCGGCAGTTCATAGACACCCCATTACTGTTAGAAAATATGTAGGTATTCCCAGTCCTCTTAAAACCTACTGCGGAATACTTGAAAGAACAATAAACAAAGCCAAAATTTTTACTTGTATACAGGCACAGGATATTTGGAATGATTCGCGCGAATGTCCCTTGCCAGCGTAACAGGCTCCGCAACCCAATGATGAGAGGTGGTGTGGACCTTGCTATGGAGTAACCCTAACCCTGACTCTCTGGCAGATCGGGATGGAGATTTTTACCATCGCGGAAGCAATTGTCCCGCCGCGCGAGATAACCGAGTGCTTACATCGATCACTGAACTAGTAAGGAACCTAGTGTATACCGTCCTCACTAATCCTCTGAATAACAGTACGAGTAAGGTAGCATCCTGCAAGGCCGCAAGTTGTGGACGACGGTGACGGTGGGAACAGTCACAGATTTTCCAAGGGTGGGTTGATTCGCGCTGCTCACCGACGGAAACTCGCAACTTTATCGCACGCTTTCCTGAAAAGTCACGAGTGTTTGCTATCAGCAGCGGTCATTTAAGGCATTTGAGTCTGTCAATTTAAGCAACCCCCGCCGAGCAATCACCTGTCGCAATTCCTTTTCGCGAGTTATCGATATATTCTCTTATCAATGACTGGACTTCGTCGCATCCTCATCATCTCTTTGGGTAACCCAGGCCAGTACCGGAATACATACCACTCGGCAGGACATCTTGTCCTGGAAGGCCTCCAGAAACTCCTCCCACGCGAGCAACCTGTCTTTACCCTGCAAAATATTGGCCGCGAGCGGACCCTTGCCTCAGTCGGTGAACGCTGGTCACTGCTGCAGTCGCCAACGTTGATGAACATCTCTGGGCCGTGGGTTGCCAGAGCCTATCGCGAACACCTTATTGAGCGTGGGTTGTCTCCAAATCAACTCGGCCTTGTCCTTGTACATGACGACCTCGAGGAAGCACTGGGAGCTGTCAAAGTTCGTGCATGGAAGGCCAGTCACCGTGGACATAATGGGGTGAAAAGCGTGTTTGGAGCATTATGTCTGGATTCAACAGCCAAGTCAGCGCGCGTATCAATTGGAATCGGCAGACCAGAAACTAAAGATCGTGCGTTGGTGTCAGACTATGTGTTGAGCGAGATGCCGAAGTTTGCGAAAATGACACTATCCCAACGGGCGAGTAAAGACCTGTACGTGGCTCTTTTGGAACTCGAGGACAAATGGAAATAACAAAGCTGGGGCAAAGAAGTTTTGTGATAGAGTCGGGCTGAGTGTTTATGATACCCCCTTCCAACTTGATAGACTCAACATTTATAGATGCATTTTGTCCCCGTTCTAGCAATCGGAAATTCTCGTGTTTGTCCTCGGGTCCATGCTCAGAGTTTTGACTTTTCCCTTTCTCTCGGTTTCATAAATCCCCCGAGCGCCCCTGCCCCGTCCCCAATTCCAACAACTTCCTCTCTGTCCGATATGGTGATTCCTTGAATACGGCAATCCACATTTTGGCTGGCCTTGTTGCTTTTGTCATCTCCGAACTCGACCCAACTGTGCCCCCTTAAAGGGCGGCGAGGCGGTTCAAAGTGTCCTTCCCCCTTATCCGGATCAACTCCATCGCTCGTCTCAGCTTTCAAGTCAATTGGGTCGCCAAGTTGCGAAGGATTGACCTCCTTGATGTCTGGGTGGACTTTCTCTGCGATGCGTTGTCTGAGGGGCTTGTAAGGCATTGTTTCAATTTTTAGCAGCCTTGTACTGGAGAGTCAGAAGTTCTGTTCCCTTCCGTGTGTAGGTAATCTGTGGTAAAGCCGAGAAGAGAGTTATTTCGACACATAATCCCCGGTTACTTACCTATGTAGTATCCAGAGTCAAAGGCTCAGTGGAGAGCACGTATGACGTCGTCTTATCGGCGCGATGATATCATTGTGTTGTTCCCTCAACCGAACTTCACTAGAACAGGGTTTACTCAATTGTCCATACGCCTGCCTACCGATGCCAGCGTGTGGACGTCTGCGGCAGCATGCAGTTGAGCACTGATTGGTGTGTTCTCAACTCGGCTGGTTTGCTCCCCCATTGCAACCTTCAAAGGCGAAAGCTTAAATGGTCTGAAACAATGGTGTGCTGGTAGCTGAAGTAACATGCTTCAAGTTGAAACTATAGTTAAGTTTATCTCGAAAGCCCCTTAAGTTAATCCTCCCAAATGGTAACAGAACCAAAAGTCTGCAGTTCAAATATATACTACATGAAGTCAAGCAATGGCTTCCAATTCCGTGGGCAGGATTCTAATTTCCTCGGTGGGAGTGCAAGAAATGTCACGACTAGGATATATCTGCCCAGATTTCCAATGTGGATGCTGAGACGAAGTCTCCGAGCAGTCATGGTTCAGGGTGGCTTCACCACGCCCTTTAAAGGTGATCCTATCGTTTTTGTCAGCTTCCCATTACATTTGCACGTATAACTCAAGTGTTGTTCACAGCAGCTTACGGCCATTTTGGATCCCGGTCAGTGCAAACCCACGTTTGGTTGACCCTGAGCTTCCCCGACCCCATTTCAAAGTCAAGTGTGGTACTTCTAGCCGCAGGTTGAATTTTGCTAGCTTGGCTTGCAACATGGCCGTCTTTCTCCTCACAATGATACACGACATTCCCATAAAGGAAGTTATTCAGCTGGTTTTCCAGGGCTTCACATCGCGTTGTTGATCCATCAGCTGGGTTGTGCAGTTCGAAGGAAACAGATCCCGATGAATTCTGATGGGAAGGCGTTGCGAATACATAAGAGGCATGGAAAGATAACACTCGAACAATCCAAGCAAAGGAATTGAACGAGATTGATGTGCAACCGGTAGCAACGGTGTGGCCTTCCAGCATACTAGAATTGGCTGAGAAATGGTTGCCCGCGATTGACGTATTGATCGGTGTTGAGGTCACAGACAAGACAAGCCACAAAAAGAGGAGAGATAACAGGAGAGGTTGACTCCTGAGCTGCATTATGTCAGGTCCCATAGTGAACAGTCTGATTTGAATGATGTGATCGTGATTCTGAAGAGATGGATATTGTGCTGTGTGACATTCGGACACGGTCAGACAGTCTACACCAGTTCGGTTAGGAGTAGGTGAAAACCCTTAAAAGTTGGGGCGCTGGATTTTATAGGGTGACAATCACGAGTATTGAACACTAAGACAAGATGTGAGTTTCAGAGCTTGTCGAGAGGTTTGAACCGGCCTTCCCAAGGAGCACGATGGTACCTGAATCTTAAAGAGGTCATGGAGACGATGTCCCATCCCAGGTAGATATTTTAGGAGCAGGTGGACAAAGGCTTGGCAAGTCCACAGGATGCAACAGGAACTCGATAACGCCGGCTGAGCCACCAAGATAGGTAGTTGGCTAACCGTGAATCTGCAATCCATCAGCCCTCTCGTTGCAGCTTGTGATTCTATTCCCGATAGAGTTGCGGGCCAAAGAGCAGTCTATATGGTAGATGCTTCGTATAGCTTCTTGGCGGGCTGGCAACGTGGTGATGTGATCTAGTAGGTACCTTACCCCTTAATGAGACATGCGATTCGGCCTCTTCTTCTCTGTTACTCTGCATTCGCCATATCACAACAAGACTTTAATCTAACATACCATATTCAATTTAGAACCGAGAGCTGAGTGGGAGGAGACATGAATCGCGGTGGTGACGATTATGAATCGCAATGGCTGGCAGGGAGTGTAACAGAGCTGCGATGTGGCCTATGATGTGGAGCCGGGCCGCGGTTTTCCGTCAACCTTCGCAGAAGAGCTTGACGGTCTTGGCTTCACTTCAGGCCTGTAGAAAAAGCCAGGATGTTGGGTAAGAGCCTATCGCAATGGAAATGAGTAGATGGCCACAAGGGCCCGAAGCCTAATGCAAGCCGATTCTGGCGTACAGGATGGGTGTTGGAAGTGAAAATATTAATCCAGGTCGGCGGAGGCCAATAATTGTGCCCTAACAAGCCCATCTTCCTCCGGCTCGTCACCAAAACACAGCCAACAAAGCCGTAAAATTACCCGAATTTCGTACCGTACAGTTTACCCCTCGTCCAATTGTTAGTGCGAAACTTTGGACAGAGGTCCTAGTCAGCTTTGCACGATAAACGGCAATTTTCTTAGGGTTGAACGCTGGTTGGAATGATCAAGCAATGGATTCTACCAATTGAAAATATTTTCTTGCCCTGAAGGTGATTAATTTGTGGTTGGGTTGTGATGTCGTTGGGCGTTCCGTGGTCCCAAAGTCTTGCGCCAATAAATAATTCAGAAGCACATGATATAGCACGTGATTGTGGAGCAAGCGGTTTCTAAATGGCCCCAAACTAACCCAGCTGTATTCTCGCCCACACAATGAAGCCAGTCAAGGATCAATGACTTTGTTTTTTCTGCATCATGTTTGTTTTAATTAAGCTCTGCACTGTTCCCATCACCCCAACTTGTTTGGTCTTTTGGACGCGCCGTTTGTGTTACACTATGGAATAAAACCTGTACGTCTCTGCATGGAATATTGTCAGTGGTCCTTGTCTCCCCCATCCACTTCCGATGCGAAAACAGATTTCTAGGGGGCTAGGATGAATCTGACCAAACACTGAGCTTCCTGGATTTGCAATATCCCCGAAATAACGTAGGTCGATTAGCTGAGTCAATGTTGTATTCCCCGAATTTATAGTCAGTTGTGCAACTCCCAACATGCTGTGTGCGAAGCACAGCCAAAACTTGAGCAACGCCTGACGGACCACGCTTATTCTTACCCTGCAACACTCAACACGAATCACTTCTTCGGCTTCCTCGCCTCCGTATATCCCGGTAAAGCTTTCAGCCCTATCTTGCTGTTAGCTACAACCTCCAAACTCAAGTAGTCCATATTGGACACTGTGTTACAATTGGAACGACGATAAGGGAAGATTTTTGCGAGAGGAAAACCTTACAGTCGTCAATTGGCTCATCGATGGCACTCGATAGAGTGCACCTGTTCATCGCGGCGATGCTTTGAGTCTTGAGCACTGGGCAGTTGACATAGCATGCCGTATCCATGGCACGCTGAAGCGAATCACCCTTCCAACCGAAGACATAATCTCCGTGAGAGCCATATCCGGTCCTAGCATACATCCAGTAAGCATCATCTTATGTTTCAAGGATGAGCGGCATGTTTACCTGTCATCCATCGACCACACAAACGGCTGTGAGCCATCTTCTGGCCAGATATCCTTGTGGTTGAACTGACGTGTATCCCAGATCGTTTCATACATAAGTTGTGGTACATGTATGGGATGAGATGCTGGGCACGGCCCCCCACTCTCAAAAGTTCCGGATTCTGGGTACGCCATGTGACTTATGTGGTCCGGGGAATCGAGATTCTTGCCGTCCCAACAAGTTGGGAAGCGCACGTTGGCCATGATTCCCTCCGGGCATGGCTGCTTGGGGAAATCTAGCGTCTCAGGATACCGCGTGTACAGATCCTGTAAGCATGTGTACGTGATTTGCCGGAACCTCTTGGCCTCTTCCTTGCCCCGAGCTGATGCCTCGCCCACCAGCATGCGGAACCCTGTCTTGAAGGCTGTTACCCGTGATGTCTGCTGAAAGGTGGCCAGGCCGTCTTGCATGTAGTAGACTGTCATGCCGCCATTACCGCCTTCGAACCCAACGTTAGGCCGCTGAGGAACTCGGTGATAGGAACCGTTGCGTGCGCGGAAGAACAGCACAGCTGTCCAGTAGTTAGAGAAGTCTTCACTAAACTGGCACGTCGTGCATGTGGCCTTTTCTGCTATATCTCCGTCCGCCGGGTCCATCGTCGCGTTGAAGGCATTCTATCATGGTTTATAAACAGGTTATTCAATGTAATTCATCTTTTCTTCATCTTTTTCTTCGGTCTATTACTTACACCACCAATGATCTGGTGAAGATGGGGAGAAGGATTCATGCCAGGGGTCACGAGAGGATCGAGCCGTTCGACAACCAATTGGGAGCAACCGAACCGGATGAGAGCTAATGCTGGCACTGCCAGTGCAAGAGTCATAAGTGGGTCCTTTTTCATCTTACCTGCTATTTTCCTCCTATTTTAATGGTTTGTAAGCTAAATGTAAGAAATGGGCCGTTGTTATTGGACGAAGTAAGTTGGCTTTGACAGGATGCTTAAGCAGCTAGCGATCTTGTTGAGGTCTTGTTTTCACTTGACCATTGGTATTGCGTCTGCAGTCTTATGATTGGAGAGTGGCTCTGTTATATTCTCGATCTTATGCACAATGTTTTGAATCATGCCAGCCAAGGACGTAAGTTCGATGCATACGGGAAGCAGACGGCAAGAACATCATTGATGTGCCTGACCAAGATTTCTGATATATAGGATTTTGCCCAGATTCACCACGCTTGGCTTCATATGGAAGATTAGGTTTTGAGGTTATACAACCGCTATAACAGTGAATTGCCTATGCACCCCTAACTGACTACCAACGCTTCATCCAATCACATTCAGTTTGTTCCGTTTCTACTATTGCTTACACCTTGCCGATGTGTACCGTCATCTACTAAAACAACACTGGTGAACACAATTCCAGCATGGTAAGTGTGCACAGTCTAACCAATGCGGCGTAAGTCACGAAAATCTACTTTATGTGACATGTTCTTGCTTTCCGCGAGGTATGGCTTGTCCGATGCTTTATCACCTCCTGTCGAGGGTTCCCTGGGGACGCTGTCTTGAGATATGGGATGTGATACAAACCCACCCGTATTGCATTTTTCACTATTTAAATATTTCGAAGGGAGAAAACACGCACATAGTTTATGTGAAAGTTGGGTAATCAAGATTTGATGCAAAATGTTCGCCAAAAACATTTCCAGCAGTGGATCGGGAATTGAGCCCGATGCGGGGGTCGAACCCGCAACCTTGAGATTAACGGAGAGTTCTTAAGAGTCTCACGCTCTACCGATTGAGCTAACCGGGCACTGGGAAGTCACTATTGATGTTACAGCTATGCTTGAGTTTTCGCTCAACTAGGCGTTCGATAGGCTAGCTCAAGGACATCTTGGTTTGAACTCCTTAAGTACAATCGATCTAGTTTGGCACCTATATACATAAGCCAAGAAAATCATTCGTCATAATGGCAAGATCCGACAGCTCTAACATTGACATTCTGGCTAAAATATCAAAGCTCCAAGCACTAGCAATGAAGTCACGATGTTAGAAACCAAGGAATCTGATTCGTTGAAAAGCGCAATATCTACCTAGCTGACATTAGACACAGAACACCACCGTCGATGCACCACGTCGGTCATGCTAGGTCCAAAAGCGGGACAAGACCCCCTGATGCCGACCTTTTTTGCCCCCGTCATGTAACAAAGAGACACACAGTCTGGGCATTCAGCTCATCACTCTGCATCTAGCGGGGCCCTTGGCGGAGTGTCGTTGACCTGAACTCCTCCGCGTTTCTTCTCATGGCTATCAGGCATGGGCAAAGCCCAGCCACCTTCACCTTCAGGAGTGGCAAGCCACAGTCTAAGCAGATGACGACGCGGAGCTGGGGGAGCGAAGTCTGATCCGTGGGAAGGTGAATTAGCTGGCAAGACGGAGAATATATCAGATATAGGAGCAGGGTGTTCATACCTTTATACGCTGTTCTAGCGTGAAGCAAATGTGAGTTGCTCACAAATTGGATATCTCCTACTTCAAGGATCATGTGCAACGCTTCACGTTGGCATGTATCTTCCAGAATCTGCATCGCCCTCTTCTGCTCATCGCTCAGTGGCGGCAATAGGCCCTTATCCCAGAAACGCCAAAGCGACCGAACATAGTACGGATCCCACTTGCAGTACAACCGACCCTTGCTCCCATCCTTCTCGAGATACACCACCGGCTGTCGAATGTACTCCTCCTGGCCAATTGACACCTCGCCCTTGCGGTCAAAGTACCAGATGGGCTTGGTCAACAGTTCTGCGACATCTGGATGCTCCCGTTGGAGGATGTTCCACACATTGTGGACACTCACGATGTCGCTCTCACCGCCCTCTTGGGCACGGTGCAGGCACAGAAGCCCGACGATGTCACAGTCGTCGGCGTGAAAGAATTGACGGGCAGCCGTGCGGTAGATGCGCACAGAGTCAATCTGCTCCGGGTTGTCGCCAACGTCTTTGACGTGGCCCAGGACGTGCCCGAGGCCGTTCTGGGAGACGAAGTAACCCAAATGAGTGCCGAGACCCATATAGGCTGCCGCAGTTTTTAGGGGTTCCCATTTCCCTACGGGAAAACCCTTGAAGAGGATAAAGCCCTTGCCGTTGAGGAGATCATCACGTAGGGCTGCAAGAGTGGGCGCAAGTTTGGGAAGGGGGAAAAACTCTTTCGAGATGCCTTCCAGCGGAGTACCGCTAGCGATAAAAGCGTCTGTAGCCTCAGAGAGCTCATCAATCTCTTCCTCGGTGAAGCGATGGATCCAACGTTCGGGGTGGTCAACGAAATCTTCCTTTTTCCAAACAGTAGGCCCTGTGATCTCCTTTGGGAAAGCTTCATAAGGCTTGAGGAGATCATAGAGAGGTGGGTGCTGGCCCGAAGTGCGGATCCCGTCGGGGAAGATATGCCGGGGAGCATCGTCGTTGCGCTTAGAAATAGGAGGTGTGAAGGGAGCCTTGGTAGGCTCGTCAACGAGAATCCCGGGAGCCATCGAGAATTTGATATGGGCGTTTTACTGAATGTTCAAAGGAACAGAGGAAGAAGGGACTAATAGAAACTGATGAGGGAGGCGCAGTAGTGCTTGCGTCGGTACACTTCATGGGAGAGATCAAGCTCGGTATAAGTAGGTGTGTAAATTTGTGCTAGATTGGTCCATTGTCTCAGTGGTGACAGCTTCCGTATGCAGGGTCGTTGTTGCGCTCAACATGGATGATGGCGTGATGGCCACAGCTGACAGCCATGAAACATTGAGAGCAGGTCAACTGTGGGGTTGGAGTGCCAATTGTGCAGATTGGGATTGTTGAGTGCGTCAGGGCCATTGCGATATACTGTAGCGGGATGACGTGCTCGAGATCTTTGAGGTGGGAAGCTCCACAGGACGAATAGCACCATGAGATGCGAAACTTGAAAACTATGCTTTTGTAGAATGAGACATGCCGTTCGCCTGTTCTAAACCGATTGGTTAGCAAAGGCACGTTTTGGGTCGGATGGATAGATCCATGCAGGAGGTTAATTCTGGGGTAATCTGGAGTTGATGACCACGGACCGGGGTCAAGATTGGATGGATGACAACACAACATCCAAGGAACTTACCCCGCAGCACCCCTGATTGCCTCCAGAAACAAAAGTCGGTACAATTGGACATCAAGAGCGACTTACAGTCACTTGACGATGTGTTTGAATGGTTCAGAGTCAGTGATATTGACTTCAAGGAACTGAAGCAACGTTCTGGCACAGCACGAGTTAGACAACAGGGGCTTGTCAACGAAAAGCTAATGCAAGCTTTAATAACAGTGAGGGGCAGGCTGTTTCGCCAGAGCGGGAACCATAGTGAACCATATGAATTGAACATATGCCGTATTAAAGCATGCTAGTATTAAAGGTACCGAAATCGAGAAGTAAATGATAGAGTATGCCTAGAAAATATAAGAACATCATCACCTGCGCGGGTATTTGTAACTATAAAACAGCCAAGGCGATTATTCTGATGGTTAAACATACGTTTGCTCAGCTGTTAGTGGTTTCAGGCGCTTCAGCGGGTGCGCCTCGGTGTTGAGAACATAATCGTCTAAGCTTATTAGGTCGGGCTCGCTGAACATCAAGTAGAAGTACTTGAGTGTCTCGCCAATCCAGAAGCTTTCCATTCTGTCAAGCTTAGCTGACTTGCCTCTCGGAGCGGTGACATCGACAAGTCCCGAATTGGCGAGGGGTGTCCTTGTGTTTTCTTCAATAGCCCGCCACATTTGCCAGGCAGTATCCAGCAAGTCTTTGCGGCCCGTGAGGCGGTAGAGAATAAATACACTCTCTATGGCCTCGGGTCGGAGGTGGTACTTCCCATCTCTAATGGCAATGATTCCCTGTGGCAGGTGTTTCTCCTCGATGATGGCATCTGCTTTGTCTGCATCTTTCTCTGGATCCAAGCCTGCCTTGAGCAGGACGGCCCGTTTCCACCGCTCAGGATCCCAGGGACAATCTTTGTCGTCGCTGTCGTTTTGGCTCTCTTTGCAGGGTAACATAAAGAAGTTTTCTGGCATGATTCCAGAGGGGGTCGCATTGTAAGTCCATACACAACCGTCGGTAATTTTGGTCCCTTTGTCGACATGTGTGTCATTCCCTATTAGCTTGCCACCTAAGAGAAGCATACCTCCAGCAAAGCAGACTAAATGCTGGGCTTCTGGCTTGAGGTATATGGTGCGGCTGCCGTCATCTCTTTTGTGAACAGTAACAAAACCTGAGATGAGAATGTCGGCATTGTCGGGTACCATCGGACGGAAGAGGTTCTCACGGATGGCGGTGTCCATAGCAACCTCGTACATTTCACGATATTCTGGAAGCAACCCACCCATTAGGGCATGAGTCTTTGGTAGATACTCGAAAAGAGAATCGGCCATGGCCCCGAGAGTATAATCGGGGTGGCTCGAAAAGTCTTCATTCCGTGGATTGACTACTACCGGCCACAAGCCAGGCAGGAGAGTGGTGTTCTGTGACGCGCGTAGTGTGCTGGTGATGCGCTGCACGGCGTCAAACCATTTAGGGTCGCCCGTGATCATAGAGAGTCGTATGAACTCAAGGGCAAAAGTCCCAAGCTCCGCGATGAGAGCATGTTCAGGAGCTTGTTGCTTCTTTCCTTGGGCGGCAGCACGAGCATCCCATCTAGTAATGGGCATTCGGTTAGGAGTATCGAAGGCGACATAGAGCATCTCGCCAACCTCACGGGCCTTGGCAAGTAGCCTCTTGTCGCCGCTGAGTTCATAGGCGCCTAGGAAGCCACCGAGGTATCGGATGTTGGTCTCGAAGACGTTGATCAGGTCCTCGCCAACTGACTCGAAATCGATCGTAGCCGCAGCCGTGACGGCTTCGTAGAATTCATCTTTCATGTCCATGATCCACAACGTGTCAAGGCTGTCAACAAGGGTGGCACCCCATCCACCAAAGGGGTTGAGCTTCTTGCCACTGACCGGAGCAAGCTCATCGCTTCTCCAGGCAAGCCTGCGATAGGATGACCAGCACCGCTTCATGGCGGCCTTGACAGCGTCGCGACGCTGAAGGCGCAGCTCACGTTCTGACGACGACTCAAGCGCAAAGTCATGCTGTAATTTAGGGAGGAGGGACGGCTGGCTAGTCGGAAGCGGAAGCATGCTGGTGACGGGGTAATGAGGCTTCATTTGGCTCCATGCTGCCTTGACGCGACTGGAGCTCTCTTGGAAAAAGGACTCGTCCCCTGGGACGGGATTTCCGGCAGGAGTGTATGGTCTTGCATTGGAGCCTCCTGAAGTTCCTGGGAGCCGGTTATCAGGTATAAATCTAGGAGAAGTGGCATCAAGCCGCTGAAATGAAAACACGACAAAAAGAAGGACAAAAGCAATGAACAATGCCAATGACTTCCGTCGCAAGAAACCACCCGGCATTTTAGAGTGTCGGGGCTCTGGCGACTGTACGCCCTTGTGTAATGGCGATGAAAATGACGGTACTTAGGCAGGAGGAAAGTTGCCTATCCCAGGGAGTTGTGTCGGTCAAACTGCACACTGCCATCTCCAAGTCCCAGCTACATCCAGTACGTAAGGCAGGTTGGTAGGCAAGTGGGTACGGCATCCACATCTCCTAGAGTTGGAAATATTCTGACAAATAAAATGATTTCCATTCTTTCTAATAGCCCTAAATTACGCCTGAGATTTTCATTGGTCCATGCCACCTCTTTTTTGCTGATACTGCTTACTATTTTCGGTAATGAAAACTAAAAGTCCAAGTGTTACGCGTCCAGCAGCTGCCCCGCAGCGGCGCGGTGGAACCAATGAGAAGCCGCTGGGCATAAGCAAGCAACCAATAGGAGGGTCCCGAGAGAGCTAGGGATGTGGACCAACCAGAAGTGTAGCGCAGTTATCGCAGTCTCTCACTGATATGCTGCGATAACTACGGGAAATCAAGGCCCAAATAAGCAACGGTAACAAGGCAGGCATACCAACGGCTTCGAAGATAAATATGTATATAGAATCACCCATCCTCCAGAGCCACGACGAAGACTCCCCAGTCAGCAATAGAAACAGTTATCAACCAACAACTGGTGACCAGTGAATTCCATACACTACTGTGTGAGGACCCCAGTCCCTCAGGCTCTTCGAACCCATATCAGGAGGTTGTGGAATCGTCGCAACAAGTATATAGTTATGCTAATAGATAATATATTACTTAACCGTCCTATGGTAGAAGTGATCTTAGGCGATATGTGACAAGCTACCGAGACTTTCTTGTGACGATTCCACAACCTCCTGAGATGGGTTTGAAGAGCCTGAGGGACTGGGGTCCTCACACAGTAGTGTATGGAATTCACTGCAGTCACCAGTTGTTGGTTGGCAAGTGTTTTTATGCTGACTGAGGAAGTCCTCATCGCAGTTCTGGAGACAAGAGATTATATATACATATTTATACTCGAGGACTATTGGTATGCCTGCCTTGCCAGATATCATCGGCCAAGCTCAGGATTATCGTTAAGGGAAAGAGGTTGATTGTGGTTCTTGGCAGCGACAATATTTCCTTGCCTCTGGTTGGTTTATCTTCTGGTCCCACTTGGGGCTTCCTCATTGGTTCCCACTACTCTAGGGTGGCTGATCCGCATTTGGGCTGTTACATATCTGGGATGGATTCAAGTTGGATTAGAGAGAGAGGATTCAGACTTCAAGCACCGTGGTAACCAGTTGTACCGCGCAATTGTTTGCATTGCTAGCTGGGGAATTCTTCGGCCCAGTGGCCATTGAGGAATCTATCTACCCTACTTGTACTCAGGATCCCTTTTTGTCTTATAGCGCCTTTTGAACCCTGTCTCTCGCACTTCCCACGATATTTTATGTCGCTCTTCATGCGATACTTCCCTTGCGTTTCATTGGCTGTTCTGGATCCATTTCCTCCGTGCATTTTATTGATTCTATGTACCCGCCCTGCTTCTTGCACCCTGATAACTCTGTTGGTCTTATTGGTCGTGACAGCCTAGTCATCAAACATCTCTAGCCTTCAGGGCCTTGTTATTGTATGGTGAACCGTGCCAAAAGGAACTTCCAGGGGAAGCCCCACTCGACAGACAATCACGTGCGATAAAGAGCCGTACATAACTTATGGATGCCTGGTCCATACTCTACCAGTGGTAGGCGGAGCCAACATTGGTAAGGTCAGTACAAGATGTAAGGCTCACCAACTCCTGACATTGAGCGCCTAGGCCAGCCTGTTCTCCAAACCTCAAGCTGTTTGGGAACTGAGAATAAAAGAAAAGGTTAGCTATAGAAGGTAAGTTCGAGACAAGACATCAATGGTAAAAGAGAAAGCCTCTCAGCAACGAGAAGAAGACAAGCCCAAAATCTCCTTAAACCAGTGCTTCATCTGCACCAGCCACCACTTTAGCTCACAACCGCATACCGTATCAAGCCCAGTGCTCCTCCTAGCACAATGGCTAATGGCGCATTCAGCCCAAAATACCTCCCTCCAACATAGCTCGTTGCCGTTATTACCACCCACCAAGGATCATCACCAAGACTCCTTCCTGACTGGAAACCCACATCTATGTACCCTACCATGAAGATGCGATACACAGCTGTGTAAATCAGGCCAACCGCACCCGCGTTTACTCCACGAAAGATGGCCTTCATCCATCTTCGATTGCGAACGGCGCCCCAAACCCCCATTGTCCCATGAACCAATGCAAGCCCAGGGGCAAATATGCCAAACCATGCAATCACCGCTCCCGCGACTGAATTGTGTCCGCCGTTAATTGCCGTTAAGCTTCCCAGAAACACTGCGAAGTTGAAGTTAGGTCCTGGAAATGCCTGAATCAATGCTAGGCCGATCAAAAAGTCGCGTGGTGCTACCCATCCCTCTGCCACGACATACTCGCGTAGCAAGGGAACCACAACTGGACCACCCCCAAAGATTATGGTTCCCGCGAGATACATGTTGGAGAAAAGCCGATAGAGCAAAGGGGAACCGGGAGGAGGAAAAGCACTGCGCACTGCCATGACGACGACAAAGGTCGTAAGAAAACATCCGATGATGGCAGTTCCAGCTTTCCATGTTAACAGGTTCAGCTGGTGGGAAGGAGGAATAATCCGGGGCTCCTGTTCCGCCGAGGACTGGCTATGCATGGCTGTAATATCTTGCATTTCATGTCGTCCCGGTGTCGACGAGGAGGCAATTGGTGTTGTGCTGATGCCAGCTGGCACACGCTGCTTACTGACTTCGGCTCCCTCCCCAACAGAGATCTGTCCTTGTTCCTCAAGGTTCTCATCCCTTTGTTGTCGTCTTATTGCCTTCACGAGCTTAGAAATGGGCCGATGTACCCAACGATAGTCGAAAATAAGTGTCGCAGCGCCAGAAATAGCCATCAGAACGGGGAAATACCAAAGCGCATTATACAGCATTCCAGCTGCACCAGTAAAGAACACAACGATCCTCGTCAGCTTATCTGTAATGGCTTTCCGTGACAGTTCGACGGCAGCTAATGCAATCACGCCTACAGTCGCTGCGTTGAGACCTGATAACAGCGCATACACTGGTGCTGGGAGCTTCTCGTCGATGTTGGAAACTCCAATTGACAGGGCATACATGCCCAGGGCACCTGGTAAACTCCAGATCAAGAAGCTTGCGAGAGCAGCCAAAGGGCCAGCACGTATCATGTTAATACAATATAGCATCTTCGTACTGGCCGGCCCAGACAGTGATTGAGAGATGCTGAAGAGCTCTTGAAACACTTGCTCGTCAATCCATTGTTTTTTTTCCACAAATTTCTTATGAAACTGTCAAGAGCATTGGTAAGCCAGCGCGCATTCAGCCTTGAAGCGATAATACGGAACTCACAATCTGAAAATGTACCGGCGGCCCTCCAAAGGCTGTGACACCCAAATGCCAATTTGCTCGTAGTATCTTCCAAGCCTGGTGGCCCAATGTGCGCACCTGGGCTGTAAGCCCTGGAATACCGATATCCGGGTAACTCATTTCAATCTATATGGCCGACGATGGTTACTACGAGTAAGAAAAGAATGAAAGAGGTTAATGGGAGAAGTGGGAGAGTCTCAGGAGTGCTAGCATTTGTTTTGTGCTTCTGCTGTAGAATGGGATTTACCGCAGTCACCGATGATGCAATTCTTGGCTTTGGCCGTCTAGCCAATCACGGCTATATCTGAAAGTTAGGGTGTTGGAAACGATCAGTCCCATGCCCCGTGAACTGTGGGGGAATATTCAATACACTACAACTACTTTTCCCTGGTGTTATAGCAACCATGACACTTCATTTCTGGATTATGATGATCTTGATATCTAGTCTTTCTGGAAACACATACCTAGGTAGATAGTCTCATCATGTCATGTGCTATGTCAGATGGTATCTGTTGCATCACTCAATGGAACAGTTAGGGCCCTCGTCATATCTGGTCATTCGATGATTCCAATCCAGGAGGCAAACCTTAGTACCTCTAGGCTTCAGGGACGATCTTCTTGCAACCAGCTATGGAGATATCCGATAAAACATTGTTAATTTGATCAGTTAGGCAACACCAAGCCTCCACTGCAGGCAACGGAGAAAACTTGACTGCACGATAGAGCAAGGATATAAGCAAAAGGAGAGTAATGTCACAAGAAATTGAATCAAGAGATAGTCTGTGCTGCTAAGTAATGCATCGCTGACTTCAAGGGGATCACATGCTGATTTAGAACAACAAAAAGCCATTGAAATTGAGTTCACAGCTTCCTGGCTGACCGTTTGAGCACAGGAACTGCCTCAAAAGTCTGCCTAAAACTCACAACACCATGAGCCCAACTGACACGCCGACCAGCATTGCAATGTCTGCAGCTGGTGTAGTTCCCGGAGCTGCTCCAATGAGGCTGGCCGATGCTGAAGGGGTGGTTGTGTAAATGACAGAAGGTGTAGAAGCTGAAGTTGAAGACACAACGCCCGAAGTAAACGGCACTCCTCCCGGTGTGCTACTTGCCCCAACGAAGGCAGGAGCTTGAGTTGCAGCTGTGGGGTTAGGGGTCGCAGTCGAGTTGGCAGGGTTTAAAACCCTGTCAATAGCCGTCAATATCAACAAGGCCTTGAGTCAGGAGCTTAGGTGACCAAATGAGGGAAAGGACTCACCCGTCAATGATGTGCACAATGCCGTTAGCAACCAGCAGATCTGCCTGAATCACACAGGCGCTATTGATGAACAGCCGACCGTTTTCAATCCGGAAGTAGACATTCCCTCCCTGGGATGTGGCCTGGCTGGCTACTCCACTACCACTGCCGCTTAGCCCTGCCACTGATCCAGTGCCAGAAGTCGAGCCACTTGCTGCATTGTTTATGTCGTCGACGATCTGCTCGCTGTAGAGGACCTTCCCTCGAATCACATGATATCCGAGGACTGTGGTCAGCTCGTCGGCAGTCAAACCGGCCACCAGGCTGCCTATGGCATTAAAAGCCTGGTTATTAGGCGCGAAGATGGTGAGGTCATTTGCTTGGTTAATGCTAGTCTCAGCCTTTGCCCGGCGAATGGCACCCAATGCAGCCGTCAGGTTAGCACTTAGAAGCGTATCAGTGAGCGACGGCGGGATAGTCAGGACGGAATCGATGACATGGAGGATGCCATTTGCGTATGGGAAATCCTATGATCGAACAGCTAGTTTAATCATGAACGAGGCTCAAATTTGCCGTCAATGAGTGCCGGTCAACTTACGTATGGCTGAACAGTAGACTGAGCAGCATTGCCGGTATAGAACGTGATCGCGCCATCATCGGATCGGGAGATAATGCGCTGACCGCCGGTAATGTTGGAGTAACCGGCGATGTTGAGCATGGTCGGGAATGAACGATCCACCGTCAGGTTTGAAATCCAATACAAGCCATCCAAGACGTGATAGCTCAAGAACGCTGTGAGCAAGTTGGCGTCCTCAGCGAGCTGAGCTGCAAGGGGAGTGTTGTAGAGCTGAGCCATAGCATTGTTGCTTGGCGCCAGCAGAGTGACACCTGAAGCACTGCTGAGAATGCTATAGATCAGTTCTTCAGACTCCAGCCAGCTGGTCAGCGTCGACAGCGTCGCGCTTTGCGCGGCCAGCACATCAGCCAGAGTCTGGCATGTCGTCAAGCGCGGGGCTAGGAAGAGGAGTATCCGATCCAGTCGCATCAATACCAGTACTCAATCGTTCAGTCTGCTCAAGAAAAGAGACAGGCTGAAATATGATACCTCTGAATTCTTCGAGCTCCCCAGAGCATTATACCTGCCGGTATGCGCCACTGGCGCAGGAAGCGACGTAGCGATCACGTCGGCCCAAATCCATGGCGAATGCTGATTTTGGGAGCACTGTAAGTGCTATTGAGCGAGCCACAGTTACGCTTTGACAAATATAATGGTGTTGCAGTGACACTAGACCCCCCGTGATGTTGGATTTGATATCTTATGATGTAGTCTGTGGTTTTAGGAGAACAATGCGGACGTGATATGGTGAGAGACAAGGCTCGAGCTTCCTATAGGTATGTTTTGGTAACTGATGGCCAACCGTGCGCGAAAATAGTCACTAATGACGTCATTAGCACGTGATATTTAGCCCCTTTAGTTGAATAGAGCGCACACACATTGAGATATATCGTAAACGGGATTATGAACCTTCCTTAAGCGGTATTAACTCACCTAACCTTTTCCTTGAGGAAAGCATCGAAGTGGGGTTGTAACTGCATCCCGACATGTCAGGTATTTTACAAGAACTCGTCGATCCGTATTTTACACGGTGCAGGTACCGTACAGTTATATGTCTTACAACCCAGCAGCTCAGCAAGGGTCCCCGACAGCCAACTTGTTGCGGTGACGACATGGCCGCGAACGGTGCTGGCTTCCACGTCTCGCGAGCCTGGAACCTTAAAATGGACTCTTCCGCCTGCAGCATGTGATCTTTTGCTCTCATCCTCCGCTACCAAAAACAAGATTCTCGCCTACTCAAATATTTCGATGTCTCAACTTGTCGATGCTACGCCCTCCGCCAGCTCTTCATCCCCAGGATCGCCCAACGCTCTGCTCGCTCCGTGCTCTAGGTCCTCCAATGCGTTCGCCGAATCTTGGCATGTCGCTCATCACAAGGAAGGAACCCAGCTCGACGGAATTTACCAACCTGCACTCCCATAAACGCCCTTAAAGTCTCTTGTTCTAGTTCAACTCGCCGACCGCCGCGACTGACGACCAGTCAACTGCGATTATATCGAATTTTGCCAACATGTCTGTCCGAGAGCCAACGCCATGGAATGCAGGCGAAGGGCCGAACCTCACATCCACAAACCCATACTCTCTCCACAAAGCCCTGCACGCACGTCGTGATGAGTACACAAAACCACACCGCTTACGTATCAAGATCGGCACCTGGAATGTTGCTGCATGCCCAGGAACTGAAAAGGACCTCGCCAGATGGTTTGTTGAGGGAGAAGCGCTGAATTCTGCTCCTGAATCCTCCAAGCAGCGGGCGAGTTTTTCTGGGCATCCCTTGGCATCCGGAGTTGAACACGACAACGGCCCCATCCTGCTGACAAAGGATGGTAGGATTGGACTGTACGTTCTTGGGCTTCAGGAAGTCAATATGTTGTCATCTCCAAGCCAGTATATGACGTGGATATATGCTCCTGATACAGCCGCATCAGATAAGTGGAAAGCGGCTCTAGAGGCTGCGTTACCCGCAGGCTACCAACTTGTCGCCGCTGAACAGTTGGCTGGAATGCTACTCTTGGCTTACGCGTCTCCCGAAGTAGCGCCTACAATCAGCCATACCAGCATATGCTGTGTTGGAACCGGAGCTCTAGGTTATCTGGGAAACAAAGGTGCTGTGTGTCTGCGTATCATACTCGGGGAAACAACCCGATTACTTTTTGTCAACTGCCATCTGGCAAGCGGCGTTGGAGACGCATATGCTGAACGACGCATTTATCAAGTCCGGCAAATCTTGTCGCAAGCATGCTTCGACTCGCCCTCTTTACACGGCATCATGGAGGAGAGTAAAGAGAAGATCGGCGCCGAAGACTTTGCCTTCTGGTTTGGTGACTTCAATTCGCGGCTTGATCGGCTACCTGGGGATGACATTCGCCATCTCCTGATGCTCCATACCAAGGGCGAGTATGACGTATCTAAGCAAGTACTCTCACAAGGAGAGACGCTTGGAGAAGAGGCCCTTGGTATGCAACAACCTCCAGCTAGTGGCACTGAGACATCAGATAAAGCCACTGTTGACGCTGAACTACGGATACGATCAGAAGACAAAGGAGAGGAAACCAGCAACTGTGATGACGATTCTCTACTTCCTTCCGACTCTGATGAATTTTCTCTTGATCCACACCAGGACCCTGGCTCTCTCCAGTCAACTCTTGATTCTCTGCTTCCGCACGATCAGCTTCTCCGTCTGATGAAAGAACGCAAAGCATTCCATGAGGGGTGGCGAGAAGGTCCAATAAGATTCCTGCCCACTTATAAGTACGATATAGGCACCGTTACTTCTTTCGACTCTAGCGAGAAACGAAGGCCGCCGGGCTGGTGTGATCGCATTCTTTACCGTTCTCGCATGGACCTGGAACGGTACGAACGAAAAGTCAGAGAGGAAGAGGCACTTCGTAAACGAGAAGAGGAAATGAAAGCACGCGGCATCCTTGAGGATATTGACGATCAAGTGTTGTTTGCCTACGATCCTGAAAACGACGGTGATGATCAACCAGAGACTGCCAAAATTGACTACGACGAATTCAACGAGACCGGAGAAGGACACGACTATGAGACTATGGAAGTTGAAGACAAGGACAAGATATGGCTCGAGTTGTACACATCTCACCAGCTGATCACGTCATCGGATCACAAGCCTGTTTCTTCAATCTTCACCATAGAGTACAACGCTGTGGTTCCCAGCCTGAAGGCGAAGGTCCATGCTGAAGTTGCTCGGGAGCTGGACCGGGCAGAGAATGAGGGGCGTCCAATCATCACTGTTGTGGTTGACCAACACGACGTCCATCAAAATGACAAGGGTCGCAGGTCCGCGGAGAGCGAACAGGTGGATTTCGGAGAGATGGTATTCCTGAGAAAGAAAGCAGCATCGCTCATCATAGCCAATACGGGGAGAGTTCCGGCAACTTTCTCGTTTGTCAGGCCGGCTGTGGAAGGTTTGGAAGACAATACTACACTACATTCGTGGCTCTCAACATCGTTTGTACGCTATGAGCCTCCTGATCAAGACTTCGCCTCGGTTAAACTTGGGACAGAAGTCACTCTCGAGCCGGGTGAAACTATCAACGCGCTTCTCGAGGCCCTAGTCAACGACGTGAATCTAGCTCGCTCTTTAAACCAGGGACAAGCCTTGGATGAAGTACTGATTCTGAGCGTTAAGAATGGTAGAGACCACTTCATCCCTGTGAGGGCTTCCTGGGCCCCAAGTTGCATCGGCTGGTCTATACCAGAGCTTATACGAGTTCCTGACGGGGGCATCCGTGGCTTTGCCAAGTCGCGTTTGCTGGATCAAACCGAGGCTAGAAATCTTGATTCAGACCTACCCGTTCACCGACCTGCTCCAAAGGAACTCTTGCACCTCATTGAAGCTCTCGAAATTCTGACCCAGCGCGCTACAGCCGAAGCGCAAATGATTGAAGATCTTACCATCCCTCACGACCCGGGCTGGCCATTCGACGAAGCTACCTGCACAAGCATCGACCGTGTAACCCGCCTCTCACTCGTCGCCTCTGTCCTGGATGCACTTGATCAAGACCAGCCTCTTCTTCAATCATTTCCTCCGGAAGTATCCGTTCTCGCTCGTCTCGAGGTCGTTTCTCATACATTGATTCTTTTCCTTTCTTCCCTCACCGACGGTATCGTCCCTACTCACATCTGGAATATATTTGTGGAGAACCAGACCTTATTGGAAAAGATTACCACGGCTTACAACAGCATCACCACTGGTTCGCTCGCTTCTGCTAATGCTGCATGTGCCGCTGCACAGGATGCCATACTTGATATCCTCATTCAAGCCTCCCCCCATCACAATATCAGTTTCGTTTTCTTGACTGCAACTCTCTCTCGCGTTGTGGCAGAACTCAGTCCTATGACCAAGACCCAGTGGGACCTGCTGATGCAGCAGCAACCAGCACAACAGCACAAGCTTTCAGGGAGGACTATTGGCTCCTCTATTGGCGGAGTTTTCGGTAGACGTGCTGTGAGTGCTAGCTACAGTTTCACAACCGATGGAAGCAGTAATGCCGCTCCCCACAAGAATGCCCCTGATGCTGCTACTGTCAGCAGGAGGGCGACTAATCTGGATGAGGCGACTTCTGCACTTGCACAGAGACGAGCAAGAGAGAAACGAGTGGCAGATCTGTTTGCGCCACTTATTTGTCATGGTTTGGAGGGCACTATCCAAAGCAAGGAATCGAAGGCCGCAGAAAAGATGAGGGCAATTCTTGGCTTATTTTTGAGGGAGCGCCTCGACTAGAGTAGCATCCTAGCATCCGAAAAGTGGCGATGAGAGATTGGTTGTGTGACCCGCCTTGTCCTGCGTCCGATCATAGGCATAATACTGCGATGTTGTGAGTATGGAGCGACGTTTGTCCCTTATTGGTTTGCCTTCTGCGGTTCGTTTATTGCGACTATTCTCTTCGTCTCTTCCAAAAAAAGCCTTCCGCCTGACCCTGATCCTTTCCTGTTCTGCTTCTTGGTTTGCCCTTAACCCCACAAGTGGTTACTGACCAGAAGCCTTTCCAGGTCGGATTCAAGCACTGTATTTTTGCCTTGTTTCTGCAGCGTCCATTAACTCTTACAGTGAGATATTCCAGCATTCAATAGGACAGAGCCATCTCCGCCACACCAGGGCTCCGTGGCTCACATTAACCCCCCACGACATCCCAGATGCAACACTGATACAAGGTACGGATCCTAGCAACCAGAATGCCTGCTCTTCCTCCATCCCATCATCATAGCCAGGTATCGCGAGCACCACGAAGATGTTCGCCCCATCCACAACTAGTAATTAACATCGCTAGGTTCCCTCTCGAATGCAACAACAGTCTTGAAATCCGTGTGCTGCGGGTCAGCAAATCGTGAGGGCGAAGCAATCGCGCAGAAGCATTTTGGGGTTCTTGGGACGAAGAAATCTGGGTGATATCTTTCGCTGTCAGTCAAGGCAATGCCGAGTCCAGCTAATCAAAGGAACAGGCCCTGAGAAGCAACCTGCAGTTACGCAAGCATGCCGAGGCGGACCAAATGGAATGAGACCGTGAACGCCAAACGCAGCTCAGACTCGGTGAAAGCAAATGCAACAACAAAATGACGAAGAAAAGCGAGAGGATGATCGGCCACCAGATGATACCCCATGAGAGTTTGCGAAGGTCATTGTCTCCCCGACAACATTTTCCAGCTTATGAACCCCTTCCATTTGTTGGACTGGATTGGCTTTCGCCGCTTACGTGTACCCAATCCTTACCCAAGCATCAAGAGACGCTCCTGGAATTTTTCGGAGCAATCTTGGTAAGAGTTTAGCCTGTGATCAGGTGCAAGCAGCGTCGCTTTCCAAGCCCACATTCATGCGATGAAACAGCAGTACTGAGCGCAAACGGCGCCAACATAAACTCTCTAGACACGTCAAGCCATGGTCATTCTTCATTCCTACTGAAGACTACGAGAAGCCGTTTGCTAAAGCATGGCCCTGTCTCGCGCAAAGTACCGCTGCAGGTCCGTATGGCGCTAGGTGCTTCAAGCAATTCCTCTCTAGCTATGCATCATGCATGTTCAGCGGCAGTGTTGACCCGCGGCAACCAAGAACAGTCGGCCCGTTACGCAAGCCAACATCAACGTTTTGACGGATATGGTATAAGCGACCTATAAGCGTGGCTGAGCACAGGAGATGATGGGCGCTTAGAGCTGATGTAGTGAAGTTTGAGCACGGGGGTCTCCTTTCCGTCATTGTCACTGGGGCGGCTGGCAGTGGTTGGGCCGAGTCTGAAACAAGGAGTTTCCGGATATGTCATGCGGGATAGTATCAGTCATCCGAGTTTCGATCGCCAAGAAAAGCCCTGGGGAACGGCCAAAAGGCTTGGCCCGGCCACTCTAGGAACTGTCGGTAAGGCTGCCGACCACAGTAAATTAGCGTTCCCGGACCCTAAAGCTCCGTACGTCCACCGGAGGACAGACCGGGTTACCTGCTCCAGGGCTCGACACAGAATAGTTGCCGAGTAGGTTACACTGAGATTGAAGGCCTGCCGTCCGTTGGCCGGCTCTCACCACCCCGGGTTTCACTCCCGACATCGCACTTACACACAGGTTGTCATCTGCTCCATGTATGCACTCCAGATTATGACCGTTGTGCGTTCCAAGCGCGGGAGCGGGATCCGGGTAGCAGGAATGAGATCCGGTATTGATCTGTATGACATTCCTCAAACGGTAATTGGGCAATGTCCTATCACCACCGAACTCACCAACCTTGATCGTTTGGTGAAGGAATTCTCTTTTCCCATGTGTGTATAATAACCTGTTCATTTCTCCCATCCAAGCCACCACCCGTGCGGAGCAAACAGGCATCATCAGACCTCATCTGATTCTCTTCTCCAAGCAAGTCCGTCATCATGAAGCTCCTCGCTCCCCTTGCTCTCGTTGGTGCTGCCAGCGCGCACACTATCTTTGTCTCCCTCGAGGTCAATGGCGTCAACCACGGCGTCGGTAATGGTGTGCGAGTTCCCTCTTACAACGGCCCGATCGAGGATGTGACCTCGAACTCTATTGCCTGCAATGGTCCACCGAACCCAACCACACCCACCGACAAGGTGATCACCGTCCAGGCTGGTTCGGAGGTCACTGCCATCTGGCGCTACATGCTTAACAGTCAGGGCTCTGCTCCCAACGATGTCATGGACAGCAGCCACAAGGGTCCTACCATGGCTTACCTGAAGAAGGTCAACAATGCCACAACCGACTCTGGTGTTGGTGACGGCTGGTTCAAGATTCAGGAAGACGGTTTTGATGGCACCACCTGGGGCACTGAGCGCGTCATCAATGGCCAGGGTCGCCACAAGATCAAAATCCCCGAGTGCATTGAGCCCGGCCAGTACCTTCTGCGTGCTGAGATGCTTGCTCTGTACGTCAACCCATAATGTTGGCTCTGGTTTTATAACTCTGTAGCTAACAGGTTATAAACAGTCATGGCGCTAGCAACTACCCTGGTGCTCAATTCTACATGGAATGTGCTCAACTGAACATTGTTGGCGGTACTGGCACGAAGAAGCCCTCGACCGTGAGCTTCCCGGGTGCTTATTCTGTAGGTTTTTCCGGCCTGATAGCTACATGAGCCCATCCGCACCAATGATGCTAACCAGGATACACAGGGCAACGACCCCGGTGTTAAGATCAACATCTGGTGGCCGCCCGTCACCAGCTACAAGGTCCCTGGTCCCCCGGTCTTCACCTGCTAAACGCCTATTTACACAATACACAAGCACCCAGGGATGTATAAGATAACGTTTGGACATGGTAGAGCATAGCCTGTCTCAGGCTAACATGTTATCTCTTTCTTGTACATAACTTGACCATAAAGACGATCCAAGCAAAAGACTTGGCTGGATCTTGCCGAAATGGTACATATTCTCCATATTCATGCCTCCTTCACACTCCTCCCACCCATTTGCTATAGTGGCATAAGGTATGAAGTTGTCGAAATCGTGGACCAGATAGTTAGCAACCCCCGAAAGGGAAATGGATCAGCAAGTCCAGTGTTCAAGCCCGAATCAGTCAACTTCCGTTACACCAAACTCTCGGTTTCGATATAAGCTCCCGACCGGGACTCCTCGGTTTTCAGCGACAAGCCCAATGAGCTGTTGGGCAATATCTTTCATATCGTTGTACTCTTTGAGGTGGCGGATGTATGTCTGGATAGTGACCTCAGGAGTTTGTCTAGAAATGTTGGACAGGAAAGTCAGCAACCGAAGGACGAACGTCAGGGAAAAGTAAGGATGCAACGCGCGGTGGGGAAAACTATTCGGCATACCTAAGATGAGATGTTTCCTGGTCAATCTCCTTTGCGAGTTGGAAAAGCGATCGAAGAGAAGCCTGGGAGTGGGCAAACGATCGGCACTGTAATGATCACATCTCAATATCAGAAAATTAAATGAGATAACCCACAATATTGATCAAGCAGGCACATACGGCTTTTACCATGAAGCCAAGGTACTTGTCCTATTAGTGTAGTCTGGAGGTTAGTCAGGGCCATCGTGCTCCAGCTATGGCAAGTCACATACACTCAGCAAATAGGCGGCCTCTTCATCGTCCTTTGGGACAATTTCGATGGGTTTTAGCGAACCAGGGACAGTTACAATAATTGCTTGTCCGTTGCTACCGTTGTCATGAACGGAAACATGCATGGACCAGTCTTTGAGGTGCTCATCTTGTTTGCTGTCAAGTGTAGACTCTAATAATCCCAACTTATACTGCAGCAAATGCTCCTGCACCCTAGCAAGAACGCCAGCCCCATCTCCATCAGCTTCTATACGCTCGAGCAGCCACCCTTCGAAGGCCGCAACATGTGACAACTCGGCCTGCACAGCAGCAGCAATAACATCGTCGTTGTTCTTCGATGTCGTCTTGCTTTTCCTGTGGTTAAGTCCAACTGAGGTCGCCATTGCTGTCAGTAGGCCGGTGGTGCAGTAAAAGGGAGAACATAGCTGCACCTCAGAAACTCAGAAAGGCAGTGGCGGGGAAGTCTCGAGCATGCTGCGGTAGGTAGCAGGGCCCAAGGTAAGACAGTGTGTATTACATTCTTGCACTGTGACCAAGGGGATAGGCGGCGAGAAACTGTTAAACGCATCGACGCTCCTTGGCCCCATGAGTTGTCTGCAGCGATCATGGCTCCTTCAACCACCATTCTTCTGCCTGAACAGGTCGGACACGCTTATGCGCTTTCCAGCAAGAGGCGTGGTCGTGAAGGACGCAGCAGGTTGAGGGTTTGTAGGCTCCACGCTGCTGCTCACAGGATTGCCTGCCATTGCTTGGATATAGGCATCCACGGCAAGGCGCGCCTGTTGCCAGGCGCCCAGTATTAAGCTTGTGTAGACTTCACGTATATTCGTCTCGTCGGCGTGTATCCATAATCCAATAATTTTCTTCTCGCGGCCACCGTCCTCTCCCTGGCTTGTATCGTCCTCGAAGCGGAAGACGATTAATTCGCCAACCACCTCGCAGTCGGTGACGCGGAGAAGGTCAATGACAAGATTGTCCATGCTCCGCCGGTTCAAGACGAAGACACATTGGCGCGGTAACACTTGGCCGGTGGGTGTCGGAACTGGGTCCTGGTCACAGACGAACATTGTGCCCTCAGCGCCATGCTTTTCCCAGCTTTGCGATGCCTCAAGGAATGAGTAGGCGACGGCATTTGCGGCGATGGCAAGGATCGTGCGAATTGTTGGCTGGTAGCGTCGGAGCACGCGCAGACTGAGCTCAGTGTTGTCGCGAGGGGGGAACGCGGAGCGGGCGGATCTATTGGTTCGCGGCTCTCCAGGTATTGGGCTGCGTCCGACTCGTAGTCCGATGCTCCCACCTGGCGTGGCACACTGCTGCTACCATGATTGCGGTGCCGCTGCCTTTTTGGTGTCTGTCGGTTACTCATGTTGATGTTATGGATGGGTATATGTTGGTCGGTGGTCTGAAGCCGCGTGGTGTGGTTGACGGGAGAACAGGCTCGCTATTGATCAAAATTGACTGCCAATGCAGAAGCCATCGATGAGATAAGCCGCCTCTCCTGTTTGGGCATCCAGTCGGTCACTTTCCCAACACCCACAAGGTGGCTGCTCCACCTGATGAGGGATACCTGACGAGGGATACCTATAGGATAACCCCACCCAATGTCCAAGCCCGACACTGCTTCCTCCATATGATCCAGGAACCAACTGCCCCGCTTGTCAAGAGGCAAGTACGTACCTGCCGCTCCCAGACCATTTATCTTATCGATAAGAATACCAAGTCTTCCTGGAATTCACCTAGGAATCATCAGCCAGGTCACAACGTGACTCAATAGGTACTTCCGGTCCGGAGGCCACAATAGACACACATTGTTTACTCTTTCAAAACCTTTGCTGTTTAGCATGGCCTGCAAACACGATGCAGTGGGGACAGAATAGACACAAATCGATAACGTCCGTCAAATGCAGCGCATGCTTGTCGATGGTATCTTCAAGACTATCAACCATGTTGGACCCTTGGGCTTCTCTCATGGCTGAGTAACGACGCCGTTCATTGAGATGGCTTCCCTCGATGTGTTGCTATCAGCTAATCAAAGCTTGCCCGACAGGTATATGCAATTGTCGGAATTACTCATCATTAGTGACCATCTTGAATTATATGTCTACGTAGCCTCAAATACTTCAACTTCTACGGTAACCTTCAGTGCTAATGGGGGTCTCCAGATGGTAACTAGCAGTAACACTCAAGAACACCCGCTGCATCCTCACCAACAGCTCAGTAAGTACAAATAATGGATTGATGACGTCTTACACAGGCAACATGCAGCAAGATATCTTAACTTTGCGGCCAGACTCCAAGCAGTCCACGCTTTCATTTGGGGAGAAGTCCAGGAAACTGGTATGTTTCCGACGAAATGTTTGTCCTATTTAGCACCATATCCGATTATGGCTTGTTACTCGAGATCTTATTCAGGGGGGCCTGAAACCAAGTTATCGTGGTGATCCTCTGTTCTATCATTGTGGCCAAAATATCTCGCATGTGGTTTCAAAGGGTGTGGTTCAGGATTTGAAGGAAGTTGCCTGAATGCAACATTATTTTTATTTAAACGTCGACATCAACGACGTATTACGCTGTCAAGTTGTATATAGTCATTTACGTTTCCCTCGGGCTACCGCGTTGCCCTCATGACTCATATTATACAGCTGACGCCTGCATCTGGTCCCACGCTCTGCTATCCTACGCGGAGCCACAAGGGCACATCAACTACGATCAATCCATCCAGAATCGCGGGGGTCTTCTCTCTCCAATCCCTTCTTACACTTTTTGCCTTGTCTTCTTGGTAAGTGATTTGACCATATTCTGGATTTTAGTGGCTGTTCTTTTCGCTAAACCTTTACAAAATTTCTGCTGCTGCTGGTAAGCAGCCAGAAGAAAACTACCTAGAACGCAAAGCAGCAGGTGAGCCTCATATCACCAATTGATAGTACAGAAATGTTACTGCCGCTGCTCGCGGGAACCTGTATACACAACATGTCGAGGTAGGCCGTCCTCATTTTGTCTTCATGGAACCTTAAAGTCCCATCTTCGTGTTCTGTTTTGGGAAATCAGCAAGATATCCGCTGATGGCTGGACGCCAGTGTCCCCTACAGAGACCGAGGATTTCTCCGACTACGGCCCCAGGACGTGTAGTGCTGATGCCAGTTGACTACTAGTAATGCCGATATCGTCAGATATTTCTTACTTCAGATCAGGAGCGTTGATGGTATCTGGCGTACCGGCCCTCGACGCTGCCGTCTGCTGGCCTGTAGCTACGGCACCGGAATATATTGGTGCAATGTATACCCTTTTGACCAGCCGCTTCCTAGGTGACCAAACATTGGCTGATACGATGGTTCTAGACAACAAGTACCACATTACTACCTCCTCGAAGAACTTATGCTTGTGGCATACATATTCTTAATAGCTGCTGTCTTTGTAAGAATAACACTTAGCAACCAAACAATCCAATTTCAGGCGTCGAGGTTTACCCGCTTAACCATAAATCAGCTGCAAAGTCGCACATTATCATTGCATATGGCAGCTCTCAAGATAAGGTCAATGCTAACCTACTGCACTGCGAAGTTGCTCGTTTTCCAATATCTTGGACCTTATCTACTGGGAGCCCATTCAATCGTAAACCTTTGCTGGCCTTTTCCGCGTACTTTTGTAAAAGTGTAGTCAGGTTCATGACGCAGTGAATTGAACACTATCCTTTCCTCCATTGTAAGTTGGCGATACCATAGCACCATTAAAGAGCCACCAGGTATCAGACTAAATGGATGAACGGTATATGATGGGCCCATTTGGATTGCAGCTGGATGTACCAATATGAAAGAGAGGGCCTTTCGTTATTCTCATATCATCTTGTGTAGACAATCAATTCTCAAGACATTGTCATATCATAGACTAGAAAGTATGACCTTTTATGGTCAATGAAACTTGCAAGAGGGCTTACAAGTTATACCGCCAAACCGTAGTCTTTCGTCTGAAGGCAAGAAGTTTTGCCGCAGGCTGCATGAGATCACCTGGACATCATCGGACTTGATTGAGCGATACAATAAACGCTGATTGTGATTAAGTGCAATTTTGACCACACCAGTGTGTACGGGCGATATGGCTAAAGACCCAAAAACCTGACGGTGACATTCAGCAAAAAAAAAAAAAAAAAAAACAAAAAAAAAAACTTAGCTGCAGCTTCGACAAACTGGCTAGAGTTATCTCGCAATCCCGGCCAACAAGCGGAAGAATCGAGAACCAACATTCAACTACCAAATTCTATCACCTTAGAGGTCAGCTCATTTGCATAGTACAACTACGCACTATATTATCTTGGTGTAACGATTCGCAGACTTTTCGAGGTTGGACCAAGCCATGTCTATCCATACAAAACTGTGCTACTTTTCCTTCGCTTCCGAGTCCTCAAATTACAACCCAGCAATTTTGACCGTCTTCCAATGCACTATTTCCAGCCCTGATACTCATTGAAATACGTGTCGTGAATTGCGGTGGCGTATTGCAAAAGCACAGGAAAGCTCCGTATCATGTTTGCTGTCTCGGGGCCCCTGTAGAGTATCAGTACTTATCCAAGCAAAGCCGGCCAACAATACTGTGGGATACCACATACGCCTCACAAACCAGGCTGGAAACAATGAAGCCAAAGACAACTGCATCGGCCTCGGTAGGATTCTGTCCCCCCAGGATCCAAAACGGCTTAAGAATATCATGACATGCTCCTTGCAGCACAAGCTTGGATTGTGACTCCTTAAGCATTTCAGCAATAGCTTCCCATATTTCACGACGCAGTGCTGCAGCCTCCACTTTGGTGTAACGCAAAACGCCTTGGCCGTATAACATCTCCATGGTCCTGCGATGGACGAGGTAGCCGACAACCATGCGGACCGGGTAAGGCAGAGGCTCCAAAACTCCATCGCGCATTTTGTAGTAGTTGTCTTCCCAGCGCTCTCGAACCTAGGTTGCTGTTAGTGTGGCTGGCACAAGCTATTGGTCATATCACAATGAAGCTTCTCTTGCGAACATACCAGGAAAAAGTACAATTTGTCTTCCAAGAGTGCTCTAATAGCTAAGTCTCGTGCCTTGTCCTCTCCTGATAGCTCCTTGTTTAAGTCCGGCATGATTCCCTGATCGATCAACGTGCGGATAATGATTGTCGAATCGCCGATCAGCGCGGGGTTATTTCCCAGTTGAATGTATGGCACCTTTCCCCGAGGTGCTTCCCTTGGCGTGCCGGCCGCTGCCTTATAAGGGACGCCAGCAAAACGTAGGCGTGCCTCGAGCTTGACGACAAACGGAGACCAAACATGGCGGAGTGTCCAAGTGAATCCTCGGAAGAGAATGATCTCTGGCTTTATCTGGGCGACGGTTGTATCACTAACCTCTTTTCCCTCCATTTCTTTCGGATCCGTCCGTGACAGCTATTGGATGGTGAACTGCGGGCGAAATTATTCTGGTGGCGTCCTCCTCACTCTATGACAGCCTAGCAGAAACAGAGAGGAGGTTGACAATATCTTTCTAATGCTTCTCAATCCCTTCCGTAGAGAGGAAGAGCACATTTTTCCTGGGCTGTAATCCCCGTGGGTCCAGAAAGCTTGGAAGTCATGACCACTGAACTCTGTCTCGTGTTTTGATGCAGAATGCAGGCACAACCAGAGTTGCTGGTGACAGAGACGTCTGAGATACAACAATAAAGATGACAAAAGCAAAAGGAAACTATGATATGCTGGTGAGAACCTAACTTCCAAACTTTGCTTGAAGAGCCGCGGGTACTTTCCCTCAGAGTCCCATTAAAAAGGACCGTACTAGTGCAGGTCGAATGGAGTTGTACGTAAGTACCTAGCTTGTTATGGTAGCTTCAAAACAGACTGGCCAAGACTTTGAACAATTGACATCTCCATATGACGATGGCCACGCACAAGGCACACAATTACTTACTAGTGGACTACTATTGACCGAAGGACGTCCGTCCGCAGGCAGCTGATATTGTTGATTTATTGCATTAAGACCCCCATTAGTAAATTCTCTCAGGAAATTGTGCTATAGTTATCCGGTTGCCCAGCACCCGTCAACAGGAATCAACCGTTCATTATCCATAATTTGACTGGAGAAACACCATATTGTGAGCATGGTATGCGAATTAATGGGCAGGCAACCGGGCGTTTCTCATTTCAGACGCCATCTTTGAGCCCAAAGAGTTATGTTCTCTGCCTGTTGCTGGTCCAAATAACGTCCTTGAGCCCTAATCCCATACTGTGGAAAAAGAGGATGAAAAAAAAATAAAATCAAATACTCGAACCGTCCGGCATGTCCTTGTTTACTTGGTCTTCATAAGTCGCGATACTATTCTCTCCACAACAGTCAAGTCCTGAACTTGATCTTGGGATTCTCCACGCGTACACCAACGCCATAGTCAACGCCACAATGTCCATAGCTGGTAATATCAAGACCAAGCTCAAATTCCCACACCATGAGTCAGCTTCGTTGCAAATCAACAACGCACGCCTGACGTCTGACCACTTGTGACACATACTCCTGTCACGAAGAGCAACTGTGAAAGTAGTGATGCTGAAATGAGGACTGAACCAGCCATGAAAACGAGGAGAACTGAGAGGATGTGGGAAGATGTCGTTCGAAGGAAAACCTCGTTGACCCTGGGTATCAATGCTCCACTTAAAGATCTGAACACTGCCAGGAAAGGAGTAAGCAAGCGAAGCAACAAACGCCCATAAACATGTTCTACGCCATCCCAAGCACCCGCTCCTCACTCGTTGCCCCCCCATACCTACCCCCCCCCCCAAAAAAAACCAAGTATCCCTACCATCTAAACATTCCTTGGAGCATTCTGGCGGGGTAGAGACGAAGTTACAGCCGACATGGATAAACCATGCTGCTCAGCTCCTGGAGCAGTCTGCTCCTCGGCAATTGGTGTGTTCATGGCTGAGTTTATAGCCATGGCCAGGCTAACATCAACTGCCTCATCATTCACCGTTAGGGCCGCTTGATGAGTTGAAGACATTGGTGCAGATACCAAGACCGGTCCGGTTTGGTCGATCGGAGGTAAGAAGTGCTGCGGGAATAATGCAGCCGCCGCAGCCGCCGCCGCCGCTGAAGACTCGGCAACGTAATCAAGGGGTGTGGGGTTTGTTCGACCTGAGGGAGGAACTAAAGGAGGGGGCGGGAGTGGTGAGGCGGCGGCGGCGGCGGTATTGAGCCCCAGTCCGACTTGATGATTTGGGAGTGGCTGTCCATCGATGATCATCTCCGACACATCGACACCGTCGTCATCGTCAACCACAGCGTCGGCATCACCATCCTCGAACCCACCATCGGCAGTTTGAAGGAGAGGAGGAATTCCTTGAGCCGAAGCAGGGTTAGTGGTAAAGACAGGGCCGCCAGCTTGGTTAGAGACGCCCATATCATCAAACTGGTGCATTTCTTGCACCTCAGAGCTGTTCAGGTACTCCCGCAGATTGACGACACCCTGGCCGGAAAATACGCAAAACACCTCACGCTGATGCTGGGTAAACTCTGAATGGAAAGGATTAGCAAGAGGATGTTGACATGGGTTAAGGGATGAGAACATACCTGGCGGTGCATCTCTGGAAAATACCGCTAGATCTCGTCTCAGGAATGCGGGAACCCCAGTCAGACTGAGATGAGTCAGCCGTGGGCAATAATTCAACAATCGAATGATGCTCTGCACAATTTTTGTGTTAGAAGAGAGATTATAGTTAAAGAGGTGGCTAGAGAGCCCTGGTAATCTTACCCTGAGCGTCAAATTTGTGCAGTAACTGAGATGAACTCTCTCGAGACTGCTGTAACTAGTTGTGTAGTCCCCGGGAATGGTGTACGCATTCCCATTCTCATCCCTGCGCACACGTGGCCTGCGATTGGCTTCTGCCAAAGCGATAATGCTTGCATCTGTAATGTTGGTGCACTTCACAAGGCCAACCCGCTTGAGCTTTGGCAGATTGGCGAGCAACTTTACAGACTCGTCTGTCAAGTGTTGGCAGCAGCCGAGATCAATGTAACGAATACGGGTGCATGCCGACACCAAGCGCTTGACCCCGTCGTCTGTGATATGACCACAGTGGCCGAGATGGAGAAAATGAAGGTTCTTGCCCAATCGTGATATTGCATAGACAGCAGCGTCGGTCAAGTTGCGACACTTCTGCAACACCACATTGCGAATGCGCGGCGCTACTTCAATTATCTTTTCGACAGCACGGTCCGTGATCCTGCTGCAAGAGCTGAGGTCCAAGATGCGAAGATGGTCATACTTCTTATTCGGAGGAAGCGCAAGGAACGCACCATCATCAATCATTTCGCATCCAACAAGTCGAAGCTCACGCAAAGCCCGGCCCTTGGTGAAGATTGCAGTGATGGGCTCATTTCCAACCAGTCGGCATTGCTGAAGGTCAATCTCGAGAATATTGGGACAGTTCTCGGCGAAGGCAAGCACAGTCTTGTCGGTTACTTGGGTGCACTCATTAAGTTTCAACTAAACCGACTCATTTTAGCATATAATCATAAAACCATAGGGGGGAGGAACGCAAACTGGGGCAACAAGACACTAATTCATACCCTCTTGAGATAGCGGCAACGCTGAGCCAGTTCAATTAAGCTTTCATTCGAGATCCTGGTACACCCGGAGATATTCAAGCCTTGCAGACGTGGGCAGTGTTTAGCGACGGTATAGATTGACTGTTCGGTGATCTGATCGCCTAGAGAAATATCAAGCGACACAAGATGGTTGTTGTTCTCAACAAGAGGAATGAGGCCTGAGTCGGTCAAGTTCCGGCAGCCTGCGAGCGTTAGACGCTCGATACGGGTGCAGTCCTGGAAAGGGAGAACGCTGCCATCGTTGATCTGCGGGGCGATAGCGGTCAAATTAAGGCGTTTGACGAAGTCGCGATAACAAAAATAAGGATTCTCCAAGCCTAAAGTCCTGCAGATCGAGGAATGCCGCTCCCAGGTAGTGCACGCGGGACGATGCCACAGGAGATCAACGACGTTGCGAGCCCATCGCTTGCAAGTTAACATAACGTGGAGGAGATCAGTGGTGGTACCTAGCCTGGAGAAGATCGCGATCAAGATCTCGTTAGGTAGACAATGAACGGGCGGGAGGTATTCGTCCACAACGTGCATATCCTTCAAATTCGGAACTGGAAGAGAAGACTGGGAATCATTCAAGCCAAAGTAGAGGTCGTATTCTTGCTCTTCACGTTCCGCTGGGGTGGGTGAGCCGGACGACGATGTCGATCGCGAATCCATCGGCGGCCGCGGGGTTTGGTCTGTGTCTGGTTCGAGTTCCGTATCGTTCGGAGGGCCAGGTGCGGAACGACCATTTCCAACAGCTTGGTCAGGCAGATCGTGATGCCTCATTGCTGCAATGTTCTGAACTTCCTGCAGCAGAGAGCGGTTTGTTCTGATTGCTCGCAAAGGGAAGACTGGCGGATGGAGAGGAGAGTCGAGCCGATCGTTGCAGAGGTTCCAGGCAGCTTGCAGATGACGGTGGAGTGGGCTGTTGGCTATGACCCGCCTAGGTAGCCAGCTGTCAAGGAGCACCTGGACAGGTCTGCCCCCAACGCTTGGCAGGGTAGGCTGAACGGTGAGCGGTCCTAGCTCGACCAGTGCAGAGCGCAGACCGAGGCCTTAGCCTCTGGAAGCGCCTACTCGAGCGGAATGGGCGACTGAGGATCCCAGGTCACACAGACAGCCCTTTACCCCACCGCAAAGGCGCAACGAACGACAAAAAAAAATCATAAGTTTTAAAAAAATTTGAAGGTGGTAGTAGGTAGAGCAAGGCAGGGAAGTAATCAATTTTAACAGAAAGAAAGGTTTCAAGACGTTCCTAAGGTGAGGATAAATAAGAACATAATAATAAAGAATCAAGTGAGGTAACTAAGAGTTTGCTTGCACATCTAGTAAAATAATTCTCCTATATTGAAGATTATTCATAAAGTTATCTCTTAAATACGCATCCATCTGAAAATTTATGCTTACTCATTGTTACGGCCCAGATGTGGACCACCAGCCCCGGGGTAGTGGAGGGAGGAAGCTCCAAGTGAGACGTGAGGACAACAATCACAGGCAAGGAAAACTGTCGCTGTCACCGACAATGGACTTCTACCTTGACGATAATCCTGAACTTGGTCGATGATAATCTGAATGGCAGGGCAGGCGTACCAACGGTCCTCGAGTATAAACATGTAATAGAATCTCCCATCTCCAGAACTACGATGAGGACTTCCTCAGTCAGCAATAGAAACAATTGTCAACCAACACCTGGTGACAGCAGTTGACCACATACTCTACTGTGGGAGGACCCCAGTCCCTCAGGTTCTACAGCCTGCCCACTGCCTTCGAACCCATCTCAGGGGGTTGTTGGATTGTCACATATATAGATACGCGCTAAAGTGAGAAGGGTTTTCTTATGCTAGCAGTATCATTGTGACGATTCCACAACGTTACGATCAACAAAGGTGTCATGCGGGAAATGTGCCTGGCGCAAAGGACCAATAAAAACACGGCTCATGCGGCCTCGAAAGGTCGTCAAGCCAAGAGATACTCAGGAAGGACTATAAGACCCTTAAGAGATAAAGGTGTGACGATCCAAACAGGCCTCTTGAAATGGATTCGAGAGATGCCAAGCCGCTGGACCTGAAAAGCAGGAGTTGTCAAACTGTTAGAATGATCGCTATGATCACTAGTTGAACAAACAACTGTTTGTATTGCTGACTGGGGAGCTTCTTCAGCCAGATGGCCCTGCTTGGATCTATCTATATCTCATACCCCCTGTGGCTTCGATTGCTCCTTCCTCCTCAACGGCACAGACCGTTGAAGGTCAACATGCTTGGATGTTGAGTATCAATGCCTCTTAGTGTTGAGAAACTCCCCCCAATGTGTGGGATCACTGAGAAGAGATATCCGGGTTTGATGGTCACAACTCTGATCAGTTGGCTGCACGGGCCCCCTCTTCCAGATAAAGCCTTTGTGGATCATGACAAAGACTTGAGTATATAAGGTAGATAGATTTCTTGTAAGCAGAGGAGGACGGAGAGTTTGCCAGCCAGCAACATAAACAGTTGCCCAAAACCAGCTGGTGACCGCAGTGCTTCTGAATCTGTGAGAACCCTGATCCACAAGCCTTGGGCCAAGCCCAAACCCATTTCAGGGAAGTACGTGGATCGTCGCATCCAGTCTCCTGATTGGCTAACACTCTGACCGTAACTATTAACTTAGTTAAAACTATATTCTATATATAATATTTTCTCTCTACTCAGTAAGTAATCAATACTACAATCGACATTGGTGCTTCTGCTTGTAAGTTTACCCACTATAAAGGGGCCATTCTCAGCTGATTCCTACCGAGCAAAGCACTCACTGCAGCCAGCTCCAAGCACGGTCATTACGTCGTACATGAACCCACCAGACGGACTTGGTTGTGGAGTTTGATCCGTTGCTTCGCAGCAATTCGTGCTGTATCGATCAATCTGCTTGAACCATTGGATCAGGACAATGTCGGCCAAAACATGATATTCAGAAGCGGACGTGGTACTTGGCTGACTTCAACGACAGGCACCAACATAAATAGCTTGTCAGCATTCCTCTTGTACTCATCACCGATCACAATGCTTCGACAAAGTATTGGTCGCCGACTCCCCGGGGTTGTGAAAACGCCTTCTCTTCAGCCCCATATCGCCCGTCGAACATTTCTTTTCCGACACAACAAGCGACCGCCAACCCGCGCAGTCGAAAATCTTAACATCTATCGCCTTGCTCAGCAGTCTGAGGAGTATCACCGTCAGCGCCGCATATTTCTGTGGTGCGGTACCATTGCCGGTATCGTCTCCTTCATATATACTGCATGGAAGCTGAAGCGTGAACTCGACAAAGGCATCAAGTTCGATACTGAAAAACATTCAGCTTCCGATCTCCTCTCCGGAGCCAATGTTGCAGGCCGCCAGGTTATCGTCCATGATGACCAGGGCTGTGAGCTTGTTCCGACAGGAAACAACACCGTGCCTACTTTCCCCCGCACAATCACCCTCTCAGACTATAGTAGCAACCCCTCGTCTTCATCAGCATTCCCCGGTTCTCCAGCCAGAGAGACAGAGTACACCCTTGTCGGCATGGGCGTGCGAACCGTCACCTTTGTGAATCTCCAAGTCTACCTCGTGGGCTACTACGTTGCCACTACCGACCTTGCAGCGCTCCAGTCTGCCCTCATCAAGCATGTTAATCCGATCGCGACAACTTTGATCCCGGAAGAACGAGATCAACTACGTACACAACTACTTGATAACAATGAAGGCGAGCGCATATGGAATGACCTTCTCGCACGTGGCATACCTGCACGGTCCGCGTTTCGCATCGTCCCCGTCCGTGACACCGATTTTCACCACCTTCGTGATGGGTTTGTGCGGGCAATTCAGGCTCGTGCACCCAGTATTGCTGGGAACAACGTTGATGATGAAGCGTTTGGAGAGGCTGTGCGAAAATTCCGTGCTGCCTTCAAGAGAGGAAGCGTGCCAAAACGAAGAGAGCTCCTGCTGATCCGGGATCAGCAGGGGAAGTTGGCTCTGGTGTACGACAGTGGCAAAAATGAACGCGGGAGCAGCTCCAGTAGGCAGCTATTAGGCACAGTGGAAGATGAAAGACTAACGAGAGCGCTGTGGTTGAACTGGCTTGCAGGGAAAAAGGTAGCCAGCGAGGCTGCAAGAAAGAATATTGTGGATGGGATCATGGGCTTCGTTGAACGGCCGGTGGGAACTGTGGAAGCACAAGTCGTGCCCGTAGTAAAGGCAGAGACGTAGACTGTCCAATATGAGGATTCACTAATGTACTCGATTATGGCTTTAGAGAGACTTATGCTTTTGGCCATGGGTATCTGAACTCAAACGCAAGTCGATGCATTTTACACCTCCAGTAACAAACGGCATTCACTCAGAGAGCACCAGCTTCGCTGAGAAGATCCTCAATCCTCTTGCCGTCCTTGCCATTCTTCACCACCGCTTCGAGATCTGAGTTGCCACCAATATGTACGCGACCAATGAATATGTTTGGAACAGTTCTTTGCCCCGTCATTTTGTGCAAAGCGGCCTGGATCTCATCACCATCGCTTTCTTGATTAAGTTCGTAGGCAGTGTATCTGGCATTCAGTTCCTCAAGGATGCGCTTGGTGTTGTTGCAGTATGGGCAGTACGACTTGCTGAAAACCACTAGAGAAAGTTTTAAGTTAATAGCAAAGTTCATGGGTCCAAAGCAAACTGCTACCGGGCGGTGGGAATAACGGATGGTTATGAGGGGGGAGGACAAAACAAAGCCACATGAAAGTACACGTACTAACAGCATTGTCATCGATCATCTGCTGGACCTTTTTTTGAGCGGCTTCCATTGTGGCAGGCTGTGGAGATGAGAAGAATCGACGGAAGATGAAGGACATGGAAGTTGATGAGAAACTGTCGTCAAAATGAAGCGGGGAAACGAGGGGTAGGAAGGCTCCTTTTATAAACCGCAGCAGGGGCAGTCTGATTGGCGGCCCGTGGAAGAAGTACGTCTGCGTACAGTTTGATTCGACTGCTGGTTACGCGGTGAGAAGCACAGATGTTGCCGATAGGTAGACAGCAATGCAAATACTAGGAATCAAACTCTTGCTGGCCAACGATGCTGGTTCAGTCGCGGTGATGCAAAGGCAGGCAGATACAAGGTGCCAATTGATCGGAGCACTTTTGAGCAGGTAGGAGATTTGGGGAAAAAAAAAATTGGGGCCGACTCTACGTATCGAACAAAAATTCATTACTGTCAATTCGACGTTACGGTTGCCTATCTTGCGGCGTACCCGCATGCCCACGGATGAGTGCACTGTTTCGTCAACTATGTATATCAAGCACCTTTTTATAATAAATATAATATGTTGAATGATTTTCAAAGATATAATAAGAGCTAGCCAACATTATTTTTTACCAGACTAGCATAAGAAATCGGTTTCTCCCTAGGTCGGTACCTAAGGTAGTTGAGTACATTTACCCGGAAAAATATTGGAATGTTTTAGAGTAAGGCCAGGTTTCTTTCCCAAACTAGAAGGCGGGGTTGCCGAATACGTGGACCTAGTCGACAGCGCGTTCATCCAAACCCTGACTGAAGGACCTTAATGGATCAATCGAGAGAGTTAGATAGCCCACCTCAGCCAAGCGCGATCAATCGACTGGTCGGTTCACCATATTAACCGCATCCCTAAACGTGTTATCGTCGCGTTTCCGTCGCGCTCCTCGCCGAAGGCAAGGATCATTCATCACCTGTTCACCACAAGGACGTAAAGACCTTGTGGGAATCTTGGGTTCTCTTTCAACGAAAACTTTGTGCAAACCGACTCCCGTCGCTCAGACGTGGCCCGCTTGCCTTCCAACCTTCCCTTGCCCAACTGATGCATCCGCCCACTGGGCATCAGATATCTTGTTTGAAGCGTCGCCTCCACCGCAGTCGGCGGCGAGCCAGCTAATAGGCACTCGTTTGTCCTACCTACTTTCCAATTTTCTACATTCCACTTCTCAGCCAGTGGATTCTGCTTGTGAGGCCAAATAAACGCCAACAAGGTGGCTTCCGAATCCGGGCTTTGGGCATCAGTCGGTGCCTGTCTTGCAGGCTTTGCCCGCAACATTACCTCGACAGTGCAGAAACCTGTGGTATCGCCGCTGACGAGCTTGAGGACCACCGCTGACTGCCTGTCGACCTTCATTGCTTTTTTCCAAGCAGCGACCAACTTGTCTCGAACAACCCTTTGCACCTCAGTCTTAGCGCTCATTATTCTCGGTATTCTGCCTGTTATCGCCGCTCGAAGTTGGTTAGAAAATCGACAATCCGCGACTATGCCTCGCTACGGTTTTTCGGCTCGCGCCTCCCCCTCATCCGCTACAGCACTCTCGCCTTTCAATTCAATTCTTGGTCAGGATGGCGTTCCTGACGTGACCGATGATGATTTCAGTTATATCACCTCTGCCGAGATTGAAGAGAATGGCATGGATATTCCTCGGCTCCGTACACCCGCATCCGAACTTTATGGCAGCTATTCACACTCTGCTCCTGGACCTTCCTATGGGCAATCCCTCCCAGATGATGATGTCCTCTTAATCAGGCATAACGGCATCACATACCCTGAACACTTTCCGGCCTTTTCAATTGGTGACGGCAAGCTCTTGGTCGGGGACGTTCGCGATCGCATTCAAATGATTTTGGATCTCTCAGACCGCCAGGCGAATCGAATGAAATTGTTCTACAAAGGCCGTCGTCTGTCTGATAGTAATAAGCCTGTGCGGGAATACGGCCTGAAGCATAACAGCGAGGTTTTAATGACGTTTGGCGACACTGACCTCGAAAGTAGCGGCGAAAGTGATGAAGATGTTCCTGCGATCAAACGCCACAGAAAGAAACGGGTTGGTGGACATGTCAACACACCTAGGTCACCAAAGGAGTCTCCAGAGGCTCCAGCAGATTTCCGGCGAAGGAGCCAAACAGGCCGAACTGCAGACCAACACGACACGCGTAGCCCTCGCGATAGTGCCCCCGCAAGCCTGAACTCCCCGACACACGGCTGCCACAAGCGAGCTAAATCAAGGGTTCGAACTCAGTCCCCGTCTGGCTCAGCGTTGTCAACTGCCAGCGCCCCTGCTGGTATTCCGGGTGGTCCGATCGAAAGGCTCAACAACATCGCGATCCATTTCAACACCCAATTGTTACCCCTCTGCAAAGCTTTCGCGGTGAACCCTCCATCGGATCCTAAAAAACGTGAAGAGGAACACAGGAAGCTTTCAGAGACCATCATGCAACAAGTACTTTTGAAGCTCGACGCAGTTGAGACCTCTGGCGAAGAAGGGGCACGACCCAGGCGCAAGGAGCTCGTTAAGGCTGTCCAAGATGTTCTGAAGGAAATAGATGATGCAAAGATAAGGTAGCCGGATCCTGGCCGCCCTCTTCCGCGTCATCGGAATCTTATCCGTTCTCTTCCCTTATCTCAAACAGCTTCCAATTGATCAGCTAGCCATCTGTAGATTCTACACCAGCTTTCTTACGTCATAACACATAGTGATTTTTGGCTGTCACTGTAGATCATGTACATTAGCTTTGTATCTAAGGCCCCCGTATGCTTGGACACAATATGACCTGTGACCTTCAGTGTTGGCGGTTTACATTTCCTATACATCACTGTCACAGGTTTTTAAGAGAGCATTAGTGTCCTCATTGAGCATCCTGGCTCTGAAAATCCTGCCGTAGACCCACTGAAATATTAAGAAACAAGAGGCTGGCTACTTGCAGGGAATAGCAATCGCCGGGCACTGCGACAGCGCTTTCTCAGCTCACAAAACTAGCCACAGATGACTGGACACATCTAAATCAGCATCCTGAAACATGCCTTTCCATAATTACTGAAGAGCGTCAACCAAACCATGGCCCAGATGGGCTCCTGGTGGGTCTGGGGAGCTGGGTCTGTGGGTCTCACCAGAGCCGTGTTATCCATAGGTCTAACCCTACTCATTGATGCCTAAGGCATCAGGCTTGCTGGCTTGCAGACACCCACAGTGTCCAAATCGGGGTTAGTGCATTTCCGCCGGCTTCAGTGCCCGCAGGGCCAATTTTCAGCACACACAAAAAAGTCGAAGACCGACCATCAACACCACAAGGTTCAGGAAGCAGCCAGCTGCTACTCGATCAGCCGGAGTGTGCCTGATCAACCTTTCTTTCATTTCCCCGTTTTGCCCAGCTCACCACCGGCAAAATGTCTTCGTTCGAGTCTGTGGTATGTGTGAATCCTTTTGATTTTCATTCTCAAAATCGGCACCTTATTCAGAGCTGTGCGCGGCATTACCATCTTGACATCTCCATCACTGCGATTCGTCTTCTCGAGACCGAGCGACCACGACCGCAACCGAGCTGCGTCGAGATTTGCGACACCATAGCGGAATCTAAGGGTGCAAAAGCTAGAGTTGCAAATAGCTGACCTTTGGACTCTCTCATACAGGTTGTGATCGATGGCAAGGGCCACCTGCTTGGCCGCCTGGCCAGCATTGTCGCCAAGCAGCTCCTTAGCGGCCAGAAGATTGTCGTCGTCCGCTGCGAGGCCTTGAACATCTCGGGCGAGTTCTTCCGCGCTAAGCGTATGTGACCGATACACTCCCTCAAAACCCAATGCAGTACTTCGTCTTAGCGGCTGGGAGATAATGGGAGTGCGGTGCTGACACTCGAGATAGTCAAGTACCATGCCTATCTTCGCAAGATGACCCGGTACAACCCCACCCGCGGCGGTGAGTCGACCTCTAGCGATCGGCAGTGCACGAATCCCACGAGTCTGACAATCGGCAGGTCCCTTCCACTTCCGCGCTCCCTCCCGTATCTTCTACAAGGCTGTCCGTGGCATGATCCCCCATAAGACCGCTCGCGGCGCTGCCGCCCTTGAGCGCCTCAAGGTCTTCGAGGGCGTTCCTCCGCCGTACGACAAGAAGAAGAAGATGGTTGTTCCTCAGGCCCTCCGTGTTCTTCGGCTCCAGCCCGGACGCAAGTACTGCACTGTGGGCCGTCTCAGCCATGAAGTTGGTTGGAAGTACCAGGACGTTGTTGCGAGGTACGTGGAGCTAATTTTTTTTGCAACCCGATATTTCGCAGTTCGATTTCTCTGGGATACTGACAGAACTTCAGACTCGAGGAGAGGCGCAAGGCGAAGGGCGCCGCCTATTACGAGCGCAAGAAGCTGGCCGCCAGGCAGCTTTCCGAGGCAAAGAAGGCTGCGGCGGCCAAGGTCGATCCCAAGGTCTCGGAGGCCCTCGCGGCCTACGGCTACTAAACGCGGTAGCAACTGGCAATCCTGTGTCCTTTATGCGATTTTCCTCTAGATTGGCGCGGTGGTTCAGGGCTCGACTTCATTTGCGTGGTTGGTGGGGATGGGCAACGGCTATCTGTTTCACTGTGCGTCCCAGGCTTGGGACCTCATAAAATGAGATCAATCAATGGAGACTGAGGTTTGCATGGGAAGAAGAAAGCACATGAAATACCCGGCTGCTAGCCAAAAAGGGGTCATGACGGCCGTGCAGGAAGGATGCACCTAAGTCCTCGGTGCGCGGCTATCAGACTGGCTTGGCCATTACCCCACTTAAAGCAGAATTGAACGACGAATAATCTGTACCTCGGCCAGTCTAGATTGGTGAATGCAATGAGGAAGCAAGGAATGCGCAAGCAAAATGTAATTGTCCCTTTTTTGCAGGCAGTTTCGGGACATACTCATGTTGTATTCAGACACCATTCAGCCTTTATGGTTTGTTGGATACTTAACCCTTGTCCTTCAACATCTACCGCACGGTCTCTCTTCGCAGAGATTGCGCAGGGGGGCTGTTACAGGGAAGCCAGGAACTGGTGGATACTATGACGTAGTGACATCTCCGATAGAGAGTCGGGGCGCTGTCAACCATTCCGGCCACGCTCCAGTCTATACAGCCTAAAAGTAACGATGCTCTACCGAAAATCAGATATGAGGGGACCTTTATGGGCTCCTGGATGATCCTGTAAACAAGAGCTCCTCAATAGTAAGGAGCAGAATTTGTTAATCAACAAATTTTGCCGCCACCATTTTTCTCATCCGCTAATAGGGAATGTTATGGGATTACCATGACTCTTCTGTTACTCCCAGTTTAATGCTCTCTCTTGTGAACTACCTAGAGTGTTTGCAATTACTTAAGAAACACTCTACTGCACCTCCAATATGGGAAGCACCCTATGTTCAGACGAGGAGCGCAAGGCCCAAAAGCATATATAATAACCCGGTAATCACATAAACCCAACCTCCCGTATGTGCTCACAAAAGACGATAGATTTCTAATGTATGATTACATTCAGAAATTAGATAAGGAGATGCTAAAATTTTGCCACCTACAATGCTGAAAGAAGCCCCGAGGAAACAGTGCACTAACTCCAAGTTATGTTTTGTTGCATACGTCCCACATGCAGTTGAAACTACCAACTATGTTGAAATGCACATGGAATATTTCTTATCTTTTGCGAGTACATACTGTGGACCTTGTTGTTTTCTTCATTGTTTCGTCCCCTAGCTAAGCTCGACGAGGAGCGTTGACACCCTCTCAGATCAGCTTGCCTTGTGAGGCTGAGAAGCAAAGAACTATGAAGTATCTAAGTGGAGCAACATCAGACCTCTAGATGATCGGTTTTGCAGTCAGAACATAAGGACTTTGAGCAGGACATTTTTACAAGATCCTAACTGAAGCAAGTGCCCTGCAATGATCTTTATAACAAAATATTTCACGCATTGCCTTCTATCAGCGGAAGGTACGATGCCTTCGGCAATCAGAGTAAAGTGCAATCTCACTTAATATCAACCAACGCAAGCAGATGGCCAAATGTATGCAGCACGGAAGCCAGGTTCATAATACCTCAATTATACTTCCTAGTGATTGTTGTTTATATGATGTTCATGTTCCAAGAGCAATCATGCATGTGATGCCCAGTGGCGCTGATACCGACGTCACATTGTTTCTGTACGTTTCTCTAGACCCTACCCCCAAGTCTTTGCATGCCAAGGTATCAAAGTGAAAGAACCTCTCATCAATTCCTCGATAACTCTGCAGTGATCCACAGTGTTAGGTATGTCATGGTTACGGTGTGTACGGCATACAGTTGACGTGCTGATCTTGTGGATCGTCAGACGTAGAGGTGTCTTGGACCAGTGTACCAAAAGCAGGGAAAAGAAGATTAACCATTATAGCTACGTACTTACAAACAAAGAAGATATAGCTCTTCTAGATGTCTTAATAACTAAGGCAAGCCTATCGTGCAGAATAAGCACGTATATCTAGCAATCACCCAAATATAGCATTTGGTAAATAAGATGCATATTTGCTTTCACTTGACTAGTTGCTGTGTAAAACAGCAGAATTATTTTGCTTCGGATTGATGGAACTAATCAGCTGGAATCTCACCATTCGACTAGGCTAGGAGGTTAGCACTCAGAATTATGTATGGTGGAACAAGAGTAGAGTGATAAAGCTAGTCTTCCAAGCACTGACGCGAGATTGCAGTACTTGGGGCTCAAATGTAGAGCTATCAAACAGCTGAATAGGGAGCTTGGCTCAGTTGGAAGAGCGCAGGTCTCATACTATAGTATGATCCCAACAACAGTTGGGAGTTATCCTGAGGTCGTGAGTTCGAGCCTCACAGTTCCCACTGTAATTTTTTATAAAACGTCAAGTGTACGCTGAAATCATCCACTTTTTTGTTTTTCCAGTATCTATCCAGCACTGTAACAATACGTTCTACTACCAATGCGAAATCAACCCCTCAGGACCAAAGCTTGTACGCTGTGGGCTTCTAGCATCTCATGTCCAAACACCACCAATTGCTCCTGCTCCCTAAGGCTTATAATGCCATATTATTAATGACCAGGCCATGTTACGAGATCATTGAAAGATTGCCTTAGATATCAACAAGTAATCAGGCGAAGCCTTTGGGTTTGGCTCAAGGAACCAGTTCCAAAAGGATATTCATAAATGCGATAAGCATCATACCAAGGATGGGTCAATTTCGAGAAGCATCTATTAAGAAACACTTCTCACTTCTCCGGAACAATGCCACCAAGTTCAATATACCTGGCTTTATTTACCAGTCTAGCGTGCAAGTTCAGATCTACCCTATTAAAACTACAAGTACAGACCCTCTGGCTCTCCCTCCTGCTTTGTACGAAGTACCCTTTCCCGAGCGGCACGGAAGTCGCTCATCTGTACACGCATGCGGCGCTCGCGTAGCGCCATAAGACCCGCCTCAGTGCATATGGCCTTGATGTCTGCTCCTGAAAGGTCATCTTTCTGGGCGATAAATTCCTCCAGGTCGACATCTTCGGCCAGCGACATTTTACTGGTATGGAGAGCAAAGATTTTGCGCTTTGTGTTCTGGTCCGGGTTCTCAAATAGGATCTTGCGGTCAATTCGTCCAGGCCGGATGAGTGCCGGATCAAGACTCTCTATTTTGTTCGTTGCCATGATAACCTTCACGTCGCCGCGGTCATCAAAGCCATCTAGCTGGTTCAAAAGCTCGAGCATAGTGCGTTGAACTTCGCGCTCACCACCCGATGTCGAGTCATAACGTTTCGTACCAATAGCATCAATCTCGTCGATAAATACGATTGACGGCGCATTTTCAGCAGCAACCTGCCAGGAATTAGCTCAAGCTAAAACAGAGGATCTCAACCGTCACTTACCTGGAAGAGCTGGCGGACCAACCGCGGACCGTCTCCAAGATATTTCTGAATCAGCTCGCTCCCAACGATACGTAGGAAGGTTGCAGATGTTTGGTTTGCTACAGCTTTGGCAAGGAGTGTCTTGCCAGTACCAGGAGCACCGTAGAGAATAACACCCTTAGGTGGCTTGATGCCCATCTCCTCGTAAAGTTCGGGATGCAACAAAGGGAGCTCGACCGACTCTCGTACCTCTTGGATTTGCTGCTCCAGGCCACCGATATCTGCATATGACTCTGTAGGAGCTTTCTCCAGTTTCATGACGCTCACAAGAGGATCTGTATCATCCGTGAGAACGCCGACAATGCTGACAGTTTTGTGGTGAAGAAGAACGCTTGCACCCGGTTCCAAAAGGTCCTTGTCCACAAAGCTCATGATGCTAACGTAGTACTCTGGACCGGTAGCGCTGGAGACAATGGCATGGTCGTCGTCAATCATTTCTTCGAGAGTGCCGACACCCATAGGGCTGCCACGCATGTCGTCCACACGGCTGCGCTCATCTGCCAGCCGGTCCACGGTATCCAGTTCTGAAGATGAGCCTGAACTATCCTTAGCTGCTTTAGCTTTCCGCAGGCGCTCCTGGTTCTCGACATATTCCTCTTCAAGAAGCAGGTGGTCATGAATGCGCTGCATGCGTAACAGCCGAAGCTTGCATCTGCTTGTTGGGAAGACGGGAGGCAATTTGGAAGCGGCACTGGCGCCGCCTTGCTTCTTCTTCTTACGGCCTACGCGGGTAGTAGGCCTCGGAGGCGGTTCATACTTCGGCTTTTCTTTCTATTGCATCATTGTATGTCAGCGATAGGGTGTGTGGCGATAAGGCTGAGAGCAGAGGGAACGCCCATAGACTCGTCGGGAGGGAGGCCGAACCTTCTTGTCTTTTTCATCGCGACCATCGTGACCACCACCCATACCCGACTGACTCTGGCCCTGTAAAGCACGTTAGATGAGACCGATCATCGCCCTGACGCTTCGGGAAGTGGACCATTTACCATGATGTCGGTGTTGGTCCAACCCCGGCTGAAATCGGTAGTTCGACTAGGTGCGTGGATGTATCAGGTGTGATCAAAACACCGATCCTTATTTGCGCTGTCAAAATATTTAGGTTGGTGGCTCCCAGGGTGGATAGTATAAATGTTGGAAGTTCAAGTTGGGCGTTGGGCTTGGCTATTTCCTATTCACGCTTCGACAGGTCCGATTGATTGATGGGCACCAGCTCCGGCTTTGGCTGGCAGCCGCTAGGCGGCAGCGCGACACGCCAGCGGTGCACGGGCCACGTACCCGCTCGCAATCCCGACAAGGATGGTTTTGGTAATGTACCGCACGGATTTACAGACAGCTGAGTGCAGGTGTCAGTTGGGAGGAGAGTGGAAAGATCCAGTCTGGCTTCTCTCCACTTTGCCAGCTCGGTGGGCAGCCCCATAGCAGCTTCTTACTTCGTTGTTCTTTGGGTAGACGTTCCCGAGTAGTCTTTTTGGGTCCCAGGTACCTATCTACCTATCCTGTCGATTGGATTGTGTGGCCGTTACGATGTTTCGGACTGCCTCTTTTTTACATGGGCTGCCATCATCGAAGGACAACTGGGCCCCGTGCTGGATGGCCAAATGGTTGCATCAGACTTCGATTGTAATCCCCAAATAGCATGAACCTTGGAAGTCAACTGGACCCTGTTGGGTCAGTGCAGGCAGACTGTTCCAAAGCATGAATGCTTGCGGGTTGGGCACCCCGGATCATTGGATGCGTGTTTGTGCTCTGTGGGCATTCTGTACAGCTGACTGGTGACCTGAAATTCCTAAAGCAGTTGAACAACTCGCCTTCTTCAAGACACTTCCACACATTCCGTGTCTCATGCAATAGATTCTTTATTTCCGTCTGCTTGTATTCCAGCCTTGCTATCACCATCAAGAAGATCGAGCTCTTCCATCCCATTCCTTTTGTTGCCTACAGCCTTCACTGTACCGCTCAGCCCCTCCAAGCTCCCACCCTTTCTGCTTGTACTTGGACGTCCCCACTTATTCTGCCCTGTGCCAAAACCGCAGACCTCCTGGCTTTCTCAACTTCCAAAGCGACCTACTCTGCGTTATAGCGTGAGAAAAAAACACAACAACTGTCCAGATCTTCAGGGATATCAGTGGTGCTCTCTTACAGGAGATAGAAGCCGAACGATGGCCACCACCAGAGAGCGACGCATTGCGAAGGAGTTGGCAGACATCCACAATGACAAGGACAACTCGGGTGTAGTCGCCTATCCAGTCGATCCGTCTAACCTGACACACCTCAAGGGCACTTTCCCCGGTCCTCCAGACACACCTTATGCCGGGGGAACGTTCCAAATCGACATCATCATTCCTGAAATGTACCCATTTAAGTCGCCCATCATGAAATTCGATACCAAGATCTGGCATCCCAATGTCAGCAGCGTCACGGTAGGTGTGACCATTCAATGTCGAGGGGACTTGCTCCAGCCACAACCATAGGCAAGTCTCCATTGTGATGCAAGAGCTCATACTGACGAGTGTTGAACCATTCTTTTTTTGCCCCTGGTCAGGGTGCAATCTGCCTCGATACTCTAGGTTCTGGTTGGTCCCCAGTTGGGACAATCAAAATGGCACTTATCTCGCTGCGCATGCTGCTCGAGTCGCCGAACCCCAAAGACCCCCAGGATGCCGAAGTGGCCAAGATGATGCTCGAACGCCCAGATGAGTTTGCCCGCAAGGCTCACGAGTGGGCTGTTCAGTATGCCGGTGCCCCCAGGAGAGATTACATCCCCCATAACTATAAGGCATTGGCCAAGCCTCAGGTGACAAATGACTTGTCAAGGTATGGATATATTGAACGGAACTGGGTTTACCGGTGCTTCGAACAGACCAGCATCCCTGAGAGGATTATCCATGTGTGCTTCTAGGTGTCATGCTGACTCATTTCGATAGGTACAAAGGCTACAATAAAGATCTCGTGGATAGGTTTGTCAACATGGGTTTTGACGTCGACGCTGTGGTCGAGGCGTTCATCTATGTGGGTATCGACCGCAATGGAGGTGAAGACTACGAGTTGGAAGAGGCATATATGGGCGATATCACTGCCCGGCTTCTCGGCGAACAGTGATGAGGCACTTGGTATCGAGAAGGACACGGCTCAAGTAGAATGAGGCCACAGGACTGACCCAGTGTGTGGCTTACCCATCGTTCGGAGTCAAGGGACTTATTGTTCTATCGGTGATACCTCTTCCGATCGCAAAGGGAAGGCTAGGGAGGGCATTGGTATCGCAACCCTTCTTCGCGATAGATCTCACCATGAGGGAACGGTCCAGAGACAGGAATGGGACCATAATGACTCCTATTAAAGATAGTTTGATGCTTGGCATTTGGGACGGAGTTTGTGGGTTAGTTTATTATTTTCTTTTCCCTTTCTTTGATCTGTTGAATCCAATGGTATGGGATAGGAACCCATGCGTTTGTGTGAGTTCAAGGCTCCACGGCGTTATGGGTGCAGTATTGCGCCCAACTATCAGCGATTCATTGTCTTCTTTGCAAGCCATCTTGCAACCTTGATCTTAGTGCTCCTAACCTATTCACATATTTAGTTCGTTACCTTATTAAAATGCCAAACACTCTGGATTAAGCTCATGTGATTTGGCATATAAAAGTATCCTACCCTGTGTGTTGGTCTGGCTATCGAAACATGATGGCCTAGTACCTGTTGTCAGGGGCAAGTGGTCAAATAAGGTATCGTCCTCACAATGAGCGTCATGCTATTTCCTTTGGAGAACTCGATTTTCATCCTGATAAGGAGCATTTACCACAGCTGATACCTTGGACTAACCGTTCAAACCTTAACTTCGGCTGTCCTCTCCCCAGAACCACAAGCAGGATACACCAAGGGTATAGGGTCTCGATACAATGTCATGAGATGAGCCTGCTGTGGCACTCTGTTTCGATTGGCTTCACTCCGAATATCGGAAAGTGTAAATAAGTACACATGCGAATCTCGGAGTGCAGCAGCCAGAACCCCGCCACGTCTATAAGAGTCGAATCAAAATGGTAAAAAAATGCAACCTTTATCCTTCCCTGTCTCTTCTCATCCCTTCCTTTGTATGCTCAGCTCCATTGCCGTCACTAACTGCCTCTACCGGTTTCGGCTCAAGCGAACCGACCACTGGTAATTACAAAGATAGAAACGGACAAAGCCGAATCCAAGCATGTACATGTATAAAAAGACGGCAATATTCGGTTAGCAGATTGCAGGCTGAACCTGATTACCTGCCACTCTACTATGGGATCGCCAAAATCATTAGAGCAAGTCACGGCGGACGAACTCGTCATGAAGAGCCTTGCCGAGCCCGGCAGGCGAGCGCTCAACGATGACACCAGCGGCCTCAAGGGCCTTGATCTTGGAGTCTGCACCACCTTTGCCGCCAGAGACAATAGCGCCGGCATGACCCATGCGACGGCCAGGAGGAGCTGAGATACCAGCAATGAAGGAAACGACAGGTTTGCCGCCATTGACAACGTTCTTTTCTTTGAGAAACTCGGCCGCATCTTCCTCGGCAGAACCACCGATCTCACCGATCATGATAATGCCATCAGTCTCCTCGTCCTCAAGGAAGATTTTGAGGCAGTCGATGAAGTTGGTGCCGCTGAATGGATCGCCACCGATACCAACGACAAGCGACTGACCAAGACCAGCGTTGGTGGTTTGGTTAACAGCCTCATAAGTCAAGGTACCTGAACGACTGACGATGCCGATGCGGCCGCGCTTATGAATGAAGCCGGGCATGATGCCGATTTTACACTGTCCTGGGGCAATGATACCCGGACAATTGGGGCCCACCAGGCGGGTCTTATTCTGAGTCTTGAGGATCGAGGTGATGCGCACCATATCTGTTCACCACCGCCATCAACCTTCGTTAGTCGGATGTCTATTTGATGATGTGATGGGACGCGTTTAAGACACTAACCATGCTGTGGAATACCCTCTGTGATGCACACAACGAGAGGCACCTCGGCAGCGATAGCTTCCTCGATGCCGGCGGCGGCAAGTGGGGGCCTGTCAATCGGGGGATCCATTAGCGTGGGTCGGGGGTGGGAGAGGGGGGGAATGCCCGGGACTTCCTTACGGCACGAAGATGGCCGTCGCAGTTGCGCCCGTCTCCTTTACGGCCTCCTCCACGGAGGCAAAGACCGGCAGACCGAGGTGCGTTGTGCCGGCCTTCTTGGGATTTGTGCCACCAACAACCTTCGTGCCTGTGCGAATGGCATCAGAACTCACTCAGTCGAAACAGCTGTGACAACTCGCTGCTAGGTGTAGAAAAGGATTTACCATATTCGATCGCCTGCTGGGCGTGGAAGCTGGAATGAAAGTCAAATGTCAGGTTAGCTGTGGAAGAAAATGTTGGTTCGAAGGTTCGTAAGACAAGGAACGAAGGAACCGCAGCGGGGCTCAACGCTTGACGCTTCACGATGAGAAGCTACCCGAAGGGCTAACATGAAGAGCTGTAACTTACGTCCCCTGCTTGCCCGTGAAACCCTGGAAGATGACCTTGGTGTCGCTGTTGATGCGCAGGTTCTTGATTGTGTCGGCGTAGCTGAGGGAAGAGGAGCTGTAGCTTCGCTGGGTTAGCTGGCGCAAAAGGGAGCCCGCAGGCCTTGCCAATTGTTTTCGAAGTGCCTGCATGTTTGTTGTTGGGAAGGGCACCAGAAAAACGCGCTGGATGAAGGGAGGGGAGATATTCAACGAAGAGAGGGAGAGAAAAACTGAGTGGGAGGGTGTTTATCGAGTGTGAACGAGGTAGTGTGTTATCTTGGGCGGTGTCTCAATGGAGACTCTTCAATCTCCGTCATTCGTAAACCCCCTGTAAATTCGGCGCTAGGTACCAAGCTTCGCCCAACCAAAACACCAACCAGGGGTCCTGCCCGGTCAGAGCGCTTGCAGCGGTGGTAGCCGCGGCGGCAGTGTTTATCCGATGCAATCCGTTCTTCAGGGCCGATCTCCATCTTGGCAACTTGGCCTGGAGTTTCCGGGCTGATGGGAAACTGAGGGTTAGGGTTAGCTACGAAACGTCCACGCTTCCAGTGGTGTCCCCGCCTTGATATCCCCAAAACGGTGGGGCTCATACATGTCGCCGAGTGGCGTTCGCGATGAACCGCCGCATTTCCACATCGCCCCGCCAGGAAAGCAGCTTTGTCGCAGATGCCAGCAGTACAGCCGAAGCTTCCACCAGATTTACATAGACGCGCGCCGGGGGAACAGCAGAATACCTCTACAACCAGATCCAGGAGAACCAGCAGTGGTGACCTGTTTTCCGCAGCTATGGCAACAGCAACAATAACCACGACCAAGCGCAGCAAGAAGGATGTTGATCTCCCCCCAGAAAACGAACGTTTTCTACGATGCTGTGCAGACATTGCCAACGCCCTGATTGAAGATCATGAAGCCTCTAAAGACCCAACTCGGCCCAAAAAAGACATTAACCTTAACACATTGCGCGCCAAGTTCGCAAAGAAGCACAAGATTAACAATGTACCTCCCCTGACTGCCATCATTGCTGCAGTTCCAGAGCACTACAAAAAGTACATTCTTCCGAGGCTAATAGCCAAACCAATTCGTGAGTTACTGGCCTAAGATGGATAGGTTTTGAAAGACTACTAATGCTCCACTTCCAGGTACTTCATCTGGCATTGCCGTTGTGGCTGTTATGTGTAAGCCGCACCGTTGTCCGCATATCGCGTACACCGGAAACATCTGTGTATACTGCCCAGGCGGCCCTGATTCGGATTTTGAGTACAGCACTCAGTCTTATACCGGATATGAGCCAACCTCAATGCGAGCCATTCGCGCTCGCTATGATCCCTTCGAGCAGGCTCGCGGTCGGGTCGACCAGCTCAAGGCTTTGGGTCATTCTGTCGACAAGGTCGAATACATTATCATGGGCGGAACCTTCATGTCATTGCCGGAAGCATACAGGGAGGAATTCATAGCCCAGCTTCACAACGCTCTTAGTGGATATTCGACGTCAAACGTTGACGAGGCGGTCCGTGCCGGAGAGCAGAGCAGCATTAAATGCGTAGGCATCACGATTGAGACTCGACCTGACTACTGTCTGCAACCTCATCTCTCGAGCATGCTCCGATATGGCTGTACTCGTCTGGAAATTGGTGTGCAATCACTCTATGAGGACGTTGCGCGCGACACAAACCGTGGTCACACGGTCGCTGCTGTGGCTGAAACCTTCTGCCTTGCCAAAGATGCTGGCTTCAAGGTGGTTAGCCATATGATGCCTGACCTGCCAAATGTTGGCATGGAACGTGATCTTTATCAGTTCCAAGAATACTTCGAAAATCCTGCCTTCCGCACCGACGGCCTCAAGATCTATCCTACCCTTGTAATCCGCGGCACGGGTCTCTATGAGCTCTGGAGAACTGGTCGCTATCGGAATTACACCCCCAATGGGCTGATCGATCTTGTTGCGCGAATCCTGGCACTCGTTCCCCCTTGGACACGCATATACCGAGTGCAGCGCGACATTCCCATGCCCCTTGTCACGTCGGGTGTCGAAAATGGCAACTTGCGTGAGCTGGCGCTCGCACGCATGAAGGATTTTGGCACAACCTGCCGTGATGTTCGTACCCGAGAAGTGGGTGTCAACGAGGTGAAGCACAAAATTCGGCCCAACCAAATTGAGCTTGTGCGCCGTGATTACACGGCCAACGGAGGTTGGGAGACCTTCCTTGCTTACGAAGATCCTAAGCAAGACATCTTGATTGCTCTGCTTCGCCTCCGAAAGTGCAGCGAAAAGTATACGTTCCGTCCAGAGCTGGTCGGGCAGCCCACTAGCATGATACGTGAGCTTCACGTGTATGGTATGGCGGTCCCGCTTCATGCACGTGATCCTAAGAAGTTCCAGCATCAAGGGTTTGGTACGCTATTGATGGAGGAGGCAGAGCGAATTGCACGAGAAGAGCATGGAAGTATCAAAATCAGCGTCATCTCCGGCGTGGGCGTTAGAAGTTATTATCGCAAACTGGGGTATTGGCTTGACGGACCGTACATGTCCAAGTGGTTAGATGGCCGACCAGGGCCTGAAGAACAATAAAACCAAATACTTCCACGGGATTTGGATCGGGGGACTTCAGATGTTGCAGTCAAAATTTCATACACTTCCGGGATCATGTTTAGTTATTACACATGGCGTTTTGGGATGGGCTAAAGAAAAATGGAGGAAAACGTGCCGGTTTTGTTGACTATAGTAAAATAGATAGCAAAACTTGACTGTGTTGAAACCAGAGCACCAAAACATGACTTATAGCACTGTTTAATCAGAAAATTCAACCCTAAGCAATAGATTTGCCAACTAGCACCATGCTTTACGATACCAACTGACTTGTCCCCAGGGCTGTTGTGGTAAACTGTGGAGTTGACTTCAAGACATGAGGTTAAATCGCTAGCTCGATGAGCTCAATGCCTCATTTTCAACTAGCTAGCAACACGTTGGGCTTGGACAGCCAACATATCCAACATTTGTTATGTCCTTGAAGCAGGAGGAGCATTGTACGCAAGATCTCTAGTTTCGTACCGAGTATCGAAAAGACAGAAACGCCGGGTATCTTAAAGTTAAGCCGCATTGCTTGCACAACTCCACGGATCCCTCCCTTCATCCTTCGCCATTGCCTCGCCTGTACACCACAACCCCAAGGCGCAGACTATCAAGCCAATTATAACTAGGAATGCGTTCAGAATAAACTGTACAGTATTTTTTGGTGTCGCGAACCACTTTCCGTAGTAAAGCCAAAGCCACAGCACACCAGGCAGTCCATACGAGAACCAGCTGGCGAATAAAGCAGCAACAAAGCCGAGGAGATTGTTGAAAACGGGGATAGACTGAGAGATGACCCACGCAATGATCCAGAGAATGGCAGTGATGCCGAGCCAGCCGATAACACCAAGAGGGGTGCGAGTGGCTAGATGCTTTGTGCCAGCAAAGACACGAACGAAAACATATCTGGCGGCGACGTGGCCATAAATGACGCCAGCAATAACAATGGTTGGGATGGCGATGCCCCAGATGACTTTGCGAACGACGTGAGAACCGGCGGCAGAAAGAGCTGGGGAGGGCACATCAGGCCCGACATAGACGTAAATGACAACGGAGACGATGATGTAGAGAATGGTGTCGCAGATTTGCAACATGGCGAGCGCCTTAGGCCAGTCGTTTGGCTGCTTAAGTTCGGACATGATGCTGAAGAAGCAAGAGTGGCCACTGAAAGCGACGGCAATGTTGGTGATAGAGAGAAAGGCTGTAGTGAAACCAATAGTGCGGGCTGCTGCAAGGGGAGTGCTGCCGATAGGCTTTTCTATGCCAACATCGATCATGGTCACCATGACAGCTGTGAAAATCGAAGCGAATGAGGCGAATGAGTAGTATCCGGCCGCGCGTAGTGTCCGGGGAGTGTTGAGAGCCCAGAATACAGCCAGGCCAACAACACCCCAGACGATGGTACAAGCAGCACTATCAGTAAGGGTGTTGAGGCAGATGGTCCATGTCAACAGATGACTGCCCATGATGAAGATCTGAAAGATAGTCTGAGCCCAACCCCAGATCTCTTGAAATAGCTTCCCCATGCCAACGGTTCGTCCCATGACCTCGGCCGCGTCACCGAAACTTTCGACCCAGGGATAGGCCTTCCGGAACTCGCCCATGACAAGGCCCGAGTAAGCAGAGAAGATACCCATAAAGACCATCACAACGAGACCGGGGGCCAACCCAAGAGTAGCAATGACGCCAGGTAAAGACAAGATGCCAAGTGACACGGTCTCAGCGATCATGACCACACCGGCTTGCCTATGAGAGAAAAAGATCAGCTTGAAAATTCCTCCAGAGAAACTGGGATGAGCAAAGCATACCACCACTCAAGAGTATGATAGTTGATTTCTTCAGAGCCACCACTCTTCGACTCCTCCTCCTGGTTGTAGATGGCAGGCGCTTCCTCAGTTCCTGCGCTGTCGCTGTCCATGTTGTACTTCTTGTGGTCTTTTTCCTGCGTGAAGAAGTCGCTACGAACTGGGGCAGCAGGGTCATTGGAAGCCATTGTGACCAGATGTGAGCTTTGCGAATCAAGGCCGGGTTTATGGCCCTGGTTTCGCAGGTGAAACTTAACCAGGAGGGCAGTTAACTACTGAGACCCCGATGAAAGTAGGTAGGTAGTGGGAAGGCTCAAGCTAAGATGCTTGAGTCACCGGAAGGAAAATCTGGAGAAGAGGACCAATTTAATGATGGCAAGAACTGGTTCATCTCTTCTCATTTTCAGGCACGAGTCTGCTCCGTCACAGTTTTCGCCGCCTTGTCCGTGATCGGAGAAGCGCGTCGGTCAGAACAAGGGGCATGCAAGCTTAACGGTGATTTTGAGTAATATTGAAGATCGTGGAGTCATGGAGTCCTGGAGTTCTGGAGGAGTTCCGTCAGGTTCCCGTTGCGCCCCGTTGATAGTCCCCGTTGAACCTTGTCTGGGGTGCAGGGTCGGGCTAGGGGGTTGGCAGTGTCGAGTGCTTCGGCCTTGCTGAAGCCCGCGGACCGTTGCCATTCTGGTCGCCGAGCACGGAGCGAGAGGGAGGAGGATGGAGTGCGATGGAGTTACAGTGGAAATTTTACGCGACTAGAATGCCGCTAGAACATTGGGAGCTGGGAAGAACACTTCGGCTGGACAGCCCCCGATCACCGGCCGAGAAGGAATTGTGATTTCTCCGGCATTGCCGTGGCCCAGGCTTTTAAATCCGTGATATGGGGTCAGATGACACATGGAGCAGCATGGGAAGAGGTTGAAGATCGAGGAGAGTGGGTACTTGACAGGTCAAAGTCGCAAAGGCCGGAAAAGGTAGGAAGATCCCTCCCGTACCTTATGAACTGCGCAGTGCGCACCTTGGACTGGTAGTATTGCCTGAACCAATGTCACTTGTTCATGTTGAGCAGGGCATGTGGTATGCATCTGTTGAACCTAGGAGAACTAGAGGCAACATGTGATTGAAGAGGAAACGCTATTCGAATGGGAGAACCTTGAAAGATGCGATGCGGACTATACCACCGCAACTTTCAATTACCTACGCGACATACCTAACTTCATCACATATGGAAGACCATCCACAGCCTAGGCAGCGACTTCAATACCAGTAGGTAATGTGGGTTGATAGCATCTCTTAGCCTTGAGAAATTCTCAGTCTCAGACCGTTAAGAGGCCAACCTCCACCAATGGCGGTTTACAGGGGTGTTGCTTTCTTCAAGACCGCAATTCATGGATCCATGACTCGCTCTCAGCATGGCTGCCGCACTGATCCACCAAATGGACCACCCACGAGAACTTACGACCTTCAATGGGAAGGTGGCTTGCGTGAAGCATCCGATCATGGTGCCGGAGTCGGGCATCTGGAAGACTTGTAACCTCTTCCTGTGGCACATCTGTTGGTGCTCACAGAGTCGAAGGTAGGCAGATCGCCCGCTTGTAAGTGACTCCCCAAGACAGTAAGGAACACGGGTTATGGTGTCTTCCGCGGTTAAAGGCGAGACAAGGTGTCGATGATGGCTATTCCAGTCAGGTTTCGTCGTTCTGGTTATGATGGTTTACGGAGGAGGCTCGTGGTGTTCCCCATCCTAACCGGTTAGGACATAAAGAGTAAAAAGGGAAGCAGGCTGGATTGTATAAGGACTAGAGAGGGTAACATTGACAAGTAATATTAACAAGGCTCAGACTTGCAAGAAGATTCCCACGGTCTTTCAAAAGATGAGCTCGAAGGGTGGGAGAAGAAGAAAAAGAAGCCAATTCCAAGCGACGGCAAGTTTTTGACCTGGGATGCTGGTAACAAACTTTGATTACCCTGGGCCGTGGTTAAAAACACGGGCAAAAAATAAGTTTTGACAAGAGTGAGATTCGAACTCACGCCCCATTTCTGAGACCAGGAAGCTTTGAACAGGATGTTCAGAGTAATTCAAGTGGACCTGAACCTGGCGCCTTGGACCGCTCGGCCATCTTGCCGTCAATTATGATATGACTTATCGTGGTTTTGTGATTTTCCCTGAGCGTATCGGTCCACCCCGCAGCTCGGGGATAAGGAGCGGGTCAACAGAGGGGCATTGGACAGAGTTCACAGTAGCCAATCACAGGCGCATCTTACCTGATTGGACCGGATCCCTCTTTAATTGATTATCAGCAAGCATAATTCAGATCCGGTTGCTCGGTGTGGTATGGATTCTGGGATTCGGCCAACTAAGGATGACCACCTTCCTGCGTTTCCCAATGCAAACATCTTTCTCTGGTTGATTGACTCGTTATGTATGCAATTTTTCCCTCTTTACATGGCACTTGATTGGTCCATTCACTTCCAACTTTACCAGCGCCCCTATAACTTTCTTGATCAGTTTAGAGACTCTCCCGATCAATCCAACTTCTTCGCAACTTTAAGCAACGGTGGCGTAGAGGTATATAATAGGGGCGAAGAAAGTTGTGTCTAGTATAGTCAAAACCAGAAATCATAAGAGTGATGAGTGTTGTGTTTGCCTACTGCGAGCCAGCGCGCCGGAGGGGGTACCCGAAGTGGGCTACCCAGACGCGCGCTGGCGAGCTGCTTCTCCGAAAACCTGGCTATTTCCAGGCGTAGCTAGCACGTACTAATCTACCTGTACAAGGTGAGTTCCTACATGCGCTCTGGACGCGCTGTCTCCGTACGAATCTGTGTGCTGTGCAAGTCCCCAACATCTGCAGATGCAAAACAGTTCGACCTTGGAACCTCGGATCGTAGGCAAGGATTATTGGTCTGTACTTGAAATCTAAACATTGGGCCCATCCACCATTGGTCTTTTTCTGATTCCCTATCCGCAACCAACACGCAGAGCCCCCAAGCTCCAAGTTGCCTGTCCGGAGTCCTGCCCAGTGCTGTCTCTGAGTGGATCTGACTGTTGAGTGGCTTCGGCTGGCTTGGCATTGAGGGCAGCAGCAAAACAGAGTTGATAAGCAGTAACAGGGAGCCACGCAGAGCAGTATCTCCAACTCCCAATCCCAGCCACACACCGCATCTCACTGGAGCCAGCGACTACAACTGCTGTTTCTACTAATACTTTTCTTGATAAACAAGTGACCAACAGGCTTCGGTAAAAAGCCGTTTATCCTAAACCTGACGGATCTCAATAGGCAGTGCCTTAGCGCTTCACCACGTCACAAGCCCTCCGGTTCGTTCTGGACAAAACTTGGGGCGTCCCCTCACAGAGCCACCGTCTCCTGTAAACACGCACCACCGCGAGCAGCGGAAGCTCTTTTCCACCGAGCCCTGTACTCGATCCTGCAACTTGAGAGTTTCTACGTACATTTTGTACTTTGCTCTTTGTGGCCAACCTCCTTACGCATTCATCATCGTATAATCGTCTCGATTTCGCCTTGCATGGGACAAGTTTCTTACAGTCAAGACTCAGAATCAAGACAATATGTCAGACCCTGAACAGGCCATCTCCTCCCGCACATTGGTCATCTCAAGGCAGACTCTCCCACATCGACCTCTCCGTACTGCCGCCGTCATCTCCTTTCTGCCAGCCCTGCCACTTTGCATTGCCCATGGCTCGTTGTCGCACAGTCTAGTTCCTGGCCTGGGCCTGCTACCACTGTTTATGTCGGCTTCCGTGTCACTATACCTGCTTCTGGTAGGTGGCATCAGGAACACGGGCAAGCTCAAAGGGAAAAGGAAGATTACCGCCACAGGGGAGTCATCCTCGAGAAGAAATATGGAGTATGATGATGATGCCGAGGAGACGGAGGTAGACAGGGAGATTCAAAGGCTGATTGATCCCGAGGTTGAGGAGCGTACCTCTAAACGTGATGGAAGTGAAGAAGAAAGGGATGGGGAAGGCGAAGAGGGGGTGAGGGCAGTTCTTACTCATAGGATCTTTGTGTTCATGGTCGATATCTCACTAGCAGCTGCCATCATGGTTGTGCTAGTGTTTACATGGATTGGAACGGGTACAGTTTCTGACGATGATCGTGCCCGACCGGAGCTCGTCATGCTGGGAGCGTATGCGACAGTCCCGCTTTTGCTGAACTTGTAAGTCCTCATTCTTACTCAGCTCGTTCAGTTTACGGAGATACTGACCGATGAACAGTCTTATCCACCTCTCCCTTGCTGCCCGCGAGTTCATCGCTGGCCTTGCCATACCAGGTCTGATTGAGTGGACGGCCTGGCGAGCTGTTCCTCCCGATTGCCCAAACTGCGGCATCCGTCTGCGCCCTGATGAGCTTCCTCCCATCCCATGGTACGAGTCTCTCGCGATGCCCAGACTCTCGTTTCCCAATATCAAGCCCCTGTACTTCAAAAGGCCCTCTCTTCCGTCATTCAGGATCAGCACGCCGAAGTTTCCGCCTTTGAAGAACCGTCAGTGGAGGCTGCCCAAGTGGATGAGGCATCATGACGAAGAAGAGACCGCTAGATTGTTCGTCAACGAGGAACAGAACGAGGACCCTGAACACTACCAGGACGACCCTGAGGATGGATATGGTGGTCATGACTCGCATAGCACGACCGCTGTCGCGACAGGACCCGTGGCTGCTGCGCCCGAAGAAGTCATTGTCGGGAAAAAGGATAAGAAGGCAAAGAGCAGCGTGGTCGCATCCTTGCTCGGGCATGAGGCTCCGTGGGGATGAGCAACTGGCAATGACAGGAGCATTTGTTGTCTGCGAGTTGAACATGAAGCGTGTTACATAGAAGCCTGTACTGCCTTCCTAAAACTGGCGTCCTGCGTTGTCTACTCGCGAAACACATTTTATCCTAATCTATATCAAATTCTAACTCGACAGCAACAGTCGCAAGGAGATAGAGGTTCCCAGAGTTAGATCATCTTCCGCTCTCCTGTCTTCCCATCTGTGAATTGTATTCCACGGAAACATTTCCGTGTCGAACATCAAGTGATCCTTTGGACTTGGAACCAAACAGATGCTTATGTTGGTTTGATAGAAGCACAGTCATAGTGTAAAGCAGAGCACCGGAAGGATGACCATTGCCGTTCGCATTACAGAGTGCAGCCGGTGTAATGTCTAGTCGTAGGAAAATACAATTTCACTATACCCCACAATCAACCCAATTCTGTTAGCAAGGTTCGACCAAAATTCCAACCACTTTCTCCCATCCGAGTCATCGTCTCATCAAACCACCCTAGTGCGTTCCTCCTTTATGATCCCACTATGAGAGGACATGATAACAGAAATAAAAGGTTGAGAAACACCAAATTTTTCTCTCTTTCCTCCTCGGATGCCTTGCGCCGGGGAACGCAGATCGAAAAAGGAAAAAAAAAGTCCCTGCTATTCGTACAACTAAAACTGCAGAAAACGCTACCTCCATTCGCCCTATTAAAAAGCCCCAGGCTAAAAATTATGTGAACTCTTTATGTGCCATCTCTTGGCCAGTGGGTAAAGGGTGAGGCGACATGGTTGATCACAACAGATCGCCAGCGAAGAAGGCATGAGAAGAGCGACTCGAATTAGATAGCCAGGCTTAGATGTCGATTTCTCCATCAGCTATAGCCAACCGCTGCTTGGTTGTCTTGGCTTTTTTGCTGCCTCCAGCCTTCTTGCGCTTGCCGCCGCGGCCTAGACTGTCGGCGTCGACGGGAGTAGCCGCTCCTGAGCCTTTATTATCGTCAAAATGGCCCTCGCCTATGTCAAGCGATGTTAGCATACAGTGGGGGGGAGGGGGGAGAATACATTAAAATTGCAAATCTGACTCACCCTCATGATACATGTCCTCCAGACTAGGCACAGTGTCGCCATTGGCGGCACCTCTCTTTCTCTTTCCACCCTTCCTCCTCTGCTGCATGATCTTGTCGTACTCTCCACTCTCGATAAGTTCCTTTTCGCGGCGTTCGATCATCTCAGCCTGCTCATCATCGGCCAGCCACATGGCGATGTCGCGGTTGCGATTCTCGGGAGGCCTACGCCCGCTAAAATCAACACTACCAGTACCAGTGATGACAACACGTTGCACCTCTTCCTTCTGCAAAGCACGCTTGCGAATGCGCTCTTCGATCGTGCCACGGGTAATGAGACGATAGACCGTGACTTGCTTTGTCTGGCCGAGGCGGTGAGCACGATCCATGGCTTGCGAGTCGATTGTTGGGTTCCAATCTGAGTCGTAGAAGATTACCGTATCGGCGGTGGTAAGATTGATACCAAGACCACCTGCACGGGTAGAAAGCAGGAAGATAAAGATTTCGGGCCGCGTCTGGAAGTCGGCAACAGTATCGCGGCGGTCTTCGAGTTTGGTTGACCCGTCCAAGCGGCAGTACTTGTAATTGCGGTACGTCAGGTACTCCTCCATAAGGTCGATCATGCGAGTCATCTGGAAGTAGAGCAGCACACGATGGCCACCTTCCTTGAGTTCGCGAAGAAGCTCGTCCAGCTTGGCAAGCTTGCCAGAATCGGTAACAAACCGTGCCATCGACGGGACCGTGATATTTGTGAAGCGTTGCTTGTCGTGATCCGGAGCCGGGAGCAGGGCCCGAGGCGGATAGAGGGTGACTGGCCTTGGGCCAAACGACGCTTCTTTGATTTCCGATGGGGTCGGGCCAAACAGTGCCTTGCGCATGGCGGGATGGAACATGATATTTTCCCGCTCGATAACGGCACTACGGCTATCGCAAACAACCTCGATTGGGGGTGCCGAGGCACGGGGGCGAGCCGCTTTCTCAAGCCTGCAGAGACCAAGCTCTCGATACTTGACGCGTGCAATGTTCATGAGATCACGAAGCACGCCTTCGGTGGTGATTTCGGCAACTGCCTTAGGATTTTCCCGTTCGCAGATCTGGAATAGTGCATGGACTGGCGTCCACTTCTTGTCTTCTGGTTCATCGTACACAATCTGCATGTGGCCAAGCCGGTTCTGCTTACTTGCTAGGTCGACCGCACGGGCAAAGACGTCTGTATGGCTGGCGCGGTAAGCCTCCTGAAGACTGGTATCGACGAAGCGGAGCCACGTGAAGTTTTCAATGCCTTCTAGACTTGAACGAATGTTCTCTGGTGTCCAAATGTTCATCATATGGTTGAGGTACTTGCTGCGGAAGCCCGCCACCAGATTGCCAGGGCCAGGTTTATCTAGGCGGCCACCGTCGCACCAGATGAGTCGTGGCAGCCGATATTCAACCAAGCTTCGCGTCGAGTAGCCCAGAGCGACGTTCGTGCCCTCACGAAGAAAAGATCCCGTTTCCGCAAAGTGCCCGCAGAAGAAAGGAGAGGAAGTGTCGGCACGCTCAAACAAGTCTGGATGGTTGCAGACCTTTCGGAATTGCATCACAAGGTTCATAAGCGTTGCCGAATCTTCGTTGTCGCCGACCGTTGCCTTCTCGATCAGATCCATGATGCTAATTTGGTTGCGCAGGCTCTGGTACATGGCGCGCTGGCGATACGACAGCTCGCAGAAGACATCAATCTCAATCTTGTCGCCTAGCTCCTTTTGGACATGCTTTTTAACACGACGCAGCATGAACGGTTTGAGAATCATGTGCAGGCGTTTGAGTTGATCTTCATTCAACTTCGTATTGCTCTGTGCGTGTGACTCGATATCTTTAGAAAACCACTCGCTGAATTCGTCGTGAGAGTCGAAGAGAGAAGGCATGATGAAGTGCAGAAGCGCCCAGAGTTCCTGCATGTTATTCTGAATCGGCGTACCAGTAAGTAACAACCGGTTACGGCAATGGAAGCCCAGAAGGCACTTCCAGCGGGAGCTCTGCGAGCTCTTGATGGCTTGGGCCTCGTCGAGAATCATGTACTGCCATTTCATCTTCTGAAAATAGGCGACGTCGGAAACAACCAGCTGGTAGGACGTAATCATCACATGGAAGGGAGAGTCCTTCTTGTAAGTCGTATGTTTGCGGTCCCAGAACTTGCGCAACACTTTGCGGTCTGCCGCAGTGCCCCAGTATGGAAGCACTTTGAAATCGGGGACAAACTTGGAAACCTCTTGTTGCCAGTTGTGCAGGGTGGATGCCGGAGCGACGACGAGAAAAGGACCCCAAATGTCGTAGCGCTCCGCCAGGTAAGCCATGACGGAAATAGATTGAACAGTTTTGCCAAGACCCATTTCGTCGGCGAGGATGCCGTTGATGCCTTGTTCGTACAGGTTGACCAGCCAATTGAGACCTTTCAACTGGTATTCTTTGAGTTGACAGTTGAGTAACTTTGGCTGCGCAACCTCGAATTCGGTAAGCTCTGGGTGCTGGAAATTCATCTCACCGTCCTCATCAAGCTTGGTCTCGTCCTTGTTGAACTCTCGTGCCTTCTTTTGAGCCTCAGCAATGGCGTTTTGCGCGTTCGCCATGGCAGCCGCCTGAAGCGCCGATTCATCCTCGTTATCAAAGTCGAGACTGTTGAAATCGGTGACCTTGGGCGCAATAGGTCCAGTCGGCTCAGGGACATTGATGTTCAATGTTGGCTCAGGAATCTTGTCCTTCTCATCGGTTGCCACGTCAGGGTGGTCGGTACTACGCTCGACCTCGTGAGTCTTGATCTTCTTGCTGATAAAGTGAGAGTAGAGCTCGGTCTGAGAAATTAGGAAGTTGAGCTTTCTCCTCTGGCGCGCAGCTTCGCGATCGGCTTCTTCTTTGCGAGCATTCTCGAGTTCGAGCCTTTCAGCAGCCTTGCGTAAATCGCGCTCTTCACGCTCGTTCCGCTTCCAGAAGCCCATCATGTCACGCATGACACGTTTCGCCCTAGCCTGGAGATCCTTTGTGCCCTTGTTGGTACGCAGTTGCCAGCGTTTGGCTTCCTTGGAAGCCAGGATGGCCGTCTTCTTGAGGTTGGAAGCTTTGGTAGCGTACGAGTCCGTAGCCAGCCTGAAAACTTTGCTAACATCTTTGCGAGCCAGATCACGCCAGATCTGATCGTAAATCTGGTTGTAGCCTTTGGACTGAAACTTGAGCTCCAGGGGATCCTTCGGCTCCTCCACAGGCTTCTCGGGTTCTTTAGGCTGCTTAGGCTCCTTGTTTTCCTTATCCTTCTCTGCCTCTTCCTTGGCAGATGCTTTAGCCTTGCTAAGCTTGATGCGAATCTTGGTCTCTTCTTTGCTGGGGGGCTCTTCGCCAGCGTCAATCGCAGCCTGGGCGAGCTCAGCTTGTTCCTTTTCCGCTTGTTTCTGCTCCTTAGACTTTTTAAGCCTTCCTCCACGACCCTTGCCTTTGACCTTACCAGGCTCCATGTTCTCGGCAGAGAACGTGGCCATGGTACCGCCCTCCAAATTGGGTTCGATCGGAGGGAGATTGCGCGCAGGACCTTTGATACCTTTCTGTAGAATGTACTTGGTTTGCTGGACTTTCTTGTTGGCACGCTCAGCCTCGCGGATGTACTTCAAACGTTCGGCTTCATCCTCTGCTTGCGATGCCTTCTGAAGAGCTGCTGCTTGTTGCTCGAGCGTGGCTGCCATCGACTTCTCGCGACGCCGCTTACGCTGCATATCCTTCTTGCGTTCTTTCTCAGCCCAAAGTTCCTGTTCACGGACTTCTTGAAGAGCTTCGTCATAATGAAGGTCGGAGTATCTCGCCTTGCCCAGATTGGCATGAATCTGTAACTTGAGCGCCTCAGTTTCGGCGAAATCGCTGCGGCGAGACTGCCGATGGATAAAATCACGGCGATTCATCTCCTGTCGGCGACGCCTGGCACGTTCCTTCCATGCAAGCAACTCATCCTCGAATTCTGTTTCATCAATGGACTCATAATCGAACTGATCCATGATGTCCCGGATGGTCTTTTCCTTATCAGCCGAGAAAGCCTTGTGCTTCATACTCCCGTTCGCCGTTCTTTTTGTCGGGATGCGGAGCATGGTTGGAGTTTCGGGCTTTACAGCAGATTTACGGGTCATCTTCGGGGTGGATTCGGCACTCTTTATGTCGGAAACTCGTGTTTTGATGATCTTCCGAGATTGCTTTTTATCCTTTTCACCTTTGTCTGGCCGCTCAGCAGGTTCTGTCCTTGCAACCATGGCGGGATTATTGTCCAAGGAGATCGGTGATGTCGGTCTGGGCTTAGAGATAGGCTCTGAACTTGAAAGGATGTTTGAGAACGACATAACACCTGAGGCACGGCTTGGCGTCTACGACGTGTTAGCTTTGAACCGCCAGCGGGAGAAAAAACAAAAAAAGCGAATGCGACTCACATTCGAGGCTGGTGTCGCCCGAGCCGATGGAGCCGGCGTTTCGGTCCGTGCTAGAGGTGGAAGCACGGTTGATGCTGACTGGCTCGAATGGGTGCTGGGCATGGCAAGGTGCCTCAAACTGGGAGATGTGACCGTGCGGCTTCCAGCCGACGGACTCATAGATCCCGCGGGAGGAGCAGGATGAGGGCGAACAACAGGACTGCGAGGAGGATACGACCCAGTGGCAGAAGGGTAATTGCCGCTGTTATTGAAAGAGGGAGATCGCGAGTAATTGTACGAGTCGCGGATCTGGTGCGATGAGCAAAAAGGATATGTTAGTCGATTCGCGATGCGAAAAGCCGATGTTGGGAGATTGACGAGGCGGTTGGTATTTAGTAGTACAACCAGTGTTATTTAATAGCCGAAGGCGTGGGTTCAAAAATTTTGGATGGTGTGGCACGCGAGGGACTGTAGGGCAGTGGCAGGCAAGGGAGTGCGATACAAACGTCGGCGAAAGGGGGGGTTTGGTTATGGATGGCAAGTGTTGAAGAAATAGAAGGGAATGATGGTTGTGGGGAGAGACAAAGAGAGGGAAATAAAAGGACTGCAGGGGCTGCTGGTCCAATCTTGGGTTGATTGATGTGTGAAGTGGAAGTGGAAGCTGGAGCTGAAGGAAATTGCACTTGCATGCCTACCTTTGGCGGAGAGTTTTGTGTTGAGGTGCTCCAGGCACCTGATTCCGGATCTGAGCCAGTGCGCTCACGCTCGCGGTCGCGTTCACGGTCGCGGTCTCGCTTTGAGTCGGTCGTGGGGTCGTAGAAGCTCAATGAAGTCTGCTGGTCGCGAACCAAATCACGGTCACGCACATCCGAGGGATAGTACACGGGAGGAGCATGTAATGGCGACCGCGGTGGATGTTGCAGGCCTGACGGACTGGTCCGTGAAGATGCAAGGCTCGGTGGAGCCTGCAGAGGTGGAGGAGGAAATGGCGTTGACGCAGTCACGAACGGGTTGTTGAGCATCGAACAGGCTCCGGCAGGCTGCTGGCTGCTTGTTGCTGCTGCTGACGATGTCGGTGCACTGTAGGGGCTTGCGTGGTGGTTACCTGTCTGCGTTGGCGATCTCAGACTGAAGGACGAGTGTGGGCGAGGAGGCGCAGGTGCTCCAGGTGTCCCTGGAGTGCTATGGGTGCCGCCATGGCTGGCAGAGGGCATTGTCTGCGAGGCCGAGCCGACGGGGTTCAGGATGTCGCGCAGCCCGCCACGCAACCCTCGATCATCCCTTGCCCCGTTGCTGCTGCCATTACCAACAACATTGCTCCTCATCCTGCCTGTGCCTGCACTCCCATCCTCGTCAAAATGCGGCGGCCGTTGCAGTACTGTCGGAAAGTGATCCATCTTGTGCAAGACGGACCAAACACGCCAGACAGCCCAATTTCACGGCAAGTTACTCTGTAGTTGTCTTTTACAGCTTGTGTGTTGAGTGAGTCCACATCAGGCAATGGAGGAGGAAGCGCGGAGCGCGTTGGAATCACGATATGAGTCAGCTTCTGGAGCCTTTGAAGACAGCTTGATGCTGCAACCCTAGCAAGGAAGCTTCTCGCCACTATTCTGTTGCAGATGATGCGAGTGATGGGCCTAGAACGTGATGGAGCGCACTGCGAAAAGAGGAAATGGATATCAGGGGCGCGATCTGGCCGAAAGTTGCGTGTGGACAAGGAAAAGCTGTATGCGAGATTGTGGTCGCCGTTGTCGCAAAGAACTTGGATGGAAGGTGCCCGACCAACAACAGCCTCAATGTTGTGGTTTGGTGTTGATGGGCTGTTTTGGTGTCGTGATCGTCTGGCGCTGTCCACGGCCTGCACTTGGCAAAGAGACGCGGGAATCACTAAAAACAGACAGTCACAGGAAACAGGCTTGCTCGCCGCGCTGGACGACAGCGGTGCTGGCGATGGTTTAGAGCGGGTGCTGTTGGGAGGGCGATAATGGTGATGCAAAGAGGGAAATATGGCAGAGGTGGTGTTGGTGTTGGCAGTTGAAAATCCCCGGGCCCGGCTTGATTGCCAGGCTGGACCGCTCTGCTCGATTTGGCCACATCTGCTTCACTGTGTTGGTGTGCCGTGCAGACTCTTAATCCCCCAAGTGCGCCTTTGACACCCGCTTCTTTCGCACCTTCGCGAAGGTGATCCATCCAGTGGTCCACATACCGTTACCGATCAAGCAAAGTCAGTGCCACCCCGGTAAGGTGTCAGCCCCTTGCTGTGCACACCCCGCATGGAGGTAGCGACCCGTTAAGGAATACATAATAGGACAAACACAGCAACAAAGCCTCCAATAACACGAAAGTTGTTATGATTTCAGCTCAAGATCCTGGAAGGAAACATTTAATCAGCAGTGCAATACCGGACTAAGACACAATGAAGCTCCTGCACTTCTGCCAAGGAGAAAGCTCCAGGTGCTTGTGTGCTTTGGATCCTTATCCGGGTCCTCGACTGCTGGAGAGCCCCCAGCTTTAACACAAAATGACACCCCACCCCTGCAAGCCAGGGACAGGACCCACCCTCTTCAGCCCTGGTGCACGATTATCCGCCGAAACTGCAAGGTGGCTCGTGTGCTTGGGCCAAGGCAGAGCCAGACATCGCCATTCACATCTCACGCTCTGAATGAGGTCTAGCGCTACGATCGAGGATGTCGCGACTGAAAGGGGAAATATGTGGCTGATAATCCAAACTTGCAGACGCGACGGTCAATTTCGTCACAGCGGGGAACAATTCCGAAAGCACCAGACCTTGGGCTTCAAGTTCTGCTTTGCATCACAACCTTGACACTTAACAGGCATCTTACAAAGTAAAATGCACATGGAGTTTGGCTCTGCCACTCTCATTACCGTCTAAGTAGCCGCCTACACCATCAGAAGTAAAGCAGAAAAGCATCTTAGGAAGCGGAGCAACACGAAAGACACAATCACAATCTATCCGTCCCATAACCACCAATACCGCACAAGGCAATTATAAGGGAACCTCCCATGCCATCCAATACCTTTACACAGTAACTTGCCCACATGAAATGCTTCTGGCCAGCTGGAATAGAAGCTATACGGAACCTGTCTTGTGCGCTTACACACACCTCTTCGCTAAGTTGTCGAGCCGTCACTGCATCATTTTACCACTCAAAATGGCCCGGATGGCTAAGGCCAAGACTTTTTCTGCCATAATAAGGCAGGCATGATCTAAGTTCGATGTTGTCGAGCTCAAATACTTCAGACTGCACCAGCCGAGATCATCTTCTTACGCAGATAGTTCTTGTAGTCGGCAATACTGCCATCCCACTCCCTGATTGTCCTGTTCTCGCACACCAGAATCTGCTTGGCGATCTTGTCCAATAACCTAATTGCGCGGGTCAGTAAGAGAAAATAGAAAGAGTTAAGCTTCACGCATACCTGAAGTCGTGGCTAACGACAATAACACCACCGCTGAATGCATTGATAGCCTCAGCTAAACTATCAATGGTTGGGATATCCAGACCGTTGGTTGGCTCGTCCAGCAGTAGCATGTTGGGGCCGTCGATGGCAAGGAGAGCAAACACGATACGGCTCCTCTGGCCATCAGACAAAGTGCCCATCTTGGCTGTTTGAGCATCACCAGAAAGGCCGTACTTGCCAAGCTGCTGACGCCAGTATTGGACATCCTGAGACTTCTCTCTGTACTTATCCATCACGAACTCCAGGGCAGACTTTGTGAGGTCAAGCTGCTCAGCAGAGTGCTGAGAGTACAGCCCCAACTTGAGGTGAGTGTGCCGAGTGATAGTACCGCTCGTGGGCGTAAGCTTGCCCGTCATGAGACGGAGGAGAGTGGACTTGCCAACACCGTTGGGCCCCACAAGGGCGGTGCGTGAGTCCATATCGAAGCCGAGGTCCAGGTTGCGATACAAATCATCCTTAGGATCACCGGAGTAGGAAAAGGTGACATTGTCAAAAGACAGGACCGGGGGTGGAAGCCGCTCGACGTCAGCAAAGCGGAAGGTGAAAACCTTGTCAGGGATGACCGGCTGAATGAAGCCTTCGGCCTCCATCTTGTCAAGAATCTTTTGACGAGATTTGGCCTGCCTAACAAGGTTGGCATAGGTGCCAGCGCTGGCAATAAACTTTTTGATGTGTGCAATCTCTTCTTGTTGCTTGTGATACGCCTTCATCTGGTTCGTCTCCTGTTCGTGACGGGTCTTGACGTAAGCATCGTAGTTACCACCGTAGTACTTGAGCTTCTTCTGCCGCATGTCGATCATATTTGTGCAAACGCCGTTGAGGAAATCCTGTGAATGAGAAACCAGAACAAGAGTGCGGTCCCACTTCTTGAGGTACTCCTCAAGCCAGACACAAGCCTCGAGATCCAGGTGAGCGGTGGGATCATCGAGGAGAAGTAGAGTCGGCTTGACGAAGAGAGCTCTGCCAAGGGCAACACGCATTCTCCAACCACCAGACATGTCTTTGGTCTTCTTGTGCATTGTTTGCTTGTTAAAACCAAGCCCAGTCAAGATAAGAGCGGCGCGAGTGGCAAAAGTAGAAGGATCCATCTTCTCCATGTGCTGTTGTGTTGTGAGAAAGTTAGCTTTGGTCTGTCCTATTGACAAGTGGCTAATGGGGCGCTTCGTACGTCGTAAAGATCCATCAAAACCTGCGACTCGGGGCCTTCTTCCTCGAGAATCTTCTCGGCAAGCTTTTCCAAACGCTCCATCTCAAGCTCAGCTTCCTTCACAACCCATTCCAAAGCGCCTAGGTCGGTAGGAGGAGCGCCCTCGTTCAGGAGGTATATGTCAATATGCTCTGGAATGGGATACTCGCGAGCGGCGATTGCCTTGAGCAGCGTACTCTTGCCACAGCCGTTCTCGCCAAGCAAGCCATATCGCCGACCAAGTGTAAGCTCGAGAGTTGAATCGGTGATGAGGACACGGCCGTGGAACACCAAGCTAACGCTTGCAATCTTAACGTCCTTGCTCGCTGGACTCGACGCCAAAACACCCGTTGTAACACGGTCAGAAAGACCATGCCTGTCAAGCTGCTCCGCTAGCCGCTTGACTTCGTCCATCTTCTCAGCCGAGGTGGCCGGGGCGTCTGGATCAATCGGTGCATCTTCGCCGTTCGCCGAACCAGCAGTACTGGCATTCTTGGAGGCGGCCTTCGAGCGACTCTTCTTGTCCTTTCCTTCAGCTGCTGCGGCAGCGCGCTTGGCGAGACGCTTCTCCTTGGACGCAGATGGCGGCATGATGGCCAGGGCCAGGAATAGGTGCTTGTATGAAAAAAATAAATGAAGAATCGCAAATGGTATGGGAGCCAACTACCAGAACGGGTGGTTTAAATTGTTACAAAATTTATTCCCTGACGGTGAATGACGGGAGGCGAAAGCTGATGCTGATGAACCTTTCTTTGCCTGGACCCATTGGCAAAGTGGGGGGAGTTTGCCGTTGGTGGGGCAAGGTATTATGAAAATTTCTGATAATCAATAGCGGCCTGACGACTCGTAAGGCAGCAAGGCAGTAAATGCTTTCACAGCAGCACAACAGCGATGTGCTCCTCGTGAAACTGCTTATCATACCCGTTATGATTCGATTCCATGAAGGAGATTGAAGTTCTAAGCTTGATACTGCCAGGAAAAAAGAACCTTAGGTGCCCTTATTGGATGGATTGATTGAAAGAAACTCATCTATCTCGACACGACTTTCTTGACGTCACCAGCTCTGGGTTGGTACTGTCATGTGACCACGTCAAGAGATGCCAGGTAATGGTAATTCAATTTTGCGCACAACAGCTTTGAGTACTAGAGTGTAGAATGTATCATCTGCTTGGACAAGACTCGACAGGGAATGCTGAAGCCTGAATATGGTGTTTTAAAAAGGCCCTTTTCCGGAGTTCGAGCAGGGACAGTACCTGTCCATTTACGCAAGGACCTGAGTTTCAACATCTTTGCTGCCCTCACCCTGACAAGGATGTCTAACATTTACTGTTTTCTACGCCCTAACAGAACCAGTGCCACACCGATGCAATGACTAGGACATAGCGATCTGTTCACTGGCTTCACGGATGCTTCCATGAGTGCTCAATCCTCAGCTATTATATCGGGGAGGTTATGGCTGCAATGACCCTAGTTAGGGTAACTTGATAGAGTTGGGGCTTGAAACGTTGGGACATACCATCGATTGTCCGATATATCATGCGAAAGGACACCCACTGTGATGTACCAACAGCATCGAGAAGACAGAGTGCCAGAGTTGTGTAGCGCGGTAGGTTTAGCTAACACTTCATACGAATACTAGGTGTGAAAGCCCTACTGAGTATAGGTGTCCGATGGTGTACTTCGTCACGCAGATGGAGTCAAGTCGGCAATGTTTTCGACCCAGCCCTTTACCTTCTTGGCCACCTGTTCGCTGTGATCTACAAAACCGTCAGTACTGGTTGCTGTTGAGTTAGAATAGGACGAACTAGGTGCTAACATACTCAGACAGAATGCATGTGGGATATCATCTTGATCAATGATGAACTCAAGCTTGTTCTCCACATCTCTCATCCTTTGCTCGATGAACTCGTCCCTGGACTTGTTATCGACCCAGTGATCCGACTTGGCGTAGTAGAAGACAAACTTCGTCCTCTGTTTTAGTCGCTGGTCGACATCTTGGACCTGCCAAAGATCATCACTCCACCGCACCTCGGTGATCGTCATCATTTCATCCCTGCCCATGTGCAGGGCCTGAAGGATTCCATCGTGACTCCGCAGGAAACGCATAGTAGCAGCAACGGCATGGTCAGGCATGCGCAAGGCATATCTCAAAATGCCCTCAAGCGCCCAGTTTGGCCACAAGCTGACGAGGCCTTTCGCAATATAGGGGGCCAGCCAGTTGAGAATCGGAGTTCGTCGGATAAAGTCCAGCTTCCATCCCTTACTCGACCTTGCTATGTGCGAGATGGTGGGGAAAAGCAGAATGCCAGCTTTAAGCTTCAAACCGGCCCAATCATCCACAATTTCGGGGAACTTGTACGCTGCATGATGGTGGTTGAATATCTCGAGAGCGATGTAGGCGCCGACGGAATGTCCGATAAGGATCGTTTCATCATAGTGCCTGAGACTTCCGTCGGGATGGCGGGGAAGCCTTACATCCACAGCACGTACCCAGTCACAGGCAGATGCGATGATGTCTTTGAAGGAAAATGGTTCAGTTTTGCTACCATCTCCATAGCCGGTTGGTGTCCCAAACAGCGGGAAGTGATCGCCGTCGTCAAAGCCTAGGAGATTGCGGCCATAGATGGTGAAGGCATGGCTGCAGTCTGCACGTGCTTCGACCTCATCAAGTAGTTTTCGGAGTGCGCTGAGAAAGGGTTCGTAGTAAGCAATGAGACCAGGATTGCCAGGAATAAAATAAATTAGGCATTGTTTTCTTGTCGGATCATCTCTCCTTGTCGAAGGGTATTCCAAGAACGGAACCTTGTCTTCATAAGCTGACACTGGGTTATCAGTGTGATCTGGCATAGAGTATCTGCGAGGCATTATGATGGGCCGTGAAGTAACCGTGATCCTGGACTTGCAACCGACAGCTAGGAAATGGGTGTAGGCAGTGCCACTGGCATGTTGTTGTTTGTGATAGCAATGGACAATTGGCATACCCACGCCTCTGGAACCTCGGGCAGCTCTGAAGAAACTGCGACAAGGGGTTTGAGTTGAAGGCCCACCTGCCAAAAAGGCTGCTCAGTACTCCGTACACAACAGACCGAGGTCTACCCGAGGTCTACCTAGCTCTGTCCAGTTTCGTCATTGTTGGACAGGTAATTTTAATGGCCGTTCAAGAAGCGTCTTAGGGCAAGGAAAATAGCCCGGAGCCGCAATACTGGCCAGGCAAGCGACCTCGAGGCTGAAGCCCATCGTGTTACTTGTAATCTCGGTCCAAAGTATCTACGGTCAGCCGAAGCATTTATCGGTTTCTTTCTGGGGTCTCATCCGTCGGCAGAAAAATTTGCTGATCTTTTCTTTCATGATCAGCGGCATCTCGCATAAGGGGCAGCTCGCGATGATGCTCTGCCTCTTATAATTGCCTGCCGGGAAATCTTTCATTCATCTACCCGCCTAGAACGACAGTCCGGTCCAAAAGCCGTAAAGCCCCTTCAGTATTAGCAAAAAACGAACCAAGTAAGGTAGGTGACTCCGGTGGGCTGTCTCTGCCTTAGGAAAGGAGAGCCTGAATTGTTGACGTTGCGAAGACTTGGTACCTCCCTACCTGCAACATCCTGTGATGGCAAAGTGTGGGGTACCCAAAGGTGGGGCAGATCGCCTCGGCAGGCAACCAAGACCGATCCCTGGTGTATCGACCCGGTACATATGGACCTACGTACTACATGGTTTAAAGCGTTGGCAGGTTATGGGCTCTATGGGCTGTGGCCACTGGGGCCCTGGGCCAAAGACTGTTTGGTACAGTTATAGGTTGGCATGCTATCTGAAATAGAGCGCAAGGATGAGTGAGAACCAAGTAGAGTCTCCTTCTTCCAGGCAACTAGCATCTTAAAAGCGATTTCCTCAAGCCTCGGCGTCTACTTTCGGTGTGTGCAAAGGAAAGCAGGACCACTGGTCGGCCAGCTCATCGGCCAGTGCGATATTGTGACAACCTTGTGGCTTGAGGCTTTGAGACTGGATATTGGCTCGATATCAGACACCAAGCGACAGTTGGCTCTTTAGGACGAAGGAGTCACTCAACTACAGAGACAAGTACACAGAGAGTCCACAGCCCACAAACGCTCCTGCCTACTTGACCTGTTACCATTGACTGACTTCTGACCACCAACTGCTTTCCCTATTTCAGGACATATTTGAACAAGCTGCGCCAATCAAATTGTGCAGTGAGCCCTGTACATGCGGAATTGCGGATAGGATAACCGGAACTTCGTGAAGCATGTCTTTTTATCCGGACTCGTTTATTAACTTCTGAGACTTCCAGATAACAATGAGTAGCTAAAATTAGCCATTGAAGGGGGTATTCTTTGCCTATGTCGACATGTTCTTGCCGACGTTAAAGTCCTAGATAACGACGAACTGTCCTCTGCCAGCCAATAGTCCAGCCCCGAATCTATACTAGGCCTCATCCCCAGTTTTTATCTGACCTTCTGGGCTGCCTTCACCTCGGGCCAGTTAGATTGTAACACACTGGAGAGAGATCTTGTATTAACAATATGTATTCCGTGTCTCGCGGAACCCCGTTTGCTCCGATTGCGACCTTGTCACGATTCAGGCAATAAGTTATTGCACGTCAAGTTCCGTCCAAATCTGTTGGCGGATCGAATATCCATCCCATTCATTCCCGGAAGGTTGGCATGGACGTGTTGGCGTTCCCCAGCGCCCAGGATTTGGAAGATATAAGGGAGACGTAAAGGCCATATAGAACAAAATGGTTGATTGAGATCTTCAATTACTGAAGGAGCCACACCTCCTTAGGCTTTCAACAATGAAAGTCATTCTTTTGGTTGTAGCTTTCGGCTTGGTCTCACCAGCGTTGGCTGGGAACTTTGCTGCAACTTGTTTGGGTGACTCGATCAAGGTCAGCGGCAAGATGTTAACAGCCAACTGCCGCACCACCACTGGCCAGTATAAGTGCTCCAAGCTGGATCTTAACAATTGTATCAAGAACAGCTATGGACGGCTACAGGAGGATCCTACAGGGTCAGGGTAAGATCTCCTCGCGCAACCATGTGAGTCGAACTCTCAGGTTATAATGACTAAAACGACATATAGGCCACATTTCGGCGATCCAAATCAATGCCTGGAGTGCAGTAACAACAGCCCATCTAATGGCCTTACCATCGGTATCACTCCCGCTCTTCTGTGGTGCAAGTGCAATCCTGGCACCGGTGCTGCCCAGGCCAGTTGGCCGACAGCCATTTTCGACTTGAGTATGTGCCATATTCAAAGGAATCCCGTCTCCAAACAAGAGATTAACTTTGCCTAGACACTGTGGTCACCAACAGAAACGGTGTGCTAGAGTGTTTCAAGTCCAAGGGAACATCATGCTAAGGCCTTTTTACGTAGCTACCTTACTCCTAAGTTGATCAAGATTTGCTGTCTTCTCCACAACTCTTTCACTCAGATGGATTGACATGACTCTTTTGATCCTTCGGTTATTTAGCAAACTAGGCGCTATTGGCTTCCTTAACAACCTTGCCACAACGCCGATAAGCTCTGGGCCATCTCCGATGTTATAATACCCAGCGACATTGGAAATAGTTTCTCCTATACCCTTGTTCACTACATCGCTGAGCAACTCCCTTAGCATGCTTTTGCTGGCAGTCAAGTTTTTAGGAGACCCACTCCAGTCGTGGAAGTTATGTACAGCAATAGCGGTCTTCCACAACCTTTCCCTCTCCGCAGCAGGAACCAATACGCTCTCAATCGACGTGCCCACGCCGTTATGGTCATACCGTTCAAACGGCCAACGCGGATCGCACTGATCATAGTCCACTCTAGCCTTCTTTGGTGCCACAAAAGATGTCTCCAGCGACAACACAAAATCCGCACCGGGGTTTAGATCGTGATAGGTGCGGATGCTGGTTCCAGAGTCTCGCTGCAGCCTATGACGACTGAATATTGCTTAATAGTAGAGCCCATAACTTTCATCCAAAGGATCTAATGGCGTAGCAATCGACGAGATCTTCGCCTGTGAAACAGTGCCGCCAGCACCATTTGTTTGAACAGTGTCGGTCATCCCCTTTGAAACGTCATTGCTTGGAAACACCTGCGTCTCAGATGTTGTGGGCCAAAATTCAGCATCTGTTGTGGTTACCCCGAGGTCTAGCTGACTGATATTCTGTGCTGGTGTTGATATAGGGCTAGCTGAGGAGTGCGACGCAATGCTGATGCTGTCCTCACTCTTCTCGATGCTAACATTTGCAACTCCAGTAAAGGTGTTGGACGTGTTCGGGGCGTGGGTGATGCGGGGTCGACTGGCGGTGCTGCCGAGCATACTGCTTACAATGATGATTCCTTGAGGATGTTGGGAGGGACTACTGGAAGGAGCGGGAGGACCGTAGGTATAACTCCCGAAATGGGTAGAGTTAGATGACGGTCCGGATGTAACAAAGCTAGGTTGGCCTGATGAGATAGCCGTAACCGTCGAAGATAAGAAAGGTTTGGTAGATAAGCGAGGAGCTAGCGTGGAGGCACTGTCGAGATGTCCAATGGTTGAAGATGGGAGAGAGTCTGAACCAATGCTGATGACGCTGATGTTCCATGATGAAGATAGCATAATAAAGGAAGAGAGAGTGCGAGGTGCTTCAGATATGTAGTTCACCGAGTTTCGCAGGAGAAGCTGCAAAGGATGCTCCGAAGTCAGTGGATGGCGGAATAATCCTCAGAAGAAGGACCTATATGTTTATTGACAGTCGAAAAAGTCCAACTCAATGGATCGGCAGTTAATGTGGCCAACGTGTTCCAGTCTGTGTGAATGCCGATGTGATTGATTGGCAATAGGCAGATCGTGTCAGGCTGTCAGAGGATGCTTCCACAACCATTCGTCATAAAGGGTATGGATATCATGAACATGACTCTTGGTTCTTGTGGTACAAGACAGTCAAACAAGTTTGTGTGTGGGACTTTGATCCTCAACATGGCCTCATTGCATTGGCCATAATTGCCGGTATTGTAGTTAGGGAACACAGAGACCACAAAGGAAGGCCGAGCCAAAGACCATGGGCAGCACAGTCGTCGTCCGAGTCTCAAACTAGTGTTTTTGAGGACTCTAAGGGAATCAAGTTCATGAGCGTTGTCATACCTGTACTCGACAAGATTGGAGGCAACCTGAACATGAGACAGGCCGAGACTTGCACAGAAACTGCTTGCTACATTGCATCAACCTTCGGGAACTTGCATCGATACTTTTTTTTGAGTTATTTGCTAGGACGACATTGGATACCTAAGATGATCAACAGCTTAGAACCTGGCTGTGCTTGAGGTTTTCTCTTCGTATGAGGTGTCAGAGCATGTGGGCTCTAGAGGTGTCTTCCGGATCGACGAGCTGTAACATGCAAAACATTGGGCAAAAAATGGTTATCATTGAACAGAGAGCGTGTGTGGGTGGGATTAGTAATTCCGAATTGGCATATGAGCTATATTGCAGTAATGAAACACTCAAAAGACACCCATATGAAATTATATGTTCAGCAGACTATCTCCAGGTGTTACAGCGTGACTGTAAGTGTTGTGCCCTCACTTTCTACCACAATACCTGATCCAAAGGTGACAGGAATGCATGCTTGTTATAGACTGGGCTGCCCAGAGGCGAAGTAATTATATGAGAAGTCAGGTTCGGCTCCGCTGCAGGTAACCTGCAAGTCACTGTCGTCACGGAACGAACGTTGTATGTTTGACTTTCGAACAGAGACACAACTCGCAGTCACAGGAGATCGACCCAACCCTGTCATATAGAAAAGTGGAGCAGACGCGGAGAGAGCGATTATCAATAGCTCTGCGGATAGACAGGGGCAGACAAGGATAACATCTATTATCTTTCTGATCTTGATATGCATATAAAGTCGAAGCGATATCACATACCTCCTGTGAACAAAAATGCACAAGAACACTTGCTACGTGGATGCGCCAAGATCCCTAGTGCCGTAGGCGTTGCTTACATTGCTGAACTGAAAGGCTCTAAGACCTGGTCGTCAACATAGACAAGATTGCGAGGTACAGTATCTGTGGACGTGTTACCAAGCATTGAGAACTTTCACCTCCCTGAAACAGACATTGAGCTGATGCAAACGGCGATGGAAGAGGACGATGACTTTGACGGCACCGGAATATCTGCCGCAAGCGCCATTGTTGCAAAGTGCCGAGTAACGCTCCGCTAGAAGAGTCATGATTCAGAAGGCTTCTTCTTTGGAAGCACCAAGAAACCGCTCTTCAGCTGTCTTCCAATTGATGACATTCCAAATGTTTTCCAGATACTTCGTTTTTCCGTTGAGGTACTTTAACAGCAGAGGTCAGCTAACATATTGAAACATGGCCTTAATAAGACTGGACATACCTGCAGGTAATAAGCGTGTTCCCACATGTCCACTCCCAACAGCGGCCTCATCCCCTCATCTACAATAGGGTCCTGGTCCTTTGTTGTCACTATGGCTAACTGCAATCCGCCACGACCGTTCTGCTTCCCCACCAGCCAACACCACCCACTGCCCTGGATACCCAATGCAGTTTGTGCAAATGTTTCTTTGAACTCGTCTAGACCTCCCCAAGTTCTCTCAATCTCATTAACCAGCCGTGGTGCTGAAGCAACGGGATCGGTTTCGGGCGTTTCTGAAGGAGCCAGATTTCGCCAGAACAAGGAGTGGTTTATGTGTCCTCCTCCATTGAAGCGGATAATACTCTGAAGACGGATTTGGGCTGGAATGTCATTGTTCAAAAGGGCAGTGACGTAGGATGAAAGGGCCGCGTTGAGGTTGTCGACGTAGGCTTGGTGGTGCTTGGAGTGGTGCAGCTCCATTACCTGGGAGGAAATGTAAGGCTCCAAGGCGGAGTAAGAATAAGGGAGAACAGGAAGCGTATGAACAGCAATTGCGACAGCAGTAAAATTGCTGGCCAACATAGTGGATTGGAAGGATGACTGGCCCAAAGAGAAGTACTGAAGTAGGTTGTTGAGCTTGACCATCTTGATCGGCTGTCGGGTACCTAAACACTGGCAGACTCGAAGACTCGGCAGCTCAACAAAACATTCGATTCAATTATAATTCCCTTCAACAAGTCGCACTAGAAATCGGGAAGTATGGGCAAAGTCAGAGTCACGTATGCGACAAATATGCTCGACTGGGTGATGAGGTGGCGCCTGCGTTCCTGGGCCGTCGATTTGGACACGCGTAGGTCAGCCGTCAGCGGGCCGTTGAGGTTTTCGCTCAAACATGCTCAACTGGTCAAGCGCCCAAGCTCCAAAAGCAGAGTGTGGTCCGTGCTCGATTACAGGTGCCAAGACATAATGGACCGAATAGGAAATTCTCTTCCAAAATAAGCCTTTTGATTGGCTGTGTGCGTCAACTTTTCCGCAGCACTTATATATTATCGATAGCCGCCCCGCAGTCTTGATTTTCCATGCTTCTTACGCCGCTGGCAGCCGTACCAAGCCCAGCCTGTTAACAGCCTGACACTTCCTGAGTTTCGGCCCCGAACATGCTATGGGGCCAAAGACGCCGAGTGTCATACATTTATTTGTCGACCAAGGCCGCTTGAGACGCCAAGACAGACGAGAGGTAGTCCCAACAACACGATGAGCAGATAAATCGTACTTATAACACGTAAGCTGATAACGTTTGGGACCACCGGCCCCTGAAGTTGCAATGGGTTTTTGCAGTGCCTACCTACTTAAAATATCGAAATAGTATCGAAGTTCTTCAGAGGGGGTTCTTGGACTATAAAACCTCGTGTCTCCGACACATTTACGTCAAGCTGCGAAGTACTCCTCTCGCTTGAACCCCGGCTACCACTTAACCGATAGCCACTCCATCACCACTCGCGCATTATATGTCGCGAAGAACCTCAAACTCGCCCTCAAAACCCCGTATGAGGCACGCTTCGACTTTTACTCGTCTAAAAGTTCTTGCAATTTGGGCCGTTTCCTATTCTTCAACCCCAATGTGCCATCCAGCAGTCGAGCTACACATATGTCCCTCCAACTTTCGTTTGCCTCTGTACAATTGCTCTTCTCCTTCGACTTTATCGTCATCTTCTCTGTCATCAAAACATGGGCATTGGCGCTTCGACATCAATGACAGAGAAACAGAAATATCGACAATTATTCGGTCATCTCAATCTAGTAGATGCCTTCCTCCAGGTGTCTAGTCCAGTTTCGTAGTGTTTTGGAGAACATTGGTTAGACTTTTCTTCTACAGCAATAACTAAAACCGGTGATTCCGGTGATTTAACAGTTCAGTTTCTCAATCCGGAATTATGCAACAATTTACCTTAGGCTGACACGAGAGGTAAGTCAGTCGTTATCACAAGCAACGATAGCACTGCCTAAAGGTAATTCACTAACCCTCGAAGTTGGGGGGCGACGGAATCATTGGACGGCGAGTAAGTATGATGTATAATGGGAAGCTGTTGGCAGACGGCATCGTTGGGCTCAATTCCATGTCTGAGTCAGCATGTTTAGGCTAAGTAGTTGAAAGCGATCAGAAGCACTAGAACTCCATGTGTTAAACTGGACTCTGCAAATTCCTACATGGACATCCGATTGTGGAATTGTCCAAAAATGGGAAGTGCAAGCCACCACCATTCAACGTTGAAACTGTCAAGTTAGGTATAAAGATCTGCCGCATCCCGTTATCTGTTGAGATATGTGAATATCGTGTCCCTGTATACAACGAGATGAGCCCAACAAAACATATCGCCATGCGAAAGTGAACAGGAAAGCTAGGAAAGGAATGACAAAAATCATGATGATCCTTGCGCTTCATCCCAATCCGACCATCTCCTGATAACTTCATCCACATACGCCACAGCACTTTTTGTCGCCTCTACTTCAAACCATTCGCGGTGTTCTTTGCCACAGGCTTCGCACTTTCCGCGGTCAGCAACCCTCATGCCCTTCCCAGCAAGCTCAATGTGCACAAGGCGCTCAACTTTATGGCTATGTGGCATCTTGCGTGGCACCGCGCTATCATCACCACTGCTGGGGTTATTGCCTGTAGAGGACGAAACATATGGATAGTATCGCACCAAAGAAAGGTTGTAGCCACATTGTCGTTGCCACTCATTCAGACGGCGCTGAACGTTATTGGCACGACCAATCTTGAGAAGGATAGTCTTCTTCTTTTCGCTTGCGCGATCACTGTCGTCATCCAGCTTCATGGAGCGGGCGAATGCCTCGACGATGTTGTCGCTTGCTCGTCTGCCATGGCGGTTTGGCGTGCTTGGCGGGGCAAGCAGTGATCGCACTGCCTCAGCAGATGAACTTGATGAGTGAGACTCAGGAGTCAGCCAAAAAATATAAATATATCCTGGTTCATCCTGCGGGGAGAAGCCTTTGGCCAGTTCAGCCAATAGCTGTGAGGCAGTTTGAGGTGAAGCATCGCGCGGAATCAAAGACATGAGCTGAGCAGTCTCTGAATCAGCAGAATCGGGACGAGACGCACGACCTGGCCGTGATGGGGAAGAGCTCGCTGTATGCTGGTTTGGTCTTGGGTGTGTGGATCCAGTCGGTTGGGAGTGGGAGGACGCTGGCCGTGGTGGAGGTAGGATGTCGTCAAAGGGAATAGGAATGTGAAAGCAGCAGCAGCGAAAGAAGGTCGGTTCCCGTGCTCCCTGGGTTGGCCGCTTCGAGAATTTTGATGACCAGGTCGACTTTTGAGGCTTCTCGGACTCAGAAGTATTGAGACCGAGTCGCTCGGCGAGAGTGTCTAAACTGGAACGGTGCTCGGGGATGAGCCCATGACTTTTCCCGGGTCTGCCGGAAGATTGGACAGCGGTGGCGTGGGCCTGGTCTTTGTGTTGCCAACAATAGACGCTCCCGTCACCAGCAATAGGGCGCCTGCAGGGGCGACCACTGGAGGTTATACCTCTGCACGTAGTTTCGGGGTCAAGGGAATCGGTGCGGCCCAGCCGGGCCTCAGGTGTGTTTGCAAAGAAGGGCATCGGGAAGTCGAAAGATGGTGGTCGGAACAGATGAGAGAGAACACTTTTGGAAAAAGTCTGATTCCTGGCCAGAGGAGAAAATCATGGCAGATAAAGTCCGCTGCCAGCCTAGTTGGCACGGAGATGAGCGCCAAATCGAGCGCCAAGTTTTAACAAGTTGAACGCCAACACAACGCCAGCAAGCACAGTGGGCCGCCATCGTGGGCTCCCTCCTGTGAGAGAACGGCAGCGAGCAGGTGGTTGGTCAGCGCAAACCAGAACCGATCAAATCCCAAGTGCCCGCCCAAGGCTGGGGGCTGGGACTGGGCTGCCCAGTCCGGTGCTAGTATGGATCCATGTTGCTGAGGCGGTGCTACTCGACAGACACAGTAATGTTACGCACTTGGATGTGTAATGCTTAATGTGGAAAGCCGGGAAATCCAACTTTGTGGCTAGAGAAACCAAGCCTCATTTGCACCGCCACCAAAATAACAACAGGCAAGGGGTCGTCTTTTAGCGTAAAAAATATATGTTACTGTTACGTCCCAGGTGCGGACCAGCAGCCGCTCCGCAGCAGTGGAAGAAAAACCAATAAGGTAGCTTTGAGCGGAATCTGGAGACTGACCAATCACAGTCAGGGAAAGATATCGACGCCAAGAACCGCCGATAACTGATCTCTACCCTTGACGATAATCGTGGACTTGGTTGACGATAGTGTGAATGGCAGGGTAGGCATACCAACGACTCTCGAATATAATTTGCAAAAAATCGTCCACCCCCAGAAACAATGATGAGGACTCCTCAGTCAGTAATAGAAACAGTTCTCAACCAACAACTGGTGACCGCAGTAAGCCACGTACAATACTGTGTGAGGACCCTAATCCCTCTGGTTCTACAACCTGGTTACTACCTTCGAACCCATCTCAGGAGGTTGTGGAATCGTCACAGTTACGCTATTTTCAGATGGACATAAATAGCCATACCGATCAACGCTAACTTACACACGTTCTGCTATCTCTCTCTCTACTTGTCTATTAAGGTACTTTTTCACGGCTTGTTGCATGCAACAAACTACAAAATTCAAGCGATTAAATGGATTGATACTAGGTCTAGTGACTTATACCGTCATAGTTTGATGTACTTACAGGGTGGAAGATAACCCAATGTGACGACCCAGCTAGCCTTCCTGAGATGGGCTCAGGCTTGGTTCAAGGTATATGGATCTGAGAGACAGGAGTTCTCACACAGACTCAGGAGCACTGTGGTCACCAGTTGGTTTGAACAACTGTGGTATTGCTGACTGGTGAGTTCCTTTTGTCCCCTATCCTGCTGAGAGGAATTTATCTACATATATACTCAGAATCCTTTCTTGTCTCTTCTACCAAGGGCCTTCCATTCCTTTGTCAGTGATTCTACTCTGACGATCCTTTGTTAGTGATTCCTAAGCCCTGACAACCGCTCGTCAGAAACCCCTTGTTTGCTCTTGGTTGTCTCTAACCTCGCGTGAACCGCGTTTTTATTGGTCCTTTGAGTCTGATACGACTTTCCCGCCTAATACTTGCTGTCGGTCGTGACACCCAACCTGTTACGGTTAGAAGTGTGGACCAGCAGCGGTGCAGCAAGGAGCCAATTGAGAGTCCACTTGTCATGAAGAAAACCGCCAATAGACAGGTAAAAGTTTTTGCACAAAACTGTTCTGCACCTTGACAGTGACCATCTCGCTGGTTAATTTTGCTTTCTGTTTTACAGAATTTTGGTTCCTCGGGATGGTTATTCAAGTGCCTGTCCCTTGAGATTTCTGGTAAACAATTTTCAAGCAGATCATAGTCGGCTCTTATAAACCTCACCTGTGACCGGAATTGGATCCGAGCTAAGGACTATGAACTGCATCACACAAGTAATGGAGTAGCATATACTTTGATGGCAAGTCAAAATGTCCAATATATACGGAGAAGCAATTAAGTAGCCAATGATGTCCAAATCTTCATCAATAAACCCTGAATGAGTTTCCTACTCCTTAACCAGCGCCGTCTTAGCAGCTTCCTCACCCGCAATTCGTCCAAAAACAACACACTCAAGCAAGCTTGACCCGCCCAACCTGTTATCGCCGTGAATACCGCCGGTAATCTCACCGGCACCCCACAGGCCCGGGATCGGCTTCTCCGGCGTCTCTCCAATGTCCGACGCCAGAATCTGCGCACGCTCATTGAACACGGCGCCGCCCATGGTGAAGTGCACGATGGGCGTTACACGGCCGATGCACACCTCTTAGTCGCCCGTTATCTCGCCAGAGATACCCAAATTCCAATGTCCGAAGTTGAGCCGCCCAAACTCGTCCTTATAAAAATGACTCCGAGACAGTGACCAATCAGAGGATGTAAGGATAATCGCCATTGTCACCCAGAGAGGACGGTGACGAAGATGCTTGGAAGGACCAAAAGACTTTGGCAGGCACCCCAACGACTTCGAATATAAATATGTATGTAGAATTGCCCATCCACAAGACCTTTGATGAGAACACCTTGATCAGCAATAGAAACAGTTGTCAACCAACAACTAGTGGCCGCAGTGAATCACATACACAGCTGTATGAGGACCCCAGTCCCTCAGGTCCTGCAACCCGGTCATTACCTTTGAACCAATCTCAGAAGGTTGCGGAATCGTCACGCAAACCCTGGAAACTCTAGGCTACTTATATTCAAATTAGTATTGTCAGTAAAGGTCTTCTATTGCTGCAGGCAACAAGACTTCTACTTACCAAGGTAGTTCACAGCGAGCAACTAGCCCTAAAACAAGAGCCCTTCTAGCAATCATGACTGCGAACAAGAATAACGAAACGATATAACCGGCTCTATGGAAGCATCACAAATGCAGTGTCTTTCCGGCTCACCTAGTCCGTTCACATATGCTATTGCTATTACTATTGTTGTTCTTATTATTATTGTGTCGGCTCAATGTTTAGGGGCCGCGAATTCGTTCGGATAGGGCCATAAGCCTAATTACCCGATTGTACAAGGACGTGCTGAGCTAGGTATTATGGCAAATGTAGGCAAATGAAGAGAGACCCTATGACGAATTTCTTAGCCTTACTGGAATGGGCTCGGATCAAGGCTTATCGATCTGGGAAACAGTATTCACACAGATTCAGGAGCATTGCGGTCACCAGTTGGCTTTGACAGCTGTTTGTATTACCGACTGGGGAGTTCTTCGCCCCCTTTTCCACAAAAAATATATCTACCTTACTCAGGATCATTCCTTCGTCTTATGGCGTCTTTGAGGCCTGCCTTGCACTTCCCGTGATACTTTTCCTTGCGTTTCATTGGCTGATTCGGACCAACTTATCTCATGCCTTTCATTGGTTTTTTTGCATTTACCCTGCTTCTTATACTTGTGGGTCCTGTAGGTCGTGACAGACTTCAAATATCTCCTAATATTATTTACCTTCTTCAGCTTATACAGCGACTTGGGCCTCGTTAGGCCGAATATTATATGTTATTGTGCACTATCCCTAACTTCCTTCATGAGAACTTGTGCCATGTGCCGAACCCTATGCTGATACAGCGTCAATCCTCCCCCAGGTTCCTGCCTTGTTCCCCTTAGCCTTCCCGTACTCCTTGGAGTACTTTAGAGCTCTCCTGGGTTCGAAAGCTGATCCGAATACTACCCTGTGGGGCCAGAAGCTGGTTGCAAAGAGGCCAATGCCCCCAGCTGTAAGTGGCTGGTAACGGACTGCCACTCGTCAGTTAGTGGATTGTCGACCAGCCACAGTGGCGTCGATGCGTCAAGCGTGTTGCGAAGCCCCTGCTGACAATAAAGATGTCCTTCTCACGGGCTTGCTATTGGAGCTACTGATTTGTTTCCGAATGTGGTGCGTGCGGTCGGTTGAAGCGTTATGGCTTCGTGAACTCAGGACGCGAAGTTTGCGGTCTTTAAATGCGAGTTAATCACTCTAAAGAATCATAAGGCCGATTTCAGCTACTCTCGCCTGCTGCTGTTAGTCGACTTGACAGTTGATGCAAAAAGGGTCTCTAGGGGAACGTTTGGCTCGGCTGCTGTCGGAGATAAGCTAATTGTGCGAGATCGATGATGGTCCCAATTGTAGTACGGATTATCGGATCCTTATGGGGTACAAGAATTGAGAGAGCTCTTAATAGCCACGGTAATAGTTTATTCAAATCTTAATCTTTTGTCTAGTGGTCACACTCTCTCTAATCGCTTTAATGATCTTAAGGCCTCTGCTACTCTAAAGGCCGGTACTAGTGCATCCTCCTCTTGGTTGCTTGCTACATCTGCGCAAAGAGCTAGTACTACTTAGAATTGGTCGTTGGCGAAACAGTTGGGACACTGTCCTTTCTACTTTACCACCATCCGTTAGGAAACAAATTTTGCCCAAACTAGCCTCATCTTTCCTGCCAAAGTTCGGGCGAGGAGGAGTTGTCCCACTTCTGGGTTGGTCTTCTTAGGATCCAGCCCGGCCCTGTGATAACTGCAGTTTGTTCCTCTGATACAAATCCTCAGCTCTTTTGACTCAACGCTGATAACCCCAATTCTGACGAACATCATGAGCCTTGTTATCATAGCTTAAATGGCCGTCACGTGGTTTGAATGTTCGCTCTCTTCATGCACATCTCCTGCCACAAATTTCCCATCGTGCGTTTAGCAAAGTTTCACAACCCGATTAAGAGCTTCAAACAGAACGACAGCCTGATTAAATAGGTGAATCCAAGAACATATAGCGCCCCTCTTTCTTGATCCATCGTCAAGGTAGTTTCCACCCCATTCTCGGTTGGGTTGTAATCCTCATCCGATCAAGATACATCTCGAACTCAACTACTCTTCTTAAAGTCTTATCTTTATTTGTTTTTACTATTAGGAAGTCGAAGTCCCATGATCGGCTCTGATATACAGAGGATTTTGCCTTTGGCTCGTGCTGGAGCTGCTAATCGAAGAGCCTCTGCAGAAGTCGGGATGAGTGATTTCTCGACTAGCACATATTTATGCGCATGGAATGCAGCACAAGCAAGGAAAAGTGGGTGTTCGGAGGAGCACAGATGACGACGATGTCCAGGGCAGGATCCGAGAGAAAAGGATCAAGATTTTTGCGGCGTGCAAGCTTTGTGTGGTCAATAGGCGCCGAGTCGGACGGGGCCTTGGGACGACGTTGGAGGATCGAGTTTGTAAGAATCAGTATTGGCAGAAGTCAGCAGAACGAAAGGTCATGTATAATCATCAGGATAGCTGTGGGTGACAACTACAGACCTCCGAGTACGGAGGTATCTGGTTAATATTGATTGAGGCTCTCAGGGTATGTAGTTACTCTGAGCGTAAGAGAAAAAGAAAAAGAAGAACAAGCTAATTGGATGCGCATATGACCTCAGGTCAGGCGCCCGGCGATGAATGATGTGGAAAATAAATTCAGCAAAAAGCCTACATGATGGTCCGAGTTGAATCCTTAAGGCATGGTTGGAAGACTTGAATCATTGAATGAGCAAATTAAACAATCGAACAGCAAGGTAAGTAAACTTACCCATATCCTATAATTCCTACGTTAAACTGCTTGTGACTTGTCATTGTACTCTGATAGTCCAAGTAATGCTTTGGTGAAAGCTGAGTAATTCTTGAAAGATCACGTTGACGCCCAAGCAATGTAATGCGTCGAAATAAAATCCAGCTCCCACGGTGTGCACAATTGCACTTCGTCATGGGAACGTATACATTTTTTTATTTTGCCCTTGATATGGGGGTTAGGACTCCTCACTAACAGTTTCACTGCCCATGGCAACGAGGGTTCTGGCTAACCCTGTTTACTTTTGTCCCTGGAACCCCTGAACAAATACGGACTCTCTGGGCTGTATATGTCCAACAACTAAGAGGATGATTTGAGTAGAGCTTTTCAATGCTCTTAAGCATTAGTTTATAGCAAGGAGAAAAGTAATTCTTTAGTCTGCTTATCTAACTTTAGTCATGCCATGGTATCAGGTGCCTGCTAGCGGAAAGTAACCAGAAATGTCAAGTGTTAAGGGAGTAGGATGGCGGGCGACCTGAGGTATTTTGATGTTTCTGCGACTTATAAGGAGGATCTGATTTTCCATCAAGCTTTTATGTTAAGTATCAGTACATGGAGAGAGTGAGAGGAAAAGCATGAAAGGATCCCACAAGATGTTGGTCCAAAAACTTGGTGGCATGTGATATTCGTACTAAAATGATGAAGACATGAGCAGATGGCAAGACGGTAGGCCTCACGCTTTTCAGAATGGAGTTGAGGAGTTGGGCCCAAAGTCATAAGCACATAAAATTTTGGGCTGCACTGTTTGGTGGTGAGCTTTGGGAGTGGCGTTTCCTTGGTCCTTGATAGCAATACAGAGCCTCACACAATATAATATGTGGTCGACTGCGGCCAGCAGTTGTTGGTTGACAACTGTTTCTATTGCTGACTGAGGAAGTCCTTATCGTAGTTCTGGAAATGGATATATACATATTGATACTCGAGGATTGTTGGTATTATCATCGACCAAGTTCAGGATTATCGCCAAGGGCAGAGGTCGACTGTCAGCGGTTCTTGGCAGCGACAATCTTTCCTTGTCTGTGATTGGTCCGTCTTCTAGGCCCCATTTGAGGCTTCCTCATTTGGTTTCCACTGCTCAGGGCACCTGCTGGTCCACATCTAAGCCGTCACAATTCGAGGCAACTTTGGTTAGCACTTGGTGGTAGCACACTGCTGATCATGACACCGGACCATTGATATTCTTTAGAAGTACCTTATCTTTTTATATATTAGGGGTATGTAGGTATTGCCTAGTCTTATCCGAGGAGGATTTGGGCTATAAGGGTATTACCCTTATCAAAGCTTATGCAACCTTGTTAGGCGATATACAGATCTATGGCTTCCCGCTAAGATGGTACGATGCAGACAGAACTACTGAGATGGGTTCAAGAGGTACCAGGCCGCTGGCCTTGAGAGACAGGGGTTCTCACGCAATTGGAATGATAGCTGCAGTCACCAGTTGATTAGACAACTGTTTGTATTGCTGACTGGAGAACTTCGGCCAGATGGCCCTACCTAGAATCTGTCTACATCTTATATACCTTTGTGGCTTCTTATCCTTGGCATTGAGGAATGCTCCCTGATTTTGATTGGTCGCGACGCCCTTTGCTCTAATTGGTTAGAGAGCACGGACCCACTCCTCCAGCTCGAGCCCTTGTTGGTTACAACATAAGGTGACTAGATGCCTATCTAGCTAGTTAATTAAGCTAGTTTTGGCTCCTTCGTGAAATTGCATGTAAGGTAAGGGAGGATCAACTGGCTGAAGTAGTCAACACCAGGGCTGTAGTTGGAGAGACGCCTCCTGTTAAAAGCTGTTGCTCATTCTCAGCCTACCAATCTCGTCAGGGCCTCCGTACTTTGTGACCATGCTGTACTATTATAGTGCCTGACGCGGTGTGTTACACCGATAACAGCTTGTCCCTCCATTGATACCAGTTCCACAATATCCAACGTATGTACCTGCGCGGTTCCACTAATGGCCCTGTCAGCCTCTTGTTGATTGGACACATCAATGTCCACACATCTCGTTTCGTGCTTAGTAGATGGTCCACTGTGGGTCCATAGAACGTCTCGGCAAGCGAGACCTGGCCGTGCTTGCCGGCGGCTGCCCCCTTTTCGCTCAGATTTTCCCTCCTGATCGTCATCCAGTGTGTTTCACTTTCCTCATCAAAGGGAGCAGTTGTGCTGTCTCAGTCTGTCGTTACCCATCTGTTCTCTTCGGACGCTCGTTTTGTCATCCCAGCGTGGATTGACATCTTCAATTTCGATCATAGTGCCTGCGTTGTCTTTCTTTTGTGCAACTTCCCAACAGCACCGTTTTTGTGTGACGGCGACAGTGGCTTTGCCATCACGTCTACCTCTTGCTCCAAGACCTCTAGAGTAATTCTTCACCGCAATTGGTTTCCTTCGCTTTAGACACCAAAGCACCTTCCATCAATTGCAAACAGACGGAATACCTGAACTTGGAGCACAATGCGTCTGACCAAGACGTCGCTGGTCGCAACCGGCCTGTTGCTGGGCCAGGCATCGGCTGAACTCCCGCCGATTATCATGAAGGCAAGATGATTGTACGAGCCAACACCATGGCCAATGTGCTGACTATGTTGTGTAGGGCACCAAGTTCTTCTATGAAAATGGCACACAGTTTTTCATCAAGGGCATCGCATATCAGCAGGAGTTCGGCGCAGCCGGCACCGGCGCATCCAAGAACACCAAATATGTCGACCCTCTCGCCAACCCGGCTGCCTGCAGACGCGACGTTCCGCTCCTGAAGGCTCTCAGGACGAACGCGATCCGGACGTACGCGATCGATCCTACAGCCGATCATGATGAGTGTATGAAGCTGCTCGATGAAGCAGGCATTTATGTCATAAGTGACTTGAGCGAGCCAACACTCTCCATCAACCGCGACGATCCCAGATGGGACGTTGATCTCTACAAGCGCTACACGGCTGTGGTCGACAGCCTCAGCAAATACAGCAATGTCATTGGTTTCTTCGCGGGTAATGAAGTGACCAACAACAACACGAACACCCAAGCGTCTGCATACGTCAAGGCCGCCGTGCGCGACACCAAGGCGTATATCAAGAAGAATGTCAATCGCTGGATGGGTGTCGGTTATGCTGCGAACGACGATCCAGATATTCGCGAGGACATCGCTCATTATTTCAACTGCGGTGATCAGGACGACGCCATTGATTTCTGGGGTTACAATATCTACTCGTGGTGTGGCAAGAGCTCGATGGAGAAGTCTGGTTATGACAAGCAGGTTGAATACTTCCGGAACTACTCCGTCCCTGTCTTTTTTGCCGAGTATGGCTGCAATTTGCCTAATGGCGCGGATGGTCGCATCTGGGACGAGACCGTCGCCCTCTATTCGGATGAGATGACAGATGTCATTTCGGGCGGTATCGTCTACATGTTTTTCCAGGAGGCCAACGACTACGGCTTGGTCACCCTCAAAGGTGACAAGGTTTCGACGATGAAGAATTACGATGCACTCAAGACAGTCATGGCTACTGTCAACCCCTCATCAACGTCGATGGATGCGTACACGCCCACCAACTCGCCAGCCGCCTGCCCGGAGATTTCTAAAAACTGGAAGGTAAAGGGCTCGGCACTTCCGCCAACTCCGGATGAGTCGCTCTGCGAGTGCATGTACGATCAGCTTTTGTGCGTCCCTGCTGAGGACCTCGACCCCGAGGATTATGGCGAGATCTTCGGTTACATCTGCGGCGAAACGCCCGAGGCTTGCGTCGGCATCAGCGGGAACGCTACCTCCGGCGTCTATGGCGCTTATTCTATGTGCTCTGCCAAGCAGCAGCTCGGTTACGTTCTTGATGCCTACTACAACGCTCAGAATCGTGCCCAGTATGCGTGTGATTTCAATGGCAAGGCTGTTACTCGTACGACCAGCGGCAAGGTTGATGCGTCGTGCGGTGCTGCTCTGGAGAGTGCCAGTGCTGCCAACAGCTATGCTGCCACGGCGACCAGTGAGCCTGATGCTGAGGAAAGCAGCAATGCCGCAATGCCTGGTCAGATGCCGCGGGCATTTTTTGCTCTCGGCGATCTCGTTGTGGGTGCCTATGTCCTGGTTGCTATGGCGGTTGGCGCCAGCATGGTGCTCTTGTAATTGGGGGAAGGCGCAGGACTGGTGGCTTTTCGAATTTCATTGTTTACAAGGACCACTTTAGGGTCAGACCTGTTAGTCTGTAATGACATTTTTGTAGGATAATCTGTCTTTTCAAATCACCCTAGGCCACACCGGTATTTGATCGTGATATTTGATATTTTGCCAATCAAAGCAGGCCTTCTCTTGAGAGTGATAATTGTGGAATTATGACATGGAGCGTCAGACCGGTCAAACTAGTTGTGTTTCCTGGACGCTGGGTTTAGGAGATTTGGGCATTTCTGTCTGCCTCAAAGACGTGGCATAACTCACTCGGCCCGCACCTCACAGTATGCAGCACTGTTGACGATGTGTAGATGTCTTGGCAACAGGGGGGCCTCTGAAAATTTCCTCGCTGCTTGGAATAGCTTCCGGAATAAGATTTATCTCATAAGAACAACACAAGAAGCCGCAGAAACGTTTGCCTTGCCGTCTCTACTCTCGCCAAATAACCACACCGGTCCGACACTGTGTGTCTACAGCCGCTCAATCCAGACATCAAGCAATTGCCGGATTTGGAACCAACAGTCATCCATCCTTCCGGAATGCCGTCGGTCAAAAATCCCAATGCCCCCTCGAAGAATCGCCTGGCTGCGCGTGCAGCAAAGCAACGCAAACAACGCCAAAAAGCCTCAGCAATGGGGCAGCTCACAAAGCATCATGGAATCATCAAGGCTGACACCTGTCGCGGCGCGCGCCCAGGGCTGCTGCCCACTAGCGGGCCAAACAAACCCATCAGCAAGAAGAAGCTGAGGAAGCTGGAACGGAAGATGGGGTATGCACTGAAGAGGAAGATGGAGAGGGAAGGGGAGGTGGAAATGAAGGGTGAGTTATTTCTCCGGGTCTTTCAACGTGAAGGGGAGAGTAGGGGGTTATGAAGTTGATGGGATGTGCGCTGATTCGTGGAATACAGATTTCGAGCTAAGAGGGGAAAATGCAGAGAAACAGCGAAAAGAAGAAGAGATGGAGATGGATGTGGAATAAACGATGCGAGTAAACATTAGAAAAGTACCACCAGAAGGAGCCGACATCGTGGCAAGATCGCTGCGCATCACTACGGGGAAGGAAGGTGAGGATACTTTACACAGTAGACAAGGAGTTTGGCATAAGGAAGCATGGTTTGGCGTTTGGTAATCAGATACATTTACTCATACCCTGGAGCAATATGACATGATTTATGACCGTTGAAGGGAGTTGGGGCTACTTCACTTAAGGTCTGTTAAGGGGGATGGTAGCAAAAATTATGAATTTTTGTCCACAACATATAATATCAGCGAAAACTCTTAGAGCAGTTAGGTACTATCACTCCAATATTATCGATGGAACAAGTGTCAATTGTATTGTCGTGCAAGATTCTCCACCAGTTCGCCATTTCCACGATTAAGCTTATCCACGCCCATACCTGCACACCCTCATCCTTCAACCCACCAGCTACCTAGATAAGGATTGACACAGCCGTCAATCCCGGGTCCAGCACCAAGTACGGCACGCTTCCCTTATCCATTGCAGTACTATTACGGTAAACGATCTTCTGTAGCTCTCTTAGTTCCTTGTACAGACGTTCGCTTGCCCGCTGCCTGACCAAAGCCTCATCCCTCTGCTGATTGGCCTCTTCCCCATGCCGTCTAAGAGCATCTCGACACATGCGCCATTCGCTTGCTGCATAGTTCAGCAGGCTTCTCTCCGGTTCAACTCGGAAGCTTAGCAACCATGGTACTTGGGCTGCTAGGAGCCACATGCGCTGTCGGTTGATGGGTAGGGCAGCAACGAGGTCTCGCTCGGTGTAATTGCGGAGTTGGTCGAGAGTCTGTGGGGGCCGGGAGCACAGCGCCGGCGGTTTAGCAGCAACGAACATGTGATAAAAGTTCTGAAGGTAATTGACGGCAGTGTGGAATGGCGAAGCTATGTGGATGCACATGGTGACTGCGTCGACAAGGGCGGTGAGCTCCCCAATTTCGGGGAACGTAGGGATAGAGGCGGCGGTACGAATCTCCGCAACCCAGGATTGAATGCATCCATCCTCTGCTACAGCTTTATCTGTTGGGTAGAAATGGGAGAGAACGGTGTGCACGTATGTCCGCAATGTGTTCCAGAAGGCGAGTATATCCTTGGCGTAAGGGTAGTTTTTATATCGAATGTCGGCATTAAGCGCATCCAGTGTGTTTGGGAATCCACGGCGGGCAAGGTCGTTGGGAATGTAGCTGCCGACGAAGTCATAGGTGTCGTAGGCGTGGTGAAGAAACTTATAACATTGATCAGGGGTGAGACCAACGAGATCTGCAATAACCTGGGGTACCAGAGTTGCGCGCGCCGCAGCATTCAGAGAGAGAGTCTTATACCAATGAGGATACAAAATGCGGTAGACCGGGTGGTCCATAGGCAATGTTCGGTTGGTAGCCACGATGATAGCCTCCTCAACAAAGTGAGAGAGGGTAAGATGTACAGCAAGTTCGTGACGCATCCAGTCCGTGACTTGGGCGCAAGTTTTGGCGTACCTCCAAGGCCAGTCCTCCTTTTCGTTGCGAGTTGAGTCGGACGGAGTCATCCTCTTATTGAAGATGGTAACTGAGTTCGCCATAGACCCCTTGTAGTCAATACAAATAGCTACAGGATGCAGCTTGCCATCCCTGTGCATTTGAAACAGACTCACCGAGCCGACGGCCCAATTTTCTCCTGAACCAGGTGGCTTATAGTGAAGGTCAGCTGTTGGATTCCCTGTACCTGCAGCTTCACGGAAGTAACTCCCATCCTGAATGAACAGTGACGATGGATCAGCTTTGTCAAGAGCGGTAATCCATTTCGTATAGTTGCCAGCTTTAGCAGCTTCCCTGAACTTAGCAATCCACTGTGGACTGGCCAAAGCAATCGTGGTTGGATTGGTCCCGGTAAACTGCTGCTCAGCAAAACGTCTATCACTGTACCAGTCATCCAACATGCCGATGTTCCCACCACCCATGATATCGGTTCCAATTTTGCGATGGTATTTGTTGTAGTCGACAACATCTTGGATGGTGATGCCCTTTTCAGGCTGTCCTCCAAAGGCTAAAGCCCGTGCTTTCTCAAACAACCAGTTCTTCGTACGGCCATGTATTCCATCTTCGTCAGGGGTTAGCCTTTTGAGAAGGATTTGGGTTTCTGCCAAACCAATCGGGTTGAAGATCCTGAGTAGGCTCACTCGCTCATCATCCGGGATGTACTTAAGATGAGGAGGATACTGTGCGATGGACCCGTCGGGGTTCTTCGGGTAAGAAGAGAACTGATACAGTTCACGCTGCTCTTCCAGGGTACGGTACTTTGGCAATGTCGGTTCAATGCCCAAAACATCGAATAAAGATGCAAATCTGAAGGGTGTAAGCAGATTGAATGTCAAGGGATCCATGAACGGAGACGCAGACTCACGTCTGTTCAATGCGAGAATATGCCTGCGTAAGGGCAAGTTGGGTACCCAAGTAACTTCCCTCCACAATCCGGGCCTCAGGTAGTTGCACGCGGGATGGGTTATGGGGATCGATAATGGCATAAAGCTTTGCACGCAAGAGCTCCATGTCGAACACCCCCGGGTCGAAGGATGTAAGTAGAGCGTCCCGGATGTCCTCGGGGGCAATGTCAGCGAAATACTCCTTTTCGTCTTTGTGTCGGAGAATCGACCGCATGGTAGGGAAGTTCGCAAGAAGCTTGCTTGGTGGTGTTGGCAGGTTTGGATCTAGTACGGCCTTATCTGAGAAGGACCGTATGGCTGTTCGCACTCTGTTGAGCCACGACATTTTGATGCCCAGCTACTGTCGAAGAATCGTTCTGCGCATTTGGACTGCCCGGGACTCAAACGACGTGTTTGAGGAGGGCTACTCACTATGTTGATTATAAAGGATCAAATGGCTGGAGTAAGTTGCACAACGCCGTCCATGAAAGCAACAGGTGTCAGTGCCTAAGCGCAGGCACTCTCTCAATCCTCGTCTACCACAAGACTTGTTTTCGTTATTCCTGACCGCGGCTAAAGCGAGAGTTCGGAGTGGCCGGCATGTCGTGTCTTGCGCCCTCGATGATGATGCTGCTGGAAGGCTGTGCTGCAGAACGCTGACCAAGAATTACTTGTGCTGACTGACAGGGGTAAGGTTTCTGAGTCGAGGTCATTGGACCGCGCAGACAAAGCCACCATGCGAACTGAGCTCGGCAAAGGCACGCTGAGGTTTTGTGCCCATCTGTTGGGGGGGGGGGGTAACATGGGGATATTGAATGGGTTTATCATAAGCCTAATTCGAGAGAGTTGGCGGTTATGCAACAAATCAGGCTCGCGTGCATCAATCTACCCGGGCAAACCGAGAGTTTTCCAAACAGGACTTGGAGAAGTCCGACTGATACGAATTAGGACGTCAGCCTCTGAAAGTTGGCGGGCAGAAGTCCAATAAAGGCACTGGGCTTCAACTATTGGCAGCTGTGTTACGGATTACCATCTGCAAGATTGGGGCGCTGTGAGAAGCTCTGTGAGGAATCCTAAGATCGACAACCGGGAACGCCGAATCACCTATCACCTAGGACCGAACATGCCAAGCAAATGTGGCAGAACAGCAGCGGCAGGTCCTCGGGGCTCTTGACCGGGCATTTCATCTATCCATGATATTCGATACTGGCAGCGCGGTTCTTGTTTTCTCAGCCATTCGATTTGCTGAAGACCGAGGAATGGGGCGAGAGAGGAATGCATCAAGACTTCGCAGACTTCCAAATTTCTGGGGCGTGTCATCGGGCCTAGATAGAGCTCCTGCATCTCCGCAGGTGATGGTGCGTGGTGATCCATACATGAGTACCATGGGACAATAAGGGCAATCCGGAGTTTGGTAAGAGAGGGCATTTCTGCAAGAGCATCCCAGAAGTCCTCGTAGCTTTCGCGACCACGTAGATGCGGCACCATGCTGGCATGGTTTCTGTCATAGGAACAGACCCATTCAATGTCGAGCGATTTGATGAGTGGCCAGTGCTTAGGCATCTTGGCCTGGAGACTCCGAATGTCATCAACGGGAAGCCTCTTGTTGCCGGTATTGCTGATGAAGAAGCAGTTGCTTTGGTAGAGGATGGGAATGCTTTCCATAAGACTTTGGGCATTACTTAGCTGAGAGCAATACTTGGCATAACCAGACTGCATTGAGGACTTACGCTCTCCGACACGTAAACATGAAGGCAACATCGAGGACGCGGTGACGGGCGGAGCTGAGACAGAAGTGAGGACGGGAAACAAGACGACGAAGAGGTGTCGATACGGGCTCTTCACACAAGCCATGACGCCAGCGGCGCATATTTCCGACCTTGTCTGAGCGAGTAGGATGAGGCATGAATGCCAAATGCACTCGACGTTCTCCGAAGAGCTCGGACAGAATAATGAAACGGAGCTCAGCTGGAAGCTTTCCAAAGATGGGAGAAGCGAGCTGTTGGTTCACCTGAGGAGCGGCCGTGATTGACGCCTGAGCCGGACAGCGTGGTTTGGACTGGCTTTGCTGGCAATATGCTTGAGAAGAAATTGACAGCGTCATGCTTGCCAAAAGCGTATAGCCGTGTGCTGTGCCTGTTTGGTATTTGACTGGTTTTGCACGTCGTAAATGAGCCGCGGTCAACGACAACTGTGTATTATTTCATGCCTTTATAGCTGTCCAGCGTTTTGCTTCCTTATATATATATATATGGAAAAAGTCAGGTCAAGCTCTTGGAATCGCCCGGGCTCTGAAGTCGCCAGATCCACTCAACTGGCCAGGGACAGCGCCGAGAAGGAAAGGCAGTGGGGTCAACTCCACATCAACTTCAGGTTCTGCTTGTGGGGTCTTACAGTGTGGTGCAAAGAGCAACACACCCCGCTAAGTCAGGACCGTTCTACTGATCGAGGGACCTATGGCGGGGGATAGGGGGAGGGGAAGGGGGGTGGGTGCTAAGCTGTCCTGGTTGTGCACGCTGCATAGATGACCAACGTACGGAAGCATGGATTCTTGTGCGACTGGGAGAAGCACCCGATGTTTGTTTTTTTTCATTGTTTTTCTCCCTTCCTCGCCTTTCTGTTTTAACCTACTGTGATACCCACCAAGGTGGAATAACAGCAGAGGTGCTGTCTCTGGTAGCTGGTCGTCGACACAGACCCTGGGACCAGTTAAGCTTTGATCATTGATATACATGCCTATGAGACAAGCCAACAGTCCAACCACATGTCTACCATAGTAGACACCCGACACCTGCTAACAATCGACACGAAGCAGCCGATACGATCAGACATCTGCCTTCTTACACACTGGAAGATATTAGCTTGGCCGGCTCAGACAGGTATGTACACAATGAACAACCGAGCAAGCACCATGCTCAGTCCTCACGTTTTACCTTTACAGATCGACCTTGACAGCAATCACATTCTTGGATAGGAATCCTGTCGCAAACAGCCACGCTTTCCGACTGCCCCCATTCGGCTCGCTAGCTGGATCAATCGCCACCAACACGGCTGCACTGGCTGACCGTAACCTGGCACCATCGTCATCCAAGAGCACCCGCTTTTCCCAACCACCACCTTCCTCGGGTCGCTTCGGCCTTAAATACGTCACCATCACAGGGTCCTTGGCATTCGGGTCCCGCATGGTATGAAGTAGGTCTGCCGCCCGTGACACACCTGCCTCCAAGAAGCCACTCCTGTCGTCAACCGCACTGGCATAGGGATCCGCAAAGTAGCTCGGGTTATCGGCAATGTGGTCGATCTCAATTGCCTCGACGACCGTGAGATTACCCGTGGATGGGTCAGAGGGCACTTGGGCGATGTTCAGAACACCGCTGGTGCAGCTAGAAATGAGGATCTCGTCCTCTGTGCGGCCGTGCCCTATGCCGTTGGTATTGTGCAGACCAGCTAGGGCAATTCGAGCGGTGACGCCAGCGTCTGCACTTGGTGCTTTCAGGGAGTCAAGCTGGATGTGTACAATGTCTGACCAGTCTGATTTGATGTACATATCCTCGATCGTGCGCATGATGCCATGCTCGCGGTAGAAGTGGTCGTTGGTCACGTAGAGAGATGTTGGAGAGAGAGCAACAACATCGTTAGGCGTCCGGATAAGCGGGTGCCAGATCGAGCGCAGATGCTTGACGGATGAAGTGCCAATGATATGATAAAAGACTTCAAGCTGCGAGCGCGCAGAGGGCCCTTTTGCACCGGAAGCTTGCACCTCGGGAACATGGTTGACTGCAAAGATGTACACGGCTTCTCCCTCGGGACGGTCTTTGTCCGGAATCACGTCAATGCCGTGGGTGATGAAAGGCCCATTGAAGTTGTCGAACTTGAGGCGCTGAGACTTCATGGTCTGGTACGGCTTGTTAGTCCCGTCCTTCCCCAACGGTGAGATTTGGAATAATTTACCTTGGGGTCAATCACATGGATGGAGCCGAGACCCTTGCTGCCGACCTCAGGGTCGTCGAAGTTGGCCAGAGGAGGGAACCATTTGTGCCTGCCTTCGAGGTTGTCTTCGCAGGCAGTGAAAAGCGTCCCGCTAGGGGCATGATAATGGAGGTCCTCGCAATGGGTCGTATCTGGGATGGCTTGGAGTGTCTCGTCTGTTGTTGTTGTGCCCTCGGGGTATCGCCGAAAGAGCCCAAACACTGTGATGGTCCGGCTCACGAAGGGAGCGATGCTGTAGATGGCCCAGGAGAGCAGCGCTCCGAAGAGCGATAAAGTTAGCCACTTCATCGTATTTTACTTGAGTACGAGAGACAGTGAGACCAAAGACAGAGCTCCCCTCGCTGCCTTGGGAAAGACCCTAAGGGTCGAGATTCAAGATTGTGGCTAAAAGCCTCAATCAGGAACTGTAGTCATGAACTCATGGGATGCGGGACATATGGTGCTTATTACAGAATGCCTCGGCTTCCAGACTACCTAGCCAGGTAATGTAGGTAGGTGCTAGGTCAGGTAGGTACACTAGGCAGGCGTGGATGCTCTTGCGGTGGGCCATCCGGTCCCAAACCTATGGCAGATGTTGAGGAGAGGAACCAGTTCCCGCCGCCGGGACAACACGCCGTTCTGGGCTGGTGGGCCCATGTGGCATGCATTTGCGGGCACTGGCGGTCCTGGCCCGGATCTGTTGGACAAAGTCACCAAGCAGCCACCAACCATTGTTGTGAGATGCTGACACTAGCTGCGTTCTGTTGTTAGTGGCTCCATTCTGTCCGATGCTGAGCATGTCATGCAACAATGAACCGTGAATTGGTGTGGAGAAAGAGCGCTCAGCGCAGACACTGATCACCCCGGTGCCATCAATTTTGCTACGCAAACAGCCATGTGCCCACCCTTGCCTACTGGGGAACCATCGAAGTATAACCGTTTGTTTCGTTATTAGCAGTACAGTTCAAGGGTTACCTGATAAAAGGAGAGCAGCACCTCTAGATCGCAGTGCCGGTCCCGAGGCCCGGTCGGCATCCGTCTCCCATTAACATTGCCCGCATTCACATCCTCCGCTCGAGTCCCAAGTACCGGTCGGGGTCCACCTGTGTAAGAACCAAAGGTCATTAAAATTCCGAATTGCCAGTCGACGCCCGGGAGGGGATAAGTGTCAGCATCCAAATGCCGGCAACAAATTCCTGGTTTCACGGTCTTACAGCTAAGTACACCGGGACTCTAGGCCCGGTTGCAGTCCTGAAGTAGGTGGCCTGGCGAGGGAGGGATCTGGTCTCCTTGGCTGTTGACGTGCATCGCCCTTTTAATCAACATGACCAAGATTGACGGGTATCAACAGTTCTCGGAGACCAACCCTCTTACTAGGATTCGCTTTTGCTTCAAAAAGCTAGCTGAGAAGCTTCGGCCCACCTCACTCTAATAAGGCGGTAGTACATACCTATCATTTAGGAACAGTCGCCGCAGCAGGTGGATACCGTCGACAGCACTTTGATTGAGTTACAGTCAATCCGAGTCATGAAGGCATGCAGAAGCGAATCGCTGGCAGGGCATTATGCGTGGCAAGTGGGCCTGTCTGGCATACTATCTAGCACACCCTGCTAAGGACCGTACCTACGCCGGCAAATCACCTATGTACAGGGAGGAAGGAAGCAAGAACTCGAATCAAGATGGAAAGGATCAGACAGATCTACAGGACAGCCCAGATGGCGATGCCAATAATTCCAAAGAGTTGCAGGCAGTATGCCGGATGTGAGACTTGGCGGACAGCGTGGGCATGAGTTTGTTCGTCAGTAGTATGGGAGAACACTGGAACATCGCCTTGACTGGCGGTGATTACAAGTGCTGTACTTCATTCCTCCGGCTGTTGGTTCTGGAGTTCCGAGTCTGATGAAGTATCAGTACCTACATACTTGATTGGGATTTGGATCTGGGTTCGAGGTGTGCTAAGCAGGTTAGTAGTTGAGCTGGGACGTTTGGGCAGCAAGGCATGATGAGATCGCGTCTGATGTTAGGATGCGTACCATGCCCCGATCCAATGTGATCGTCATCATTATATACCAGCATCGGCCTGCTGCGGGGGCCGGTTCCTCGCAGTAAATGGATAAGATCCAAGTGAACATGGTGCTTGCAGTTGGAAAGCTACCACGTGCCTTGGGCAGTCGACGAGCGCTTTAAAAAGGGGCGCAATATTTCTGCAAAGTTGCAGCAGCTACCTGTAGCAACATCAGGCAACACGAACGAATCCCCGCTGTTCCAGACTTGTGCAAGTCGGGGCGTTGCGATTATCCATTATGGCCTACCAGAACTTCACCGACGTCATCGCTTCTGAGATAGAGGCTCGGCTCCCCGAGATCTCGGCTCTGAACAAGCATATCCACGCCAACCCAGAGCTCGCATACGAGGAACACAAAGCCCACGATGCATTCGTGTCAACTCTAACGGCTCTTGGGTTCAAGGTGACCCCACATGCCTACGGCATCCCGACCTCATTTGTGGCCGAGTTTGGGTCAGGTGGGCGCCTTATCACCTTCAACGCCGAGTATGATGCCCTGCCTGAAATTGGACACGCTTGCGGCCACAACCTGATCGCATCCTCCTCGCTTGCGGCATTCCTGGGTGTGGCCGCGGCGCTCAAGGTATCTGGGCTCCCGGGCCGTGTGCGTCTTCTGGGCACACCGGCTGAAGAAGGCGGCGGCGGAAAGCTAAAGCTTATTGCTGCCGGCGCGTACAAGGGCTGTGCGGCCAGCCTGATGGTGCACCCCGGCCCGGGACACAAAATCCCGGAACCTATACGTGGTGTCGCCTGTGTGCGCATGCTCGCCAACGTCAAGAATAAAGTACACTTCCGTGGGCGCGAGGCCCACGCAGCCATCGCCCCTTGGGAGGGTGTCAACGCGCTGGATGCGGTATGTCTGTCATACAACGCGATCGCGATGCTGCGGCAACAGATACGTCCCGATGAGCGCATCCATGGAGTGTTCAGGTCGGCGGGCGACCGTCCCAACGTCACGCCCGCTGACTGCACGGTCGAATACTACGTGCGCAGCGGAACACGTGCGCGCGCCAACGCCCTGTGGGAGAGGGTGCGGAAATGCTTCGAGGGGGCGGCAATAGCGACTGGCTGCCAGATGGAGGTAGAGCCGCTGAACTCGTATGCTGACCTGCGGCCGAGCAGGGCGCTGTGCGAGGAGTACGTCAAGGCGATGCCGAAGGGGACGGTGATCATGGACGAGCCGGGCGACTTCCTGGCGGGAAGCACGGACATGGGGAATGTTTGCTACGAGTGTCCTGGCTTCCATGCTGCCTTTGCCCTTCGGACCAAGCCGGGCGAAGCTAATCATACCAAAGGGTTCACGGCTGCTGCGGGAACCGAGGAGTCTTTTCAGGCGGCCATGGAGTGCGCAAAGGGCATGGCGGTGGTCGGTTTGAAGGTGTTGACGGATGATGTGTTTGCGGAGAAGGTGCAGAAAGAGTGGAACGAAGACATGAAGCTGGCGGCAGAGAGTAAATAAACAAAGAGCCGTTCGGCTTAACGGTTGTCAGCTCCGGCAAGGTTAGGGTTTTTTGTATCATTCGCTCATAGGACCTAAAAACAATATGTATTATCCTACCATCACCCGTTCCCCACCACAATATATCTAGACAAGCAATCACATGCATCTTGTTCCCCCATGGTTGTGGATTGCATCTCGATTTGATTTATCGTCTTTTGTCCAATATCTTTCTTGCTGGTTTTCCTTTGCTTCTCTTCTCACATTCTGCATCATATACAACCTGTACAAGGGACGTGGTTTGTACATGTAGTGGCTCCCTCCCTCAAGCCATCTACATCGACTGTGTATGTAGGCATCTGTTTTGACAATTTCATCTATGATATTGTTAAGAGGCAAACCTGTCGCCATATACTCGGTACGGGGGATGTGCTGTAGCAGCCAGTAGATGCTTCTGACTCGCGTGCCCACACACCAGGCAAGTGGATCTCTCGGCAGCCGCCATGCAAAAGATAAGGTTGTACTATTATGCCAATGTCTATTTTGCTAGCTCCTTGCCGGGTTCTGTGGCATTCTCTGGCTCTCTTGGGGTGAGCATTCGTGCCAAGGAGCTAACAGATAGACTGGACATATCCTTGTACTTGCCTATCGAAATTTTACACAGTGCGCACTGTGCAGATTACTTGTGAGAACCGCATTTCGCTGTCGGCACGAATCTTCGACCCGAGATGACCGAAGTCCCTTCTTGTTCCCTCAGGTTTGACAGTACTCAAAACCTTTGCTAACGTCCGGGCTCAACAAGACGTATCTCACAGCAGGCATCTGCTTGTGCGGCTGCTTCAACAGCACTGGTGTCCTGCCTCTACCTCTGCTGTCGTCCCGGCCAAAAGCCAGTGCCGCGCCTGTTGTTTCGCACCGGCTGCTTTGCGTCGCACCTTTTCGGGAGCCTGCCGGACAACTCTGAAACGATGCCCCCCTCGATGGCGGACCAACAGCGCGGCTACTCGCCGCGGCCGCCTTTTGGCAGACATCTTCAACTTTCCCCGACAGTAGCGACGATAGCACTGGCAGTCTCTTTTGCACCGATGACGCTAGCACACGGAGGACATCACGAAGACAAGATCCCGGAGGGGCAGACCATCTCTCCAGACCCCATCGTACGTAGTCAACAGCCTAAGAAGTGCTGGATCCGGATTTTTCAAGCGTGAGGAGGACATCGCTGACATGGCTACAGGATGCCACGCTATGGGTTCACATCTTTCTGCAAGGCTTTGCCTTCGGGATACTCTTCCCGTTGGGCATGGTGCTGGGGGTAAGTACATGTGAGCGACAGGTCCCATTCGGGCACACCGGATTGACGGGCTTTCCTGTCTTTAGATCATTAAAAATCGCTGGCATGTCCCATTGCAAGTTCTAGCAACAACAATATCTCTTCTCGGCTATGCCCTCGGCCATCTTCACAGCGGCCGACAGTTCCATCCTAAGAATGTACATGCGATGGCTGCAAACCCCCTTTTCCTCCTTATGACCGGACAGGTAGTGCTCGGCGCATACTTGAAGCTTCACCTCGAAAAGGGCATCCACGGTCGCATTCGTCCGTTCATTCGACTACTTCACAGCATCAATGGCAAAGCCTTCCCCATATATGCTTGGGTACAGATGGTATTCGGTGGAATCACGGCATTAGGATTCTGCCAGGGAGACCACCTGGGCCAGTGCCTGGCACACTTTATTATGGGCGGCGCTTTCATTGCCTACGGTGTGATCCTGACTATCATGCTGCTGGTCGGCCAACTTTGGCTCCGTCGCACAGGTCGCAGCCAGGAGTTTTTCGACAGTGCTGTTATCGCCGCCTGGGGCTGTGTCAATACCTTCACAGAACATCGTTGGGGTACTGAGTGGGTCAAGAATGATTGGCAGCATACAACGATGGGCATTATCTGGTGGAGTGCCGGTCTTGTTGGCATTTGGTTGAGTCGTGGCAGAGACGGTGCCCCAAGACGCAACTTCATTCCCGGTTTCGTCATCTTGATTACCGGTTGGGCCATGTCTGCTCATCCGCAGGAACTCATGATCAGCGCCGAAACCCACAAGATGTTTGGTTACACCCTTATGGGTGCCGGTTTGGCACGCATTGTTGAAATTGCCTTTATTCTGAAGGACAAGGCTAGTCTGTCCGAAGATCCGACTGAGATCAGCAGTTTCCAGTATATTCCTGTATTTGTAAGCTTCCTGGTATCATCTGATCCCTTGCCAGCTCGTCATCTAACATCCTTTTCACAGCTCCTCTATGCTGCCGGTTTCCTGTTTATGGGCGCAACGGAAGAGCAGATGGCACTTGTTTCTGGCTCAGGTATCGATCATGTCGCCTACACCCTCATCCTCTACAGCTTGGCCTCGCTACTGTTTCTCTTTGTCATGGCTCTTATTCACATCTATGACCGTGCGGTTAATCCGAATCCGAAACACAAGTCAATCGCACTTGGTAATGGACGTGTTCCCAGTGGTGCCGAAGATGTTCGCATCCGTGACGCCAATGAGTTCGAGTTAGATGGCTTAGTTAGTGACGATGAGGATGAGGAGTCTGCTGCTCGGCGAAAGCTCCTTCGTGATGACGGCACAGAAATTGAGGCACCTCTCGGCAGCGCCAGCACACTTGGCGGAAATAGCCAGCGAGTTGTCTCATGACAACTACATTTACGGAGCATTTTTGGACTCTCCTCAAGCTGGGCGTACAGTCCATAGTGGATGTTGTTGGACATGGGGTGTGGCTCAGTTTGTAGCAGCCATTTGCACCCATCTTGCATCATTGCGTGCGGCCTTTTGGAGTTATTGCTATTTCAACCGGAAAGGGATAATGACAGTACTATTACACAATGAATCCAACACATAAACAAGTCGGCTTGTCTAAATCGAAGTGCTTTCACATGTTGAAGTCAGATTGGTGTAGGCTCGGACGGAAGCCTATATATCGAGCTAGCTTAGAAGCGCTCCCTCCGCTGATTCACTGAAGATTATGGTTTCAATTGACTGACTAACGACGGTTATATACAACGTTCTAGTCTTCGGTACGTGCATAGGTTCTTAATACGCCCTTCTTGCAAGTTATGCAGCCAAAGACAGTGTCCCACATACACCGCATTTAACTGGTAGCTAACGGTTGAAGATAGCTAGATCGTCATTTCAAGTGTAAATACCAGAGAGGTCTCTACCTATTCTACATATGCAATGGCAACACCAAATCTAATACCATATCGACCCTGGTCACCTAGCAGCAGCGAATCTCTAATAGGCGAAAGTGTGCTGCCCGATTGACTGATATGGGTGTCTTTTATCACAACTATTCGGTATTAAATACCTATACCAGTTGTACGTTCCTCCTGCTCTTCGCCCCTTGATGATTTGTAGCACTATGGTTTTGATAAATTACTTGAGGGGACGGTCGTCTGAAGAGTCTCCAGACATCTATCCCTGTGGCTTAGGTCTAGACCATGCCTGTTTTACAAGTTGATCCTCAAGATGTCTAAAAGAAAAAGTCTTGTTGCTGACACGTCCCGTCTCCGCTGGTGATGGCACATTGGGGGTGGCTGTGTACACTCCTGAGTAAGAGCCGCTCCACTCCACTGAATCCCTATCCTGAGTCTACACAACACCACTTAGCAAAGCCATCCCATCCTGAGAATCATTTGAATTGCAAAATACCTATTTCGTCTGGACATTCCATTCCAGCAGTAAAACTGGTAGGCATTTTCAACAAATTAGCATGGCGAGTCATCATTGTAACATCACCAGTCTGGTTAAGGTCACAGCCCCTGCATCCTATGATGCTACAAATGACCACTTGGCATAGCCACATGAAATTAGTAAGTACTGACATACGTCATGCTTCGTCTATCTGACTAACTGTTAGGACAAATATGCTGTTGGTGTTACCAGCTATGATAAGCTTTGTTTCCAATCCCAGTGGCTATGCTGGTCGATTTGATGCTGGAGTTCTGAACTGAGCAGCAGCTTACACCTGGCTCTGTCCTTTTGGCAGTTCAAACATCTAGATTGCATTTGTTAGCTTCATTCATGTGCTGGTCGGGTGATACTGGGTACGTGATGTTACAAATTGATCTGTGACAACAGACAATCCTGCCTGCAGTCGTCCTCCAATATGCTTAATGATCACGACTGCAATGCTTGCTTCCAACCCTTTCATGTGAATTCGTAGCAATTCCAAGTGAATCTCATCTTATTAATAGAAGTTTGTTCCACAATAAAAAAGTAATCTTGTGATCGACGACCGTGACAGAAACTTCACAGAGTTGATGGACCCGAGCATTCGGGTCTTTGGCCTTGGCCGTTACCTGCCTTGCAGCTGAACTTAGACAGTTATGGGATGTGCTGCTGGATCAGCGTTCTGTAAGAGGAATTAGCAGGCAGACCCCCGCTTTCAAATTCATCAACGCCGATCTGAAGACCTCTCCTGGAATCTTCTGCAACCAAGGCTAAAGAGTGGACACATGTCGAATCCGTACCTTGCGAGCCACAGCCCGAGATGTCTCAGCTTTGTGTCACTCCTGTCTGGAGCGTAACCGCGAGCTGAAAACTTATACATGTCCCTGTTATATCCTTCCGGCCTTCTAGGAGATGCAACAGTACGGAGAATAGGGCATTGTGTGGTAACCCACGTGCAGGTTCTGTTATGTTGAACAATGGCTGAAGATAAATGGCCTCAACTGCAGTCGGCGAGACATTCCAGGTTGGTTCAGCCCTGTGGAGCGGTAAGTATTTTTTTTCATGCATTCAGCTGAAGATCTTTACTTTTAACAATTAAATCTAAAGTTTCCCTTGGGCGTCACGCCAAGTTTTTTTGGCTGCTCTCACAAAGTTCCAGCCGCGAGGGAGCCAGGGAATCTTGATCATGAAGCATGCTTGACTAAGCGCGGAAAGAAGTATGTGGGCTCAATTAACAGTTGACACAACGATGATGATGGTGACACGCGGCGCCCCCAGCTGTAGCTTACACTGAATCTAGGATGGCTATCTGTGTCATAAGGTTTCGCCAGTCAACGATATGTATTCGTCTGATCTATATAGTTATACCATTAGTACCCCAAGCTGTAACTAGGAATGTGCAAGTGCGTGTCAATAACTACCCATGTCCCTCGATAAAGGAGCGGGCTTGACTACAAACAAGGCATACTAATCTCATCAGCCAAACTTTCTCTTATAGGACCTGCTTTCTCTGCGTTCAGTTTCAAGTCTTCATTATCTTCTCTCTGTTCTTTCTTGACTCATCTGTCCGAAGACTCCCTTCGGTCCTCCTCAATGATATAACCGTAAGTGAGATGTTTCCCTTCAGCACTTTTCAAGCTTTCCTTCAACCATGCCGTCACCTTTCGCGTGACACTTCAGCAGCCAAGAATATTTCAAGGCAACCCGTTGAACATTTTATCAGAATTGAAGACCCTCTCCAAGCCACGATATGTAGCGGTTTCTGAAAGGATAGAACGTATATTTTTCTGAGATGTTAGCTGACGTTTCTTTGTTCAGGCTTCAACTGAGTCAAATTACATTTGCTCTCATAGCACGTTCTGTGCTTTTCAGATTGGGTTAACGAGTCGTGAGCAACGGAGGCTTGTCTCATAGATCTTCTCCATTCCTTCGATGTCAAGAGTGCTCTCCGGAGCTGGCCTCTGCAGGAAGCATTCTGTGAATTCCTGGGAAGACTGCAATTGACAAACTCAAGTTGCGCTGGTGGATTCAGCATTACGATACATTCATTCTTACCTAGAAATCACCGGGCCATTGTCCAAACTGCCACCAAGAGAGAAAACAACACAACTGAGCATTCGATAAAGGTGACATCATTCACAACATTTACCTGGGCATAGTCAATCAACAATGTGCAGGTGGTATTGGGCGCATTATCACCGTATGTATATGCACCTAAACTCCAGGCTCGCCTGAGCCCATACTGGCAGGCAAGGCATTTCAGGGCAACAGTGGGAGCTAATTCATGATATCTTCACTAAAATCTGACAGACATCTATCCATGCAAACAAAACATTGAGATCGTTGTGGAATGGTATTATTGCGAGGCTGCCACCCCTACCGACGATCTGAACCACCCAATGCGAGAGTGTGGAAATATCCAGCCCCTGAACGCAAACATGGATGCAAATCCCGATGAACCTTGCTCAACAATGCCACCTTGTCAGGAATCGCCCGAATGTGCGTCAGGGAGTTGCCGGTTGACCCAGCTAGGTGGGCGCTGGACTTGCTGTGTTTGTGGAGGACAAGGCAACCGGTATCGGCAATGTCACAACCGTTCAAAAAGCAGTCCTGACACATTGTGTTATCACGTCTGTTGTTTGACATGCAGGCCTGGATATGAGATGGGAAGAGCAGGCTCGTCATAGGACTTTCATCCTTAACTGTAACTTGAATTTTGAGCTACATATGTTAGAGGTGGTCACTTGAGTAACGAGAAAATTGAAATCAGGGAACAGAAAACATAATCGGATCAGTCATGTGGCTATATACCTGTCGCCAGCTCACATTCATTTTAAGCTGTAGAATGTATCGAAGTGAGACCCTCCACTTCAGAGAGGATCGCCTAGCTAGCTTTTGCCCTCTTCATCCTTCATCCCAACCGTGATCACATCCTGTTTCAGGGGTTTTACCAACTTGAAGAGATTCTTCCTACATCATTCCGTTCAACCAAATATGACCCTTTGACCCCTAAGATGAGAGGTCAAGCATACATATGCTATACTTAAGCAGCTCATTCCCAAGTCAGCTGCATCATTCTATGCTGATCTAGAGCTTCACGTCTGCCACAATTAAGATACATGCTACCATTCTAGTTGATGACTATCATAGATTCTTACCACTCTCACGAACAGCAATCGTCAAAAAATATTGAGTCTAGTTAGCATACATGGAACAGGGAATCAAAGAAGTAGAGTTTAGTCCTACGACAGTCATGAAACATGCTTCAATCTCCTGTAACCGTGTTTGCTCCACCTCACTTTAAACTGTCAACTATTTTATTAAGCATTCTGAGAGGAAGAACCGTGACGCTAAGGAACAACCTCACTGAAAGCCTGCTTTCAACACATTGTTTTGGGCGAGTCTGCCGATGACTGGCTTCTTGTATTGATGATCCTGGAAACAAGTTGTTCCCAAATTGATACTATCAAGATTCTAGCGGAGCACCTGGTCTGGACTTCAAATAGAGCCCCGGGCTTAGCACCCTAAGACTACGGCAGATAATACTGAGATTACGGATTAGGGTTAGGGTTCACATAAAGATGTGCAAAACAATATCCTCCACATGAATATGTACAAAGAATATCTATCTGCAGACCTGTTTAATTTTTGAGCATTACCCATCCACTTCGCTAATTTGCTATCCAGCGATTTCCTATCTGCTACTAGAAACAATAACAAAGTGTACCCTCGCACTATCATTGCGATAATTTGTAAACAATTTGTTCTTATGAGTTACCATGACGTATCATGATATGATGCTTGTCCCTGTGAAGCTAGCTCTACTTACCATTTTCTAAACTCTCCTCTAGAGACTAGATCTCAAATCGTAAACGCCCTCACAAATGATATGGTTCGAAGTGTGATAAGGAGTGACACAGGTGAAACACTGTAGCACCTCCGAAAGCGATCTATTGATAGCGATG